ATTTATCTTTAGAAACTAGTAGATGAAAGACAAACTGTAATGAGATGTGAATTCACAAATTTAAATTGAGCTTACAAATTAAATCTAGAGTTGATGAGACATAAGTACACTCCATGGTTTGTTAAGAAAAATATATATATTAGAGTTTGAAATGAACTTGATAATATGTTTGGTTTGACCAAAGAACCATAAATTGTAGACCTTGAATATAAGGCTTGGTTTCAAGAAAATAGTTTAGTTACATTATGGATTTTGAATTCTTTTAATTCAAAAATAATAAATTATTTTACACAAATAAAACAAATGATAAATATAAATAATATTTGGTCACTATTATGACACTATTATTTGTTACCTAACAATGAAGAAATATGTTTCTTGGAGACTTACCTATTAAAAAAGGATATAAATATCTTATGATCAATCCTAGTTATATCCCATTCAAGTTTTATTCATTATTCATATAACACCTCACTTCTTGATCATCCTAGTGTCATGTATGATCTTAATGGAGAACCCATTAACCAAGTTGAGTTTGTGGAAATTGACAAATAACTTATTACTTATTCTTGTGGAGGTAGAGGTAATGGTGGGAAAAGACTAACTATTGAGCTTCCACCTCATAAAGTTGTTATACCTTAAGTCTTGAAATAGCTCATATTTTAAGTCTTATTGAAGTTCAAGATGAAATACCTATTGAACTTAAAATTGCGATATGAAATGGAGTTTACTTATGCACACAACACTTAGTACCTAAATTTGTAAACTATCTAAGAATCACTCATAATTATTTATTTTGAGAACACTATATTTTTTTTTGTTATTACTACAAATGATATTAATTGGGTAATAACAATGAAAGAATAAATGAAAGCCATATATAATGAAATAATATGTACATCAATTAAAAAATTGAAATAAATGAAAGTATTATTGTCACTATGTATCTAATATGGTCAAAATTTAGATCAATTAGATATTAAAAATAGATTCCTAAATGATGATTTAAATGAAAAATTATATATGCACCGTCTTACAAAGGTAGTTGATAAGTCTTCATTATCATGAGTTAATAATTAGTAAATAATATAGTTTTAGCCTTAAATCATGATAAATAGACTTATATTTGTGTTAAAGTGTGAAAAGTGGTTTTCAATTGATTAACGTGATTTTTTGGGTAATTATGTGATTTTATACGAATTTATATAATTTTTACAATCTTAGTTTTGAGATAAATAAAGAAAAAGAAATAAAAATAAAAATAAAGCAAAGTGGGGGGACTCATCGGCCAACCGAGCCCGCAAGCGAGTCAAAAGTGCAGTCAGAGAGGAGCTACAAGTAAAGGCTTGAGTAGCTTGGACAAATAGGGGCACGTGTGTGTCACTCCCCTTCCACGTCACCAGTGGCCAACTGGTTGTGGGGTAAGGAGTGGTCGTACACGTACGAGAAAGAGACTTACTTCCAAATGTAACATTACTATATATTCATCCAAAAATTTGACGCACAAATAATGTGAGATTAAACATGCGTCACACCTTCTCTAGAAAGGGCGGGCAACCGGTGCAGGCTTGAATCTTCTTAGAGCCAAAACTCATATTTTTTTATCTGATTATCGTGACTTTTCTATAGATTGCCAGTGAAAGATTAAACAATCAAAATCACTAGATGATCAGTGAAAATCTCGTCAACGTGATTTGTAGAGTATTGTTACTAAAATTATTGAACGATTCACGATAAAAAGATCACAAATCTATGGAGTAAAGCATCTCTAATTGATCGACGAATAAGTTGTCATTGGTAAGAGGACGATTCCCCGAAAGACAAGTCGTCACCTCTTGAGATCGTACCAGATGCGATGAAGAGCCTCCTCTTGCTACGCAGACCTGAGGATGAAGTTCTTTGACACGCGCCCCACCTCCATCCAACTCCTCTCTGTCATGTAATAGTCGTCGGAGAGCTGCAAAATTGTTATTTTCCGTTCTACTAAGTGACAGCCACCGGAGACGATTTGACGACTCATTTCATTGATTTCTAAACTTTGCAAGATAATCTAGAGATTACCTATGTCATCTCTGTCCAAGGAAAGACTTCGAGGTCATGGACACTGCACGACGATCCTCTTGAACGCTCTTAACCAATGTGTAATTTTTATTATTTTTGTTGATTATATAATCCTCACATACAATGATGTCCATGAAATACATACTTTGAATGAAAAGTTGATGAATGAATTTAAAGTTTAAAACTCGAGAGACCGAACGTATTTTTTTGATAGTAAAATTTTAAAGTTTAGGAGTGACTTATATGTTTGCAAAATTATGTATATACTTACACTTAAAGAAGATATGGAAGTTGTGATGGAAACTTGCCTGCACACCTATGGAGAACAACCGACTCCTTTCTAGCACTAATGGAGATTAACTTTTAGTAAAAACTAAATGCTCATATCAACAAATAGTGACAAATTATTATACTTGTCAGATCTAGCTTATAAAGTGAGTATTGTTAGCCATTATATGTATGCTCCTAGGATTAGATACATATATGGTAAATCTTATATTGCAATACTTGTAATCATGTCTTGAAAAATGATTATTATTCATTGAATCAAGATACTAGAGGGTTACACTAATACAAATTAGGTTGGATTACATGAAGACAAAAAAATTACTACAAATTACATATTTTTGGGAGGAAATTTAGTTATGTGAAGGAACGAGAAAGATATTATGGTGGCTAGATTACATGAAGAAGTTATATTTTATGACATGGCTTATGGGGAAATTAAATTATTGTTGCTAAAACACTTGTTTATATATTTTGGTGTTGAATCTAAGCTACTAATACAATTATATTACAATAATAGGATTACAATAAATAATGAAAATAATTTAATATAACATGACATGACGAAGTATATTGAAATTGACTGACATTTTGTTTGGAAGAAGCATGGCTGAAAATAACTTGTCTTTTTTATACATGATTAGAAATATTGTGACCAACCTCATTTACTTTAATTCTTCTCAAGTTGAACGTTATTAATATCTACACTCAACTTGAGGGGGAGTGTTGTGAGATATGAGGCATTTTTTGATCAAATGTCCTTCAAGGATCACTTCATGTAATGTTAAAAATATATTGACTTTTTGGAATTGATATAACTTTTTGCTCAATGTCTATTTTTATTTTATTTTCCTCTCTCCTCTTTCCCTTCTCTTGTCATGATTCCTCAATGTTCAATAACAAATTGCAGAAAGGAAGGGTGGTACCCTTCTTATGATCTTGAAGCCTTCCATGTTCCAAAGGAGTTTTTGGATTGAAATGACATTCTTACATTCATATTAGTGATAGAAAATTAGTACTAGTAGTGAGTTCTTACAAGTATTTTAACTTTTTTAAAAACATGAATTTATATTAGATAAAATACTTAAAAGTATCAGTGCAAGAAAATTATATTTTAAATATTTCACATAAGAGGAGAATATAAAAGAATTACCATGAACCCATTGCAACTCTTACAATACTCCTCTAGTGCCTTTATAACTTTTGTAAATTACAAAGCATGCTACGATATTCAAGAACAAACTACTTAAAGGAAGGGTTATCTTCCAATAATCTTCAAGCTTTTCATATGTTAAAGAAGATTTTCCATTAAATGAGAACCTAAAGTATTAAGTGATGGAGAGCATCTAAAATTTTTTAGAAACATAAATTTATAATGGTCAATATAACAAAAAAAGGTTGCCCAATTGGTCATATAAGATTTTGAAGTTAAAAGTAACTATTGGACTCAATATAGTCATGGATCTAATGGTGGTAAGTTGATGTTTTTTATTCAATGAGTTGTACTTATAAAAGGTTATAAGATCATACGGATGATGTTTATAGAGTGCAGAGTAGGCTCAAGAATGTTATTCATTTGAACAATTAGAGTATACTATATCATAAGCATGGAAGAGACATGAAAACCCAATAACGTATTAAATAGATCAGGAACCAATAGTTATGCGAGGTAAGTCTATGGGCTTATTAGAACAAGCATAATATAGGGCATACTCTCCAAAATTCGACATCTTAAAGGTAATGTGGGAAGGACACTGAAGACGGCGACGGGGTCCACAGAGAGAGGCACATCTGACGGGCACAGGAAATCAATGACTTCCACCGTCTTAAGCCGGGAAGATTCGCGTCAAGAACCGCCTCGCGCTCTCACCGCCATTGCAGACGGCCATCCTCGCATCCCTCGCTGCCAAACCGTGCAGGGCTGCCGCGGACACATCGTGACCGATACCACCAGCGCGGAACGAGGCTGGGGAGGGAACGGCCTCACCGCGCCTGGCGACAACCCGCGCGCCTGTGGCAAGACCGCAGGGCTTGACAGTCTGTGGAGACACACTGCCAGCTGCGTGCCGGCACCAGAGCAGGCGGCGGGATCACCAGCGCGACGAGGACAGACCGTGTAAACTCTTGACGACAGCCAGTCGCGGGGAGCAACCCACCGCAGTGAACCAGCAGCGCCGAGACGGTCTCCCTGCAGCTCGTATAAATCAGCTGGTTTACAAGAGTACTCGATGTACAAACTAACCAACGAATGTAGCTCTCAGACGACAAGGAAACTTGAGTCCCAACAAGGGGATTAGCATCTGGTTCGACCAGTCGACAATATGAACAAGTATCGCAGTGAACTTTCCAATGCCATTGAAGTAGCACTTTATTTAGAGTGGTTTTATAAACAACAAGACCATACAAGGCTGATCTGCAATCAATCTACCGGTTAAGAAAATACCCAGACTATACTAAGATGGAAGCCGTGTCAGATCTCCATCCCATTTGGCTAATCAAAGGAGAAAAAAGTTAGAAGCATCGGTTACTCTAAGATTTCCAGCCTTCCTTCAGATAAATAATTGAGGAAGGTCAAGGAAAGTTAGGAGGTATCCCCAGCTTCATTCTGAAGCATAAATAAAATCACCGGCCATTTGATTACACGAGGGTTCCTGTCATGGCAGATCAAGCCGCAGCATGTACCTAAGGCCCTTGGTCGCCAGGTCGGTGGTATTCACGACGTTCTTCTTCAAGAAGGACGTGGGAAATGGAAGAGATCCCGGTGACGGGGAATTGAGGAAAACTGAGCCGGCGTATGGGAGGGGAACTGCTTCTGGATTGGGACCCAACCTGTCCGTGGCACACAGGGCCAAATCATTACCGCTGGCTGCTTCCACCTCCTTAATTGAAACATGACGACTTTCCGCCGGTCTGCTGTATGCCGATGAATGAGGATTGCAAGAAGGCTGGGAGTCGTGGAACAATTTAGGAACCCGCGACGGCTGACGTTTCTTCGGCCGTTGGGGTTCCTGCGCTGGCAGACAATCGTTGGACGATTTAGGAATCCGAGATGGAAGATAATCCTTTGACGATTTGGAGTCCTTGGACGATTGGGGATCCTGCGACGGCTGACTATCAGGCATCAACCTCTTAGGATTCAACTCTTCGCCGCGCCTCAATATGGTCACCTCCTCCATGACGAGGTTCTTAAGAGGCGCCTTCACCACCATCTGACCCTGGAACTCGGAGATTCGGCTCCGCGGGGCACGATCAGTTCCAATACCGTTGTTCTTGGGGAAAAGTTTGCCATCTGAAGGGGAAAACCAGCTGCCGGGGGACGGATCACCGACGCCAGACATAGTCGTCCTTCTCGACGATACCAGGGGACGACGCGTAGGGCTAGGTTTCCTTCCGCACTTCTCCGGCGGAGAAGATCCCGGTTCATACGTCCAGGGGTCGCATGCTTGGGATCGAAGCACCATGACCTGATGTAAAGACTTGGAGAACGAAAAAAGGAGGTGAAGAGAGAGAGAGAGAGGAGAGAAAATATATAGGAAGAGAAAAGACGGTGCGCCGTTATAATGGGAACCGCTTGAACAGAAATCAAACAAACCCCGAGATAAATTACAATAACTAAAATACCCTAAATTGCCGCCGCATAACTTCTCGAATCGGACGGTGGAAATCCACCCATGGCGCGCCGACTCTTCGTTGAGGGTATTTTAATCATTTAAAACGTCCTGTTTGGCGGCGCGGAACGTGGGGCTCCCTTGATCGGCACGTTGATTCCACGGCGATGCTTCTCGAATCCCGGCCCTATTCGCCTATGATATTTTTATATCAATATTTCATATTAATTATCCATACCGGGAGATTTACGCGTCATTTTCGCCCTGGCGTGCCCTTCTCGATCCCTTTCTCTGACGAGTCCTACTCTCCCTTATCCCTTCGTCTGCCTCGTCAGTGAGATAAATAGATAGCGAGAGAGAGAGTCCACATTCTTCCCTTCTGAAGGGACCTCAAAGAGAATGCGGCCAAAGTGACGCATCCTTCTCACACATTTGGGCAAGTGCAGTCATACCCCCCGGTGGGTCAACTCCACCCTTATTTGGAAGATAAAACGGGTTGACCGATGAATGCTCCGTTATGAAGAGTCGATTCAGGAAATTGGGTGGGTAGCCTGGAATCTCCACCTAGCTGACGTTGTGGAAGGAATCGATGATGGCGTCGGCGAGGTACTCGCATTTAGCCAGTGACAGACCAGCTAGCGATATTCTCCCGTCCTTGGTCATGTACACGTGCCACTTGTCCGTCATGTTGTCGCTCTGTAGGAACATGGAAGATGCTAAAAATAGGAGGATGGAAGGGGGAGGACGAGGAGGAAGAGTTCAGGGAGGAGCTACCCACCTGCGCCTTGTTGAGGCCCGTGAAGGAGAACATGCCGATCTGCTGGAGGATGAAAGACCAGTCCTTCCCGCTCTTGCCCTTCTCAGAGAGGTTGTCGAAGAGCCTTTGCCTCACGTTCTTTATCCGCCCGGCCATCTGGTCCATCTCTTCCTTCCATTCGTTGAACAGCGCCGGGTCGCCGACCACGCTGGCCACGATTCTGGCGCCATGAACAGGAGGGTTCGAGTACATCGGGCGGGCGAGTCTCTTGAGCTGGCTCTTCACCCTGACGAGGGCATAATTCTTTTAGTCGCGTTCTCGGTCAACGCGTGTGAAGGATTTCAGTTCCTCGTCCTACCTTGTTGCTGCATCTGATGAGAAGCAGACGACGTTCATGGCCCCGACTCGTTCTGCATAGAGACCCAGGTTCTTGCTGTAGGACTGGGCCACGAGAAGCTCCAGCCCGCGGGAGACGAAGAGCCGCACAGATGAGGCATCGGTGTCGAGGTCTCCGCTCGCGAAGCCCTGTGTAGGATCAGACGTCGTTCGGATGGGATCGGAAGGCGTGGAAGCGAAGGCTGCCGTTACCTGGTACGCGACGTCGAAGAAGGGGATGTGGCCCTTTTCTTGGATCACGTCGGCGATTTGCTCCCACTGTTTTGGAGTCGGGTCGATGCCAGTAGGGTTGTGGGCGCAGCCATGGAGAACGATGAAGGATCCGTCCGGTGCTGCCTAGAAATGGAAAGCAAGAGGTTGAAGTTACAGAACTGCCCACCCAAAGACGAAGATTTTCTTCACGGCAAGCAAAAAAGAAATAAATATCTCCATTGCAAAGAGGATTGATAACACTTACCTTAATGTCTGCAATCATGCCGTCAAAGTCCAAACCAACTGTTCGAGGGTCGTAGTATCGATACTCGGACCAGGGGACGCCCGCATCATTAAAGATATTCTTATGATTTCCTGTTAGGAATTAAGCCATCTGGCCTTAAATCACAGAAGATGAGTAATATGAGCATCGAACATACATGCTTGATGCACAACAAAGAAGGTACCCCAGGTCGGAGCCGAGATCAGGGCTTTTGCCTCTGGGAAGTATCTTTGTATGAATGCTGCGCCTAAACGAAGAGAACCAGTCCCCGATAGGCCTTGAACAGTGGCCACCTGAATAATAGAGCAGAACTGATGTGATTTCCCCTGATGAATATCTTTAGAATAAAGGGTGGAGAAAGCGTACTCTTCCTTGCTGGAGAATAGAATTGTCTGCTCCGAATATCAGCTCGGCAGTGGCCTTGTTAAATGCGGCCAAACCTTCTATCGGAAGGTACTGCGAGGATAGTGTAGCCAAGACTTTAACGAAATCTTAGAGCGAGACTGGCGGAATCATTTTCATTGAATGCCTCAAATTACCTCTTTGTTCTCGGCCTTCTCTAACATGAAGGTCTCTGCCTGTGAAGTAAGAGATAATACGATTGGGGTCAACGTAAATGCAAGGAAGGGATGAGCCAAATGAGAGTCGGTTTTAACCTGTTGCCATCTTGAAGAATAGGACAGTCAGATAAATTATAGTGTACGTAAATTATCTGACCTTCTTAACGACATTAAGAACATAGGGTTGGAGTTCTTCTGTCCGGTAAGCGCCAACTCCAAGATTAAGCTTCAGATCATTAGTGTCTGCCTTGAAAGCTTCAGAGACCCCAAGAATTGGATCCGGAGGGGCCATGGTCACACCCTCAAAACGAGACACATTGGCTGCAACTGTCATTGTCACCCGACCAGAATACTACAAAGCAGAACAAGTTCTTGGGGTCAACTAAATCTCTAGAAAAAAAGTACCAACAGTCAGATTACGAAATCATCAATATATTTCATCATTAAAACCAAGATTATATATGAAAATTTTCTTCATTAAGCAAAAATGCGACCAGGATTGATCAACTAGTTTTTGACAGAGATCCAGGCAGCTGAGAGAAAGCCTGATCAGTCGTCCAGATTTGAGCTGGCTAAGCTCAGAATAATCTTATCCCCTCTAAAAAAACAGATTCTCAAACTTCTTGCCACGTCACTTTGCGCTAACATTGCAGCAGATGCCATAGGAGTTTGCAACTCTCGTATTGGTAGCTATGTTCTGCGTGATGAAAGGGCATGTCCTCTGTATGGCGTACCTAGAGAAATGACTATGGAATAGGTGCTTTCATCTGCTTATTCCCACCAGAGTCTACTACTAGCCCATGAAACTGGAACTCTAGTGATCCATAACTAGCTCTTTTCTGGAAAACAATCCCCGGAAGAATTAGCCGAATGGAGCAGAAAAAATTCTCTTTCCATGGAACAAGATACCTCCACAAACGGTGTCTGCAGTATTCTTTGCACATGGCTTCCCAAATGGTCTAAAACTTGGATAAGAGCCCGAAAAGAAAGTCTAAAGAGGCTTGACTGCTAGGTTGATTTAACCACTATTACAATTGAATTTCGGAATGAAAATCACAGACATTAATATAAAGATTCTTTCCTTGAAATTCATATCATAAAATATATTGTTTGTGACCAATTTACATTGAAGCGTGATGGCATAAGATGATACAATGAATGTGGCACCACCTGTGCGACATACGCCACTTGGAGACAGACTTGGGCTTGAACTATTATTCTAGGTGTCTTTTGGGAACATTTAGTCCTTTTGGTATGGAGCCTCAGTTCGGAGTTACCCACATGCGACCGTAAATTAATTACAAAAAATCTACAGGATAGAGCAAGCCGAAGATAACCAGTTCTAAATAAGCAATAAGTGAACAGAGAAGTCAGCTATAATATCGAGCCTCCAAAATACCAGTAGGCTGGCTAGGCAAGAAACTGACAGCGGCAAGATCCAATGAGAGAGATGATCATCATCGAGGGCCTATCTTGGCTATTCATAGTTTCAACTGCAATGCAAGATGTTTAAAACGGCAGAAACATTGGAATTGTATTCTAATCATTAAGCTTCTAAGAAATTTCGGTCAAACACGGAAGCTCGCATCAGAATAAATGCGACCAAGTGTTTCTGACTAGAGATAATTGAGCAGATCGTGATAATGACATCTCTTTCCACGCACTCACTCCAGTAATTGGCGAGCACCTTGAAAATGAGGATCATAAATACATGACACAGTGCTCATGATTATAAGAAATCGAGAAGATTCTGATCATAACATTCGTGCTATGTAGTGTCAGCGAATCTGCGAGCATCTGAGTAACAACTGTAGCGCATTGGGATCCGATCGTAACCTTCGAAATCTGTAGGGGATTCCCGCTTGCCCCACGGAAAACATTTCCAGAGAAGGCAGAGCTGATGATCTCGTTCTTCTGCAAAATTGCACGAAACAGCCAGTAATTAATTTTCTTTCTATGACATTTGCGAGTTGCCAATAGTCGAACAATCAAATTCTTAAGCAACACCACCTTGCGATACTCCCGAGCATCAGGCGAGATGGAAAGGGAGGCGTAGGTGAGGGAAAGCACCGTCCCTGACATGGCACGCCACTCCGATCGCCGACGAAAGACGAAGTCGAGATCCGACGCTCTGGCTCGAAGAGTCGGCCGGTTCTCGCCTACGGAGGCTCGAACACCGGATAGAAACCGGCGCGACTCCGAATGTAGGCGGAAATTCCTCGAGACGACGATGAAGATGAGAAGCCTGTAACGGCGACGAGATATCCCGACGAGGTTGGGGAAGCAGAAAAGGCAGTTCAGTTCGTACGAGCGCTGCTCTGTTTTTTCCGCCTCCACAGGCTTCCGGTACAGATAGACAGAAGGGGTCAGATGACGCTTCTTCCTCGGTCAACGGAGCCGTCATTTTGATTGGTTGGGTACAGTCACAAAGGCCGTAATATGACGTCATAAATTAAATGAATTTTAAATTAATATGGCTAAAGGTAGGCCTCTGATGACCGTCGGATGCTCCCCTATGGCTCGTGGATGTTCGGTCGGCGTGTTGCTCGCAACAGCGGAAACGTGTTCCGTCGAGATGCTGGGACGGAGAGTGAAGCCACCGTCGGTGCCGGTGGCTCTCTTCAAATAGGTAGAAATGCTCTTGAAAAACAGTTAAATTAGTATTAAACTGTACGTACACATGCTGAGATTTGGTAATGGGTCCAAAATAATTGGGCTCAGCTAATTTGGCCCGCCCGAGACTGGCCCGAACTAGTGTCCAGATCATAAAGTCAATTAGCATACTTTTGACTTGCTTTTATTGGGCTTTGACTTTTCACTCAGGTATCTACGCAAATGACAGCCATACGAGGAGAAAATGCACCACAAAATTCTAAGATGGGCTCCCAGTAAAAATATCTATCATGTCCGGATGCCCGGATGGCCCGGCCCGGTTGTCTATGGCTTGTTTCTTCGTGAAAAGTGTCGAGTACTACGTGTCAATTGTACAGGAGATCCGATAACACCAGCATGGGATCGGACTCACGGTCTGCACCACCATGCGACGACTTGGGGAAGACTTTGACAAAGGGAACACTTTTATTTTTTTCAAACCAAAAACTTTGGTAATTGTAATCAACTGCTGTGTGTAAAATTGAATCTTTTGATGTTTCTAACGTAAAATGCATTTCGTATATACTTTCCCTCCTCCCGTACCGACAAACAGGAAAGCGAAGCACTCAGCGCGCTCCATGGACGAGATGGCCGGGTCTTCAGCACCAGCGAAGGATCCCAGGGCCATAGCCAGGAAGTAAGTGGGGATAGATGCTTGTCTCTCGATGTTCATTCGTATCTTCTCATGGCCTCTACCTTCCCTGTAATCGATTCGAATTCCACCATTTCTGTCATCAGTTTCGATCATCGTAGATTTTTTTTCTTTGAATATGTCTAGATATCAGTTGGACCTGTGTAAAAGAGCTATGGAGGAGAATACTATTGTGCACTTGGGAACGGGCGGCGGGAAGACACACATTGCCGTGCTTCTCATGTACGAGCTTGGCCACATGATCAGGAAGCCGAGTAAGGATGTCTGCATCTTCCTGGCTCCGACTTTGCCCCTAGTTCAACAGGTGATCAACTCGTGACATAATCGTATTGCGTTTACTTTGGTTTTACTTTTGTTTTTTGTTTAAGGCCAAGCATTGGTTTGACCTCCTAGTATAGGTTCAAGTCAACAATACTTTCATTTCCGCAGGAAAATGTTCATTTTGATCACAACTTTGGGCTTATTAATGCATTTAGCACGTTAACAGTTCAGACACGTTCAAAATAGAAAAAATCACGGCATACACAGACGTGATTGATTTGATTCACTGTATCATGAACTCCTCGTACCAATGCCTCTTTTCTGTAGTGTAGCATGTTCTAACAATATTAGTTTCTTTATCTCTTGATTAATGACATCATAGTTTTTTTGTGTAGCAAGGTGGTTATATTGAGAGCTCCACAGATTTTAGGGTCAGGAACTACTATGGGAATTATAAGAGCTTGAGTCACGATTCTTGGAACAAGGAGATAAATGAAACAGAGGTTTGCTATCGATTTTTGCACTTTTATATAAGTTGTACCGTTTGAAACATGTCAATTTGTGACGACAACTCAAAGTATGATGTAGAAGCGGTCTGAATTTTTCTACATATCCCCTCTTCAATGCCATTGACGGGGCACCAATATGTACCTTGTCATTAATCTTGTGACTGAGATGCATGCATATTTATTATGAAGGTTATTTTGGAGACATAATTCAATGGGCATCTTTATTATACTAGAGAAGAACGGATGTCATGTTGTGCATGTTGACACTTGGCCGCTAATTTTTTTTTCCAATGCCTTTTTTTCTTGTTGACAGATTTTTTTCAGTTTCATTCATAGAAATGTGTGATGCTTTTCTCAAAAATTTGCCCTTTAAAAATATTTACGTTGGGTTATCAAAAGATGCCTTCAAACACTTGTATCATGCATAATTTTTTTTACAGATATGATGTTTCGAAAAAGTTCCTCGTATTTGGTAATTTAAACCGTCAATATGAATATGGGTAGCAACGATTTGATGCATTCTCCCAGAAAGGTGAATGGCACAGCATCTTTCATCATGTCTAACTTCGGGCTATGGGTTGAAGCAGATGCAGCTTTCACTGCAGTGATGGTAAAGCTGTCTTCATCTTGTTGGAGAACGCATCAAACAGTCATCTTGGACACTGTGGGTGATGAACTGTCTGAACACAAATGGAATAGCTGGACATATACTGCAGTTACCATCGTCATTGACTATTTTTCCCCAATGGTCGAAGCGATCACAAATGAAGTTCATCAGCTCATCAAGGCTGATTTCTCAGAAGAGGTATCCCACCTGGCTTGCCAAGTGGGATACTTGATTCCTTTATGATTTCTTCTTTCAGACTTTACTTATTATTGAAACCTTCATATTGTATTACCAAATTCGTATTGACTATTATTTATTATTCTTATTTTCTCTAGTATTTGTATAGTACTGGATGACATTTTGACAATACACTTGATGTTTCTTGGTTCGTACAGGTTCTTGTTATGACACCTCAAATATTTTTGGACAAGTTGCGACATTGTTACATCAGGATGGAGCTAGTTGCACTTTTAATATTTGATGAATGCCATCATGCCCAACTACACAAAAGACATCCTTATGCGCAAATCATGAAGGTCTGTTAAAGTTTCATGCTAATGTAGATCGAGAAGTGAACTGTTAATTATTTGATTCATTTACACTCCCATCTCTTTCCAACATCTCAGGAGTTTTACAAAACTGAAACTGGGAGGCGACCCCGAATCTTTGGCATGACTGCCTCTCCTATAATTGGTAAAGGTGAGATATTTGACTCATATTCTAATTTTATTTCATTTTGTGTTTCCTTTGTCTCTTTTCGGTACTTTTCTATCATTCTGGTGTCCTGTCATTTTCAAAACTGTCGTAATCCTTGTCAATGAGGTCGGTTATGCTTTGCGAAATCGTACTGATTTTTACTCGTTATGTTGTCAAATTGTCTTGATGAAATCTTGTTCGAAAAATTGTGATGTGGAATCCCAGTTGGCTCTCCATATCACTATGGGCTAGTTTTTCCTAAGTTTTGAACTCTTTCTTGTCAAAGCAGCTTGGATTTTTTTTCTGAATTTCTTTTTCTCAAGCATCTTTCTTATCATGCGTGTATTTTATTTCCTTTTATTTCCTCATTTGACCTAATTTTTTTTTCTGATTGCAATTGTGCTATCAGTCTCGTGCTTTTTTTTCAATCTCATTAATCAATGAAGTAAACTGCAAGGTGCTGTAAGTGCTAATATCTTGGTTATCCTTGAGACACCGTGTTTAATATATTTCTCAAAAAAGTAGGTCACGCGGCTTAGTTACCACAGTAACTTTCTTTCTTTGCTGCTTCTATACCATAGTATCAGGATTCCACTAAAGGTTCGGCATTCTTGTAGGTACATGCATAGTGATCTCTTCAATTTATTCAATTCCTAAGCTTATTGATGGTCATATTTCTTGTATTGAGGTTGATTGACAAAGTTTACCTTTGGATCTGTAGGTCTTCCATGTATGTCCCAGGATTGCTAATTCTTCTCAAAACCATTGTCATGTTGTCTAGTGTTTTTGCTTGCATGTAATCTCAAGTTGAGAAGGGAAAGTTTTGGGGTTGCCTTGGATGAATATGGATCTCTCTACAGCTGATCAGTTTCGTCCCCTCTAGCATGTATATGCACTTAAAATGATAAACATGTCCTCAAGATTTCCTGATCTCTGTGTTGGGTCGTTTGGTTTTTGTCAGTGACATGAAAAATGAAAAGACATGTACCTCTGTCTGTGTATTGTTTTGACGTTTTAGTATTTGAATTTAGGTTAGATAATTGAAAAGGGTCAACAAGGGATTCGGTTTCCCTTTGTGACTGGAATTCAGAAAATGGGAACCTTTCTTCCGGTGAAATGTTTCCGAGTTATATAATTTAAATATATATTTTTTGCTGCTTTACTAATGTTCAAAACACTTTTATGTGTTTTTGAATTTAAACTTCATGTACAGTTTCCGAATAGTGTTTAAGAGAAAATATTTACCACATTAAAAGCCTGTTTAATTACTTCTCTGGCTACGCAATTTCTCAGGACATTCTCGCATATGCTTATCTTGAAAGGAGAGATTCTTCTTTGGGACTAAATAATGATTTTTTGTCGACCTTTGTTGTTTTCATGTCTTCCAACACATTTGTTTACAGGCGGATCAAACCAGTTAAATTATGCCAAATGTATCAACAGTCTTGAATGTTTACTGGATGCCAAGGTGGGGTGGTAAAAAAAACTATTTTCCGGAAAGACAATTTTTTTAATTATAGTCAAATGTTGCAATGGATTTTCTTTTTCTGTTTTACCTACGTTGCTTTGATCTATTTTTAGAGATATTTACCCTTACCTGCACCTTTTCCAGAAGATAATATATTTGATAATATTGGCACACATGATACACAATAACAACCTCCAATTAGGTTTTGAGGAGAAGAAATCTGACTAGGACTTTCTCCTTAATTATCATAAAGACAGGAGAAGTTTTGGTTTTGTATGTCAGGGGATCCTTTTTTTAACCTTTATTGATATTGCTAAGGTGCTTTTAATCCTCATTACATGCATGGATATGGTCTACTTAATAGCTTCTATGCCTCCGCAACTCACTTTTACGAGTGTTTCAGGTTTTGATTGAAGAGGAATTTGTTATCTCTTGTCATTTCTATAGGCTTGAGATAATATAGGTGTCGAGCTTTGTAAGTTTGTTTAAATTAAGCTTACCCCGCTGACTGAAGTCAGTATTATATTCCTCTAATACAAGAACACTCCTGAATAAACCATCATAAAATTGATACCACATTATTATTTTTTATTGCATAAAAGTCGAGCATAAACATGAACGCAGTATGATGCCCTGACATTATTTTGTAGGGTAAATTCCGTCTGGAAAATATGATGGTCCATCGTAGAGTCTATTGGATAACACTCATTTGATAATTTATGGGATAAACCTTATAATGCTTATTGAGGTTTATCCAGTGATAAGGCCCACATAACCAATTTATGGGATGCCCTTTTTTAATGTCCCTGTGGGATGTGGCCCATTTGTCAAACTTAAAGGTCGAGACCCATGTAAATATCCTATGGGATGCAGAGCCCGTTTTTGTCCCAATTGATCATGTCATTTGGGATGCAGGCCCATTTGAAAAACTTGTTTGTCAAGGTTCATTTGGATTATTATAAAAATCCTTGAACGTCCCTTGTGAGTTGATTGAAATTAAAAGTAGTATCATCAAAAATCTCCAACCAAGATGCTCCTATTACTCCTACTGGGATGATATTAAATTCTTCAATTATAGTTAGTCCCCATGTAGCTTTAACACCATTAGCAACCATGATTCTCCCTTTAAATTATTTAGCTTTGACTCCTTGCCTCTTGGCTTACCGTGCTTGAATAAAATTATGGATACGTCCTGAATCTATAAGAATTAACTTAAATTTACTGTCCAGGTACCATTTAACATGATAATCTTATAATAAGAAGCGCCAGAAATGTATTGTAATGAATTTCAGGATGCTTTTATTTATTGACTTATTCCATTTACTCATTTATAATATTGTCTTTACAGTTTTATATCAGAAATATTTTTTTCTATTTTTACATGTGCGACTGAGAGTATACCTCTATCACATGACAAACATAATGTCTTTTCCCTTCTGTCTACTCAGCATTTAAATTTTGTAAAAGTAATTTTCGTGATGCTTGGGTTGAGATGTGAGAGTTGGCAGGATTCCTCTAGTATTTGGTTCAAAAAATATTTTTCTACTGAGGAATCTTTCTTCGTGTAGTGTTAATATTTTAACAGGAAAGTGGACATCCTTCAAATTATGAACCTTGCCGTTGGTTTGAGTGTCTTCTTTCAAGCTGCTGAGTGTTGAACGCGAAATTTTCTTATAGTCTTGATAGTTGACTAGAGATGTATTAAAATTAGTCAGATACTCAGAAATCCCAGCTTGTCTCAATTTGGGTATACATTCCCCTATGATATCAAATTTTCAAAGGATTTTTGGAAACTCGCTTTTATGTTAGGGACGTCAAAACAATTCATCACAGCTCTTACTGAACTGAAGCGAAACTAGTCAAAATGAGTGACGAATTTAAATTCTTTGCTAGAGTTCTGATGAGAAGAACAGAAAAGGGAGCTTCAGAAGATGGAGTTTGACATATAATCCTTTAAGAAATTGATTTAGCCAGATGGGTGACCAAAGAATACCAAAAGAGAGAAACAATCAAGTGTGGGAAATGATGGAAAGATAAAAGGATAAAACAGAGGGATGAGTATACTAAATAAAACTATTATCTAGTCTGATGTCTCCTTGTTTATAATTTACTGTAAAACGTCTTTAATGCCAACTTTGACTAACAAGCGTAGGAGCCTGCTATCATGGCCAGTGTCCCGAACCGCTGGTCAGAGCACCCCAAACCAAGATGCGCGACTAATGCCTTTCCATTAACAATGCCTGGTCCCTATCAAATACCCAATGGGAATATGTTTTCTCTTCGGTAAATACATTTTCTTGTTTGATAGAAATTATATAAATACTATAATTTACAATATAAGTTACACAGGTTTGCTTTGTTGATGAGAATGTAGAGCTAGAAAGTATAGTAGCTTCTCCTGATGTGAAGGTATACTTTTATGGACCTGTTGGTGTCAATGGTTCGGACTTCAATCATACATACTGTAAAAAGCTGAAGGAGATAAAATCGCATGTAAGTTTTCTTCTTCTTGCTTTACATCCTTGGTAAATTTTCTCTTGTCTCACTCATTCTCTTTGCTCTTGATCTGAAATAGTGTATTTCCATGGCAAGAGAGAATGCTGCTGATCTTAGAGATTTTCAGAGGAGGATAAAGCTGCTCATGAGGGTTCATGCTAATTTGATCTTCTGTTTAGAGTATATTGGTTTCTGTGGTACAGTACATGTGCGTCTATGATTAACCTTCTATAGTGCTGCATTCTTATTTCAACTACACCTTAATTCTTAGTAACAGCATATTTTTGCCTTAAGATAGCCTTCCCTTTTGAGATATTCTGGTATTTCTGAGTTAGTTATGTAGTGTTTCAATTTTTCTCGTCTGTGTTTTATGTGGATGCTCGTTTCCAACTGGTTCTGATCAGATTTAACTTTTGAATTATCTTCTTCTGGGACTGAACGGGTTACTATAGTTTTCTTTGGGGATAACATATGAAATTCATGTAAAAGAAGCACCGACCAGGCAATTAGATTTGTTCGGTGAACTGGAGAAATCACTGGATAAATCATTTTTTGATTGACATGTAGATAGCGATTGAGGTAAAGAAAAGAGGGGGATGTGAATAAGATATGTAAAGCATTGGTAATATATATTTTACACAGCTAGCTTGGCTTGCGGACACAATTAAAAAATATCAATGCAATAATGTTGATGATAGTTTTGGGAGAAGTAAACAAGATTAAAAGTATCATCAGTAATGATGTAGTGAGAATTGACAATCAATGTTTGGGGAATTTGAGAAGCAACATAAAATAGAGAAGATGAAGAAAGTAAGTTGCAAAGAGGTTTATAATACTACAGCATAGCCAAAAAGATGTGAATAATTAGAGATCCATTATTTTGAAGTGGCAACATAAGTGGTAGTTAAATTGCCGGAATTTGACTGCCATAGATCAGATAAGTTTACTGTCAGATTGTATTACTTCAGATTTAGCTGATCGATGAAACTTTTTTATGTTCGATTTGTGTGTTGTTCTTCTTTAATGTCTTTTTTTCCCAGTTGAACATGCTTACTTACTTGTAATCTGAATGATTAACAAGTATATTTCTTTTTAACATATATTTGTGATGTGCATAGATAATTGTTTGTTTGGAGTGTAAAATCAGTTTAGTTTTTTCACCAAACGTATGCTTAAAATCACATATCCGAAAACGATTTAAATAGTTGGTTATTTTTTATTTTGATTAATTCCTGAATACCTCGTTATTTTCTTGTGTAAGTTCTCTAGAGCAAGAAAGCAGGAAAATTGTTGTTACCTTATTTACTTTCTTAACATACTTTTTTTTTAAAATTTAAAGGCTGCTCATGCTCTTCTTAGTGGTGAGTGCTTTGACGTGATGGCAATGGATGCAGACGACTGCAAGGATAACAGCTTAGCACTTCTATACTTGGACCATGCCAATTCTACTTTTAATCGTGATCCTTTGATTGGTAAAATTCATGTCTTCTATTTATGAAGCTGAAGTTGTAGGATAACTTATGACTTATTTAGGATTATTGTTTTACAAGGACCACTATTATACATGGTAAATGAATCATTTCTTTTAATACTTGTTTGGTGATGTATCAATAGTAGATCCCCTGTCTCTTTAATACAGTTGTCTGCGTATGCAAGCCATGAGGCTGTCACAGAGACCTTAAGCGGATTGGATCCATATAGGTCACAAATAAGTATACCAACGATTTAATATCAGTGCTCTACATTGTCAGTCAGTTAATAGATGTAAATGTCCAATATGAAGGCCCATTCTTTAACTGGGCATGTAGAACCGTGTCATGATATTTGTTCTCATCAATTCCAAAACTGAAGGGAAAACAATCAACTCTTATTTTTTCTGAACGGGCTTATGCAATTAAAGCAATGACACTTGGAATGCTCTCATTGCCTTCTATTCTCAGCTTTGGACTGCAGTATCTGTTGCAATTTATTTTCAATTCTAGCTGCCGGAAAATATGACAGGGGAAATAGCTAAACAGTCAGACAATTAGTCTCAACCCTTGTCTAGAATTGTTCTTTTTTTGATTCATGGCTCATTAATTAGATAAGACTAGATAATCGAAACTTCAGCGGTTCCTGATGTAATTTCGTCTTTTTAATACTATCAGCTGGATAAATTATCTGGGAGTGGCTGGGGCTTCCAATAACTCTTGCAGCCGAACGTTGGCCAAGAGTACAAAAGCTGGCTGGTTGATGCTGAAACTGGCTGAACCTGATTTCAATGAGATGAAATCAATTTAGAACAGCATTTTTCTTATCAGAAGGGTATTACAAGTAAATTTAAAATACGGATTCACGAATAACATGTTTTGAAAAAAAAGGATGGAGAGTTTTCGTTATGGAAATATCTGTTGAGAATTGATCTTGATCGAGATTCTTGCAGCTTGGAGAATGAAAGGAGTCGATCTTCATGATCCTCCTCTTCCAGGAAGATGAATCAGTCACCACTTATTGGAGCAGTGTTTTCGTAATCCCAAATACATACATCAACTATCATGGTTTCCCGCTTAAGTACAGGTTACATGAGTTAATGGGCCAGGCCCATTACATTAGTCTTTAAGTGGATCCGTTAACAGTCTAATAGACCCACTTAACATGACAGGAAAGGCCGAAAATACAGTGAAAAGAAACAGATAGAAAGAAAAAACAATCCTAGAAAATTTAACAATATCATTTGCCATTTTACATCTCGTATTTGAATGGAACACTGACTTATGGCTTTCTGGAACGGTTTTTGAAGGAACCTTGAGTTTGCATGTCTGGTCCTGTTCTTTTGGAATTTGCTCCTTGTTGCATCTGTGGTTTTTAAATGTAACATATTTCTTCAGATCTGTAGTGGAAAGCTTCAACTTAATGGGATGTTTTGAGTTCACTACTCGTGCAATTGTTTTGGGAGTGTTTGTTAGCTGCAATTATTTTTAATCGGCATCAGATGATGCCGCACTTTTATGAATATGGGAAGATACTGTTTCTTACATAAAATATCTGTTTCGTCACTCTTTTATCGGATTTATCTTTCTTATTTGAGGTTTCTCTGTGCTATTGAAACCTAAGCTTGGCATAATGTAAATTGTCTGATGATGAACTAATAATAGTATAGAATTCTTACTAAATTTGTATATCACCTAATTTTATGTCCATTCTTTATGTTGATGCTACAGGTTGTATGTCTACTGGTTGTGATTCCTATTCTTTAGAAGGCTTAGAGGAGCCATTTTTCTCAAAGAAGTTGTCCCTTCTCATTGAAATACTTCATGAGTACAGGTTGGTATTCAACTTTCGTGAACCTGTGATAGCTTACAGATTTGTTACTTAATGACTAATCAGTTTGACAACTTTTGAGTTAGTTTATGTGGAACATTCCATTTTGAAGGTTTTTATTTGTACTTGTCGTGAATAGTGCTAGTGCAAATCCTAGGAGAAGGAATATGCGAAGGAAAAAATCACTTCATGTTCAGCTCATAGATGACTGTTATGTACAAGTACCAGGGCCAGAAAACAAGGAAACTACACAGTATACTAGGAAAAAGGTTCAACTAAGGACCAAACTTATAACTACTCTTTATTCACAGCTTGGATACAATACTTTGAAATATTGTAATACTTCATCCCTTAGTACAACGGCAAGTTGGCTTGGTATAGGAAAAAGGTGTTGTTGGAGGGGGGAGTTTCTTGGCCGATTGTTAGAGGAGGAAGAACCCTAGTTGCCTTCTTGTTGAGACATAGGCGGAGAGGAGAATAATGGCTCGATCTCATTAAGAGTAAATTGGGCTTGATAATTATATCATATGTGCTGGCCCTAATAGTCAGCCTGGGGTGGGTCCGTCCTTCCTCAATCAAAGAAGTTTGAACTGAATGCACCCCAAAAGCATGACATCCGTCAGCAGAATCTCCTTGCGTGCAAGAGACATCTATTGCATCGACCGAGATACAACATCTGAGTCGGGGGGTGGGGGGGGGGGGACACACGCCAGTGATTCTCTGAGCTGGTTGTTCATTCGAATAGGAATCAAGGTCTCCATACCATAAAAGGCTTCGCAGCTATTATATAATGAGCCAATTTAGCACGAAAAAAAATCATCTTAACGTTTACATTAGGGCAGGTAGGTTCTTCAGTAAGCTAGATTGAACCAAACCAGGTCAAGGATAGATATACAAAACAATTAAAATTAAAATAATCAATCTGCTCCAACTTTTCCTTGAAAAAGTGTCTAGCAATCTGGATGTTTTCTTCAATCATATTGCATTGGATTGTGAACGCTAAGTGTAGACTGTGTCACACAACAGAGCCCCATTGGTCCATCCCATTTAATCTTTAGGTCTTCTAAGATGTTCTTTAACCAAAGTAGTTCACGCAAACTTTGAACCATTGCTCAGAATTTATTCTTGACACGACTATGTTACCACATTCTTTTTCTTCTCCTTGTCACGAGATTGTCGCCAAAAAAGGTGCAATATCCAAAAGTAGGTCTCTTGTTGACCACTGATCCTAAATCAATATCTATGTATGCCTCAAGTACCAATTCTTTATTTCTCCTAAATAGAATACATTTTCCTAGTGTCTTTTTGAGATATTGTAGCATTTGGTGAGCTGCCTACAAATGGACTTCCTTTGGACCATGCATGAATTAGCTAATCACACTGACTCTATATTCTATATCTGGTCGTTTATAAGGTTAGAATCATTCTTCCTAATAGGCAATGGTACATCTCCCTATCTATAGCTATATCTTTCTTTGCCTTCCTAGGTTTGAGATTCAAATCTATTGGTCTTACTTGTTTCTATAAGATCCATAACATACTTTTGTTGGGAGATGAAAATATCCTTCCTCGATTGAGAGATTTTATTCTTGAGAAAAGATTTCAGCCACTAATGCCTTGATTTCACATGCCATAGCCAAATACTAACTTTGCTAGTCTCCTTCTTTATTTCTAGTCACATTTATGTCATCAACATACTGAGAGTTTTATGACTCTCCTCGAGGATGAGTCTTTAATGAATAGTGTGTGATCCCTTTGATTTTATATTTGCTCCATGGCAATCACGACTCTTATAAATCTACCAAACTATGTCCAATGTGCTTGCTTAAGTCTATAGAACACTTTCTTCAATTTGCACATTATATGAGCAGCCAAATTATTTCTATAACTTGGGGGGACGTTCATATATGTTTCATCTAGTTCACTGTCCAAAAATTATTTTAAACATTGAACTGTTATGACTCCCAGTCATCATTAGATGTTAATGACAATAAGTTTCTAATAGTATTCATCTTTGCAACTAGAGCAGAAGTCTCTTGGTATAACCCTTAGCAATCAACCTGGCCTTATATCTCCCTGTAGATCTATCTACTCAATACTTCACTATACATACCTATTTTTCCCCCCATAGTTTCTTTCTTACTAGCAGTCTTATTAACTCGTAAGTTTTGTTCTTCCATAATACTCTCATCTCTTCATTCATAGCTTGTTTCTACTTTTTGGTGGACAAAACCTCAGATAAGCTGGTGAGGATGACAATGATGTTTAAATAAAGTAATAAAGAAGGTTCTATGAGATGATGAAAAATGTTTATAGGACAGTAAGTGTGTCAGAGGATATAAAGGCTATTTGTACATTCTCTAGCCTCTTTTCTAATAGAAATGAGAAGATTCTTGTTTTTTTTTTAAATTCTTGGATTGATGATCCATAATGAGTACATCTTTTCGGATCCTGTGGATCCATCGCGGGATGGGTCCTTCGGGGGGTTGGGGAACGGGATTACATGTGTTATACTCTTTCCCCTAGATTACATGATGTCGCCGATATTGGTATCGTGTTGTATGGGCCAGAGTGCCAGCTATTGGGCCTATTCTATGGATGGCCATCAGTTAGTTCCTTCTGTCTCTTAGCTGCAGTTTGGCCTCCGAACCGGTGGCCGGTTCATATTGCTTGGCATACATCTAATTCTATGATTCTTGTTATCATTGCACATCTGAGTTTTAGGTTCAGTTCACAATGGAGGATTAGAAAGATACAAGTTGGATTTTAAGACTTGCACAGATTCAGGAACAATTGCCTTCTTCCTTGACTACACGTTTCCTTTACCGAATCTCACATTTTCAAGGTCAGTGTTAGATTTTTCATGGCGGTTTTCTAGTGTTTCAAATTCGGTGTTTAGGATGGACTTAGATGTCAGTTCAAGATTTGGCATGGACTCTCATTCATGCTTACACAAAGGAACTAGGAAGCAATACGAAGTGATGACAGATCAAGTAAGAAATTCCCATCTTTATCTTCATTGATTGAAGCCTCCCACTGAACATAAGGTGTGGTGAAGTGTTACTCTTGTTAATTTAAAGTGACATCCATTGAGAGAGAATTTCTTAAATGGAGGGTGGTGATAAATGTGGAATAGCCCACAAAAGTGTATTTTTGATGCTCTAAAATATAACTTCCCAGTATGTTGACCATAAATGAGAAGATGATACATACCCAAATATTCTGGGGTCAAGATTATTTGTAATTTTTAGGTTTGAATAAAATACTGACAATGTTTTTATTGGACTTGAATCCTAAGACTCAAGAAGGCAAATGAGTTATGAGATGAGTACACGTAAGAACTATTTCTCCCTGAAAAGATTTGACACATTACTTTGAAAAGAAGGCCCTGGGTTACCTCGAGTAGATAACCTTTTTTTCCTTTCTGCAGCTCCATTTTTTTGTAATGTTTTGATGCACGATGACTCATATAATATCCCTTCTGTTTGAAAGAATGGAGGCAGGATTTGATGAAATAGTCCCTTGCATTATCTTATATGAACCTTTCAACATTGATCTCTAGTACATTTGTAATCATGAAATAAAAATTTGGGAGAATAGTACTAGCATCAGATTTATTATTGATTAAACAAAATCCAAGTAACAAGAGAACGATCTTCAATAAATGTCACAATCCATCTTACCCCAGAAACATTGGAAACAGTTGAAAGACTTAGATATCGCTATGAATATGGAAGAAAAGAATAGAACTTCTTTCATTGCTTACTGGAAAAGGCATGCGTTTCAGTCGATTCTAAAAATATCTTGACATCATCTATATACCAATCAAGATAAAAAGCTCTTTGTTTTGGCATTTTTCACATAATGGTAATGTTTGGTATCATGAATCTCCGGACCCTGTACATGGAGGTGGTTTCAAAACATATCATGTTCCTTTCCTATTTATCTTTTGTACCTTGGTGCACACTACATGTATATTTTGTCACGCAGGTCGTCATCGATTCTCGATATCAAACCAAAATAACAATATGAATAGTAAGCAGAATGCGTGAGATAACCCACTTTTGCCTTTTCTTTACCACATGTGTTAAGCCTTTGACTATCACTAGTGTACTAGGATGCTCATAGAAGCACCTACTCTATACTTACCATAAGCACTCACTTGAAAGACTATCATCTACCATTAGAAAAATCTACATTTGTTTTTTTCCTTGTGTTCCCACCTCCTCATCTATCATTCCCATCATTTTGGATCCTTTAACCACTTAAAGAGAATTAAGAGTAGTAAGTAAAATAGGCAAATTTGGAGAAATAAAAATATAAGAGGATGACAAACCTGCAAATAGTACTGTACGAGAGACAAAAGATGAAAGAAACTAGAAGGCTAAGACCCTTTTGAACGTGATCACTTCAAATAGAATCCACCCGCTACTGTAATAAGTAGTAGACTATTCGTCTAATAATCATTGTTTATAGCACACCTTACAATACAAAAACTCGGACTTTTCAAAAATATTTCAAGAGGGTGGACAACAACATGTACTTGTTAAAAAGCTGGAAAAATTTCCCACAGCAGAGGATCACATGTAGGAACATGTTCCGAATAACAACTTCAGGGACATTTTTCCTTGTCATTGGATCAAGACACCCTTGTCTACTTGGCAAATTACCAAGGAAAACCTTTGAGAGCATGATGATGAAGTGTAGAGGGCAAAGCTAGGACAAAAAACAAAGGATTAACAACCAAGAAAATCATGTCTGGAGATGAAATAAAGGGCAATCAAGATTACGCAGGGTTAAGGGGAGGGAGACATCCCAAGTTCCCTAGCTAGTTTCTTGTTAATGATATAGCTAAAATTGTGGTAAGAACCTTGATCCAGATCCTTTCAAGAAGAGAAACAGGGATTAGGGAAAAGGGGTTTGAGTCGTGGTGACCAAATCAGTTCTACCACGACAGGCAGAGGATCTCTGTAAACTTCTAGGACCAAGTGTTTCTTTTTCTACCCCCCCTACAGCCGAGTTCCCTTATTTATAACTCTCAATTCTCTAACATCCATGTGCAGTGGTTGGATCCATAGAACCTGGGAGTTTCTTCCTTCTTGAGTATGTCTTGATGGGGGTTGGGTGGGTTTATCAAATTGTGTGAGAAATTGATTAGCCTCTATTTTCTTTACAAGATGACAAGTTTTCTCTGAAGTGTATCATCAACAATTTGTTCAGCTTACATGGAACCATTTAAATATTTTTATGGACACTCATTCTCACGGTCAGATCTCAACAATTCAACCTTTTCGCATTTATTTTTCACATCTTTTATATCATAATTAAACAAAAGAGGATCCTCCCCTAGAAAAGTGCCGTGTTGGCTTATTGGACTAATTGTATGGGAAAATTATCCACTAGTTCTAATACACTATACACAGCCAAACCCCTGTTGTGGACCTGATACTAATTTTTCTCCTAAAAAATGGATCAATCCACATCTCTCTCAAGGCCACTCCAGCCTCATTATGTAAACAACAAAAATGCCCCTTTCCTGTGTAATGCTGCAGTTATCTTAAGAGATCACCATAATAAGATGATGACCAAGAACACGAGACTGCTCTCTAGTCTGCCCTGCCCCTTCCATGTGGATTTTCTACTCAATATCTCATCTCTTTCCCACTTTCTTCTTCTTCCTTTATTCCTCATATAACGAGGATGGTATTTAAGCACTGGTCATGATTCAGGATTTACATCATATCAAAAAAACAGGGAGCTTCTACAGCTATTTTCTTCTATTGTGGTATCTTTCCCCTTTAGTAGATTGTGTTTTTATAAATCTTAAATTCTGTCTTGTGGTTTACCTCTTCTGGTCTTATATGAATCTTTGTTTCATTTCTTCCCATATTCACCACCCCTCACAAAATAAAAGCTAAACGGATTAGTAAAGGTTGAGAAAAAACTATATTCTTGAAGACTAGTTCAAAGTGTGGATGCTGCTGGGATTCATCCCTCTTCTTGATGCACTAAGCATGAGACAAATCGCTGATACTCTTAACGATTCTCTTCCTGTCCACAACACCATTGAAGAGGAGCTCAAAGGTTGCCACAGTTTTAAATAGTTTGCCTTCTTTCTCATTTGCAAAGTACAGGCTCGCAGGCCAATCATTGCTTTTGAGCAAGCGTCTTCATCATCTTTGAGCAAGTCAATGATCCCCTTTATGGGTTGGCTAACTTGAATGAAGAAAATTATAATGTGTGGATCATCTCATGAGTGATAGGAAAGTGTGTGGTATGAATCATGAAATTGAAATGCTGATGAGTTGAATAATAAGCATGGATCATCTCCCTCCTAAAGGAAGTCATCTACAAAATTTTGGTCATTAAACATTGTGACTGGACACATCAATGGAACGTATATTTAGGAGCTCGATTTATAATTGAACCATTTTAGTATACCTTGTTGTCTCCTATTTGTTCGGTTTCCTAGTTGTTATGTAGTTTCCTATGTTTGTGGCCCTGGTAATTGCATATAACAGTCATCTATGATCTAAATACGAAATGAGTCTGTCTTTTGCATATTCTCTCTCCTAGGGTTCGTACCGTCACTGTTGATGGCATGGTATCAAAGCCTCTAGAGTTCACTTACTTTCGTCTGCTGTAACCTAGAGTTTAGACAAGAGTTGCTTGTTTCACGGGAGTCAGGAAGCCTCATCATTCTGGTCACTAATCCACAGGGGAAGAAAGATGACGGAATCAAAGGTAGAGGATGGGTACATGCTGCATGAACACTGGGTTCATGCCCATTTTTTCTTCTCCGCTTTTTGATTTGGATGTGGAGCATCCTTGGTTTTGGAAGAGAAGCATCCTAGAGATCATTGTACTGGTTCATGACCCCGTAGAGCAGATATGGTGAGATCACTGTGAGATCATTGTAAGGTCTTCAAAAACCTTATTTTTGGTTTCAATAATTCGATTCCATTATTTATTTTCTACAAAGGCAGAATGAAAGACTACTTCAAAACTGCTACATGAAATCTGTGTTTGCATGGAAGCTGTTGCGTTGGTTGTTTGAGCAATATCTCGTGTACATTGACTTGTCGACTTTTGGTTATTTGGGACACATTTCTTATATATATTATGCTAGAAACTCGAAAGGATTTTCTTGAGTTCATCTATCATATAAGGCATGTTTTTTTCAGTTGCCATTTCTTCATCTTGTACATTAATCCGTTTATCTTTGCAGGGGGAGAACTAATATCAAATGCATAGTTTTTGTGAAGAGAATCATTGTTGCGAAATCATTAGCTCGTATTCTTGGTAATTTAAAATCTTTGGAGTTTTGGAAATGTGAATTCCTTGTGGGATTTCACTCTAGATCTGTCACGCGGAAAGGAATGAATGGCATTGTTGAAAAATTCAGTAGTGGAGAGGTAATTAAACGCTGTTATTGGACGCTAAACCTCAGTAATATTGTCAGTTTTATTGTGGTGATGCTGATTTCTTTATCGCCTGCTTTATTGTCTAGTTCTCAATCCTACGCTTACACTTGTAGTATTGAAGAAACTCATTTGCATGTTGCATGTTGTACTGTAATGTCAGGCGTACGGTTTTGATCTGCTCAATTGTTTCTCAATTGCATAGCTTTTACGGATGAATCATTTGGATTTGAATTGCCTGTTTTCTATCTGCTTTCAAATGGGGTACTCAGGTTCCCCTTAAATTGTAAAAGGAACAAAGATATAACTGGTGGTGAAAAGAGTGGCACCCCACACATACTTGTGGATGGAAGGGGATAGGGAACAGGAAGAAAAAAAAAACGTTTGCTGCCTGCTATACCTCACTGTAGCTGAACATTGTTTCCCACTATCAGATATGACTAATTGCTTCATGTGGAGAACTGTCCTGTTTGCAAAATTACTATCATGTAGAAACCATGAATCTTTCATGGATGAGGAATTGTGATGCGCAGAAGGATGCTAAGCATAGGCCTCAAAAACCGAAGCATAAAACACATGGTGACCCCAATGGGGATTTTATAAAATGAGGATTTATTATTAAACAATTTAAAATGAAATAGCTAAAAGTGAGAAAAAAAACAGGAAAATTAAATTAGGATCCTTTTTATTGTGACCCAAATTTGGTAATGAACCTACTCAGTCTTCAAGCTTTCTAGGCCTCTGGTCCACTTAAGTTGGGTTGTAAATGGGTTGCATCACGTATTCAAATTATAGATGACTAATGCATACAATTACTAGGACCACAAAACAAAGAAACCACCTAACAACTGTGAAGTTGACAATCTAAGAAAAGAGCCAACAAAATCTGAAATGGTCAAACTAAGAGCCTGTAATTGACTCAAAAAACAAAGAGAACAACTAGTATTTATACTAGTGTTTTAATATATAAATGTGGGGTACTTCGGTCCAAACTACTAAATGGGCCAACCTGACTCATTCTAGACTAAGACATAACTCTAACATCCCCCCCTCAAGTTGGAGCGTATATATCATAAGCTCCTAGCTTGTTATAGAGAAATTCCATCTTTTGACCATTTAGTGACTTGGTAAATATATCAGTAAGTTGATCCTTAGAGTTAACATTCATGGTAGTGATGATCTATGTTTGGATCTTCTCTTTGATGAAGTGATAATCAACTTCAATATGTTTTATTCTTTCATGAAATACAAGATTGGAGGTAATATGAATTATTGATTAGTTATCACAGTTTAGCTCCATAGGACTTGAATGAAGAAAGCCCAATTCTTCAAGAAGATGTCTGACTCATATAAGTTCATATGTAGTGTGTACCATTACCCTGTATTCTGATTCTGCACTTGACTGTGAGACCACAAATTCTTTCTTACTCTTCCAAGGAACAAGATTGCTACCAGGAAAGATTTAATAGCCAGTTATAGATTGCAGCCTGCCTAGTCTACATCTGAAACCTTGGACAGTGAGATTACCATTATTCCTATATAATAATCTTTTGCTTGAATTTCTCTTAAGATATCTGAGAATCCACATAACTACATCTAAGTATTTTGTACGTGGTTGTTGCATGAATTGACTCACCACACTAATGAGGATCCCTTTCTGGGGTCGGACAAGTGAACTGCATTCGATTCCCTTGAGAGATTATGTATGTTCATTTTTCTTTGAAGCATCTGCTTTTTAACATTTTATTGGTTTGCCCCTAATAATTCTGGATATGGCAGGTTAATCTTTTAGTTGCAACTGCTGTAGCTGAAGAAGGTCTGGACATTCAAACATGCTGCCTTGTTGTAAGGTTTGATCTGCCAGAAACTGTTGCCAGTTTCATCCAGTCTAGAGGCCGTGCTCGGATGCAAAATTCAGAATATATTGTTCTTCTGGAAAGGTTCTTTTGAAAGATTTTGTATATTTGTTTTAAGACTTATGTCTCATTTTTTTACACGGGGGTTTCTTATGTAGAGGTAATGATTGCTGTTTACCTTTTGCAAACTTCTTATCTCAGGGGAAACGAACGTGAAGAGCGGATGCTAGATAATTTCATGTTTGGTGAAAAAATCATGAATGACGAAATTTCTTGTAGAGCAACTAGCGAGACATTTGATAATCTGGAGGAGACAACTTACAGAGTTGAAACTGGTGCCTCTATCAGTACCGGGTGCAGTGTTCCACTTCTCCACCACTATTGTTCAAAACTTCCACATGATGAGTAAGGCTAACTGTCATACTTGATGGTAACTTTAACTCCCAAGCTGGATATAATTGTGACTAAGAATATCAAACAACATTTCTGATGACAGATATTTTACTCCAGCACCAAAATTCTTTTTCAAAGAGGATTTAAGTGGAACCATCTGTTGCATATGTCTGCCTCCCAACTGCCCTATTCGCCAAGTAGAAAGTTTGCCCTTAGCATCAAAACAAGCTGCAAAAAGGGCTGCATGCCTAAAAGCATGCATAGAGTTGCATGCTCTGGGGGCTCTAACAGAATATCTTCTGCCTGCCAGTAGGGACCAAAAACCAGAATCCAGAGAAGTGCTTTACGAGAGTGATTGTGAAGAAGGTTTGGTATTATCTTGCAGATTATTTCTGTTTCACTAGTCATAGGTTTATATGTTCTTATGACCATTGTTTTCAGGTGAATACTTGACCATGGGAAAAGAACTTCATGAAAAACTAGTACCTGCAATGCTTAGAGCTCCGCAGACAGACATTGAAGATCAATTCAACTTTCATTTCTACCTTATAAAATTCAAGCCTATTCCAGATGATAGAAAATATAGAGAATTTGGTCTTTTTGTCACAACTCCTCTACCAAAGGAAGCCGAAACCATGGATGTTGACCTTTGTCTTACTCATCGTAGAATAGTCAAGACAGGGCTCATACATTCAGGAAGTGTGATGTTTGATAAAGAAAAGGTAATGATGCTAATAACATTTTCCCCCATTGTCAAGCATCTCATTCTCTCTGACATGGTATTACATATTTGCACAGATTGTGTCTGCACAGAAATTTCAAGAAATGTTTCTCAAGATTATCTTTGACAGATCAAAGTTCTTTTCTGATTTTGTCTCCTTGGGCGAGGTTGATATTTTGGAAAAAACTTCTACATATTACCTGTTGCTTCCAGTTATTCCGAACGTATGCCATGACAAAATGAGCATTGATTGGACAGTGGTGGAACGCTGCTTATCATCACCTGTATTTCAATCAACAGGTGCAGATAGAAAAGATAATGCTGTGAGCTCTTTGGAGACTTTGAATCTTGCTAATGGCCCAGTAGAAAAAAAGGATATAATTAATAGCCTGGTTTTCAACTCACGCAATAAATTTTTCTTCTTTGTTGAGGATATTCTTTATGATACCAATGCATACAGTCAAATGAAAGGGTCTCAGTCATCGACTTATGTAGAACACTATTTGAATAGGTTTGTACTTCATCTTTATCTTCCTTTGCTTGATTTTTGGATGAAACCATCATATTCTCTTATGGCCTACTACTAAGATCATTTTAAAGAGCTTCATTTTCTTGCCAACAATTTGATATGCTTAATTTGCTTTCTCTTGCTTCTGACTTGAACACATGATGATTTGGGATCTCCTTAAAAAAAAAAATGTAATTCAAAAGGTTTTCATGTCCTTACAATAATATGCTTTTGTCTCTGAATAGAATTAATATAAGAGTGGTCGCATTTTTCTATCCAATTTATTTGCAACAAACTCGGCTTGTGATGGGTTCATGTTTGGAACGTGAACTTGTTTTCCATGACCATTGCAATAGTTAAACGACTGAAAAAGGTTTACATGGAGAATCATTTTTGAAGATCGATGTAAACATCATTTGAAATTTTCAAATCAAATGCAGAAGTATCTGTTGAATTTCCTCTAATTTGTTTGTTTCTTGAAGAACGACAGACCTCGTGGAAGGAAAAAGAACTTCTATTCACAACATATGAGGAAAACGAATTCAAGATGTTTTACATTAAAACATGGGTTTTTTATTTATAACACATCCATGGGAGAAGGTTCTAGACATAGAGCCCTACATCTCGAGACATGCAGGTGATGCTCATGTGCTTCTTTAAGTGAAGCACGTGATACACCTCACCCCAACTACTAACGCAGTATTTACACTGTATTTCAACACTCCCTCTCAAGCTGGTGAATAGATATCATTCATTCCCAACTTGGAGAGCACTTGTTATAGTTGAGTCGCAGAGACACCTTTTGTCAGCAAATCAGCTAGTTGATGTTGAGTGGAGATGTAGGGAATACAGATTTCTTTAGATTTCAAGTTTTTCTTAATAAAGTGACGGTCTATCTCCATATGCTTTGTGTGACCATGTTGAATGAGATTGTGCTCAAGATTAATTGCAGATTTATTGTCACAATAGAGCTTCATAGGACATGAAATGGGGATCTTTAGGTTAGTGAGTAAAATCTTCACCCAAAGTAGTTCACATATTTCATGCACAAGTGCCCTGAATTCTACTTCTGGACTTGAGCGAGCAACCACATTATGTTTCTTACTGCGCCAAGTAACCAAATTTCCTCGCATAAACATCATAAGACCTGAAGTTGACTGACGATCTAAAAGAGAACCAGCATAGTTAGCATCAGTGTACATCTCAACTGTTAATTTATCACCACGTTTGAAGAGAATGTCTTTTCCAGGAGTTCCCTTTAAGTAGTGTAACACCTGATATGCAGCATAAAGATGGGATTTCGTTGGCTGATGCATGAACTGACTTAAGAGACTAATTGCTTATGAGATGTCAGGTCTAGTGTGTGTGCGATATATCAATCGTCTAATAAGACGTTGATACATTTCTTGATCAATAGACTCCTTCCCTTCACCAACACTATGTTTGTGGTTAGAATCAAGGGGGGTGCTAGCTGGTTTGCATGCAGACTTTCTAGTATCCTTTAGAAGACCTGCCACATACTTTCATTGAGAGATGAATATGCCCTTTGAAGAATGAGCCACCTCAATGCCTAGAAAATAATTAAGACAACCCAAAGTCTTGATGTCAAATTCCTTGGCAAGATATTTGCTGAAATTTCTTTGTTCAATGTCATCACTTCTAGTAATTATAATATCGTCAACATAAACTAGGAGTATAGTAACTCCCCCTAATGAAGTATGTTTGAAAAATAATGTGTGATCAGTATTACTAGGACTTTCTTATGACAGTAGAAAATCTCCCAAACCATGCATGTGGAGACTTCAGTCCATACAATGACTTTCTTAGTCTGCAAACAATGTTAGATGGTAAATTTCCTTCATAACCAGGTAGATAATTTATATATATACTTCATCAGTAAGATCCCCATGAAGAAAGTCATTCTTCACATCATATTGTTGGATATTCCAACTAAAAATAGCAACGAATGATAAAATAATTCTAATTGTGTTCATTTTTGCCACAAGAGAAAAAGTTTCATGGTAGTCAATTTCATAAACTTGTGTATATCCTTTAGCTATGAGTTTGACCTTGTACCTTTCAACTGATCCATCATCATTGTATTTTATAGAATAAACTCATTTACAATCAACTACCTGTTTATCCTTAAGAAGAGGTATAAGCTCCCATGTATTATTTCTCCAAAAGCATGCATCTCATCATCCATGGCCTGTTTCCACACTTTCTTGGAGAGAGCTTTTGACATATTAACTAGAATGGTAATATTATCCAAGGTAGTAAGAAAGGTCTAATATGATGGAGAAAGTTTATGATAAAAAATAAAGCTTGTTGAAGGGAAGGTCATTGGATTGGGGACTAGTAGTATTTGTTACGAGACACAGCGAAAGTAGGAAAGGAAAACTGACTTAGCCCTTCTTAGGGCAGTACAATATTTATATTAGCGTCTAATAAACCTTTTCAATATTATGGAAAGGTCTAATAACAGAAACACGAAAAAGGAAATGCGTCTAATAATAGAAAAGAAAAGAAAAATAGAAGGAAAGCCTAATATAGCAAAAAGCTTGTTTTGCGTAACACTCCCCCTCAAGCTGGTGCGTGGATATCATTCATGCCTAGCTTGCTCCTTTGTTTGCAGAACTCCGTTGCAGAAATGCTCTTAGTTAATATATCAGCCAACTGTGCAAAAAATTCTGTGCAAAACATTCCTAGTTCGAGTTTCTCTTTAATAAAATGTCTGTCTACTTCAATGTGTTTGGTCTTGTTATGCTGAATAGGATCATGTGCAATACTTATTGCGAACTGATTGTCACAGAACAAGGCTATCAAATCTTTCATGAGTATTTGTAAGTCATTTAGTATATTTTTTATCCAAATGCCTTCACAAATCCTAAGGGCTATAGCCCGAAATTCTGCTTCAGCACTTGATTGAGCCACAACTCTTTGTTTTTGGCTTCGCCAAGTGACCAAATTTCCTCCAATGAGACAACAATAGCCAGTAGTAGAGTATCTATCATCAACTGAACCAGCATAAGCAGCATCGATATAGATGCCCATGCTAATTGTTCCTTTAAGATAGGCTAGGACTCATTGAGCAGCTTGATGATGTACCTCCCTAGGGTCATGTATCCAGTCTAGTATGGGATAGATAAATTAATTTTCCTACTAGCCATTGATAAGAGTCCTTATCTACTTGATCACTTTTCTTTGAAGCCTCAATACAATGTTGTGCTTCAACTGGATAAAGAATATAAAAAAATAAAAATAAAATTAAATCAATAAGTAAATAAATAAGTATAAGTAGAAGAGGGTACATGATGATTTACAATTACTCATGCCTGTATATTTGAGTAAATCTGTAATATACTTTCTTTGAAATAGGAATAAATTTCCACAAGAGTAGGCTACCTCAATTCCCAAGAAGTATTTTAATTGTCCCAACACTTTGATATCAAAAATAGCCGTCAATTATTTTTGAAGAGAAGTGATTTCTTGCATATCATCTCTTGTGACAATCTTGCCATCGACATTTACTAGTATCATTTGGGTCTTTGTATCCTAATGGAACCTCCATATATATTTCTTTTGAGATTTCTAGCACAATGGGTCTTTGTAAGAATGCATTTTTCACTTCAAATTGTAATAAGGACCATCCATAATGGACAGCCAAGGATATTAATATTTGAACTATTTCCATCTTTGCAACTAGAGCAAAGGTCTCCATGTAATTAATACCATAACATTAGGTGAAGCCTTTTGCCACCAACTGAGTTTTAAAACACTCAATAGTTCCATCAGATTTATACTTAATAGTGTATACCCTTCTACAACGCACAATTTTCTTCCCTTTAGGAAGTAGCACGAGTTCCTAAGTTTGATTCTTCTACAGAGCTAACATTTCCTCATCCATTGCTTTTTTCCATAGAGGGCTTCTTAAGGCTTCATCAATGTTTTGAGGAGTATCGTGTTTATCAATAGCTAACAGAAATGACCTGTACTGCAGAGATAGGTGATGATAAGATACATAATTGTAGGATGGATATACCTTTTTCTTTGTACATTTTTTAATTCCTTTGCGGAGAGCAATAGGGCAGATTTCGTTTCCTTCATTTCTTTGAGTAATAAGAAGGTTTTGTTGATCAATCAGTGAATTGTCACATTCAATAATAGAATCATGTGCATCTGTTGCGTCAAGCAGATCCTGTTCATGGTATCTGCTGTGTCAGGTTGCTCATGAGCATTTGCTGAGTCAGGTTGTTCATGGGCATCTATTGCGTCAAGCAGATCCTATTCATGGGTATCTTTGATTATCTTTGGCTTTCTTTGATAATAACCTCGACCAAATCGATTTGGTGGGGGTGGAGGTGCTGAAAAATTTATTGGTAACATTTTAGGGACTTCATTCTCCTTGAGAATCTCAATGTGTAAATCGTGTTTTTCTAGCACAAGATACTTGAGTTGTTGTTTGCTAGAAATACATGCTGCTTTCATCAAATGTGACATTAATTGTCACAATAAATTTTTGATGTCTTGGGTCATAAAATTTATACCCTTTTTGTGTATTGGAATAGCCCACAAAGACTGCCTTTATGGCTCTAGGGGCAAATTTAGACAGTCCATTTTGAGATTGATGGATGTATGCAACACTCTCAAATACTTGAAGAGGTAAATCTGGTCCATATTGCACAGTCGGATAATAACCCTGCAATAAGGCTTTGGGAGTCTTAAATGATAATGTTTATGATGGGAAATGATTAACAAGATGAGTGGCTGTTAAACATCACAGCCCTTGTTATTTCTAGCAGTTGCTTAATTTTTTTTCAGCTACCCCATTTTGCTGGGGTGTATAGGGGCAAGAAGATTCATGAACAATGCCCTCAGCAAAGAAATTGGAGACAATAGAATTGAAAAAATCCTTAGAATTGTCTGATCGGAGTTTCTTAGGAGTTATACTAAACTGATTTTGAATTATCTTGATAAACCTCTGAATGACACTACTAGTCATCTACAAAGATGATAAACCATCTGAAGTCCCTAACACCGCTGGATGAAGGACCCCATATCATAATGTATTCTGTAAAAAGGGGATTCACTTTTATTCCAGTAGAGGGAAATGAAATTCGCCGCTGCTTAACCATTTGACAAGGTTCGTAGATGAAAATAGATTCACTAATTGCATGATATAATTTTGAAAACAAGTATCTAGGTACTTTTAGTAAGCACCTATAATTTTGCTGGGATGTCCTAAACGACAATGCAGCAACATCAATTTGTTCAAGGGAGAAGCAGAAGCAAAAGTGAAAATGTTTGGATTGGAATTCATCAACAACGTCTTGTCCATACACCCTGTGTAGTAGAGTTCATCTCGTGCTCTAACATGCCCAATCCTCTTGCCCAAAGTTTTGTCATAGAAGAAACAGAAAGCACCATCAAATAATATTAGACAATTCAAGTCTTTACCCAATTTTCTTGAGAACAATGGATGCGCATTCAATCTTGGAACATGAAGAACATATCTTAAAGACCCCAATTTCTCAAGATGAATTGATCCAATGCTAGCTACAGGTAACAAATCTCCACTTGTAGTAATAACCTTCTGATTATTGGTACATACCTCATATGTAATGAATAGTGATGCATATGATCAGTAACTCCAAAATCAATGATCCATGACACTTTTTGGGGTGAAGGTGATGCCAATGATGAGGTATTTAAGCATAAGGGAAAACGTTAAGGAAAATGCTTACTAGCATGTGCAAAGGAGGTGGAGCTGATCATGCTCCTTAGCTGTTCAATTTCTTCTCTGAGTTTTCCAATCTCTGAAGGTTGAGAGGAAGTAGATCTGTCTTGACTAGCTCCTCCTTGAATCATAGGCGCAACACCATTTTCATTTTGAGCATTAGCCAAATGTAACTTTCCATAATTGGGTGGTTTGCCATGGATCTTCTAGCATGTCTCCCTAGTGTGACATTTTTTCCGACAATAAGTGCAAAATAGGTGTGCCTTCGGATCAGTCTTAGGATCTCCTTTGATGAATGGTACTTTACTATTCCCTTGTTTCAATATCTGATACTACTTCCCAAGCAAAGATTTGATTTACTAGAGTCTCATATTCTAGATTTAGCCCCTTCAAAAATTTATACAGCTTGTCTTTCATGATATAATTTCGTTCTTTAATATTAGGGTTCTTGATTGGTCTGTAGTGGTCGCTTTCTCTCCAGATGGATTTTAATTCACGAGCATATTCCAGAACAATCAATGTTCCCTATACCAAAGTCAGAGATTTCTGCACCATTCTATAAATTTGAGATTCGTCATGTTTAGTAGAGTGAACATGACGAACTTTGTCTCATAATTCCTTCACAGATTTTAGAAAAAGAAATCTATCACTTATCTTTGGTGAAATGTTGTCTAGCATCCAATATTGAGTCAGTGTTTCTTCTTCTTTCCACTGAGAATATCCTGAGTTGTCAATACTTGACGAGGATTGTGTCAGGTGACAATCTAGATTTCTCCCATGTAGAATAAGTTTCACATATGATGTCCATTGGAACAAATTGATTCTATCAAATCAAAATCTCTCAGCAATTTAAGTAGATCTGAACATACCTTAATTACTTCAAATGAATGTCCTAGGCCAGAGGAGGAAGATTCACTGACCCTTGTCTCCATGTTCTTCAGCCGTGACCAGATAGCCAAAAAAAATCTCAAACAGAGATTCCCTAATGTGATTTGAATAACAGTTTATGTTCAAGAAACTGAGGATGACTGCCACTGTCAAGAAACAACAATGGTGTATTCGCAGACGTCCACCACTGTTAAGAAATCGACGATGATGTTTTTGTAGATGTCTCCCACCGTCAAGAAACGAGGATGGTGTAGTGACTCTCCAAGGAATCTACCGGTCTGCTTACAACCAAGAAACCTCACGATTTCAGGTACTGCAGGCAAGAAGAAGATCACCAAGCAACACTCCCTACAATGTGAAGTCGTCATCACCACCAAGGTTGGTTGACCTTCTGTCGGCAGTCTTCACACAGGATCAAAGAGAAGGCTCTGATACCATGTTACAAGAAAGGAAAACTGACTTAGCCCTTCTCAGGGCAGTACGCCAATATTTATATTGGCATCTAATAAATCTTTCCTGTAATACGGAAAGGTCTAATAACAGAAACACGAAAAAGGAAATACATCTAATAATAGGAAAGAAAGGAAAAATGAAAGGAAAGCCTAATATAGCAAAAAGCTTGGTCTGCGTAACAGTATTTTCTGCAGGGATGAATGTGGTTTCTTGGTCATTGGTTAAGGCTAGTTCGGAGTCCTGGGGTGATCCAGAATTTGGAGGTACTCGTGTCCTTGAATAAACCCGACCAAATCTGAGTTTTTCAAGAAGCGGTTCAAGAAGAGATGGACTTTGGTCAGAAACATGAATTGGTAGAATAATTTGACTTGGAGGAGAAGAAACTCCTGAAAAAAAATCAGGTAAAGTGGGAAATGGCAAAGAAGTGTCTTGTGAGTTTTTTTGAAAGTAAAAATTGATTCATGAAAGGTAACATCCATAGTTAAGAATTTTGGAGTTGGTGGATGATAATATTGATACCCTTTTTGAGTTGTTGAATATCCAACAAATATACATTTGAGGGATCTTGGATCTAATTTACCTTTAGTTGGATTATGATTATGGATGAATGAGACATCCGAATATGCGAGGCTCTAATTAGATATGGAGATGATTAAGAGGGAAATAAAAAGCTAACTTTTCCATAGGACTTTAGAAACCCAAGGTTCTAGTGGGGAGACGATTTATTAAATGTGTTGCTGTTGAGAGAACTTCACCCCAAAAAAATTTGGGTGCACTTGTCTGAAACAAGAGTGATCGTGTAACCTCCAAGAGGTGTTGATTTTTTCTTTCTGTCAATCCATTTTACTGAGTATAAACATATGAAAACTCATGTATAATACCCTTAGCCTGAAAGAAAAGAATTCAGATCATTGCTAAAGTATTCCTTCGCATTATTTGACCTGAATTTCTTTATAGGATTATCAAATTAGGTTTTGATCATTGCACAAAAACATTTCACCGCAATTGAAACTTTTGATTTCTGCTTAAGAAGAAAGACACACATGCAACGGATGTAGTCATCCACAAAGGTAACAAACCATTTATTACTCATTAGATCTACGTTGGGACATGGTCCCCAAACATCATTGTGGGTGCAAGAGAAAGGGATCTCACTCTTTTCATTTCTAATTGGAAAAGAAATACAAGTACATTTGGATAGTTCACATATGTCACACTTAAAGGGTTTTTACAGACACCTTTTGAAACAAAGATGAAAACTCTTCATAGTAGCAAAGGAAGGATGCCCTAATCTTTGATGAAGGAGCTGAATGTGACTTAGATCCTTGTGATGTTCTATAGATGGATCCGCTTCCATAAGACAGGTTTGACTAGATCCCTCCAAGATGTAAAGTCCTTGTTTTCTAGCAACTCCAATCCTCAGCTTCTGAACTGTAGTTGAGATAACACACGGTATGGAGCTCTGATAGGGGCCTAGCACTTGTGGAAGAAGAAGTCAAACTTTATTTATCAAAAATAATTTACAAGGAGAGTGGGATCCAATATTTATACCAGATCCCTAGAAGGTTCTAGACATGCTGATGTAACATGAAATGAAAGATACACGAAGACATATATGTAAACATGTAAGGTATACAGGTTGTTAAGTGTATCTCAACAACACTCCCCCTCAAGTTGGTGAGTGGATGTTGTCCATTCTCAACTTGAGAATAATCTTCTGCAGTTGTGTACCTAAGATGCCTTTAGTAAGCATGTCTGCCAATTGATTATTTGTTGAAATGTATGATATACAAATCACATTGGCCTCTAGTTTCTCTTTGATCAAATGGCAATCAATCTCCACATGTTTGGTACGGTCATGCTGTACTGGGTTGTGCATTAGATTGATTGCTGACTTATTGTTGCAATAAATCTTCATAGGACTGAATAAAAGAACTTGTAACTTGTCAAGTTCTTGACCCAAAGTAACTCACATATTCCTTGGGCAAGTGCCCTAAGTTCAGCCTCAGCACTTGATTGAGCAACCATATTCTGTTTTTCACTCCATGTGACAAGGTTGCCACCAACAAAAGTAAGATGACCAGAGGTTGACCTTCAATCAATTGTTGAGCCTGCATAGTCAGCATCTGTAAACATCTCAACCTCTACCTTTTCACTTCGTCTAAAAATAAACCCTTTTCCTGGTGTGCCTTTCAAATAATGTAGCACTCGGTAGGCAGCATGTAAATGAGACTCTTTAGGCTGATACGTAAATTGGTTCAATATACTCACTAAATATGAAATATATGGTTGAGTGTGTGTTAGATAAAGCAGTCAGCTAATGAGATGTTGATACATCTCACGATCAATAGAAATTTCTTCATCTGCCATACACAATTTCTGGTTTGGATCAATAGGTGTATTGGCTGGTTTACATGTAGGTTTCCTTGTTTCAACTAACAAATCTGTGATGTACTTTCGTTGAGAAATAAAAATGACTTCAGAGGAATGTGTCACTTCGATTCCTAAAAAATACTTGAGTCGTCCCAATGTTTTGATATCAAACTCTTTGGCCAAACAATCACTTCGATTCCTATGATGATAATATTATCAACATAAACTAATAGAACTATAACTCCTCTTGTAGAAGAGTGTTTAAAAAATAGTGTGTGATCAACATTACTTTGGTTGTAATGCAATTTCTTTATGGCTACTGTAAACCTTTCAAATCATGCACGTGGAGACTATTTGAGGCCATAAAGGGATTTCTTTAACTTGCAAACAAGATTAGATGAATGATTACCTCATATCCTAGTGGGAAAGTCATGTAAACCTCTTCAACCAAATCATCAAGCAATAGTACATTTTTATCATCAAATTCTTGAATATTCCAACTGAAAATTATTGTCAAGGACAGTAACAAACGAACTGTATTCATTTTGGTCACCAACCGGGCTTTATCCCTCTCAATCAAACCATCTAATTTATATTTCACTGTGTACACCCATTTGCAACCAACAGTCTTCTTATCTCGTGGTAATTCCACTAGATCCCATGTCTGATTTTTTGCAAGAGCTCTCATCTCATCATCCATGGTTTAATTCCCCTTAGGATTGGATAGAGCCTCAGAGAGATTTTTTGGAACAGTAGTGGTGTCTAAGGATGCAAGGAATGATTGATAGGGTGAAGAAAGTCTGTGATAAGATAGGAAATTAGCAGCTGGGTACAAAGGTATTTTTGTACACTCCCTTATAGGTTTGCACAGGGCAATGGGAAGTGAATCATGAGGTAATGGCTGCATATTATCTAAGGTCAGATCAGAATCTCGGATTTTTGGTGAATCGTGAATTTCCCCTCACCTAGAATAAACCTTGCCAAACCTTAGGTTTTCAGGAATTGGATTCAATATAGGACTGGGTATTTCAAGGACTGAAATGGGAATGAACAGGTTACTAACTGAAGACAAGAGTGAAGAATCTACATGTTGATCCATATGAGCTGTAGAAAATAAATGTTGATTGCTGGATGGAGATTCTTTAAAATAAGAATCAGATTTATGAAATGTAGCATCCAATGAAATAAAAAAAATTCTAGGAGGGTGGTAACATTTGTATCCCTTTTTATTGGTAGTATAACCAAGAAATACACATTTAAATGATCTCGGTTCTAGTTTGCCTTTGGTTTGATTATGAATGTGAACAAAAGAGACAACCAAATATCTTAGGTTCTAGCTTAGTTTTAAGTTGATGGTCTGAGAAAAATATGGCTAATAAATCTAACAAGTGGTGGAAGCCTAAGGTTCTAGATGGTAATTGGTTGATGAGGTATGTGGCTGTTAGAACAGCCTCCCCCCAAAAAACTTTAGCTACATGATGTTGAAATAAAATTGATTGAGTGACTTCTAAAAGGTGATGATTTTGTCTTTCAACTAAACCATTATGCTATGGAGTATAAACGCAGGAGTATTCATGCATGATGCTCTCTGTCTGAAATTATAAATTCAAGTTTTGGCTAAACTACTCTTTAGCATTATCAGATCTGACTTTTTTAATACTAGTGCCAAACTTATTTTTTATCATGGCACAAAAAAAAAATCAGAATATTACACACATTGGATTTTTGTTTGAGAAGGAAGACCCACATACATCTTGTACAATCATCAATGAAAGTGGCAAACCATTTATTACCACGAATGTCATTAATGGGACATAGTCTCCAAATGTCATTATGAATTAGGAAGAAAGGAACATTACTCCTTTCCCCTTGAGATTGAATGAAGTACGTGTGTGTTTAGAAAGTTCATACACATTACATTAAGTGTCCAATGACACCTTTCGAAACAAAGTAGGAAAACCTATTTTCAAAGTGCTAAAAGATGGATGACCCATCCATTGGTGAAGTAATCATATCTTAAGGACGTCTCCTAGAGGTTCTAGAGATTGATCCACTTCCACTAGATGTGTTTGGTTTAGTCCTTCTAAAAGATAAAGACCTCACTCTCTCTAGCAACTCCAATCCTCCAATGATATACTTTATCAAATATGACACAGACATCATCAAACAAGACACAATGAGGTGAGTCTCTAACAAGTTTCTTAACTGAAATGAGGTCTGTAAATAATTTGGGGACATGAAGAATATTAGTAAGAACCCTAAGAGGTTCAAGTCTACAGTAGTCACTTTTCTGTTACTAAGGTAGGGGTTGTATTTGGTGAAAAGGCTGGAGGAGTTAGCCATGTGATATGTTGCTCCTGAGTCCACTACCCAATTATTAAAAATATCTCTAGAAGAGTCTCTAACTCTAAGAGAGTGGTGAAACATACCAGGCTAAATTGATGAGAACTGTGTCACTGTCAACTACAGTTTTTCTAACTCAATTTGAAGTCGATCTATATCCTCAATTTAAGGAGAAGAAGAATGTTGATTGATTTGGGAATCTTAGGGCTGACTAGTTGATAATTCCACTGTAAAATGTGCTTGACTGTCATATTTTTCAGTGCCAAAATTTTACCTTGTAGTTTATAACATGTCTCTAGTGTGATGTGTTTTCCTGCAATATGTACACCATAGATTATTACGAAAATCAGTCTTCATAGCTAATATGTTTAGCTTGATCTGTGGTTTTCTTCATAGTTTCTCCTTGTTTAATCATAAATGCAGGATTGTCAACTTCAGGCACTGACAATATTGAGATAATAATCGATTTCCTGTCATAAATTTTTCAATTCTCCTATATATTCCACCACATTTATTTCCTTGAATTGTTGACATGGATTTTGTCTGAAGTTCATAAAAATGTGACTCATTGTCTCTTTGTGAGAATTTCGTGTGAATTGTTTCCCACAAATCTTTGATTGTAGATAGGAAGAAAAAATGTCGGCTAATTTGGGGAATCATTGTTCCCCAAAGCCAGGTTTTGATTAATGCATCTTCTTCTCTCCATCTACGAAATTCTTGAGACAATGGATCTGGTTTTCCTCAATCAGATGATGTAACAACCCTCTTCTAGTCAATACCTCTTGAACAAATTATGACCATTGAATTAAATTGTATCCAGTCAATTTGAACTCTGCAGGCATTGCAGGAAGTTTTACGAGTAATCTTGGGCCACTTGGACCAAGATTAACTTCCCTTGTGGAGGTTGGATCCCCCACAGATAATGAAGAACTGTCTCCCACATTCTCCATTTAAAGAGGATGTCCAAATCCACGAAAAAATCAAATTTCATGAACAAATCTCGATAGAGATAAAAAAAATTGGTACAGGAATTGTAACAGACCAGTAGATCACACCTGAATTTGCTTTGGAAGAAACACAGGGAAGGAGAAGATCCTTTGCCGAAAGTGTATGGCGCCTGTAACTCCAACGGATGATGAAGAGAACGCTGACAAAGCAACATCAATTGTGACGGTGCTGAAAAGTAAGGTTTGAAACCCTAGAATGGCTCATATACCATGCAGTCGAGATGACACACGGCCTGGAGCTCTGATAGGCGCTCAACACTCGTGGAAGAAGAACTCAACCTTTATTTATCAGAAATAGTTTACAAGGAGAGCGGGATCCAATATTTATACCAGATCCCTAGAAGGTTCTAGACATATTGATGTAATAGGAAATGAAAGATACATTAGGACAGATGTAAACATATAAGGTATACAGGTTATTAAGTGCATCTCGACAGCATGGACCTTATCAAGGATAACACAAAGGTCTTCATCAAAGAAGGCATGATAAGGTGTGTTTTTAACAAAGCTTTTTATAGAAATAAAAACTTTGGTGAGGATTCCTAAAGGTTCAAGAGTCAGGTCTCCAATACCAGCGACTGTAAGAAGTGTACCATCAGCAGTAGACACTTTTCGGTCACTGGAACATGAGGTGTAGGTAATAAAATGATATGAAAAATTTATCATATGATCTGTTGCTCCTAAATCTATTACCCAACATTCAGTAATATCTTGGGATGGAGCTCGAAAACCAAGAGAAGAGTGGAACTCACCAATTTGATGACTTGTTGATGGTTGTGAATGTTGTGTTTCCATTGCCTTCAATTACTCTAATTCAAGGTGAAGTTTCTCTACTTCACTTGATGGAGTTGAATCAATATTTCTTGGGTCTATTTGTTCAGAGTTTTGATTGGATGAAGAATCAATCACCATGTGAGCTTGATTCACTCGATTCTCAGAATTCTGTGGTTTACCATGGAGTTTATTACATCGCTCCCTAGTATGACGGGGTTTCTTGCAATAAGTGCACCAGAGATTATCTCTATAATCGTTTTTCTGGTTCTTCCCTTGCACAGATGATGATTGATGGTTTACAGATTCCACTGATTTAATGGTGTGTCCTAGTTTGGTTAAAAATGTTATATTACCCGACTCTTGAGTAGACAACATTAGTTTTTGACGACTCTCTTCATTCAATACAATTGATATCACCTCATTCAGATCTAGTCTCCTTTCACGTCTTAGAATTTGATGTCTGATATGATCAAAAATAGGACTCAAACCAGCCAAAAATTGAAAAACCTACCTCATTCTATGAAATTTCGTAATATAGAAATTTCTTTGGGTTCTTCAGTCCCAAGATCAGGATAATAATCAAGCTCGTATCATATATTTTTAGGTTCTCCTGTGTACTCCATCACTGATTTCAAACCTTGAGTAATTGATTGAGATTTTATCTCAATTTCATATATGTGTGACTCATTGTTTTTCATCGAATATTTCATGTGTACAGTTTTCATAAAGAAAAATCTCTACTGATCTGTGGAATCATTGTTCCCCAGATCCATGTCTTTATCAAAGCATCATCCTCTCACTATTTTCTAAATTGCCTTGACACTGGGTCTGGTGTAGTTTCCCCTAGATGATGTAGCATCCCTCTACCAGTAAGAACTTCCTTAATATATTCTGACCACTAGATGAGATTATATCTAATCAACTTAAATTCCATAGGCATGGTAGGGAGTTCAATCATCAATCTTGATGATAAATGTCACCAACTGAGGTCTCTCCTCCTTTAGACATATGAATAACAACAAATCGAAATAGGAACAACTGCTTACTAAGTAGGAAAAACGTAATTCTCGTACGTTTTCAAAGGAAAACCAAGAAACGTCTTGAGAAGGGTTCAAGAACCTATATTGATCTTCCAAGTCCTCAAGAGGCTCATAGAAGCAGCATAGATCTCTTATACAGAAAGAGATAATAAGAAAGGAGCAATCATACCTGGATTAGTTCTGATACCATGTTGAATTTCCTCTAGTTTGTTTGTTTCTTGAAGAACAACAGACCTTCTCTTTGAAGGAAAAAGAACTTCTATTCACAACAAATGAGGAAAAAGAATTCAAGATGTTTTACATTGAGACATGGGTCTGTTATTGATAAAAGATCTATGGGAGAAGGTTCTAGACACATCCCGAGACATGCAGGTGATGTTCACGTGCTTCTTTAAGTGAAGCACGTGATACACCTCACCCCAACTGCTAACGCAGTATTTACACTGTATTTCAACAGTATCCATATTATAATGTTGTTGCGTCCTTGACTTGTGTGTTCCTATTTCCTTTAAAATGACTAGATTGAAATGTGCAGATCTATAAACCTGTCATTGCCTTGTACAGCACATAATATTATCTAATCTCATTTTTTTTTACCAGTTTTTTTAGTTTTCTTCAGTATTAGTACAAATTTCCATGTGCTATCTCTGAGAATCATGCGAATTCTGAAAATCAGGTTCAAGATAGATCTTGTACACCCAACACAGCCTCTTCTAAAGGCCAAACAACTTTTTCATGCACGCAACCTCCTGCATAGTTGTTTTCAGGATCGTACAGGTACCTGTGGATTTCCTTTTTTTTCATTGACCATTATGGTGAATTCCGTTTCGTTTATAGTAAGCCTGCATTTCGTTGTTTCTGTTCACCTCTTGAGCTGTTTTGTTGTCTCTACTGGGATTCGAATATATGCGGTATTATTTTTGCTGATCCTGAGGCTCCATCCTCACTTGTGACTTATTTGGGTTAATTTTACATAGGCATTCTTGTTCACTGCTTTAAAGTGGGATCCTTTGTACTGCTGTTTCTATGTTGTAAGAAATCTTACCAACCTTTCCTGAGCAGAGTACTTCTTGGCAAGAGTGAGGTCATTGAATCTTAAGGGATGGCCATCACCAAACTTGTGCATCCTTGTTGCTTCCGAATCGACCTTTGAAATAATGCTTTCATCGTGCCTAAATCCTATCCTTTAAGCAAGTTATTATACGAGTTCTAGTCTGTTGTCGTGCTACTAAAACTGCTGCATGGACGTGTACTTTCCATCAGAGATCAGGGAAGATATGATGCATGTGTTGCTCCTCCTAACATTGCAAATCAGTGTGGGTAAGGATATTTGACGCAAACCAAACAAGGATAAACAGTCAGTAAAATTTTGTCTTGTCAATTTATAGAATAGTTTCTAGTTGTATACAATCATCCTGGTCCCCAAAAAGGAAAAATGTTGGTTAAATCCCACAATTTCATGGGATGCTCAACCAAACTAGTAAACTGACCAACAGCCCAACCAACCTAGGAAACTGACCGACAGAAACTAATTCTTAACTATACTTTTTTCCCCACAATAATGGTGTCTGGACTGAAGCACGAGTTTCTATCAAAAGATATTTTATGTGAAGACTGGCTCCAATGCGTCGTGTACCATATTTCATGGCATCATTAAAAGAGTAAATAACAAGGTCAAACGAAACAGCGTAACTGGTTGTCATTTTTTTCTGGAAAGAAACTCACTAGAGGCTGTAATCTTTAGGTTGACTTGGGACAATCTTTGAGTATCATAAGAAGTGCTGGTAGTCATTTGCCATCCAAGGTATGGATGAATTACATTTGTATGGGAGTTAGTTTTGATAGAAAAAGTCTCAATGCGAGATGACATGTTGTAGTTATGGAATTCAATGATTTGATGGGAGCTTATATTTAATTTAGGGGATAGTGAGGGTACGTAGGAAAAAAATACATCTCAAAAAGTCAAGAAAGGATGATGTTTCTGTTGGTCTTCTTCTATTCATTGTCTGAGAGGAGAGGAGGGGATCGTACCAGAGTCACATATAAGTTTGATGGAGAAAGACATCAGCATGATCAGCAGGTGCTCTTTTCCACAGGGAGCAGTATCAAAGCAAGGGGGGGTTGGCTCGTGCTGTGGTACCTTAGGGACAACAATCGAAAAAGAAATCTTTATTGGTTCTACCTCCTCTTTTTTATGAAGAGAATGAATCTTTTTATCGAAGGATGATGTTTTAATACTTTATTCCATTCCTTTGATTCGGATTATCTTTTTGAAAAATGGAATCCGTTAATGAGTACTTGATGCTGAAATATTAATGCAATAGCTATAAATAAAGGACCACGATCTCCTGTAAAATGCAAAAGATTTTTCAGAGTCCAAGCAAACCCACTTAATATCTTTACTCAACTATGACCGGCCATCATGTTAGCAACTTGGGGTGGGCTTACTAAGATTCAGCAGTTATCTGCTATGCACGTGGCTACTCTAAAAAAAAATTTCAATTTATACGCATGGTTTGCAGCCACTTCATCATATAAACTCACCAAGATTGCGTGGCTACACCGTTTTGTTTTTGTTGAAATGTTTTCCTTTATTTCTCTTTTTGAAGTTAAGACAAAGTTCACCATTGTAAAGCAAACTAAAGAATTTTAATCCAAAATGCCTTTCTTTAAAACTAAAAATCGACCAAAATATTTGAGGTGAATGCATTATTCCATGACACTCAATGAAACCAGTGATGTAATGCCAGATTGAAAATTTGCTTCTAAAAAGTATCTTGAAATCTATTCACTTGCTGTTAACTGTTCAACCTTTTCTCTGATTTACTGGTAACAAGCTCACAACTATAGTTCAGCTCCCCACATACTTTCTATGCGTTATTTGTTATATCAAGACCAGCTCTCCTTCAGAAGTTTTTTTTTCTGCTTCCAAAAGTACGGTTCAATCTCAACCTACTCGAGTTTTTCTCATGACTCCATTCTATATGTTCTTTTTGGGCAAATAAATTTTCTATTCATCAGTGTATGATAGTTAATTTAAGAAACTTATTTAGTCTTCCTGAAAACAGAGGTTCGTGCGCAGAAGGAACACTTTATAGAGTTACCTCCAGAACTTTGTTGCTTGAAGATCATAGGATTTTCAAAAGACATTGGCAGCTCGTTATCTTTGTTGCCTTCCTTTATGCATCGTTTGGAAAGTTTACTTCTTGCTGCCCAGCTTAAAGATGTATTTTCATCATCATTCCCTGAAGGCAGTGAGATTTCAGCATATCATGTAAGTGACACCAATCTTTTATGTTTCCTCGTCAAAAAGGTAGGCATACCTGAATTGACTAATGGTTACCAATCCAAGTATAAATGTGGGAAATAATTAGTGCCGTTATGGCGGGCTCTAGGTAAGAATTATCATAAGGTATAGTGAATTTACCATGAAATTTCGTTTGCACTCTGAAACAATGAAACCAATTTTTTTTTTCTTTTAAAGACATTCGACTGTGAACAACTACATTTTTCTACTTAGAAGTGCCAAGCTACAGCTGAGGTTAATCAAGGCAAAAAAAAATATTTGCCATAAAAAGTTGTGGAGTCCGATAACTGGAATAATTGGTTCTAAATTTATTAAGCCATGGTTTTATCAAGAAAGCTCTGTGAACATGGACAACTTTCTATTGACTCTTTGATAAAGAAAGGGCATGTCGTGAGTAATTATCATATTATGTCTTAGTCACTCTGCTTTAAGATGATGAAAATTTTACAGGTTCTGGAAGCACTAACAACTGAGAAATGCTTGGAGGGTTTTTCTCTTGAGCGACTTGAGGTCCTTGGTGATGCTTTCCTGAAATATGCGATTGCCAGGCATGGTTTTCTTTTATATGATGCTGTAGATGAAGGCCGATTGACTAAGAAGCGGTCCACCATTGTCAGTAATTCCCATTTATATGAGTTAGCGGTTATGAAGAATTTGCAGGTATGCTTGTTGCAACACCTTATCCTCAGTTCACAGTTACCTTTTCATTTTTTGGCATTGACTACAGTGCAAGCTGCCTCTTCTAGAAGTGTCTTTTTCAGGCCTTTCTTCTATGCATAGCTGGTCTGGTTTTGGTTTGGAAATCTTTCTCAGATTTTGGGTATGCAGAAAGGTTAATGCTCCCTTTGGTTACTTTGGTGAATCAAAAGAGTGGTTAACAAAAAATATTTCAATACTAGAATTTAGAATGCTTTAGAACTTTTCTAAAAGAACTGCAAACCATGTCTTTAAAGTATAATTGTTTGAAATTTGTTCATGAATCCATAGGTTTACATTTTAAGTTCAATTCAATGCATAATATTCATTCCCATAGTTGAGATCCAAACCTTCATTTTTGTTCTTATTTCTTTGTGTAAAAATAATTTATAACCAAAATCGTACATTGAATATTATAATCATATATTTTGTATGTCATACATGAACATATCATTGAAGTCTATGTCAAGCCTGGTATAAATAGTTTTTAAATGAAAAGGATAACAATAAAAAATGTACCCTACAATTGAATTCTGAATCAAGTGTTGAGAACTACAGATGTGTGCTGGCACATGGATTGCATAAAAAAAATGTAAATCTACAATGCCCATTCAAAGGGTGACCAAAAGCAGTCCTTGAAATTATGTGTTGGCACACATATTTTCAACATTAACTTTCCAGAAAGCCAAAAATAGAAATATAATTCAGTAAAAAATAATTTTTTTTCCAAAGGGGTTTTCCACACCCTGCTTCTTAGCTTGTGATAGGGTCCTGATCTGAAACAATTGGAAAATAGTAAAGAGCACGATAAGAAAAGGAAATGGGTATTGAAATAGAGACCTAAAAGAGATAAAAAGAGAGTTTGTGTTCATAAGAACCCTTAGAACATAGAGTGGCTATTCGAGACCATGGCTCTCCCTCTTTAGCTTGCCCCCAAATGGTCAATGCCCCCAACCACTCCCCTGATCACAACCCTAATACCCTATCCCTTAATTGGGAAAAATACATAGTAATCCCTCACTAAGTCTTCATGGAAAATGGGGCTGCTGGGTCCATTTGGGCCCTTTTCTCTGTCTTGAGTACATTAGACCCACTAGGGAACTATCAGAAAACCCCAATTAGAAAGTCCAAGATTCAAGTGCTCTAGGCCTTCAAATTCTTTAGATCCTCTTCCTAGAGACAATTAGAGTTATGTTGTGACCAGTGACACAAAGCATAGGAGAATTTGAAGAGGAAAAAGCTTTTGATATTCACATCATAGATGAACTTTATATACAAATCCCAAGACTGAAAATGGGAAACTTTCTAACTACTAAGAAACCAGTAAACTAGGAAACAAGCCAATAACTGGCAATCAGTACAACTTCTTCTCCACACCTTATTGCATCATCTGCAGTTTCAAGTATTGCTGAGAGCTTTTTATGGCATTGATTATTAGGAAACCTTCGCACCTATGGCAAAAATGAATATTGTTAAATTTTTGTTATATTTCGTAGTGATTTTCAGTTGAGACATGTCAATATAATGTTAAAAATGTTTTCTTACATGGTGATCTTGTTGAAGAAGCTTATATGACTTCCACTAGGATATGAGGGTCAACTTTCATCAAATATTGCTTGTAAATTAAAGAAGTTTCTTTATGAACTCAATTAGTCACCTCAAGCTTGGTTTGGGTGATTCGCAGAGTCAATGAAAAGTTAAATTATAGCTAAAGTAATGATGATCACCCCTCTTTTTTTAAACATTTTTCTTCAGAGGGAGTTATTACTCTATTAATTTATGTTCATGACATCATCATCACAAGAAATGATGTAGTGGAGAAACAAAACTTGAGCCATGTTTGGCTAGAGAGTTCGATATCAAGACATTGAGACAACTCAAATATTTTTTGGGGGATTGAACCAGTTCACTCTTCTAGAGGTATTTGCATCTCCCAATGTAAATACCTGACGAATCTTTTAACGGATACATGGAAATTAACATGTAAGTCAGCTAGTACACCTGTTGACCTAAATCACAAATAATATATGATAGAGGAAGAAATTTCTATCAACCATGAGATGTATCAACATCAGTTATTTTATGTGATGCATACTCGACCAGATATTTCTTATGTAGTGGATACATTGAGTCACTTTATGCATCAGCCAAGAGAATCTTACTTACATGCAGCCTATCAAATACGACATTATTTGAAAGGCACATTGGGCAAAGGAGTTTCTTTTCAAATGAAGCGAGGAGACAGAGGTTGAAATGTATATATAGTAATTGTAGTTGGTATGACTCCCAATCTAGAGTGTTGACAGAAACCTCAGCACTCATGGAGAGAAAGAAAATCTTTATTGATCTGAAAATAACTATTACAAGAAGAGCGAGGTCCAGTATTTATAGCAAACCCCTAGAAAGTTATAGACATATTGACACAGATGCAGACATAAGAAATATGAGGACATATCTGTCAACATGTAAAGCATAAAAGGTTTAGTTGTTAAGTACATCTCGACAACACTTCCCCTCAGGCTGGTGAGTGGATGTCATCCATTCCCAACTTAGGAATAATCCTCTATAGGTGTGTACCCGAGATGCCTTTAGTAAGCATATATGTCAATTGATTGTTTGTTGAGATGTATGACATACAAATCAAATTGGCCTCAAGCTTTTTCTTGATAAAATAATGATCAATCTCCACATGTTTGGTACAATTGTGCTGTTCTGGATTATGTACCAGATTAATTACTGACTTATTATTGCAATAAATTTTCATAGGACCAGATAGAGGGATTTGTAGCTCATCAAGTAAATTATTCACCCATAGAAATTTGCATACTCTTTGGGCAAGTGCCCTGAGTTCAGCTTCAGTACTTGAACAAGCAACTACATTTTGTTTTTTACTTCTCTAGATAACAAGGTTGCCACCAATAAATGTGAGATAGTCAGAAGTTGATCTTCGACCAATCATTGGTCATGCATAGTCAGAATCTATAAATATTTCAACTTCTATCTTCCCACTTGATTTAAAAAGAACTCCTTTACCAAGTGTGCCTTTCAAGTAATGTACCACTCAATAGGTTGTATGTAAAATGAGATTATTTTGGCTGATGTATAAATCGAGTTAATATACCAACTGCATATAAGATATTTGGTCAAGTATGCATTAGATAATTTCTTCCTCTACCATATATACTTTGTGGTTCAGATCAATAGGTATATTAGCTGATTTACACATATTTCCCTCTTTCAATCAACAAATCTGTTATGAACTTCCATTGAGAGATTAAAATGCCTCTAGAAGAGTGAGTCACTTCAATTCCTAAAAAATATTTGAGTCATCCCAATGTCTTGATATCAGACTCTTTAGTCAAACAATTGCTTAAGTTGTGTGTTTCCATTTTATTTCTTGTGATGATAATAGCATTAACATAAACTAATAAGAATTGAACTCCACTTGAAGAATAGCATTTAATGAATAAGGTATAATCACTATTACTTTGGTTATAATTCATTTTTTTCATTATTGCTATAAACCGTCCAAACCAAGTGTGTGGTGACTATTTTAGTCCATAAAGAGACTTCTCTAATTGCAAATAATATTGGATGAATGTTGACTCTCATATCTTGGTGGAAGAGTCATATAAACTTCTTTAACTAGATTACTATGTAAGAAGACATTTTTAACATCATATTGTTGAATCTCCTAACTAAAAGTTACTACTAAAGATAGTAAAAGATGGATAGTACTCATTTTTGCCCCAAGTACAAATGTTTATTGATAATCAATGTCATATGTTTGTGTATAACTTTTAACCATCAACTGAACTTTATATCTCTCAATTAAACCATCTGATTTATATTTCACTGTATACACCTATTTGCAACCAACTGCCTTCTTACTATGTGGTAACTCCACTAGATCCCAAGTCTGATTTATTTCAAGAGCTCTCATTTCATTGGTCATGGCTTGTTCCCTCTCCAGGTTGAATAGAGCTTCTTAAAGAGTTTTTGGAATGGTAATAGTGTCAAAAAAGATAAGGAATGACTGATAGGATGGAGAAAGTCAGTGGTAGGATAAAAAATTGGCTACTGGGTAAAAAGGTGTTTAGTACACTCCCTTATGGGTTTTTGCAAGGCAATGGGAAGTAAATTAAAATTTATGATGGTTTTATCATCAGATGAAGGAGATGTGGATGTTTGGATATTTTCTAAGGCCAAATCAGAATCTTAGATTTTTGTTGAATTGTGAATTTCCCCCCTCCTAGAGTAGACTTTGCCAAATCTAAGTTTTTCAGAAAGTAGATTCGGGATAGAATGAGATATTTCATGGTTGAACGGGAATGAACAAATTACTTGTGGGGGGTGAAGTTAAGGATCTACATGTTGATCAATATGATATGTAGAAAATATATGTTGACCATCATATGAAGAATTTTCAAAATAAGATTTTGATTCATGAAATGTAACATCCATTGAAGTAAAAAAAATTGAGAAGCAGGATGGTAACATTTTTATCCTTTTTTATTATTAGCATACACATTTAAGTGATCATGGTTCTAGTTTTCCTTTGGCCTGATTGTGATTGTGAACAAAAGAAACACAGCTAAATACCTTAGGTTCTACCTTAGTTTTAATTTGGTGGTGTGGAAAATAGTTGGTTAATGAGTCTATTAGGACTATGGAAGCCTAAGGTTCTAGAAGGCAATTGGTTGATAAGGTATGCGGTTGTTAGGACAGCCTCACCCCAAAAACAAATTGGCACATAATTTTGAAATAGAATTGATTGAGTTACTTTTAAAATATGCCGATTTTTCCTTTCAGTTAAACCATTTTGTTGTGGAGTACATACAAAGGAGTATTTATGTATGATACCCTCTATTTGGAAGTATGAATTCAAACTTGCTAAAGTATTCTTTAGCATTGTTGGATTTGAATTTTTTAATACTAGTGCCAAATTAATTTTTGATCATGGCACAGAAAAATTTTAAAACTTCACACACATTGAGCTTATATTTTAAAAAGAATACATACATACATCTTGCACAATCATTAAGAAAAATGGCAAACAGTTTATTACCATGAATCACACATACCAAATGTCACTATAAATATGGAAGAAAGAAATCCCACTCCTTTCTCCTTGAGGTTGAAAAGAAGCACGAGGGTGTTTAGAGAATTCACACACATTAGACTTTTGAAACAAAGTAGGAAAAACTATTTTCAAAGTGTTAAAAGAAGGATTTCCATCCTTTGGTGAAGTAATCGTATTTTAAGGACATCTTCTATGGGCTCTAGGTGTTGTACTTCTACTAGATATGTTTGGCTTAGTCCTTCTAGAAGATAGAGTCCTTTGTATTCTCTAACAATTTCAATCCTCCAATGATGTACCTTATCAAATATTACAGAAATATCCTCATTAAAAGGCACAATAAGGTGAATCTCTCACAAGTTTCTTAACAGAGATGAGGTTGATAAATAATTTGAGAACATAGAGGACATTAGTAAGAATGTTAAGGGGTTCAAGTTTAAGGTCTCTTATACTAGCAATGGTTAGAAAAGATCCATCTGCAGTAGATACCTCAGGGTTGTATTTGGTAAAAATGTGAGAAGACTTTGTCATATGGTTCATTGCTCCTAAGTTCACTACCTAATTGTTAGAAATATCTCTTGAAGAAGTTTTAATTATAAGAGAGTAATGAAATGTACCAAGCTTAATTAATGAGTATTGTGTCACCATTGACTTCAATTTTTCTATTCAACTCAAAGTCGTTCTATATCATCTAGCTGAGATGAAGAAGAATGTCGATTTTTTTATGAATCTGATGGCTGATTGGTAGGTAATCCTACTGCCAAATGTGCTTGACTTCCATATTTTTCAATATTGCAACTTTGTGGTATACCATGCAACTTATAACATTTATCTCCATTATGATGTGATTTTCTGTAGTATGCACACCATAGGTTATCACGAAAACTAATTTTCTGATTTCTTCCTTGACCAAGCTAAGGATATTTAGCTTGATTTTTGGCTTTCTTCATAGTTTCTCCATATGTAATCATAAAATCAGCATTGTCAACTTCAGGCACTGATGACATCAATTTTCAACAACTTTTCTCATTCAAAACAATTAAAATAGCTTCATCTAGACCAGATTTCTTCTCACGACTCATAATCTGTTGTATGACCTGATAAAAAACAGAACTGAGTCTTGCCAGAAATTTAAACACTCTTCTTTGATCTATAAAATTCTATAGAACGTCAATTTCCACATGTTTTAATGTGTCAAGATTGAGGTAATAGTCAATTGTTGCCATTAACCTTTCAATTCTCCTGTATATTCCATCACAGATTTATTTCTTGTATAATAGACATGGATTTTGTCTCAAGTTCATACATATGAGCCTCATTTTTTTTTGTGGGAATTTTGTGTGAACTGTTACCCACGATTCTTTAATTGTAGATAAGAAAACATCTCAGCTAATTTAGGAAATCATTGTTCCCTAGAACTAGGTCCTGATTAATGTATTCTCTCCATCTACGAAATTCACAGAACAAGGAATTTGGTTTCCTCTCTATTAGATGATTAAACATTCATCTACTAGTCAAACCTTCTCAAATATATTCTGACCATTGTATCAGATTATATCTAGTCAATTTGAACTCTGCAGGCATTGCAGAAAGTTTTAGAAGTAATCTTGAACCACTATGACCAAGATTAGCTGCTCTCATGGAGGTTGGATCCCCCACAGAGGATGAAGAAATGTCTCCCACATTTTTCATTTGAAGGAAAAATAGCCAAATTAAGGAAAATATCAAATTTCGTGAACAGACCTGAACAGAGATGAAAAAACGGTACAAGGACCGTAACAGGAGAATAGATTAGTGAGGAAGCGAAATGGATTGATTTCACCTGGATTCACTCTAGGAGAGACGATGGAGGCAAAAGAACCCTTGTCGGAAGAGCATGACCTCAATGACTCTAGTAGACATTGGAGAAGAGTGTGGGTAATAGCAGCCCCAACTTGTGACGGTGCCAAAAAGGAATTTGAAACCCTAGGCCCGCTCTGATACCATATAGTCTGTATGACTCCCAATCTTGAGTGCTGACGGATACCTCAGCACCCATGTAGAGAAAGAAAATCTTTATCAATTTGAAAAAACTATTACAAGAACAGCAAGGTCCAGTATTTATACTAGATCCCTAGAAAGTTCTAGACATACTAACATAGACATGAACATATAAGAAACATGAGGGTATATCTGCCTACACATAAAGCATACAAGGTTTAGTTGTTAAGTAGATCCTGACAACACTAACCTTGTTGGATCAATGATTGACCAAAGATTAACTTCTAGACATCTCACATTCATTGGAGGCAACCTTGTTATGTGGAGTAAGAAACAGAATGTGGTTGCCCATTCAAGTGCTAAAGTTGAATTCAAGGCACTTGTCCAAGGTGTGTGCAACTTACTTGATGAGTTGAAAATCTCTTTAGTTGGTCCTATGAAACTTTATTGCATCAATAAGTTAGTAATTAATACTATGCATAATCCAGTACAACATGATTGTACTAAGCATGTGGAGGTTGATAGTCATTTCATCAAAAAAAATTAGAGGGAAATTTGATTTATATGCCATATATCTCTATGCACAATCAACTGGCAGACATGCTTACAAAAGGCATCTTTAGTATGGAGGATTATTTCCAAGTTGGAAATGAATGACATCCACGTGTTATTTTGAGAGAGAGTGTCGACAAGACACAGAGTCCAAAGGATAGATGTGTCTAGAATGTTCCAGGGTATGGTTGTTATGTGTATAGAATCTTCTGGGGTCTAGTATAAATACAAGACCCCCTCCACTTTGTAATTATTTTTTTCCTTAGAATAAAAAAATATTTCTCCAGGGGCGTGAGGGTTGTCTTTCCAACACAGCAGGCCTGGTCTGATCTTAAACAACCTTGAGTAACCTAATGGGAATTCCTAATGGTCGCTTGAGGAGTAGAGTAGATATGAGTTGGTCAAACAATATAATCTCTCAGTGTGTCTAATTCTGTAACTTACATCAGACTTTCGCCCATCTATTGGTCTGTGCCCAGTTGACGGATTTTATTTTTCTCAAAATGATGAATGTTTGCTCAATAGCCCAATTTATCTTAGGTCTTGATGGAGGGATAGGGACCCAATCTCTCAATATAATGATTTCCAGGGCCTGCTCTGCAGATAAGTCAGATACGAGTTCTTGATAATGTATTTTCCTTGATTCCCTAATTAACATGGTATCAGAACCAAGATTACTAGATCTATTCGGCCCATATCAGAACCAAGATAACATGGTATTATTCCAGCCTGCTTTCAGACATTTCTTCGGGTGATTGGGTGGCTCTTGCAGCAGCCACAAGAGAGTATGACCGTCTCACTAAATGCAGCTACTTATGAACAGTAGCTGTTGAGTGTATTGTTGTGAAGCAATGGTAGATGTTGAGCACAGTGTCACCAGAGGCAGAAGCCCTAATCCCAAATAATAAACGTAAAAATAAGACATGCTTAATAATGATTAACGTTTGGATCCGGTATTTCTGCCAGAACCCTAGCACTTTGATACAGTTAATAAAGAAAAAATTACAAACAAAAAAAAAAGAAATACAACTTGTTAGAAAAGCTTTTGTGTTCCTAATGAGCCTCATGATTTCTGGAAAAGTTTGACACACTTAAGCAGTGGCAGGTGTTATGACTGCTTCTATGGAAGTTTTGGGGGGGAGAAGATTTAGTTAGATGGTGTATGTCTTCCTCTATATGATTGTTTCTTATGCAAATGTGCATTACGATACCTTCTAAAACTTGAGTGCCTCTGCACGCCAGACTTCTGTATTTGGGTGACTGGCTACTGCGAATCATCATCTTCTATCTTTCACTAATACTAAGGACCGGATAGGTCCCGCTATTTCTGCTTCTGAAGATTATAGTTTTGGGTCTCCAGTGAAAATAGGCAAGTTCTTCATTTACTATTACCGATTCCCTATCATTGCTGTTGAACTTGCTTAGCTCCTCTCGACCTTTCTATAGATGGCCTCCATTTTGGTCTCATCTTTTATTGACTCTAAGTTTTTATAGTATTTCTTATCATCGTGATCTCTTTGATCTATTTGTCTGAGGTCCAAGACAAAGTTTCATACAGATGCACCAGTTGATGCAATGAATAATAAATATTCCATATGATTGAATGATTATGATTGCCTTGTGTTATGGCTTTTAAATATTATGAAGCTCCAAGTTAATTCTAATGTTTTCTTTGTAAAGATTGATGTGATACATTATAAAAAATTGTGCTCTTCCGAGAAATATATATCAGACCTATGAACGATATGATAATTTTTTTAAATTTTCAGTACGATAATAACTCTCCCAATGAGTAGATCTCAATGTATCATATCAACATTTGGTTTATCACGTTCAGAACACCATGCTCAATGTGATGAGTTTCACGTAGCAATATATTTGGCTTACATGTTTATCTCATTCTCCTGCTTTCTGGGAGTACTTCTCATTCTACACTTGAATCTGAGAGTGTAGCCATTGTCCACCAATGTCCATGCAATTGCGAGGTTGACACAGTGGTGCTTGACAACATCTTCATTGTGGATGTACAAGCATATATCAGAGAGGACTTGAGTAGACCCTAATTGGGGCAATGATGGGACAAATGCTATGGAAAAGTATGTGGACGTGTCTTAATCAGCCAGTTGCAGCCTGCTTCCATCAGATCTTTGAAAAGGAATAATGGGAGAGAACTACTGGAAATGAAAGAAAGTACAAATAAGTTGGAAAAAATTAAAGGGAAAGGGTAGAAAGGAAAAATTATTCAGTAAATAGTACCTACCCACCATGTCTCTGCTGCAGTCTTTTTCTCCCTTCGTCGACATGCTTTGGCTGACCTTTGCAGGAAGCTATCATATACAAGCCAAAGATTATTTTTCCGAGGGGAGGAGTTTGTGAGAGAGTTAAGAGCTTAATATGAACTCTAGTTGTTTTGTGGAACTGATGTTTCATGCAAAACACATGCTAACTTGTGCAGGGTAGCACAGAACGATCTCAAAAATGTAACAGCACTTTCCCCAGCTTACAATTGTCTCTCTACTCTCATGTCAACTCATTTTTTCTTGTGACTCTGTCTCCTTGTCCTCTGCAATGTAATGAATGTTCTACTTGTTTCAGGTGTACATACATGATGAACCGTTTGACCCATCTCATTTTTTCGCTCTGCGTCAGCATTGTCAAGTAGTCTGCAACAAGGATACCGAGTCGGGTTTGCATTCTCGAATGGCTGAATCAAATGCTGGTACAGTAAAATGCAACAAACGCCATCGATGGTTGCAAAGAAAAACTATTTCAGATGTTGTCGAAGCACTTATTGGAGCATTTTTAGTTGATAGTGGATTGAAAGCTGCAAGCGCTTTTCTTCAGTGGATTGGCATACGAGTCGATTTTGATGTTTTGAATATCCACAGGGTTTGCAAAGAAAGCTACAAGAACATGTCACTCAGTGATAACATAGACATTGCTGCCCTTGAAAGGTTATTGGGCTATACATTTCAGCATAAAGGTCTTCTTCTACAGGCATTCATACATCCTTCCTACAACAAGCATTTGGGAGGATGCTATCAGGTTCGTATTTCTGTCTGAATTTTTTTCAAAGTTTGTTTCTTTCTGTGCTACATCAATTTATCATCCCATTTATGTCTTGCAAAACTTCTTCCTCTTTGACCAGCGCCTGGAGTTTCTTGGAGATGCAGTGCTGGATTACCTGATTACATCTTACTTATATTCAGGATATCCTGACCTTAAACCAGGGCAACTGACTGACTTAAAGTCAATGACTGTTAATAACATCTCCTTTGCACATACAGCAATATCTTTATCCTTGCATAAATATCTCATACAAGATTCCGATGGTCTAATGGAGGCAATAGAAAAGTTTCAAACATCTGTTAATTCACCTGTATCTGCAGAGGGCATCATCAATGAGCCGGGGTGTCCAAAGGTACGCTTACAGCTCATTAAAACCTGAATATGTATACATATATCCATCAATGATTCTGACTATTATTGTGTTACACATATGAAAGATTCTGCATTTGACTCCTACATGTCGTCTATGGTAAATGCACATGGTCCCTACTTGTCATGTGATTGGAGACCCCAGGCTCGACTATCCACGAGTTGTGTGAGGAGTTGACTGCAGCACTCAAGGTTGTACTCGACTTGTGTGAATGACTTATTTGTCGGTGGGTATTTATTTGTATTTGTTGCAAAAGCCCTAATGTCTTGCCATGTCAGAAGGAGGAAGCCCAGTAATAAGGCACTAGGGGTCATACATGCGGCTGACTTATTCTTTGGAGTCTTGTGTCCCTTCTCTTCAGACTTAAATTCTAGGAACTTCTTTTCATGATGTAAATCTCACAATATTCCACAAAAAGTGCATTTCTACTCTACGTTTTCTTTATATTGTCCCTGGCCTTTGACTCCTAGCCTTTTAGAACTATAGTTTGCTAAGGCTGAGTGCTCTCCCACTTTAGGTTCATCAGTCTTAGGGTTTGTATTCATCACTAATTGCCTCCCTTCTTCACTCAACATTTTGCATTATACATGTTCGAATGTGAGAATATGTACTAAATTTAAAATCTATCCCCTCAATGCTTCAAACTCATTGCATAGCCTCGGAGGAGTTTGAAGATTCTATCTTCTTGGAGGCGTTTTATATGTCGTTTTTGATCATCAATACAACTTAAATCCTTCATGTAACAAGAGTCAAGTTCCTCCCATACACTTTGTTAAATGGCAAAAATAATTTTTAACAGATGTTGATCCATATTTAATTTCATGAATATTGTGGGTCATTTATTAGCATCCAATAGAGTCATGACGGTGACCAAATATTTCTTCCAGCATTTTTCATATTTCAATAACGTTTTGTGTAGAATCATTTGCTGAAGTTTTGGACTGACAAAATTCAAAATTCACGACATAGCTAAATTTTTTTCTCGAAATAAAACCTTATATTCTGGTTTTGTATTTTTCAGTTTTTGATCAACCCAAATATATACTCAATTTTCTCTCGTGCTTCAATGTACAGTTTTTCTGTAGCTAGCCATGTCGTATAATTGTGTTATGCCAATTAAATTGTGGGTTTGATCTAGAATCTGTGAGTTCACCTCCCATTGCACTGGTTTGTTTGTTGCATCCATTAGCTTTTTATGGTCGAATTGGATGGTGAGGTAATATAATTAATTTTCATATTCCCAACTCATTGTTGGTTCTCCCTAACTCCAGTAATTTTCATGAAAATAGACTATTAGTGGATCAACTCAGTATAATGAGTAGAGTTCAAGGATAAATTAGAAAACAGTGGATCATAGTCTTGAATAATCTCGCTGAGATATGTAGATTGACTAGAAGGAAGTCCAAATATTTCTCAGACACCTGATAGGTCCAGACCAACCTCCAACAAACCTAGTCAATCTTTGGAGGGCCTGCTCTCTTATTCCCCGTTGGTCTCTGTGGATACCTCTGAACGGCTGCTAGGAGACAATATGGTCAGCAAATATCTCCAACAGCTCTGTTGGGTAGCCTGGACCTTCGTTGGTGACAACAACAGCCAACAACCAGTGTGCCAATGATAATAGTCCAGAACAATCCGGAAGAACTCTCATCCCCAGTTGCAACACCAACAGACGACGACATACGACAGCAGACGAGTACTAAAGCTGCGGAGTCCAAATGTCATCCTCAAAAACAGATAAATTCAGTCGAGACAGGAGATAACTCACCCTGATACCAGGAAGATACTCGACTAGGGAGAGTATTTCTACTGCTGCCCCTGTGGATAAGGGTGTCTCCCAAATTTCAACAGGCCCATAAGACCGCTAGTATTTTAACAAATTATAGGATTCCCGCTCATAAATCTTTGATAAAAATCCCCCTCATCTCTCGCGAAATTTTATTACATTTTTCATCTACGATATTATGGCATTTTTAATAATTATATTAAAGGTTTCTGGCGTTATCGCGTTTCATCCTTTTCAGGTACTTGGGGACTTAGTAGAATCCTGCATTGGTTCTGTGCTTCTAGATTCAGGGTTTGACTTAAATTGCGTATGGAAAACAATGATGAACCTCTTGCATGAGACCCTGCGTTTCTCCTCATTACAACTTAATCCTGTTCGAGAACTGCGGGAACTCTGTCAGTCACGTCATCTGAAGCTGAATTTCTCCCATCGAGTGAGAGTGAAAGGGGAGTATAAGGTAGAAGTCATGGTGACTGCCGAGGAAAAGACTTTGACTTTTACTGCTGTTGACCGCAACTCGAAAGTCGCCAAAACAATGGCTTCACGTGAGGCATTATCAAATCTCAAGGTATGCTCTATTTATGTTTTGTTTCCTTTCGTGTTTCTGGTGGTGGCTCAGTGTTATCCCTTTCCTAGTAAGTTATTTAAAAAAGGTATGGTAAACCAGTCTCATCCCTTTCATGGCTTCATCAATAGCCGGACACATGCAGTTCTTTTGCACTGGAAATTATTATTAGTATTAACAATAATAATAATAATAATACTGGTATTAATCTTTTTTCATCTCTATATACGTTGATTCCTTCGGCGTCTTTCTATGATCTTGTGGGGCCCACACGTTGTTCGTCTTTACCACCACAATGGCGCAGGCTCTGGGCTTCAACCGCAAGGGTAGATCACTGAAGCAGATCATGCAGACAACCAGTAAGAAGAACCCAGAACTCATAGGCTTCGACGAGACTCCCGCAGTAACCAGCTATGCAGAGATGGAAGATTCATCGTCCATCTCCTCCAGTTCATCTGAAGACGAGGCCCTCGTCGCTTCACTTCCAGGCCCAGCACAGGAACCCACTAGCAGCCATGAGGTCAAGGGGAAGGCTGAAGAAGAGCTTTCCCCCATGAGTGTTGCACCTTCTGGCTACACCGACGGGATGACTGGTACTACCAAAATTTTCTCTCTCTTGGACCAGTTCCTCATCAGGTCCAGCAAAGCCAGCCTGATGACCTCTCTCCTCCTCCCTGAACTCCCCAGAAGCTCTCTGCAAGAAGAACCCAAGGGCAAAGCTGTTCGAGGTATGCGCGAGAAACTACTGGAGAAGACCCTCCTTCTCGTGCTGGAAGGAAGAAGGGGAGAGCCACCTGAAAACGTAAGTTCTTTCAGGAAATCGGGCCATGTCGCTCTTCGAGAGGGAGGGGAGTCCTCACTCCTCTTGCCGCCCTTCTTCCCTTGCAGGTTCGCCTTCAAGGTCATCGTGGAGGTGGAGGCGGCGAGCAGGACGATCATTGAGAGCTTCGGTGACTGCAAGCCGAGGAAGAAGGAGGCCCAGGATCATGCGGCGGAGGGGGCCCTCTGGTGCCTGGGGAGCATGGGCTTTCTCCCCTGACGGTAAGGGTTTGGAGGCCTCTGGTGGATTGCATCACATGCAGGGGTGAAAAAAAAGTTTGAAATTTCATAGATGTGGTTCACATCATGACTAGACTCTGTTTGAAGAAATCTAACCCAAATAGAGAGAGAGAGAGAGAGAGAGAGAGAGAGGGAGAGAGGGGCGTAGGCAACTCCTCATGCTCAAATCTAGGAAGGTGATGACATCCAGATGTGTGAACCTAAACAGCAAATCATCCCTCAATCAAACATCTACAAGCTGACGAGGACTGGCCTTCGTTCAAGCTGACATCTCTAAACATGAACGATATTAACTTTCACTAAGATTTGGTTGCATGCATTGTATTATCTTATCGTGTGAGCACTTATGGTATGTGGTGTTGAGAAGAACATGTGTGATGATCTCGCTTGTTGTGCTGAAAGTATCACATGTGGTCTGCTCAGTGGTTGTTGTGAGATCACTCGTGCACTTTGTAAGTGTAATTGGTGGTTAGAATCCCAAGGTTTCATTGACCCACTAAATATGTGGTGTAATGGGGAGTTGATCTCAGAAAGTCAAATGGAATCACATGTGCTGATTAGTGGAACCCAAGAAACCACTTCATGGATACTTTGGCAAGTCAAATAATTATAAAACCATGTCTCAACTTTTTAATCTTCCTCCTTTCACGCTCATAGATTATACACTTCACCCAATAAAGAAAGGAAAATCACTAGAAAACAAACTAAAAGAAAATCAAAGAGTGAGAGAGATAGAGAGAGAGAGAGAGAGAGAGAGAGAGTATATATATAAGAATGCAGTTGCAACGTATTGCTCAATTGGATGACCGGACATGCTAATTGAATATAAGATTTAAGCTCCTAAAAAAAGAAGCTTTGTCGAATCATATGAGACTTATTAACACAAAGATAATTTGTATTTTAGAGTAATTATTTAGATATAATAGTTGATGGGAGTAATAAGTGTTTTAGAAACGAATGTAGCCTGGCTAGTTCATCAAACTAGTGCAGCTCAATACCACTTTCCTCCTCTTGCTAGATAACCTAAACTTTTCAAGAAAACTTGTCAAAAGTCAACCGTCTTCTCAAAATATTTGCATATGAGGAAAAATAACCTGGAAGTCATTGAATTCATCAAGGAAATTTAGTTACATAGTCTAATCTCAAATCCTAACGATTTGAGAAAGATTTCTCAATGGGAGTAATCATGGCCTTAGAAATAGAAGTAGGGCAAGCCCAAGAAGTCATTTGATACCTCTTTTTTCACTTTTTTACTTAGATAATTTATTTTTTAATAAAGTTTGGAAAATAGTTATATAAGGTCAACGGTCTTCTCAAAATATTTATAAAGCAAAATGATTAGGAAGGTAATGAATTCAATAAGGAAATTTAATTACATAATATGGTCCTTTAATCCTATCGATTTTTCAAAGGTTCATCTAGAGAGAGAGAGAGAGAGAGAGAGAGATTTGGTTGATTCGTTAATAAGAAGCTTTGGACTGGAAAGCTCCCATATGGCTGGGTTTTCAACATGCATGTTCCTGGGCCAATCGTGGAAGTAGGCCCAATATGTAGCCCAATATGATTCCTAAGCTCTTTTTCTGGGCCGCGCGCGACTGGGCCGTGGTGACGACGAACTGTTTCCCGCCAAACCCACAGGTTCCCGCCAAGAGGTCGAAGAAAAGGGGTCAGCTTCATTCGGTCCATGAGAGAGAAAGAGAGACAGACAGCCAAACACAGAGAGAGAGAAAGAGAGAGAGATGTCGGGATGGGACGAGGGATCGGTGTTCTACAGCGACCAGGCGCAGTTCCCGCGCGGAGGCGGTGACCCCGACCAGGGCAACCTCACGCGCCACTCCGCCCTCCGGAAGTTCAAGGAGTTCATCCGCGGGTTCCATGGCGAAAAGGGCGACTTCCCTTACCGGTAAATAGAGAATCCCTCTCTCGTCTCTTTGCGATTTTCGTAACAGTCGTCTCTCCCGCCGTTCACTTGTGATGATTTTTTTCCTCATTATCAACGCAACTTCTGATTTTTTTTTCTTTTTGTTGTATTTGGCAGAGAGAGCCTGGTTCACAACCAGGAATATCTCTCTGTCGCCATTGAGGATCTCGATGCCTTCGACGCCGAGCTCTCCGATAAGATCCGCAAGCTCCCCGCGGACTACCTGCCTCTGGTACTTCTTCCACTTCTTCGTGCATACAGATCTAAGGGTTTATCCTTATATCTAGGGAGCTTGTCTTCAAAGTTATTCGAATTTTTCGCATGGTCTAGTTTGAAACTGCAGCTTCTGAAGTGCTCGCGAGTTTGAGATCTAAAATCGCGGGAGATTCCGGGGAAATGGAGGAGCCTGTCACCGGAGACGTCCAGGTCTTCCTCACATCGAAGGAGAATTCGGTGTCCATACGGTCTCTTGGGGTCAGTCAATATCCATCCCATCATTGTTTTCCCTTCCGACATTCATTTTTCTTACACATTTTACATTCAGTCGCTTTACTTTGCTCATGAAATGGGGAACTGTGAAGGCTGACGTCATGTCGAAGCTCGTCAAGATAGCTGGGATCACCATTGCAGCCTCCAGGGTGAAGGCCAAAGCCACCTATGTGACTTTAATGTGCAAGAACTGTAAGAGCATCAAAACAGTGCCCTGTCGCCCAGGTCTTGGTGGGGCGATCATACCCCGTTCATGCGACCACGTTGCTCAGGTATTATTTGAGGAAGGTTGAATCACATATTCTACAATTGTCTCGCCGTGCATTATTCTCATACGAAAGTTTTCTGCTTGGTGATCCTCAAATAGGCTGGGGAAGAGCCTTGCCCACTTGACCCCTGGATTGTTACGCCTGACAAGAGCAAATACGTCGACTTGCAGACATTGAAGCTGCAGGAGAACCCTGAGGTAGTGAAGCTTCAGTCTCAGCCTACGCTTTAGGTGTTTATAGTATCCTTACCGTTTTTTGGCTTCTTTGAAGGATGTCCCGACAGGGGAACTGCCGAGGAACATGCTACTTTCAGTCGACCGTCATCTCGTTCAGACAATTGTTCCTGGGACAAGGCTGACTGTCATGGGCATTTATAGCGTGTTCCAAGCATCTTCTACGTATGTTCATGATTTTTCCATCTGGGTTTATTTATTTCTTTTTTGTTGACCGTAGCCCTGCTTTTGAATTACGCAACGTTACATCGGTGTGAATATTTTCACTACAGCCAAAAAGGTGCAGTTGGTGTCAGGCAGCCTTACATCAGGGTTGTAGGGCTAGAACAGACCAGGGAATCGAATTCAGGGTCTTCTTCCAACTTCACAATAGATGAGGTGAGGCCCATGGTACTCCCTGGTTGATCCCCTTAGAAGGTAACCAAAGCTAAATGCCGTTGGCATTATCAGGAACTGGAGTTTAAGGAATTTGCACAGAGACCTGATGCTTATCGAAGGGTATGCTCGATGATTGGTCCTTCCATTTATGGGCATGATGATGTGAAGAAAGCTATAGGATGCTTGTTGTTTGGAGGGTCAAGGAAGGTAACAGACGGAACTGTTCTTCTTTTAGATTCGAGCATCAAACAAAATGGTTCACCTTTCTCCACTTAAATACAGCGGCTTCCAGATGGTGTTCGACTAAGGGGAGACATACATGTCCTATTACTGGGTGATCCGTCAACTGCGAAGTCACAGGTTTCCTTTTTTAACTTGACTTTGAATACCTTTTCAACCCGCGCTTCCGTAAACACAGCACAAATTGTGTCGTGGAGATTGACATTTCCTGCAGATAAATTACCGAAGTAATGTTATTTTATATTTTAATTTCTTAGTGTTCACTGCTGACATCTATCTATCGAAGCGTACAACTTTAAGGGTGGACATTTAACAGATTGGATTAAACATGTCTAACTGGCGATGAAGTAATGTAGTTGGACACAAACCTTTGGGTGTTGCTTGTATAATAGAATGTTGTTTTTTGTTGCCGTTTACATGACTTGTTCTTGGCATATGAACATTAATATGTTAGTCTCCTCAAGTACAGACAATTTGACCAAATTTTGGGACCCTGCTTTCTGAACACACTTTTCTGCCGCGAGATGTGTAATTAACACCCTCAGTATAATTTATTTTTATCGATCATTCTTGTCTTGTCATTTCCTTGCAGATCTGTTTTTTAAAATCTCATTACTTCGTGTGGTTATCTCACATCAAAATCCTTTCTTTGTGAAGTTTCTCAAGTTTGTTGAGAAGACAGCTCCTGTGGCTGTCTACACGTCGGGAAAAGGATCATCTGCTGCTGGTTTAACAGCATCGGTAATCCGTGACAGCAGCTCTGTAAGTCCTCTGATTCATTCTGGCTGGCTACTTCCGAATAAAAAAATCTAGCGATTTGACAGCCTGGATCCAATAATCATCAACTTACTGAGGACCCAGAGAATGTGCCTCGCTGTAACATAGTCATTGCATCTCAAATCTGCGTGTCTTCAGCGTGAATTTTATCTAGAAGGAGGGGCAATGGTTCTTGCCGACGGAGGAGTCGTCTGTATTGACGAATTTGACAAAATGAGGCCAGAAGACAGGTGAGCATTATCTCACTTGAAGGTTGTGATTATTCGTCTGTCTAGCGGTTATTCAGCCATCTCTCATACCCTGTGGGGAATCCTTGTCTGTTTTCTGCGTACAGGGTTGCTATTCATGAAGCCATGGAGCAGCAGACGATTTCTATCGCCAAGGCGGGAATAACCACCGTGCTGAACTCTAGAACCTCGATACTCGCTGCTGCTAACCCTCCATCTGGACGATATGACGACCTGAAGGTGAGTGAAAGCTTCTGGCGCTATTCAGTTTCATATCTTGGGGTAGATTATGAGAGTTTCTCCCATCGATAGTGCTTCATAGAAACGAAGAATCCTTCGGGTGTAGTTTTCTGTGTCTAAAAGGTGTTGAGATGAGTTTGTTAACTGTTACTAAGAAAAAAATATCATCGCAGACTGCACAGGACAACATCGATTTGCAGACGACAATTCTCTCCAGATTCGATCTGATCTTCATTGTGAAAGATATCAGACGGTACAACGAAGACATGGTGACCCCCCCCCTTCTACCGTTTCCTCTCTGAGCTGATGTTTTCAACCCCCACTTAGGCGGCAGCTGACATTCTTCATGTCCATCTCAGCTTATAGCGAGCCATATTATAAAGGTTCACACCAGCGGAGCAGCCGCCTCCAAGAGCACAGAATCCATGGAGGGAGAGAACTGGCTGAAGAGGTGAACATCGCCATGGCTGGAATCCTCCAGGCCTCCTGCAACACCCTTTTACCCCCATCATCTGCCCTAAAATTGGTCTTCTCGCTGATCACAGGTACATCGAATACTGCCGGATCAAGTGCCAGCCGCGGCTGTCAGAGAAGGCAGCTGAAATGCTGCAGACCAAATATGTTGGCATCAGACAGGTTAAACCTCGAGACCCTTCCTAGAGAGCTTCCCTTCAGACCCACTGGTCTCATTCTCTTTCGTTCTGGTTGGATGTTCAGCGGATGAGGCAGCAAGCTAATGAATCTGGGAGGTCTTCTGCTGTACCCATTACCGTCAGGCAGCTGGAGGCCATAATCAGACTGAGCGAGTCCCTTGCGAGGATGAGGCTGTAAGTTATTTTCTCTCGCAATAAAAAAATATATTATTTGCTTATTTTGAGGAGCTTGAAAATTATGAAAAATGGCGTTGACTTTTTATTGAAATCACGCCCGCAGGACCCACGTTGCGACAGAGGAGCACGTTGAGGAGGCCTTCCGACTGTTCAACGTCTCCACGATGGACGCCGCGAGGTCTGGGATCAACGATCACCTGAACCCCTCGCCCGAGATGGCCAACGAGATCAAGGTAGAAGTCAACGAGTTGACTCCTATGACCACGTTGATACTTCTGTGGCTGCTCTTCTGGCTGACTTTTTTTTTTCTGTTCCCTTTTCAAAATGTATGATCAGCAAGCGGAGACTATGATCAAGAGGAGAATGGGCATCGGCAGCCACATCTCAGAGAGGCGCCTCATTGACGAGCTCACTAGAATGGGCATGAACGAGGCCATCGTAAGCGACAGCCAGAAAGAAACACCCCCTCCCCCTCTCCTCTTCAAGGCCGAAGTAGACTTTTTGATAGGGGAGTTGACTTTGTCTTACTTTCTACAGGTGAGGAGGGCCCTGCTGATCATGGCCCAGCGAGACGAGGTGGAGTACAAGCGCGAGAGGCACGTCGTCGTGCGGAAGGCCTGATCAGGCGCGTTGCATCCGGCGGATGGCAGCGGCTCTGCCTGTTGCAACCCGAAGAACATGGAAGAGGGGAGAGAGCATATGTATATAGTTTCGTGAGATTCCCGTCTAATATTCGAATCTTAAGACAGCATCTAGAGATATATGACGCTTTCGGCCGGCCACAAGACAAGAGCAAGATTCGGGCATGACTTTTTACATCCAAATCTTGTAGGGCCCACACGGCCCCTTTCAACCCCCATGGAAACAAGGTCAAACTTGTACGTGGTGTTGACTTTTGCCGCCCACGGCATATGATGTCGTCTGTGATTCTTATCCCATTTTAGGAAAGTGACAATTATTCCTGGGTGGCGTCTCATCTCAATCCTACACAAAAACATATACAAGCCAAGCCAAGCTGCAGGGTGGCAGGAAGGGGAAAGCCTTTTTCACCCCAAGGGGAAAAAGTCAAACTTGTACTTGGGGTTGGCTTTTGCCGCCCACAGCCAAATCCAAGATGTCGTCTGCAATTCTTATCCCATATCAGGAAAGTGGCAGTTATTCGGGATGGTGCAGCCTCATCTCAATTCTACACAAAAAGATAGACAAGCCAAGCCAAGCCATGCTGGAGGGTGGTAGGAAGTGAAGCCTTTCTCCAGGGAAAACTTTTACCACGCGGCGGTGACGATGATCCACGTGGAGAGTTGACTTGCTCCCCATCCGAAGAAGCCGGAGAGAGCACGTCAGGGCTCCACGTGGCGGAGCTACTGCGACCACATGTATATCTGGCCGCCGGCGGTGGCGCCGGCGAGGAGGCCGACTCTGTGAGGGTGCGCAGCAAACCGGCAGGGTATCGCCGTCATGAGAGGGCTCTCCAGAGCCGTCCTCGTCTTGTCCACTGTGGAGATGACGTCAACTGCCCGCTTCATGTTCCCCATGAAGAGGAACCTGTCGTCCCACCCCCAGATCGCCCTGCCGCAGAAAACAATGGGACCCTCAATCGTTACCACTGAGGGAACCGAGCTAAGAACAGAGCCATCCACATTCTCTGATCATGAAGAGGAAAATACTAGCCATCACAGTCGTGGGCAATACTTGAGAAACCGGAGGATGCGGAGTCAAAAACTAGGAAAGTCAACCACTGGGGTTATTTAAGGTGTGGAGGACGAATCAGAGATCGAATGTGTTACATCATTATATGTCCATCATTGATTGAGATTCGTAACATCTCTCTCTTCTTGGATGAGAATTAAAACGACAGAAGTATCTTTCTAGTTTTTTTTCTCAGCGTGTTTATAGACAGCACTTTTCACTACATATTGACTTTTTTAGGTTTCTTGCATGCCAAATAATCATAAAAAATATTGCACCAGTCAACCCTAAAAGAATTACACGTTCTTTTATCATCACGACTACTATTGAGATGAAAGGCACGTTAGAACACACAGGGGTACTAATTGTATTGATAAATTGCATTGTCCCGACAAGAGCAGATAAGTACATTAGTCAACGTACCTGAAGGAAGAAAGCCACCTGCCTGTCTGATTGAAGTGGCTTATCATAGTCGAATTGTCAAAGTTTGGACCGCTGAGGATTCCAACTGTATCATCAATACTGCAACCAAAAGAATGGCGTGCCATTGAGTTACTTGTTTTTTCTTGATACCATGGGTCAAATGGCAGAGATAAAACCAACTGCAGTTTTGATACTTAAACTCAGAGCGATAAGAAATCCATTTCTTCGATGAATCCAGCAAAAGTACCTGCGGATCCTCATGTGAATTCAATATAAAAAACCATCCTGGCGGACGTACCTCGTTGTTGCAAGAGAAGCTCCACTGGGTGAGAAATAAGCGGAATGAACAGCTCTTGCATGCCGTACAGTTCTGATTCCTTCCGGTTTTTTGGCACGAATTTTTCTCAAATCCCATATGCACGCAACACCATCGGTAGAACTCGTAGCCATCAGATTAGTATTTTCCCTGCTAAAATCTATGGTGTTGATCCGCTGGTCATGCAAGACCCAGGAATTGGAGACTTTCCCAGCTTTCTCATCCCACGCTTTCAATTCACCAGGACCCTCGCCAAAGTATATGGACTTGGCATCGTTTGGTTGATGGGATAAAGAGAAAACGGCCTCCTCAGTGGAATATATCATATTAAACAGATTCTCCTCCACGTCCATTAATCGGATGAAGCCATCATAGCTGCAGGAAAAAATCTGCACACATGATTGGTAAGCCATTACATTGTAGAATTAATATCGACTGTACCCAAAAGCTGAGCACGAAGAGATATCCAAAAGCAAAATGCAAATCGCAGGCAACCCAAACATTAAGTATGTTCACGATCTCTACAAGAAATGCAGGAAAGTTGTTATTTTCATCTCATTTCTCTGAGTTGAGGTAAGCGTCTCCATGCTAGAATTAGAGAAAGATCATTGTCCCTGTAGCATCCCTGGCGATGGCATAGCGGCCGCGTAGTTCGTAATCCTAAGCTAAGGAGAAAAAGCAAAATATTCCATTGGGTTTCAGCCAGTCATACCTTGGACAGAGAGAAGGGATGAAATGAAATCCCCGAAACCGGCGCCGTGTGCGGAGCAAAAATGTACGAGCCATCACCCGCGCCCTCCCCAAAATCGCCATCCCAGAAACCTAGATGCCCGAGCTTATCTCCGGCAGCCACCACCCTCCGGTCGCCGAATGGAAAGAAACAAACAGTCAGAATCCTCCCGGGAAGCAATCTCCTCACATTTTCCGGGACCAGCGTAAGCGACGTCGCTGGATCCCACGATCCCCCACTTTCCTCCACACGCTTCCTCCTCCGGTGCAGGGGCGCATTCTCCTCCATGCCGGAAATCGTGCTGGTAAGGTGCCCGGCCAAAGACGGTGACCCTACGAATGCCTCCTCCATCGGCAGAGGGCCCTTCTTCTTGGCGGGGCTCACCACCTTAGAGGAAGAGGACGGCGCAGGAAGATCGGAAGCCTCCCGGGATTGCTCCGGCGGGATACCGCGGCACCGGAGGGAGCGACGGATGACGACCGCCGGCTGGTGCGGTTTGGCCGGCCGGTGGGGCCTGGCCTTGGAGGCCTTAACGATGGCTGACAGGTCCTCGGCTTTGCGCTTGAGGGACGCTATCATCTCCTCGTTGCGCCGTATATTCTCCATCCTCCGCCGTTCATACTCGGTGAGGGCCGCCGTCGCCATCGCCGCCCGATGCAGAGGAACACAGCCACCGAACCAGAGACGGGAGAGAGAGAGAGAGAGAGAGAGCTGAGAGAGGAGACGAGAGCGCTTCCACCGAGGGCAGCGGGAAAAGTAGAGAAAATGGCGGGAACGGAGACGCCGCCACGGCGACAAAAACCGCATTCGGTGCGAGACTGGCGCGAGTCGGTCCACCGAAGTCGGGCCCGAATCGTTCCTCTCGGCCGATCCCAAGCGGACCGGGGTGCTCCCCGCGAACTCAGTAAATAAAATCATTGTTTAAGCGCGATATCATATTTCTCAATATATTAATTTCTACTACTTTCGGGTATTGCTAATTTATTAATCCTGTTTTAACGCGATTTCGCATTTCCTAATTTATTAATTTATCCTATTTTATCGTATATCGCTGGGACCGACGGCTACAATACTACTCAAGCCAGCCGACACGCGAATTTTCTGGAATTTTACCGAATAACGTACTACTGAAATAATTACTGGGCCGGGCCCAATGACGCCCAACAACTCCAGGCTGTTCATTATTCCAACCACATTTCATCGGCCCAAATTGGGGAGGGGGGCGTAATGGGCTTTGAGCTGAATGAGGCTGTGGACCCCTTTTCCAAAACTATTCACCGGCCCAAATAGACATAATGGGCTGGGCCCATTAAACCAGGGACGGACATCCGACGCAGAATATGGGCAGATGTCAAATTACTACCAAAAAAGTTACAGGATCCTTAACTTCTCTCTTCTGTAACCGCATTCCAAAACCTTCTGAGCTTCTCCTGCATCAAGCTCGGCCATCTACGACCGGCCTACCCAAAATAAACTTGTTTGCAGGCGATTCTTTTCAAGAACATCCTAAGCTTCCTTGTAGAAGATTTCGAATGCGGCAAAAAATAATAAAAAATGATCGGACTATATTTTTATTGATCAGAAAATTCCCAATTCAACGAGAGAGGAAGGCGATTACTAGTCCAAGATCTCAAGATCGGGAGTTAAAAGAGGGATTTCCCTGATGGATTGAGGAGTGTGTTGATGGCGTCCTGCTGAGATCACCCTAAACGGCTCCGCACATCGTCATATTCCCCTCCTGTTCATGTGGATGATCCTCTTTTCTTGGAGAATTGAGGAGTCGTTGCCGATCGTAGGGGGGTGGAAACCGAGCTATTGAAGCAGGTGATATCAAATGGGACGCATCCAGCAGAGGATTGAAGCAGGTGAGGTCGAATCACGAACTAGAAATCGCTTGGATCCCAAATTATGCAAGTAACGAAGTGTTTTCCTTAGCTTGCCTGCATTCTAACGCGAATGTGCGATGGATTGAACAAAAAAAGGCGAGAACTATCCCTCTGGTGCACGAGCACGGTACGATAGGGGGAGGGAAACGGAATGGAAAAGAGACGCGAGAGCTCGGCCGCAAAGAGTTGGCGGCTCGGCTTCGAGGGTCCTCAGAAGCCCAGCTTCGTGCGGCGCCAGTGCCTCCGCTTCGCGTTGTAACGGATGGTGTTGTCCGTTCTCATGCGGATCCAGTACGGGATCGGCCTGTTCTGCCTCATCTTCTTCGCCAGCTTCTTCTTGATCTTGAAGCTCTTGTGAGACGGCTGCAGATCCCCGGCCACAACCGCGGAACAAACAGATCCATCACGAAGGTGAGAACAGGAGACCAAAAAAAAAAACAACAAAAACCTTCGCTCGAGATCATCGAAGGAACCGAGGAAGGGATAGGAAGATCACCATTTTCGCTTGGGAGGAACAGGTGGGATGGCCGCCGGACGCTTGGTGGGGTGAGGAGGGGAGGGGAGCAGAAACCCTAGAAGATGGCGGCTATCAACACTCGACCATGTAAGAGTAGCTGACCCTACGATCGGCAGCCGAAATAAGATAATGACCGTTCGATTGGAGACCTTACCGCTACATCGGACGGTAGAAATCAACCCCGTCATCCTGACCGTTCAATTCTCCTCTATTCATATCTGTATTTTTTTCCCAGTTAAATATGGCCACTTGTTAAACCCTCCAAAAATGCATTTAAGTATATATAATATATATTTTTTGAAATAATGACACCAAGAAAACGGCTAAAATAACTGAAATTCATTTTTATGTGCCCTTGAGTTGGTGATGAAGATGGACCTAAATGGGCCTATGATAAGCCCAGTTGCGAGTAGGCCCAGATGCATTATATTACCATGATTTACTGAAATAACATATCCAATTGTGAATGACAATTTGATATAATTCCCCGCTTATTTATTCATTCGCAAAAAATAAAGATGAGTAACTGTTTATTTTTTAATAATCCTTTCTTCTGCTACCGCCTCAGAGTCCACGACACCGCCGCCGCCGGCGGGTTCGATCCCGCACGTGGTGACGTCATCCTGCGTCACGCCTCCCCTCTGGCGGCGGCCACTGGAGCTCACATGGCGGGCCTCCCCCGCAATCTCGTACAAGACAAAGTCCTGAGTTTGGCTTGTCCGGCGTCCTCAACTACGCGTTTCCGCTGCCGTCACCGGCTCCACCGGCTCCTCCCGTCCGAACTGGCGCAACCGCCGGCCGACCGACCCGCCGGCCTTCTCCTCTCTCAGGTTTCAGGATGCGCCGCCGTGTTTCCGCCACCATGTCGGCCTAATTTCATTACCCACCCCTCTCTCTCTGTCTCTCTCTCGTTCTTGTTCTTTCTCGCTCTTGTTCTAGAGATGTATGGGAAGGCATAAGCTTCCAAAAGGGGAGGAAGCAGGGCATCTCTGTTGGGTCCTGACAATGCGGCGGATGCTCTGTTTTCGCCCATTCTTGCGACTGTTATCATGACACGAGCATGCACCGAATCGGCCCAGATCGACCTCGCCAGAGCCAACAGTGGACGACAACAGGAGAGATCCTCGGGCTTACCCGCTCCAGGAGGCAGATGAGGATGATAGAGAGAGAGAGGGGTAGAGAGAGAGAGAGATACCCAGGGATGACGACGGCCTCGAATCGGGGGAAGGTGGCTATTTTATTTCATCTCTCTCAGGCTGCAACTGATCAGAAGGCCGCCATGGGTACGTGAGAAATCTCTGTGGACATTAATTCCTCTAGAGAGAGAAAAAGAGATAGATGGAGAGAGGGAGAGAGGGAGAGAGATCTGGGGAGGATTGCAATCAGAGGAGGAGGGCGGATTCGGCTCGCGGGTTATCTCGAAGAACAGCCACCGCCGCGGATTATTTGAGGTCAGAGATTTGTCTGCGTTCGCGGGAGGGGAGAGGAAGAAGATCTTGAGGGGCGAAAGGGGTACCGTAGCTGCAGGGAGGGGAGGGGAGAGAGTGACCGAACTCTGTGGGACCGACCACCCTAATTGTCTAAACAGGAGACAAGGGAGTGTGGAGTCTTCCCGTGCAGGAGAACGCCACCATTACCAGCTACAAATCCTCCCACACACCCGTCCGTCCGCGCCCCCGCCCCCCCCAACTTCTAGAGAGAGACGCCAACATAACTAGCAGGTTCAAAAACTCCCACAGCTCCAATCTCTCCTGCGAGCTCTCCTGAGGACCTGATGGGTCGGCAGCAGCAGCGGTACAGAGGCGTGCGGCAGAGGCATTGGGGCTCTTGGGTCTCTGAGATCCGCCATCCCTTACTGTAAGAACCCATCACACCACCTCTCTCCTCCTCCTCCCGCCCATTAGAACTCTTGGGTCTCTGCAAGAGCCCATCTTCTCTCTCTCTCTCTCTCTCTCTCTCTCTCTCTCTCTCTCTCTCTCTCTCTCTCGTTCTCAATTTCCGGTGACGATGTGGGGCGACAGGAAGACGAGGATATGGCTGGGCACGTTCGAGACGGCGGAGGACGCCGCCAGGGCCTACGACGAGGCGGCGCGGCTCATGTGCGGCGCGCGGGCGAGGACCAACTTCCCCCAAAACCCGAACGCTCCGCCTCACGAGGCCTCCAGCTTCCTCTCAGCGCCGCTCATGGCGAAGCTCCACCGCTGTCACTTGGCATCCCTCCAGGCGGCGCAGCAAAACTCGCCTCCCGCGGCTTCAGCGGCCGCCACCGGCTCCGACCCGGCGGCGGCGGCGGGGGCGCAGGAGCTGGACGAGGACCACATTGAGCAGATGATCGACGAATTGCTGGACTCGGGCTACTCCATGGAGCTCTGCTCTCCATCCCCGTAACTCCCTCCCTCCATTCGCCATCTCCGAACGGCCATTGCAGCAGGGTCGGAGATCTCAGAAAAGAGTCTTTAGGTAGTCGTCCGGTCCGCCAATCTTCCTGAGAACTAGGTGAGGAAGAACAGCAGCGTCGCTTGTACAGTACTTAGAGCCTCCTACGCCGGCCGGGTTCTCTATCTCCTGGGCCCGGATGAACATGGAGAAGCTATGAGGACCTATTAAGATGATCGGACTTGAGATAATCACGATTAATCCCCCCGCTTTCCTGGCTTTTCGTAGTTTAAAGCTGTGATCTGATGAAGGGGAGGGGGGGCTGGTTGGGGGGAAGCGACGAGGTGGGGCTGGGAAGCTTTTGACTCTGAGAAAAGGGTAGAGCCCAAACTTTTGACCCGACCTCTCGCCTGCTCGGCCTGTGGCCCTCTTTTCTCTGTTTTCCCACAGTCGGAAGGCATCGGAAGACCCCGCACTGCAAGGGCTCTTGCAGGAGAATAACGATCTACTGACTCGCCCTAGAATGCAAACTGCCCGTTGTAGAGAGAGAAAGAGAGACTGAAGAGATCAACGCGGGGATGACCAGCGTGAGGAGGAGGGGGATCGAAGGGAGGGGACTGTCAGAAGGCAGTGGGATGCAAATGACTAGCGGGGATTGGAGGGCCCGTACAGAGAGGGAGGCTCGACCACAAACAAGCACGCCATTCACGCTCCCTCACCCTATGCTTTCTCCCCTGGATGGACGCGGCCATCTTTTCATTCCTCTCAAACGTCAAACTACAGATTCTCACAGGGATATCGAGAACGATACCCAGAGAGAGAGAGACAGACAGACAGAGAGCTAGGACCCCACACTTGATTGCCACGTGTAGCGCATGCAGACCGCCACACTGATGAGGGCTACGACCGCACCGCCGCCAAAAGAAGAGACGCTGCTGCTTCTTCTTCTTCTTCTCCTTCATTCTAATCATCTCGTTACTTGTACTTCTTTCCGCCTGCGAGGATGCGGGATATCTGGAGGCCTCTGCTGAAGGCCTGGTTGTAGAGGAGGCGGGTCTGGAACTCGGAGACGAAGGGGAACCAGGCCAAGACGGCGACGGGGGCAAAGATGACGAGCCCCATCATGTACTCGTAGCCCCTGGCCAGGGCCTTCACCGAGCCCCACAGCCCCAGGGCCTTCATCGCTGGCCTGCACGCCTGCGCTATCTGCTCCAGCTCGCGCAGGGAGAGGGAGAGAGAGAGAGAGAGAGGAAGGGCAGACATGAGGGCGCCTTGGATATGGAGGCAGAGGAAGAAGTAGTTATGAGGCCACATTGTTACAAGTTTACCTGAAGCAGTGCCCATCCCGTGGGCATGAAGGCCAAGACGCTGGCGAAGATATCGGCCACGGTGAGATTAAGGAAGGTGAAGAGGATCCCCAGAGTTCCGACGGAGCCCAGAAACATGATCAGCTTGAGAAGTCGGAACATGAGCTGGAAGTCAGCGCTGAATTTCTTCCTCCCCATGGACACAACCTGCAACAGAAGCCCCGTTTCGAACAACTTGAGAAGGAGAGATCGAGAGAGTCAAACTCCGGGTAAAGTTGCGATTTTTCGTACCTTTAAGATAACCATCACCGCAAGAATCACCAGCCAGGAGAGGCCATAAACCTGAGGAAGAGAGACAAAATTCGTGTAATGTTCTCCAAACTAAACAACCCCATGGAACCGTGCAGAAGCTATGTGAGCCGAAGAAATCTTGCAGAGATATTGAACTCACCATGATGCTGGTGTCGCCATTTGCGACGTGGAGATGATAGACGATCCCGTACTGGTAGATGACGAAGCGGAGAGAGAGGACGATCTCCCAGAAGAGACCGAGAAATCCCGTGTACTGGAGGTGCTCCTGCTCCTCCTCCCACCACGACTCCCAGCTCTTGTTCGCCGGGACGCCGATTCCCCCCCGGCTGCTTATCCACTTGGCCCAGTCCTCCCAGTCATCCACGATCTTCTGCCACTCGAATCCCGAGGGGTTGAATAGGAAGGGCGCGAAGAGCCAGGAGACCACCAGGAACCAGAGCGACGAGGTGATGAGCAGGTACGAGGCAGTGCTCGTCGCCACGGAGCCGTAGATCTGGTAGGCTATCAGGAGGGTCATCAACTCGAGGCCCTTCACGAAGTGGCTCCTCGAGTACATCCTGTAGTTCTCGGCGAACTTCTCGTGCCGCACCACGAAGCCACGCCCCGTGGCGCGGTACTTGGCGCCGCCGTGGAGCACCGTGCGGCCGAAGTAGTGGGTCTTCGTGCCGAGAGAGAAGGTGAAGAAGACGGCGCAGAGCTGGAGCTGCATGATGACGATGTCGCCGAGGGCGGTCCTGAAGCCTCTCTCCAGCCCGATTTCCATGACCATCGGCAGGGCCATGAGGAGGCCTATCTGAACGAGGGACTGGGACGCCATGGCCGCCTCGAGAGGGTTGTTTCCTCTCGACCTGGCTTGCTTCACGATCGCCCTTTCCAACCCGCTCAGCGTCAAGTAGAGCTTGCCGTAAAGGAAGACGTACACTATGAGGACGACCATCTGCCAATTCAAGTGGAGCTAAATTCAGATGAAGTCAACGTAAAGGGGAAAATTATTTGTATCATTAGTCTACATGATCTGTACCGTTGACTTTCTTAGTCCGTCATATCCTCCCCCCGGGGGAAAAATGGAAAAATGGAATGTCTACGATTCAAGTTTCCACGAGAGGAATTTGATGCGTAAAATGCGGTATGTGAAGGAAGGGGGACTACCATTGAGCTGACGTAAAATCCCACCGTTGTGAAGTAGCAGGAGAGCATGCGGAAAAAGTCAAACCGATGGCCTAGCCGGTAAATATCTCTGCTGAGTATCTGCTCGCCATTGCCGCAGGCTACCTTTGCCTCGAAGAGAGAGATTTGGTTCATGCCGACATCACGTCCTTTCCCTACTTGGATGTACTCGTGGTGGGTGACATTTCCACGCCGCAGCGTCGAGTTGAAGCCTGAACGAGAAAGTAAGATGGGAAGGAAAGCTGGGGGTAATAATGGAGACAAGAAGGGCGGCGCGCACCTGCGAAGATGTCCTCGCTTAAATTGATGCCGCGAGAAGCCTTGCTGATACCTCCTCTGGTGATGTGGAAGATTCTATCGAACACATCTGGATGGCCGTAATGAAACCGAACCCTGCCCAGAGGAAGAAAGAATAATGACAATTCTGACTTGCTTCTGACTGAAATAATACCAAAGTTCTTGCGAAAAATGGCGACCAAATTCATGGCTCCATTTATTTCAGCGGACACGCTGGTTGAACTAATTCAATCGGCATGGTGCCCATTGTGACGATTTTTTTCCCTTTTTTGCTAAAAGATGTGGTTTGACTGAGAAACCGGATGTCTCTCGGATGGGTCTCTCTTTTTAGCAAAACTAAGTTTAAGAGCAGTCTCAGGTCAACGGCATATCGTGTATATTCCGAGGGAGGAGACAAGGTATCAAGCGATTATGTATGACTTTTTATTTCGTGATGGCAGGAACTACTCACTTTAAAGGGCTTGCAAGGACTCGTTGCCCGATTGTGACAAAGCTCGTCTCCTGGTTGGACATGAACCACGCTAAAGACGATACGCTGCATAGTGTGATCGAAGAGACCATCAATATCGAGTATCTTCAAACGAAGAAGAACGGTTTAAAGTCTCACGAGAGAGAGAGAGATGGCTGACCCCCCAGTAAATATATGCTCGCGGACTCCCAGGATTGTTGGGGGACGTACACCGTGATCTTCATTAAATTCCTCCAAAAGATTCCTCATCTTAAGAGCTTCTTCCATGTAGTTGTCCTGCAACATTTTCCGCATGGATACCAGGAAAATTAACGTTAGGAAGAGGGGCAGGAGGTAACACGTCAAGCCCGGGCCCACAGCAAACCTGGTTCATATCAATGGTTTGGAGTGCCTCCCCTCGAGTGAAGATTATAGCATGATTCTGATTTTCTGGCTTTCCTTCACCTAATTTTGCCGTACCGGGTAACTTTATCCGGTAGATTTCCTATCCAACAAATCATACTTAAGTAATTTTGGACTCAATCGGCGAATCTGAATTACCAAGATAGAATACCTGATCAAGATTTTCAACTGCCTTAACCAGGACCGAGTAGTAGACTTTCTGCACCACCCCGCCTTCTCTTTCTTCGACTTCATCGATGTATGCGACACGCAGAGATGGATAACTGTACAAAAGGGTTCGAAGCCATCAGTCCTGAACGGTGTATTCACTTGTCAACAGCCTATGGCTTATTTTCTTATCATTATAAATCTATTATTCAAAATTTAGAGGCATGTGGAAATGAAAAAAAAAATAACGTTTTTTTGTCTAATTCTCGTTTTTGTTAACATCACTATCACTTCATAAATACTGATGATGTTGCGTGATGGATCGAAGGCAGGAATGTGGATATCACGGTGTCTCAGAAATAATGCGATGGAAACGTAAACATACTTAACCATCAAGTTCAAGATGTCAGTTGCTCGGCGATCCCCGCATTGTCTTTGATTGCCGTAGTTTTGACAGGTGGCAACGTATGTGAATTTCATGTCTGCCACAGCTTCCAGTTGTGCGCACAGAGATCTCTGGCTCTTCTTCTCTTCTTCGGATGGATCGGTGACAGCTTTATAACCCTCCAGGATCTCTGGAAATTTACAGGAATTTCACGAATCAAATGCTTACCAACTTCGACAAAGACAAGATTTTCCGCTTTCTTACCACTTTCGGACGCCATATCAAGAAAAGCCTGGAGCTTCAATGCTCTATGATAGTACATCATCCCCCTCACTGCAGGATCAAAGTAGTTGTGAACATCTTTTACGGGTCAATAGTGTGCTTAGAAACCAAACGGAAGAGAGAATTTTCTGTAGAGCTACCTGTTCTGCATAGTGTTTGTCCTCTTAATGACGCCCAGTGACGAAGGTGCAAGACATTCTCTTCATTACCCCATATCTCACTTTCTGATTCACAATTTAGTCGTTCCTTAAAGTTGTTCCATTCATCTGTGATAGTTATATTAAATAGCCGGTACAGTGATTTAGCCAATAAAAAAGTTCGACAGAAAGATTATATCCTTGCAGTGTGATGATAAAATAAGAGAAAATAAAATACAAACCTGGGAAGATCTTTTGTAGGTAGAATATGATCGATACACCATCTTCATTCTCCAGTTCGAGATCGTTCTTAGAATAGACAGTTTCTTCACTGTAGTATGGGGTCAAGACACTGCAAAAGACATGCCAAATTTATTAGGACCCTGACCACTGTTGCCAGCTGAAGGATATAAAATTATATGACTTGCTTCTACGACATTATCATTTTAACATATTTTTTGTATTTTTTTATTTAAAGATGAATCAAATCGCATGACCAGATAATAGGGATCGTGACTTCTTGGATTATTCAGCGGCAAGAAACAGCTTGCTCCAAAAGAAATTTCTGGGATGAAACGGGAAGAAAATAACGTTGCTTTTTTGTGGCTTAGCGAAACGACTAGCAAACCAAACGACAGAGGTTGAGAGGGCCAAAGATGATAGACTACACAAATTATTACTTGGCGAGAACTACAGATCGCTAGAGTATTTTCTACGAATTCAGGAAGCGTTTACCTGAATGAGAGCATTTTGCGGACCCTGGGAGCACGCGGCATGTCCATGAACAACGAATTAGAGAAGAATGCTATTCGCCTTCGCGCTTCAAGGTTTGTTGGGACGTCAATAGCGGACTCTCTTACGGTCAATAAAAGGTATAGCCGTTTTATCTGCGAAATAATTTCAATTTTCAACATCGTGAGCTTCTAGCTTCTTCCTATCATTGTCAATGGAAATGATATCGATTCCTTCCATACCTGCTCTTCCCACTGCGGTGTAATTACGTCAGGTAACACAACAGCAGGCCTCGAACCCGTGCCTGCAAAAAGCTGCCTCCTGGGAACAGAATCCTTGTAGCCATGTCCAAGCTCAGCCAATTCGCTGTAAACAAGACAAGCAAGTAAATCGGTGGCAGTTAGTTTATTTGTGTAAACATGCTGAGCATCAAACATATGAGCTCATCACGGACCGTATCTCATTCACCATCATATCCCGGGTGACCACTTCCAGCATGTCTTGGAGTAATAATACGACGGTGTCACGCTTGGACGAACCGCCATCTTTCTGGAAAACGTGAAGAGGAACTGAAGTTAAATATGTCAATATATATGGTGAGCATGGAAAAGTACACAGAGCCGACTTTCAATTTCTTGACTATTTAAAAACAGGGAAACATGACTCACTAAAATGCCAACAAGCTCCACAAATTTCCTGACAAGCAAAGGCAGAGCACGCATTCTGAAATTAGCCAGAAACGTGTTCCTTGAGATGTTGAGCTCAACTTCTTTGATGATGATGCCAATTATCCTGTAATAGAAATATTAGAAATCATAAGCTCGTGTACATTTGAAGCGTGCGTAAGAAATGGCCTGGCAATGACAAGCTTCCTCATATTTTGAGCTTTTACGGATATTGAAATCATCGATGATTCTTAGATTCCAAGGGAATACGTTCTAGAAACATTGGGGTATATGCAGCTATAATATTATGTGATAAAAAAACTTTAAGAAAAAATAGTAACGAAAACGATAACAAGATAAAAAAGAGTTCGTCGTAATGAACCCTAACGTTGTGTTGAATAACGTAAAAAAATACCTATTCTCATTTTCCCCGACGACCAAGAGATTCAGAACAAGTTTGAAAGACTCGTAACATTCCAGGACAGCACATTTCATATATTCGTCAGAACAGATGCGCCTCCACAGGTCAGAGTCCTTGGATCGAAACTGAGCTGCCATATCCAGAGCAATGGGAATCTGCATGGATGTTTAAGACCATTTAAGTCGTGGAAGTGGAACACGAGCACGAGAGCAATAGCAAAATTTCCCAACGACCTTGCTGGCTAGCAAAAAGGGTGGCCATTGTATGAGGTTCAGGCTCGGATCGGATGAGTAAGGAACTAGCATAAGGTCCATTTCCCTGGATCATAGAAGAAGAAAATTTTCAATAACTGGGAATCACAAGAAATAAACGTACGTGTAAAAAAAAAGTGTTAATAGACAAGGAAGAATTTCCTATCACTGATAAGATCTTCCTCTCTGAAGCTACAAATAACTTCATTCCACAATTGAGCAAATTTCGCAGCCTCAGTTCTCTTGCCAGGGGAAGCCTGAGATGTCAACGTAATATGTTTAAATAAAAGGAGAGAGAAAATTGTGCATGAGAACACGAATGCATTTTTTTTTTTCTATTGATAGTACCTCAGCAAAGCGTTTTGACAGAGAAAATCCCCTCTTTCGAGACTTTTCTGATGGCACCAAATATGAGTTGAAGGCTCCAGGCAATGATTGAAATCGGGATCTTAGCATGCCTAATGTTCGTATCTGCATAAAGGAATTTTTCAATAATAATATTCATAATTATATCTTTTATCCCATTACCAGAAAACAACAACATAATATGCATGTATAATTACAGATCTTCACCTCTCCGAGTCGACCAAAAGCACCAGAAAATCCACCGCACAAGGTAGAAAATATCGAGTACCATATCTGAGTATCCATAAAATAAACCTGCGTACAATGAAAAGGGGATTCAATAAAAAATGGTTTTTTTGTCATAAAAAGAATGCATTTTTACGAAGTCGTGAAAAATATAGCGCACCAGTATCACCGGCGCCCACAGTGCAACAACTGCACCTATGTTACTTGAAGCTGCGTTGAAAAGTTATTACAAATAAATCGTATTAAAATTTTATTAAAGTGATATTGTTTTAAAATACAAAATATTACCATCAGGGAAAAACTCGTGCCAAGCGTAATTGACATGGTGGACCTTCATTATATCTTTCGTTGGGTTTACCAAGGGTTTTATCTGTGAGAATAAAGTTGCAGTCAATCCCCAGGATATGTTTCCTCTTCGTAAAACTTTTGGATATTATAACATATCCCCCCGCACAAGAATACACATGAACATGAAAGAGAGAGAGAGGATTACCTGAATGAAGAAGCTGAACGCAAATTTGGAACACAAAAGCAGTACCCAGAATAAAGTATACCTGCAACACCAGAAATTCACTTAAATTAATTGTACGAAGTTAGAATGGAGACGAAAGTTGATCTGAAAATGTGATTTCCTTTAGAACTTACTTAAAAAGTGCAAATTGACTTTCATGCATTCCTCTTGCAACATAAATTCGTGGCTGAAAATAATATTATCAAATTTGACTTAATAAAAAAACCAAATTAACCGTAAACCATTAAATGATAGAAAAACCATGATAATGAGGAAACTTACGGGGAAATTATGACCAGGGTACCAAATTAAAAAAATCAAATAGATGTCATGAATTTATGATTTAGCACATTTTATTTTATCGATGATACAAATAAAATATGTTTTTTTTCTGGAATGCTCATAAATAAAAAGTGTCAGAATCCGATAACTTGGGGATGCGCTAATGTGGGTAATAAATATTTCTTTCCTTTGCCAAGTGGTCGGTGGTTGAAATGCTCCCAGCATAGAGCCCAAAATTACCAGGATGCACACCCTTCGTTGTCTACAATTATATTTAATTTTTTTACTTATTCACATGGAGAATAAATTGTTAAATGATTCAGAGGTATGTAATATGGCACATCCATCTTTCAAAGGGTTCCTGTGACACAATGTGAAGAGACTTTAAAAAAAAGACCGAAATTTTCTCGAAAAGAACAAGACAGCTGCGGCATGACGCCGTGGGGCAAGAAAGAGGAAGAGAGATACCTGGGACCACCATAAAAGAAACCTCAGAAGGTGCCAATCAGAGTTTTCAATCCAACGCCTAAGCAATGGAAATATAAACAGCATCCCTGCCAATACATTTGGCAACAAGTATAGCACGACAGCCATGATATATACGGGTGGCACGCCTTTCAGTTGGCGGAGCCGCTTTGTTATATCTCTCAAAGGCGCAGGGACCGGGACCGCCTCAAAGGACTTCAAGTAGCAAAGAGGAAGGATAACGACCCAGGTAAGGCTGACTATTATCTTTAGAACGTTCCTCAGCACATCAGTAAATTTCCATCTATGGTAACCAGGGAAGTTTACGACAAAGTCCAGAATGCCTGCCATAAAATAAAAAACCGTTAGGGGACATTCCGAGAGGATCGAGAATAGAAGCATAGATTTATGGATTAAACGAATCAGTTATAATATTCCATTAAATAATATTTATTAACGTCACGTATCAAGATTAAACTGGTGACGCAAAATCTTCAGTGAAGAGATGAAATAGGAAAATGAATTAATAAGTAAACATATAATCCCATGTAATGAGAAGATAACCAAAATGACATCAGATATCTACATGAATTCGGATGGAATGAATAAATGCTGTAGATAAATCATATTTTTAACGAAATTGTCTCATCATTTTAGGTTGTCTTAGGATTTAGAAGTCGGTACTCGAATATTTGACCACGTCAAATAAATATACAATAGATAATTTTCTGTGAGCCAAGGCCCGAACCCAATTTTTTGCTGATAGAATTCAGTGGGTATGGCAAGAGGAGGCTTTTATGAAATGAAAGATACCTATGAAATCATACCTGGCGAGCACTCATGGAAATGGAAGCATAACCGGACACAACTGACAAGTAAAGATATCCATAATACTCCTAGTGATCCTTTTGGCAACTGATATTCAGGTTCACTCTTTCAAGATAATTTTTCTATCTTGTTCCCTGTTTGTCTCGAAATTTATAATAGATGTTTTTCATTGTATACGTTTTTTACCATAGATTTTATATCAAGGAAATATCATGACAGTGAGTCCTTCCTTATATTAGCAAACTCTACAATGACTTAACAGAGAAGAAAAAGGAAGTAATTTATGTGAAAGAGGTAATACTTTGGAGTAAGCGGAGGAAGGCTGCCGAAATAAAAATGCTAGAAACAGAATAGAGTATATGTTTTCGAAAAATATCCTTTAGTGAAGAAACACTCCATGCTACGATCACCATCGCCTACAGGGAAAGCAAGCTATCAGTCTCATCAAGAAGTGACTATTAACTTAAAATTCAATATAACTTTGAGATAAATACCTGCAATGCCAAAATATAGAATGTCCACAACCGATCGAAACTCCTAAATATATGCCAAAACGTCCTGGTCTCAACAAAATTTGTTTTCCCCGTACTTTTACCGGTGTTTCTGCGAGGAGGGTGTCCTACCTATCTATTAAAATTGTAGCAAGTGATAATAAATGCAAGAATTTAAAAGAGTATCAGCTTAAAGTTTTCATAATACCTGAGCTAGAGGTCTAGATTCATGAGTAGATTTGAAAAATTCACCGTCATCATGCATTGGCCATCCCAAAGAGAAACAATCATCAGACCTGCGTATCACGAAGGAGAATGGTAAGCAGAGAGTGAGAATAAGTAAAACACAACTAACTCATTAATTGGAAGAATCATTCGATCCCCTCCCCATCTCAGCAGACCAGAAATATTCATTGAGATCATCGTAGTTGCACCAAGCTGAATGAGGGGCTTTTCCATTTTTGCTTTTCTTGGATTCCTGTAAAGGCACCGCAATGTTGCTGTTATTTGAGAAAAAGGGACTGAAATATCATGCAAGCATTTACGGTAAATGGTTTCCGCGGTATAAATTACCTTCTCTATCACGCGGTATATTGGAGTTACGACTTTTCTCAGGAATGCCTCATCGTCCCCGCCGTACGAAGGTTTAATATTTTCTCCAGTCACTATGCTGACATTTCCGGCCAGGAGACCATGAAGTTCATATGCCATCTGAAATAATGGACTGAAGTGTAAACGTCTTCCTGGGAAAAAAGAATGCAATAGATAGGGGAATCTGTCAAAAGGGATGTTAAAGGAGGAAGTCTTACATTGTGAAAGATGTAGCATAGACATTCTGGCATAAATCGGGCATTAGCAGCTTCACCCCAAATCAGAAGGTACAGACCCATGTATAGGATCTTTCTCTGTTGTACTTCAGGTTGACCTTGAGGAAGCCTAAGACCAAAGATAATATCGAGTGTAAATAGAAAACGTGACATTATAAAGCCTTCTTCGGTGAAAATACAAATATACGCACAAGTTTGTCGTACCTTAAACTATGTTTGCGCCCCAAAAACTTGCACCATGTTTTGTAGTTTTTAAACAGTTTGCTCATGACAGCATCCACAGCTCGATCATCCAACTGAACAAAAGCATTTATTAATAACATGGGCAATGAGATTAGAGTGAAATAATAGCACACAGTAGGAAAAGATTCACGAAAAATAATTGATTAGGTGTTAATAGAGTAGCATATTGTACGATAGTTGCTACGTAGACCTGAGTTTTTCCTTCATTAATCGGAACATACATATCCATATATTCGAGAGTAATTGTTCTTCCCGTGGTGCTTCCAATGTTACACTAATTTAAAGATTCATTAAATTCTTTTCAGAACTTACCTGAATGAAATTTTCAAAATCAGTCAGAAGCACCGGTGACAGATATATTTTATTTCATTATAATAGTTTAATGTGGCAAAATAAGTTCCAAACGAATAACGAGTTCTGTGGATTTGAGTGTAGGCATTGGTTATAGTAGTCAGAAAAGATGCAAATCCTATAATTGCTACGTTCACGGTTGATTGCTTTCCCTCTTTAATAGCGGGACTTTCTCCAGGCTACCAATCAGAAAATCCATTTTTTCATGGATCAGTTGACTGGTGTGAATTCTCGTCTTAAATAAGGGACGATCATCTACTATTGCGCTTTTCTTGCCTATTAGTCATACCCTAAACTACTGCAGTTTCTAATTTATAAAATGTTTTTTTTCCGCATAAAACTTATTTCGGAAAATGCCAAAATATTTCCAGCAGATATATAATTTTCAAAGGTGACATATAAAACATGAGTAAGAAAACAGATGGTTAATACGTGCACTACCGACTGAGTCAGTCGTTGATTAATTGTTAAAACCACCAAGGGAAAAAAAATTCAAATTCAGATAGCGTTGTATCTAAATGCTTCTGCTGGTACAGATACACACCAATTACGAACAAAAATAATACTAATATATAAACTAGGTCATCACTCGACAAGGCAGGTGCACAGACATAAGAACTCAGAAATGAAATACATTTGTGCAGGATATGGAATGCGTGCCTTGTTAAGAGGCTCAGGTTTCGGCACCAGCCTTATGTGGACATTTGCGAGAAGCAGAATTAAATGCTCTCTTTGGTTTCTGACACTATCTTTCTGCGAAAATTAAGAAAAAAAGTCAATATTAAATCCAGAGTAGCGTCCTCAGGGATCGGTTTGATTGCGGAAACTCACAGAGTGAAAGTATTCTTTCAAGGGATATAAACCGTACCTGAAAACCAAACATGGCTCTTAGCCAATCCAGAAGATCCAGATCTCCTGTTTTCTGTCTCTGCTGCTCAAAGGCAGGAGGCCACTGCAAACCACGCGTGTTTCTGAGTGCAGAAACAGATGCCTTTACCTGATTAATGAATAATTACCGATATGATTACAATAATTTCCTTCATCGGAATTATTTTTAAGTCATGCAGTGTGATTTTACTTCTTCGAGTTGCATTATGGCCTGTGAAGCACCAGCAGCATCCAGCGGCAGAATGTTGTATGGTGCATAGATTTCCTTCTTTTCCTGGACATCTCTTGCAGCAGCAATAATCTGCACCCACAAATCCACGAGTCAGACAGGAGTGCAGAGCATCAATTTTACTTCTAGTTTATGAAAGGTCAACGGTACATTAAGAGTGAAAAAGCTTTGAAGAAAGATCGAAAAGTAACGAGGCCAACCTCTGGAGCAACTTCCTCCACTTTTTCTGTTTTATTAACCGCACAGAGAACTTCAAATAGCACCCCAGCTGTTTGATAAGCTTTCCCAAGTTGGGCTCTACACAAATGAAAATAGAGAGCCACAATTTCATCTCAAAAAATAAAGTTGCATTTTGGTGATGTGGAGATGCACGGATATTGCTAACCTATCTGCTTGTTCCCCTTTGTCCAGAGCTCTAACATAATGTTCGTAATATTGTTGATAGAAACTCTCGATTTCTCTGGCATCACTCTTTTTAACTCTCGCTGTGAGACTTGGTCCGTTGTCCTGTCACAATCTCCGAAATGTAACGCAAATGAGATGGTACACTCGAGTCTCAGAAATTACTTTTACTTTCGGGAAATATATTAAGTATTATTGCTTTGATGGCACAATTTCTACTGATGCTCACTAGTAAAAATAGTCGGTATTCTCATCGACAAAAGTTCATCGAAAAAAAAGGAATGAGGACACAAATAAGCATTGCGAAATTAAACCATAATTCGCCGTGATTAACATTACACATGACCATTTTGGTGAGAATAAATGCGTTCACGTCTGAATTGTGATGTGTCGAAATATTTTGGAGTGCACATCGTTTTCCTTCAGTAAGTGAAATGAAACACGTCGGTCTTAGTATAAAACCGAGTCATCAGAAGTACCATTCAATTGATGATGGGCAGAAATCCAAGTGAGCAATCAGCAAAACCGAAAAAAGATAGAACGCTAAAGATGAGAAAAATGAAAGGCGAAGCAGGTGAAACCGTCCGCAGTTTCCACATTTTCATGTAAAAAATTAAATGAATTTCGGAAGCACGTGAAGTACCAAATCGCTTTGTGGTGATCAAATATCAACCGTCAAGAACAACACGGAAGAGCGTGCCCCGAGTGATTGGATGGTTCGAACGACTAGTTCATGACATTAGGCTCTATGGAAAATGGGCGTCGAGCCGAGTGCTCTCCTTTAGAGAAAACACGCCAGACTAACGGTACGGTGCATAAATATGCCTGCTCGCGGTACGAAAAGGCCCGACTGTTCTCGTCACCGAGAAAATTGGAAATAAAAGCCTATGTTGACTGGCACCGGGTTGACACTTGGGAGCCATTTTTTCTCAACCTCGGGGGCGTGAACCTGAGAAACCACGGCCGCGTTCGTCGTCCCCTACATAGACTCAGTTGCGAGTAGACTCGAAGCCGCTAAGCCTAATACATATTGAGCGTGACTGTCGGATAGTCTGAATTGTTCTCGACATGAAAGGATTTCTTTCGTTCGTTTGATTCCAAACATTAAATCCTAACAGGTTTTAATAATCATGCACGAATAAATACAGATCCCACTCACCCGCTCCAGTCTCTGGAGTAGAGAGGTCTTGAATTGTCGAACTCCACGACCACTGGAGCTGGGATCTAGACGGTGAGCCTTCTCGAATGCATAAAATCGGCCTTTACATCCAACAAAAGGAGGCAGAAAAATGGACACCAACATTATGTGGATAAAATTTGCACGACTGTAATAAAAGAATATCCAGAAGCCAAAGAGGAAGAAGACGACGCGTGAAATGAGCAATGGTAACGACCAAAATGCACTCACACAGATAAGCAACGCGTGGGCGTTCCGTATCGAGCTCGGCAGCGACTCGAAGGATCGGGGTGATGCTGCCAAGAGATGACGGAACAACCTCGTTGTCAAAGACCTCCTGTGAGAACGCGGTCATCATCGCCGCGCTCCTCGAGGGACGCCGCGTCAGGCCCGACGGACCGGCATCAGAGCCGCTGGGCGGCGTCGACATTGCCGTTTCCTGGAACAACGGAAAGGCTGATTTGAAAACGAAAAAAAACTAGTCAGAGCACCGCAGACTTTACCCTGTGTAGGAATCCATATCGAGCTCCCCGTAACTAAACGCCGATAACAAAAGTTAAATGAACAGATCGGGAGGCAGCGGACGTAAATCCGAGTGGCTGCAGCTAGAGGAAGATGAAACCTGAGGGATACTCTAGAGCTCTTCAGAAATTCCAATGGCTCTCAACCTTCGCCGCTCCAACCTTCGAACGCCTTCGCCTGCAAGCTTCCCCGGACGAAATCAGACAATGCGAGCAATAAGTTCGAAATATCGGAAGACACTAGGCAATCCTTCGTATTCTCCTTCATCCCCCATTCGCAACCTTCTGAGGCGGTGGCGGTCTCCGGCCAGGCAGTCGCTGCGACGTTGAGTTCCTTGACGCACGCGCTCCGGAGGGATGCAGAAATGACAATGCTCAAAGGCGAGACCATCCCAAGACCGAAATAGACACCAATTCTCCAGGAAGAGAGAGAGAGAGAGAGAGAGGAAGAGAGTGGTAGTGCGATGTTTCTGACGTTGGGCGGGAAGTGCGGGGGAGGAGCGTAACGAACATGAGGCAGGGTGTCCACGTCGGCCAGGTGGGACCGGGTGGTGACAGGGTGGCGAGCTCTGTTACGAGCGGTTGGCCGTTGAGCTCCGGCCCGGGGTTGAAGAAGACCCCACGTTCCCGACGAAAATCTGCACCTGTAGTCGGAGGGCTTCAGCGGTCGCACTTCTTTATTGCAATCCTCTCTCTCTCTCTCTCACTCTCTCTCTCTCTCTCTCTCTCTCCGGGCCCACACTTCAGTCGGACCTTTTTGAACGCTTCCAGAGCTTAAGGCCCAAAAAAGTCCCAAACTAAGCCGTGTTGGCCCATTGGAAACTTTAATCCTCTTGTGTTTTATTCAATAATTCATTTAATAATTTCGCATCCTAATAAGATGATTTATAAATCCCATAAAAAGGCACATACGCCCCATTTATGAACTCTTATTTGGAGATAATTTTTTGGCACGACCTGATTAATGGTCGAAATTTCTGTTTTTTTTAATTTAGTTATGATCCAAACCTATAAAACAATAATGCTATATTTTTGCGTGCCTCATTTATGATAATTCTATTTTTATGACATTTTAAGCATTTATTGCATTGTGTTTATTTTTTGTCTCTAAGTAGTCGTGAAAAATGAAAAGTCATAATTATTTATTTATTTTTAAATATTAATTCCCTGAAGGTGCATCACTTTTATAGTATATCTTGAAATATGTATATCTTATACAAAAATTAAAAACCCTTTTTATAGTGGGGGTGGTATCGAGAGGAGTTTGACGGCGAGGGGGGGTGAGGAGGAGGGGCTTCGCCGTTGAAGAGGGAAGCTGTTGACCACGGACTACTCTCGCAGGTTGACCAAGCCCAGTGAGAGCAGAAATCTGCCCGGTTTCGGCCTGGCCCAATGTCTTCTGACCCTGACGCTCATCTGGGCTGTGCCCAGATTTGCAGTTTCGGGCCTCTAAGCCACTTCCAGCTCCAACTCACCCAGCGGGCCGGCCCCGGTATCGGGCTTCACCAGGCCCGGTTTTGGCTACCCCAGCCTCGGTTTACCTGAATGGGCCAAAGTGCCAAAGAGTGAAGGTCCTATATGGCACTCTTGGTGGGGGTGTGATGTAATAATTTATATTATCGAGGCTTTATCACAAAAAATAGGTGTCAAGGCGGCATGTTTGACTATTGACCGCCTAGCTGGCGTCTCCCCAAGTCTTTGACCGAAACCTCACCCCGTTCATTTAATCTAGGATGCGGTCACCGAAAAGCTTTGCTCCGCCCTTGTTTTATTTTCACCGCCGCTTATTCCTTTTTGAAATATAATATTCGAAGGACGGCGTACGAAAATCATCTTTTATACTATGATCTTTATAAAATAGGAGGATTTTGCAGGCTTTGTTAAAGCGTCATTCTTCTGTTCTTCCCGAGGTGGAGGTATAAACTAGGTTATTGCTGAAGGTGGGGTAAACATACCGGAGTGTGAATGGATCTCTCAGACACCGTCGCCGGTCCCCAGGAGAGTTCGCTCTCGTCGGTCCTTTTTTGCCAGTTCGTCCAGCTCATCGCCACCTCCCGCTCTCTCTCTCTCTCTCGTTCCTGCGGCGAGGAAGATACGAGGAACAACGAGGGAGGAGAAAGGAGGAGAGGGAAGGAGGAAAAGGGGCAGTTTTTAGAGGTGGGGAGCTAGAGCTCGTGAAATGAAGAGGAATTGGGAGATTTGCCGGCAAATCATGGGAAAAGAGGGAGGGGACGAGATTGAATGAGAGGAACACCGGGTGATCGGAGAGGGTTGGAGGATCTTTTCAGGTAGCTGTTCTGGTGGAGGTGATGGGGAATGTGACTTCATCTGTGGCGGCGAAGTTTGCATTCTTCCCTCCTGACCCTCCCACGTACGATGTGTTCCGAGAAGGGGGAGCAGAGGGGAAGCTCTACTTCTCCGGCTTGTCGGGAGATAAGAACGTGGATGTGCATTTACTGGAGACCAGGGGAGGGAACAGGATCGTCGCCACCTTCTGGCGGCACCCTCTGGCCCGCCTCACGCTTCTCTACTCCCACGGCAACGCCGCCGACCTTGGCCAGATGATCGACCTATTCGTCGAGCTCCGCGCCCACCTTCGCGTCAACATCATGAGGTTTGTTCGTCTATCCATCAATCAACCTCCTTCCCCACGCTCTTTCCCGTCATCTTGTCCTACGGAAATCTGGGTACGAGGGCTGGTTATCACAGAGCATTCGTGGCTGAAGTTTATGCATCTCCCCCCACCGAACCGTTCCCTGATTATATCCACGCTTGGGCTTTTGAGCACATCTGCCTCGACGAGGATCGGGAGCGAGAATCATTTCGGCCCTTCCAAACAGATCCGACATTTCCTGCTCCTTTACTATGTAGATATGATTTGGAAGAGTTATTATCCCATAATGTGCCTAACAATCTCCACAAGATACGACCTTGTTCTTCTCTCGGGCTTACTCTCCTGATGGGTCTCAGATGATTATGAGTGTAGATCTTTCTTTAACTCGTTTCTTTATGTGGTTGCAGTTACGATTATTCAGGATATGGAGCCTCTTCTGGGAAGGTAAATATTTCCTTAATTCATCAGCCGCCTTTTTTAACTTTTTTTTTTTTCCTATGCATACTCCCCATCATCTAATAATGATGATAAATACGCAGAAATATTATGGGTAGATTTTCTCTTGCGCTAGGTTCCCTGTTTCATCTTTCTCAGAAGGTTATCTGTTGCTTGCTATTGTGGCATCAGAGAGAATGAGAGGAGAGCTCTACCGGTTCTGCTCCCCCTCTTGTTTTCAGCTGGCAAGCCTCTTCTCGCTCACATCTCCAACTGGGTGTCCATAGCTTTACTGGGAGGGATATGAAACAGTCTGCGTGTGAGGAATGAGGGGATATCACATCTCGTTGCCCTTGTTTCCCATATAATATCTGAATATCTACTGCCCATCTTGAGGGAAGACCAATGAATCTGGGCTGTGCTTCCCAAATGCTATCAATATCTTATCTATGTTTATGTGGCTGGTAACAGTGATATATTTGGGGCATCTAAGAAAATCTCTGCTTGGACAGCCTTCGGAGCTCAACACGTACTATGACATAGAGGCCGTCTACAATTGCCTCAGGAGGGAGCACGGGATTGAGCAGGAAGATCTGGTTCTCTATGGGCAGTCTGTGGGGAGCGGCCCAACGCTGCACTTGGCTGCACGCGTGCACAACCTGCGAGCTGTCGTGCTCCACAGTGCAATCCTGTCTGGGATACGGGTTCTGTACCCCGTTAAGATGACTTTCTGGTTTGACATTTTCAAGGTCAACTGCTTGCCCCAGTCCCTGTGCTCGATCTTTCCCTCTCATATCGGTGCAGTGTGTGGATGCTGAGATTGTCCTTCGATTTCTTTGCAGAACATTGACAAGATACGGCAGGTCAGCTGCCCAGTTCTTGTTATCCATGTAAGCTCCCCGTACTGTAACATCGTTCTATAGGATATGTACTGATCCAGCTCCCTGAGAGTTGAGAGGATCGTGGTTTATCTACATCTGGGTCGACCCAAAGCTCGATTATTAATGCTCTGATCTTTCTATTTCTGTGCTGAGCGAATGGCTGATCCTCCTCAGGGCACAGCTGATGACATCGTCGACTGGTCCCATGGGAAACGGCTGTGGGAGCTCTCCAAGGAAAAATACGACCCGTTGTGGGTGAAGGGCGGCGGGCACTGCAATTTGGAGGCGTTTCCCGAGTACATCAAGCACCTGCGCCGATTCGTGCACGCCATGGAGAAGCAGTCCAACACCAAGCAGGCCAAGCCGAGTCAACAGCAGCCCGAGTCAATCCCTGACTCCAAACACAACAAATGCCTCAGATTTGGAAAGAGATAGGATCCCCTCCCAAGGACACGAATGCTGCTTCAGATGTGATCCTCTCTCTCTCTCTCTCTCTCTCTCTCTCTCTCTCTCTCTCTAATGTTGGTTCTTGTGCATTGAGCTCAAAATGGAGGGGAGGGGATTTGGTAGGAAGAAGGCGCTGAATTGTCGCTGTGATGAGACTGAACAGTGTGAGGACAGGTTGGGAACGAAGGCTTGTGTAATTTTCTTTTTTTCACGCCCGAATTGATGAGTATATATATATATATGAATCGATTTCTTTTTTCTTTTAATTCCAAGGTTATTCTGCAATTCTGCTGGAAAATTTAGCACTTTGATAAGGACTATATAGCAATAATGTACTGAGCTTCCTCGTCTTGCACCCCTCTGAAAAACAATATAAATAAATAAAATGCTGAGTTCATTCAGCAGAAATTTGACCTCAAAGTTGAGGCAGAAAAACAGCGCTGCTGCACCAGCCGGGAATCGAACCCGGGTCTGTACCGTGGCAGGGTACTATTCTACCACTAGACCACTGGTGCTGACTATGCTGAGTATGGGTACTATTCATAATGTACTTCGTGCGTGGGGCGTGGGAAGGTAGAAAGAGGAGATAGAGAGAGAGAGAGAGAGAGGGAGGATTATAATTTAATCAAACTTTTTGACTTTGTACACAAATATATAATTGGTAATATGGACTGTCCATTCACGTATTTTCCGAGTCAGCCACACACGAGGAGAAAAGGTGTTATCCAAGGCGGTTCATCTACACTGGTGGTCCCCACTTTTCCGGGCAGCCACCATGCGATGTGGCAGCAGGGCCTCAACGGTCGCCTTCGCCTGCGGCCGGACCGGGATCCCTCGCAGCCCGCACTATCCAATCGCGTCGGATCTCCCGCCGCAAAATTACGATCCGCTGCCACGTTGACTGTGGGCCCCAACCCCTGCAATCTGGGATTAAATCCAGGTGATCTCCACGAAATCGTTGAGATTTAATGGGTAATTACTGCCGAGATTAGAGATTAGTAAGATACGGCCCGCTGGCGTCTGGTGCTTAGAACTAATGACGAAATTAAACACCACTTAACTGATTTCCCGGATGACGTGGACCGGGCCCATTGATCCCGCGTGGCCCACAGGAGCCCCGTTCCGGTACGTAGGCACTGATGGGCCGCCGAGTCAACAGCCGGCGCTCGCTTTTTGGTCCTGTTTTTTAATGGCCCTTTAAATTCTATTTATTGCAGGGAATTACATTCAGACCAGGGGGAGGGCTGTGGGCTCCACATGATCAATGCGGTCAGCGCCTGTTGCCTGGAGAACTCTGGGCTGGGGGCAGCTCGATCGGTGAGAACCGGTCGGGGCCCAGCGAGCGAGTCAACAAAACAATATAAGAGAGAGAAAGTTTTTAGTGGGGAATTTATAAATTAGCCCGTGATAAGTAAGTAATAATGAATTTAGCCAATTGTTTTTACAGGATTTGTACACGTGTATCATTGGGCGTACAAGAGGGAGTTTTCTCTGTCATTAATATTTGCTAAAATTGTTAAGAGAGATTGGAAAGAAAACGAAAAGGGAGAGAAAAAAAAACTCAGAAGAAAAAGGAAATATTTTAGCGAGAGAGAGAGAGAGAGAGCAGTACTGACCTAGACCGAACTGGCGAAATTCCTTGGGAGTCTTCTTGCTAGAGACTTCGCCGGTGGGGAGGGGGAGAAAGAAGGAAGAAAATAAAAGGGAGGAAGGAGGAAGAGACGAAAGGAGAAGAATTGCCTCTGGACGTCGCTATCCCCGGAGGGGAGCTCTACTTGTTGCTTTCCCATTCGGGTCATCCGCCTCATCCCCAACCCCCTTCTTCACCACCCTAATTACAGCAGACATCCCCCCTTCCCCATCTCTCTATCACCGTCCTCAAATCGAAGCACCATCATCCTCCATGCTCCTGCAAGCCCTCGCGTCTGTCAAATCAGTCGCTGGGTTTTCTGCGTAGGGCAGAGGTCGAAAGGTGGTTTGGTATATGTTACCTTATTTCTTCGCAAGACCGGTCCCTGGTTTGAAAATTTTGAGGTAGGGCGAGGAGCTCCATCGGGACGCTTCCTGTCGCTGGCTTTCGGAACGATTGGCGGAGTTTCTTCTTCACTTTTTTTCCTTTCGATTAGAGGGGAAACCTCGCCGAGATGACGGTGGATGAAAGGATGGATCCCGTCCCGAAGGATTCTGCCCCGAGGGATCAGTTTCCTGTGGGCATGAGGGTTCTTGCGGTCGACGATGACCCCACATGTCTCAGGCTTCTGGATAGTCTGCTCCGCCGTTGCCAATATCATGGTTTCGTTCTTGCCCAGTTGCTTCCTCTCTTTCTTTGCCTAGGATATTCCTTCTTTTCGCGTTGTTCCTCCGTTGTCTATTTCGACTCACGGGAACGACTGTTTTCTTCTGTTTTTTTCTGAGATTCATCCGTGTTTGCCTCTTCTGACATGTGTTTTATCTTAATGCGTTTTCTAGTCACCACGACCAACCAGGCGATCACGGCCCTGAAGCTCTTGAGGGAGAACAAGGACAAATTTGATCTGGTTATCAGCGATGTTCACATGCCAGACATGGACGGATTCAAGCTCTTGGAGCTCGTGGGCCTCGAAATGGACTTGCCTGTCATTAGTAAGCCTTCCAATCTTCTGGTCGTCTCCACCTGATTGTAACCAAAACAGCTCGGTTATACTGCGGATATAATTTCTTGCTTAGCATCTTCTTTCAGCGTGAATATTTTTCGAGGAACCGTTCGTCATCTCAGAAGTGTTTCCATTGAGATCGTTTTGCTCAATGAATCGTATTTTCTGATCTGATTTCAGTGCTGTCGGCTAATAGCGACACCAAAGCGGTCATGAAGGGGATCGCCCACGGGGCCTGCGACTACCTTCTGAAACCTGTTCGAATCGAAGAGCTCAGAAACATATGGCAGCATGTGATCAGGAGGAAGAAATTCGATAGGAAGGACCTCTGTGATCGTGATAATGGGGATGCCCGTGAGAAGCCCAATCATGTGGGCTCTGATGGCCGGCAGGGCCCTGGAAGTGAAGCCTCTGATAGCAACGGTAGGTTCAACAGGAAGAGGAAGGACCAAAATGAAGAAGATGATGATTCGGAAGATAACGGGAATGATAACGATGATCCTTCCTCTCAGAAAAAGCCACGTGTTGTTTGGTCTGTCGACCTCCATCGCAAATTTGTCGCCGCAGTTAACGAATTGGGCATCGATAGTAAGTTTTCCCACTAAGTTATTAGCCTTTTTAATCATATAAACCCTTTCTTTTATGGCTGTCTTTAGCTGGCAGTTGACCCTCGACATGATTCCTCAGTTAATCTCATCTCATCTTGCAGAGGCTGTGCCCAAGAGAATTCTCGAACTCATGAATGTTGAAAGGCTCACCAGAGAAAATGTCGCGAGCCACCTTCAGGCACGGTTATCATTCCCTCAGTATAATTTAATTATGTACAGTTAATTTTTTTTTAACCAATCATCTTTTTTATCTTGCTTTTTTATTTTTATTTTATATTTCCCATATGGGTTGTCCGATTTTTGTGATTTTGGGTCAATTAAATTGAAATTTGACGAATCTCTAGTCTCCAAATTTAATAAAGTTGGTTACTTGAGCAAGTATGTGAGTTATATTATATATAACTGCTGTAAAATACTACTATAAAAATGAGTTGTAACAAGTTTATAATTATAACTATAATATGTTTATAAGTTCTATTCATAGTTATATGTTTATATATTTTTTTGTACATTTAGATAATTTGTAATGCTATAATCCACTGTTTACTTATCAGATTGAGCCTGCTATATTTTGCAGAAGTTTAGACTCTATCTGAAGAGGATCCATGCAGTGACGAGCCAACAGTCCAATATTTTTGCTGCCTTAGGCGGCAAAGAATCCTATGTAGCGATGAGCCCGATCGACGGCATGGGGAGCTTCAATGCGGCAGCAAGACCGAGGCAACTGCCGACGCTCACATCGTTCCAGTCAAGTGGATCAGCTGGTAGATTGAACAGCCTATCTGGCATTGGCCTGCACGGGCTTTCCTCTTCTGGAATGATTCAGCTCGGGCACAGCAATTCCATCCAGGACGTTGGAAAGATCCCACGGACGAATCTCCCTGGGGGGATCCATCAGGGAAGCTTATTGAACAGGATGCCCACAGCAGTGGAGGTCAACCAGTTTCAACAGCTCAAGGCAGCTAACGAGGCTAGCAACCAGCTGCTCGGGGGTTATGCCGAATCTACCTCGCTCGGTGGCTCTAGCAGCCTGTTCCTTAACCCCACAAGTGGCAATATTATCCTACAACAACAGCAGCCGGGTGAGGCGGGTCTCCGGCCGCCTCTCAGAACAGCGGCATTGCAACCCAACCCTTTTCCGCAATTGCCAGATTTGGGCAGATGCAGCGATGTCTGGCACGATACCGCTGCGCTATCGGTCTACTCTGCTTGTGATTTGCCACCGGGTGGTCCTCTTGGGAACAGAAATTTATCTTCTGTGCGGAGCTTCAAGGGAGGCAGTTCTCCTATGGCTTCACCAGGTGACGGCACCCAGCTTGATGCTTCTCACTGCAGTGTGGCGCCCGACCGCTTTGCTATGAACCTTACTGACCCAGATGGGGGGAGCCCTTTTCTCCTGCCGACGGGTGCCGATGAGCCGCGGGGGGTTTCCAGTTTTGGATATGGAGGCAGTTGTGCCCAGCAGAGTTTGGAGGACCTGGGGCAAGGTCAACACGAGCCCACCCTTAGATTGGATCCCTCCCTCAGCAGCACCCTGGCGAACCATGACAGTCTCAGCGACAGATTCTACGGAAAAAGAGTTGACTTTGGGGTGATCGATCAGCCGATTCTCAACATGCCTTTCCTCAGCGATGATCAGAAGCCGGCTGGCCAGTTTCCGGTGAGGCCCAAGGACGATTCCCCCGGGGGCCCTTCCAGGTTGCAGCCACTAGGAGTCGACCCCAACCCCAGCTCCTACGACGATCTGGTCAATGCTATGATAAAGATGGTAATTTGGCCCCCCTCCTCTTCGCTGTATACTTTCTTTTTATGGTAGTAGCCCTCCTCTGTGTTAATATCATTCTTCAATGCAGGAATCGGAGGATATCATCCTGATGGATGGTGATCTGAGCTGTGATATTTACTCCCTGGAGACTTGCATGTGAGCCCATCGCGCATGATTTATGCGATCGATCGATCGATCGATCTCCTGTTCATCCCTGCGACAGTTTCAGGGGCAATGCTTGGGCTTTATGCTTCTTCTTTCTCCCCTCATGGGTTCCAATCTTGACTCCATTAATGGCGTCAGGCCCTGCCAGAGAAGCCCTGAGCTGAAGGATTTCCATATCTGTGTGGCGGTGAACGAGCTTTGAAGAAGGTGGAGGGGGAAGAGGGGGGGGGGGCTGAGAAAGGCCTGTTGGGTGTGAGGGAGCTTGTTCTTGTGACGTCGGATGAAGAAGACATGTATATAGTCCTGACCTTTGGAGCTCAAACAGGGCCGTTACCTGCTTTCTGTGATTTTATTTTATTTTTGAGTGGAACAGACAGATTACAGTGTGAGACTGTCCCGAAGGGTTCCTTCTGCGAAAGTCAACGTTATCCATCGCTGTCGGAAACTTCCCATTTATACATCAAGCACCGGGTTAAGTAAGACGTATTAAAAAAAGAAACAAAATTTCTTCAGAGATAAAAGTGGCCGCTAGAGATTTCAGAGGGGTTGACGAGGAGATGCTAAGAGAGATTTGGTCAACGCCCTTGCCAACCCAGAAGGCGGGCTCGGCGCTCCCAGAGGGATGTGATCACCTTCTCCCTCGTGAGTGAGGCCTCGGCCCGTTCTCTGGCCTCCTCGCAGGTCTCTGTGGCGGCGTTACACTTCTCTGCCTCCTTCTGGTACTGCGCCGCCAACCTCCTCGCCTCCAGAATGGTGTAGTTCATGTGGCGGCTGCGGGACTGGGCGACGACCTCCTGGAGCTTCAGCTCCTCCGCCAGAATGTCAACGAACTGCTTCTCCATTTCCTTGCTCAGCTCAGGGTCGTTCTTGCCGCAGTCTGTCGGGTCAACGGCCGCCACAACGCAAAATCGTAGTGCATCATCATAGAAGGGAAGTCAACGGCTGGGTTAGGTCAAGAGACGCAGCGGGCTTTGTAGAAATGAAAATGTTGGGGAAACAAGGGTTGACCTGGCACGGAGAGGTTCAGGAGACCTGTGGAAGGCAAGCGAGTGAGAGAAGATTGTGAGCAAGGGATTCATGAGATTGGACAGGAGAGAAATGTCAACGTAGCTCCAGCGTTAGAATCAATACTTCTTTGGTATCATCTAACAGAAGATCTTAGGAACACCATAAAAAGTCAACCTCGAGAACGGCGGTCAAAACCATGGTAGTGGAGGTGTGCTCGTGCTGGAGGGGGGGGCCTAGAAAAGAGAAATCAAGGACCAGAGCTCGTCTCATTCTAATGGGGGACGGACAATTAAAACGCCATCTCGAGCAAGTGAGAGTCAATGCGGGGGGGCCGACAATAAATTCTTCTCCGGAAGGTCAACCCCCTGGGGCAAAGCTTAAGGTCATCCAACGCTCTATAATGGATAAGAGCCGAGATATCAAATCATATTATATGACATGCTCAGCAAGCCTTTGATCACCCACCAAATCTGCTAGAGCTTGACCAGAACCACAGTGGATTAAAGGCATCAAACCGATAAATAATGTGGGCGTTGACCTTTGGCCAATCAGCATGAATCCATGTCGGTTCATTCATATGAGACTACTACAAAGGCACCTAATGGTTCCCTGCCGCCTTTTCTGAGGAAAAGCCTCGTGAATTACAGTTTTATGTAGAGAGAAAAAAAAAACCCAAGAGCCATTGTCTCCGTTCTACATGGCGATTCGCAGGCATTGAGGTGAACAGATTGGAGAACATTCTTCGTCGGATTCAACAATCGATTGATGTGAGGAAACCATTGGAACTCAACGAGGAAAACCGAGATTTCTGACATGGAATGCGCTCAGAATCAAGAGAGAGAAGCGGCAGCAACAGGGGGAGGGGAAGGAGGAGACAGAGGGACGGGGATATGACCTGGGGCGACCTTCTGGAGCGACAGCGGCGGAGGGCAGTCGCAGGCGCAGAGGGGGCAGGAGGGAGCGTTGCCGCCATTGAAGCCCCTCTTCAACCTCCAATAGAAAGCAGGCCCGGAGACGCACAGCGCCGACACAACCGCGAGAACGACGAGGCAGCACCTAATGCAGTTCCCCGATCTCCTTGACCCGTTCATGTCTCTCTCTCCCTCTCTCTCTCTCTCTCTCTCTCTCTCTCTCTCTCTCTCTCTCTCTCTCTCTCTCTCTCTCTCTCTCCTCTCTCTCCCTCTCTCTCTCTCTCTCTCTCTCTCTCTCTCTCTCTCTCTCTCTCTCTCTCTCTCTCTCTCTCTCTCTCTCTCTCTCTCTCTCTCTCCTCTCTTCTCTGAACCACCGCCGCCGGAGAGATCAGGCCACTGTCGCCCTCACCGCTGATACTGTAGAGGGTCCTGCGTGCCCACCTGCGGCCCTTCTCGATGCCTTTCCCACGGGACAGAGCCGCCGACCAACCGGAATCATCTTCTTCGAAAAGGGAAATACTTTCTATAAATATAAATATGGCGGTGGACGAGAGAAATGCGGCCGCCAAGTCGTCCTCTCCCGGCGACGGCGGCCGGTGATCCGGAGGTCGGAAGTGGAGGATGCCTTGAGGGCTCCAACGGGCCGGCCCATCCCTCATTCATCGCCCACTCCCCCCCGGTGCAGCAAACCCTAAAAGAACAGCAAAAACCTGAGTCTCCTCAAGTCTCAACAGCTCAAATACCCAGTTCAGGGTTTCACTCCTGGCCCACATTGGCCCCAACCCTCTAGAGAGAGAGATGATGACGATGTCTATGGGTCAGATGGAGGAGTAGCCCTGGGCCTGCCTCAAATCCCCATGGCTCAAAAACCCAGCTCAGGGTTTCTCTCCTGGCCCACCTCGGCCCTAGCCCAAGAGAGAGAGAGAGAGAGAGAGAGAGAGAGAGAGAGAGAGGATGATGTTTATGGGGTCTGGTTTAGTGGTTAAGGGCTTAAAATAAAATGAGAAGGTTCCTCTAGATCGATGTGAGAGAGAGAGAGAGAGAGAGAGGATGATGTTTATGGGGTCTGGTTAAGTGGTTAAGGTCTTAAAATAAAATGAGAAGGTTCTCGTAGATAGATGAGAGCGCTACCTGTTCCGGCCACCGCCCACGACATCTCTCGCCGTCGGCGACCACGTGACGAGTCCGACAGGCGAAGCTCACGACCCCTGCCTTCGCCCACAAGCATATTACGCAGGGCTCTCTATCGGCCACGTCAACCCCTTCCCCTTCCACTTCCTCTTCTTCTTATTCTTGCCCTTCCCAGACAGGCGGCACAGCCGGATCAGCAAAGCTTCTGAGAAGAGCGGCCATGGCGGAGAAGAAAGAGATGGAAACGGTGAAAGGCCTGGATCTGGAGAGGTACATGGGGAGATGGTACGAGATCGCCTCGTTCCCGTCGAGGTTTCAGCCCAAGAACGGCACTGGCACGCGGGCCACCTACACGCTCAACGCCGACGGCACGGTCCACGTGCTCAACGAGACCTGGAGCGGCGGAAAGAGGGGCTTCATCGAGGGCAGCGCCTACAAGGCAGATCCCAACAGCGACGAGGCTAAGCTCAAGGTCAAGTTCTACGTTCCCCCCTTCCTCCCCATCTTCCCCGTCGTCGGAGATTACTGGGTTCTCTTCATCGACGACGACTACCAGTACGCCCTAATCGGCCAGCCCAGCCGCCGCTATCTCTGGGTATGCCCCCTCTTCTACATCTGCTTCTTCTCTCTCCTCTCTCTCTCTCTCTTTCTCTCTCTCTCTTCTTCTTTGAGGAAAATTTCATGGTGGCGGTGGTGTAGATACTGAGCAGGAGAACCCAGCTGGACGAGGAGGTGTACAACCAGCTGGTGGAGAAGGCCAAAGAGGTGGGGTACGACGTGGGGAAGCTCCACAAGACGCCGCAGCTGGATCCGCCGCCGGAGACGGCGGAGAGCCCCAAGGACACGGTGGGACTCTGGTGGTTCAAATCGCTGCTCGGCAAGTAGACGCGCCGCGCCAGAAGGCGGCGGCGCTGGTCTTCCGTCTCTGTAAATAAACATGGAAGCGAAATAAAGAAGACGCCACTTCGTGGAAGAATCATCAGTTTTGCAGGAATCGTAAGCTGTTCATGGGGTTTGACTTTCCCCCCTGCTAGGAGAAGAACCACCATGGCTGAATGAAAGCCCTCTTTGCCTGTTTTCATGCATTTCCTTAAACTGTGCATGCCTGCTTCTGTTCGAAGGAAGAAGATGAAGAAAAATCATCGAAGCGGATTGATGATGATCAGCTAGAACTGGAATAGGCCAGCTCGTCCAATGTCAACCGAGATAACTTAACCATCCGAGCTTATCAAGCTCGGATAGCTGAGTGACCTACGTGTCCCCTGGCTTAGGATAAACTCGAATGACGTTGCTTAACTCAACTTTTCCCCAGTCCGCTTCACCTGTCATACTAAAAATGTTGTTGACTCAGTTTGACCGAGAGAGAGGGAGGAGAGAGAGAGAGAGAGAGAGGTGAGGCGACGTAATTATTCTTAACTGGTTGCTAAACTGGCCTAGAAGTGTTCTGCTTTTCACTAATCCAAAACCCAAAAAGGGAAATAAATACCAGACCTAACACATTCAGCTGGCAGTCGTTGGAATTAGAAGTGTCCCAAAATTAGTACTTTATGGGCACCTGCCGAAGCACGGGGAGACGACCTGCATTTTGTCCTGAAATGGCAAAATGTTCCTCATCAGGCGAAGGGGGAAGAACCCTGGCCTTGCGTTCCCTTCTAGAAAGCCTCGCAATCCGCCATCTCTTTCTGATGTCTGGCGAGGGTGAGGGTTCGGAGCTCTCTCTCTCTCTCTCTCTGGGTTGTTGCCGGGCCCAATTCATCAAAGAAAGAAAAACAAGCTATAGGGCATCTTTCGATTAAGCAAAACCTCCGAGGAGACGTCTTCAGATCCATACTGGCAGAGGTTGAAAGAGGAGAGGCGGCGTCTCGGGTTAGACGCAATTGAAAACCTGTACAAAACTCGAACACTTTGTCGTCGTTAGGGCAACAAAGATCCACACACCTGTTCAATCATCCAATGTGATGACGTCAGCTGGGTCCCCCGGTGGGTCCGCAGAAACGGTGGGGCCCGGTATTGGGAGGCCATTCCTATCCACCTCTGAGTCAACGGTGTTTCCTCTTTGGGCGTCCTCATCTGGTTCGGTCTTACCCACACCACCTGCCGTGGGATCGGGAGAAGCCTCTGGAGGCGCTCGGCCGTTGACACTCTTATCGGATCCATTCTGGGGTGTCTCCTCTTCCACCGCTTTGCCCATCTGGAAGATCAGATCGGGGAGCCACTTAGAAGGCTACGTGTGGGGAGGGCGGAAGACCAGTTTTGAGTGTGATGTTGATGGGATTACCTGGGGCTTCTGCTGCTCGTCAACTGTGTTCTCGCTGGGGGGCTTCAGTGATCCTGCGGAGCATCGATACTCGTAAAGAAATGATCTCGTAAGCAGATACGTGCACTTGAAGGGATGAATTGGACCACGATAGGGAGATATATGCGGTAAGTTTATTCCTATTGCTGGGAAACTTTTCAGGGCAGGATAGGGTTTTGCTAGAGTCAGCGACGACTTTAAATCCGGGGTCAGGAGAAGAACAATAGAAACATTGGGCTCCCCTTTGAATGATCATATGTGAGAAGCTGGCCAGATACGTCTACAGAGACCAAGATGGTGAAGAACCTTGAACTGTGGGTCAAGAGAGCAGCCATGGCACTTTGTCAACGTCCCATATTAGGTCAGCAAGGCTAAAAAGGGAACCGTGTCTGAAGTTGTGAGGTTGGGACGGACAGTAATCTTTAACGATTAATGAAAAAGTAGAGAACGAGGTGAGAACAGGGTTTTGTTACCCGTAGGTTGCAGTGGAGTTGACCCATCCAAAGGTTGAGAATGGGCATCACATGTGGATTGATCAGGTGGAACTCCCGGCTCCGGTTCGGTGTCATCAGCTGCGGGCCCAGACGGTTTCGCATTGCCCTTCAAGCAGAAGACCAAGAAGAGACGTTCACATAATCCAATTAGTGGAAATAAGTAATTCGCCAATAACCATCGCATGATAGGCGCAAATAATAATAATAATAAATAAATAAATAAATAAATAAATTCTCCACGTACCAAGTTTTCCTTGAGAAATTCTTCAGTATGTATAGCTTTTTCCAGAAGCAGAAATCTTTTTCTTATGAATTCAACCATCCTCCTCTGAAGCTCTCTGAGCTGATACAACATAGCGACATCTGGCAGTGATTGATTTCCTCTGGAGTGTTCCAGAGTTCCATCGGGTGCAGCATCTGGCAGGGATCCAGCAGCTGCTCCCTGCATCGGGTTATCAGATCCTCCCGCTGGCGGCGCCCCGTTGGCAGCCCCGTCATTGATCTGATTGGATCCAGGGGCGGAACCATTTACAGATGGTAGATTCTGCTCCTGACGGACAATATCTCCAAGCCCGAGTTCCTTATCTTCAACAATAGCTTGCCACCTTGCATATCCGTGCCTTAAAGTCAACGAAACAGATTAGAAACTACGAAATTGGGGCGGTCAACGGGAAATATTTATTCGAATACATGGAAATGCAGCAAGAAGCAGAAAAAGAGAGAAAAACGGGGAATCTACTCACGTTTTTTTATCATTCTACAAGTACAAGCACACACAAGCGAGCAAGAGAGAGAGAGAGAGAGAGAGAGAGAGAGAGAGAGAGAGAGGGCATAGACTCTCAAATGATTCAGGCAAATACCTAAGGAATTATGACCAATTCTCCACTGAACAGGACCTTTAGTCAGAGTGAATCAGTAAATGATAATTAGCATATAGTAAGACTACCACAAAACTACAGCCATGATTTGACTTGCTACCTATCTAGCTAGGATCCCTGACAATACATGGTATATTTTACAAGGGAAGCAATACATGAGGATTCAATAAACTGTTCCAATATATCGCTTTTGTCCAGTAAGCTCCACCAATTCTGGAGCATATTGCTTTAGAAGAAAAGCTATATATAAATATATATATATATTATATTTCTCAATGCATTTTTATCACAGATAAATCTACACCACTGTTTCATTATTCCTATTTTAATGTTACGTTCTCAACATGGAATGTAAAGCTCAAGTACTGCAAAGAAAGAAAAGAGTGTTCAATGTCTATGAAATACCAAGGCTGCTTATTTGATCACACAAAATAAAAAATAAAAAAAAAAGAAACTTTGAGAGGACGTACTTTAAAATAGCTCTCAACAACAACAAGTCGTGTGTCTCCTTCCATACTCTCCCAGTCAACCCAGGAAAGCGCAATAATATTTCTTGTGAGAAAAGAGGAATCCCAGGCTTTTCTGATACAAGGTTCACCTGTCACGACAAAGAAATCGTAATAAATGGACTAGTGCTATCATGCAGATAGCAAGCCAATCAATTCAAGAAAATTAAATTTTCTCTAATCTATCAGACGCATATGTGATAAAAGCCCATCAATATTTTCACACGGGGGGGGCTAATCAATGTCATGCGAGATAACCCTATGTTTTTCACAGGTGAGTGAGAGAGCCACTGTTTTTCACAGGTCGTATTACGTCTGCAAGCTTCAGAAGAACATTGATTTGAGAACGGCAGGTTTGGAGATATGGAGGATTTCGATAGAGGTCCTATAGGGGAACAGCTTAGGCCATACTAGGAAGGTGAACGGCCAAGTATGGAACGGTGTGCTCCTGGGAATCTGGGATAGATACAGAATTGCCAAAAGCATCTATTGAGAATGAAAACACGTACATGGAGGCTCTTCATAAAGATATCCAAAGACTTGCCCTGTCTATAAGTAAGAAATGGTATTTTTGATCGTGCTTAAGCTCTCCTGACAGCCTCTTAGACACGAAATGAACAGCTCTTTCATCTTTCTCACACAAAGGGCTGGGTGTGTACATGGTTCTCTGATCGTTTGCGTGATAAACGTAGAACAGTCAAACGAGAACATAGCTCCTTAGGATTCAGAATGTCCGAGCCTATTGTGTTGATCCTCGCTTAATCTCCCAAATCAAGCAAGCAAGCTTGCTTCAGTTTCAATACCTAATGAGCAAATGGATCAGCTGGGGTTCATGGATAACGTTTTACATGGGGTTCATAGAAAAAACTGATACGAGCGAATCCAGAACTGGCCTAAAGTTGCAACCCAGTCCAGGAATCCGGCTTGGTTTTTCATCTTTTTTAAGTTTCTTATTGATTCAAGTTGGCCAATTATTCAATCCTTTTACTGAATTTACATGCAGCCGTTGCACATTTTATCATGCTTTTCAGTTTCTTTTCTCAGGGACCAAATGCTCAGATGACTATCCATAGCCACGCCTCTTACTATTAACATACCTAGACCTACAGAAGACTAATGCATATATTTCCACAGAGATCGGCTCTTACTTTTGAATCAGATGAAACAGAAAAAAAAAAGTAAAATAGGGTATGAAAACCACAGGAAAAGAGACTTAAAGGACGAAAATTCGAGAACAATCAAATTGGAGATGGCTTAGCAATCAGGAAGATAGATGAAGAAAGAATTATACGTGGATAATCTGCGCTTGAAACACAGTATAAAGACAAATTTGATTCCCAAATAACGACAGTATCGACGTAATAGATTTTGGTAAGTCATGTCTACCTTGTCCTTTATCAACTGCAAACTTGCAATCCTCACTAATACCTCATCAGTTCTCAGCCCTTCTTTTGGGACACCATCTAAACAAAAAGAATGAAAACAATATAAAATCAAAATCAGTATGATACGATTATATGGTTTGTTGAGATCAAGCTAACCTGAAAATGTAGGTGATTCAGTCATGTCTTCAGCAATGTGAGACATAAACAGCATCCCATATCTGTGAGAAAAAAAAACCATGAAACAACTTGCGTGCAAACGACAGTTCTTACTTTCACGTATAACTGTCAAAAACACCCGTTTTCTTGTACGATAGGATATGTGGTGAAAGAATGTGATACTTTGTAATAGTCAATATGCGACAATTCAACTGAGTAGTTAGTCAAAAATGCATATAAGTTCCTCTCGGTATTCAATGGAGCCTACATACATCATCCTACCAATAAGAAGCAAGGGGGAAAACATCAATCAGTTAACCTTGCCATGATTTACTAATGGTGACCAAGTAGAAATCATCAAGTGTGGTACTTGTCTCAAATATAAAAATGGACGGTTCAGATTGGAAATGGCAATTCAATAAGCCTGAAGAACGCTAATGTTTGCATGGCGCTTGAAAGATAGCAGATATCCTCGAAGCAAATTCAGTGAAGGATTTCGGTGACAAGACAGTGCAATGGTGAAAGTGACTAGTGTGTTGTTGATTCTAGATAGCATATCTGGATGAATTCTTGAAGAACAGAGAATGAAATTTATCCTAACTGATCGCGCCCGCTTAAAACAAAATCTAGTCTCTCTAGATCTAAGGATAATGCAAGACCTTGCGACTTCCATATATTATCACTTAAATCAAGCGGCAAAAAGAAGGTCCCACTGGCAAAAGATAACATAGAATTCTTTGAGAATCACTGGGCACTGAGATGCACGCAAGTACTATTCACAAACCAGCCGCGGTTTTTCTTGTATGGGAGCTTTTTTGTTTTTTCGAGAGACAGGTTTAAATTATTCTAAAGTTTTATGGTTCTTGATCGCCAACGTACTGCATAGTAAACAGCATTCAAATCCTCACTAGTTTACTAGTCAAGACAAATAATAATTTCAAGCCTGGTAAGAAGACAAGGGCAAGCTACATTCCTAACAAAAAAGAACCACCAAACTGATGTCTATGAAATATCATAAACTACTCAAGAGCAAGTCAAAATGTTCGTTATTACTGTCAGTTCAACCCTTAAATTTGGCGGGAGTAAAGGATAGACTTTATTTTCAATAAATATGTGAATCTCAACTGATTGAAAAACAAAAGAACATATTTTGTGTTCCTCAAATTCGTACTCTTTAATTTCTCCAAGGCTCTTTCCTTTCATTCGGGGAAGAAACTCGCTCCAATCAAATTCCCCAAAACCAAACCTACAAGACAAAACGAAGATAAGAAGGGATACAAGTACAAATTGGAAAGTGAATTGAAGAACAAAACGCGTTGAAGATTGGCGTAAAGATAAAGTACCAGATCAAACAAACATGCAAATGACACCCTAGTATCCGCTAATATACATAGTACTATCAGATTGTCAGTAGTTCTACGTAAAAACCTAAAACATCCAACGTGACTGCAACCCAACCATGATAGACGTCTTTGTTGTGGTTGTGATGTCCAACTTCCATATAAAAGATAGTCCGCACTTTAAGAGATCATAAAAAAAGCTGTTGGCCCCCCACTCCATTAAAATATCCATCTCCCAGCTGGAAAACCTCTCTCCGCTTCCCAAATAGAACAAACAATTGCATAGAATAATACCGCAAAATATCGTCATTTGTCTGCATAGGCCATTCTTATCCCACCTCAAAGAAGACCATCCAAAATGTCCATAATGGCGACCTCATCCCACATTCAGAAAAGAAGATCCACAAATAGAAACTCAGTACTCCTTGAAATCGTGAGGAGGAAGTGCAGAATAAATCGTGAAATTCAACAGATTAGAAACTCCACATCTCATAGAGGATGCACCACAAAGACTAGACCATCTGACTGGTCAGAAGGAAAAAAAATAGGAAATTTTGCGAAAATTTTCTGCTGTTCATTCAGGGTATGAAGAACACTAGATTCTAATTGCTTTTCTGTCTCTTATTTCTTGGATCTTCCTTAATACTGCCGTGGCTCATCGTCTTGAATTTGATAACTAAGGTGGATATTCAACCTTAGAAAAAATCTGATTCTTACCTCCATCCATACGGTACGTCCATTGTTAGGGGAGTCAAAGCCATCACATTTGATACATGGTCAACCCCGATCAATGACCCAATAAATAATATTCTTTCCAGAACAGAAGGCAATTCCCAGACTGCCATAATATAAAAATGCTAACCACTAGAGAAAGGGATCAGGATACACTTGTATAAAAAATGAGAATGCTTCTGCCCCACAGCCATACGTAGATCAAGCATAAACTACCATCGTTCACATGACCTTGATGGAATGCTAGTCCGATTGCTCCCATAAACCTAAAGGTTGAATGAAGGAAGGTAGTTATTTCCACCCTCTCCTGCAGGGTGGAAATAGCTTTAGTTCAAATGAACCTCAAGTGTAAGCACCAACTAATAAGAACACGAGACTAAACATGCCATAGACACAACAAAAACATCTCTCAAAAACAGCAAACTACAGTAAGAGATTAGATCTCCAGCCAACTCTAAACAATCACACATCAGAGAGGCAGCCCCTGCATTCCAACTATGTAGTTATTGAAAATGAGAGAGCTACTTGCATCTCTCCCCATGAGAAGAATTTCCACCTAGTTTCAGCACAACTTTCACAACAGTAACTTTGGATCAACCAGAGAAAATGAACTCTTTGCCTCAATCTTCAATTTTTTTTATTTAGCACTCAAAGATTTTAACAAATAGAACAAATACAGAAAAATATAGACAGAGAAACCTGAAACTGGAAAGGGTGACAAAAATAACTACAATATCTGGCATTTGCAACTTTTCCCAAAGGTAAAATAAATGCTCTGGCTCGGCCATTGATCCTGAGATAACAATTTACTTCAGACAGCCACATTGTAGAATGGAACATTAGAAAGTAATGAGAGCATTTAGATAAACCAAAACAACCACCAGAAAAAAAACATACTTCTATTGAATAACCAAAAGACTAGCTAATAAGTGTTTCCAATAATGCACCTCATTAAGATCTGAACAAAAGCAGCCCTTTGTCCTTGATTGAACCCCAGAACTCTGAAACCCTTTCCCTCTCCCTCCATCAACGGAAGTGGATCTGAATTATCCACTGAAATGAAAATTTGACAGTTGTGAGGGAACAGGAGTAATCAGAAACAGAATCATCACTAAAAAAAATGATATGAACTGTCAAGGGAAAGAAAATAAACTACAGCGAGCTTTTTTCTTGAGTAAGTATGCCCTTCTTGCGGATGAACTGCCAGATGCATCAGCATCAACATCCGACACATCATCTTCGTATTTATAGTCCTCATCTTCAGAACTAACATCTTCGAGTCCAGCGAGGTCATCATCTTCCGCAGCTGCCATCTAAATAAATAAAATAAAATGGAAAAATAAAGAAAAAAAATCAATGACAATAGAAATTGAAGGAAATAACTCGTTCAATGAAAGTGTGAAACATTTTCTATCAAAAGGTAAACATGATAATTAATAATGCAATCAAAAGAATGAATTAGTTCTAATGGATTTGGAAGCTCATATAGTTCCCGCAGAAGCTCCTTTCTGTGTGCCCAACTATAATAATAAAAAAAAAACATATTCACCCATTTCAGAAGGTCGTTTCCCTAACGGTGTAGCATACAATCTGGATATACTTCCTCCAAATCTAACGTCAATGTTTTTACAGATATTATCAATTTTTTAAAGCGAGATAATCAATCAGACTGCATGAAATGCATGCCGTTTCCTTGCATTTTTTTAATTTCTTCAAACAATCTTCCACCAATGAACGAGCAACCACATTCTCCCAGAAAAGCTAATGGCAAAAGAAATGTGGTCTATCAACTGTTCAAGAGTAATAAAAGTACCATCAAGCACAGGAGGTGCAGCGGATAATCAAAATAAAACGATTATAATCATACCCGATCAAAATAACTACAATAAAAATATAAGAGCAAAACATATTTTGTGATCACATATGCAAGCACAAAAAATGGGAGACGATTCCGAATGAGCCTCCCAAGACTGCTCTAATGTTCAACTCTACAATCCCTAACTAAAGTTTTCTTGTTTCAACAGTTCCTAACTTCAGGCATCTCTTTGGCAACAATTTTTCCTTGAAATCGGTTTCCTCCAATTCGTATGACTTTATTCTACAGATAGACACAAAATTGAAGCATACAACAGATACAAGAAAAATGTATAGGTTGCAGCTCTAACATAGGAAGCAAACTCAAAATATATTGATAGCTAAGTTCACAGACCTAAAATAAACTAACCATAGTAGCTAACTTCACTTACTCACAACGAAACAAACTCAAAATATATTGATAATGACAAGAAAGAAACTAGAAGATTTACTTGTTTCCTGCTTCTTTTTCCCTTGCCGAGGGAAGAAAGCTCGTCAATTTGATGCATTTCATATTTGTCCTTGAGCAATTCATCCCAGTAATTTGCTCTTTCTACATTGGAATCAGAAGCCTTGTTCAAACTAGATCGCCTTCGTTCTTCCTCTTCCTTTGCAGCTGCAGCTTCCACTTCATCTATGTACTCAAAATTTGCTACCTATCAAAACATTTATGTGAGTAAGTTTAAATATACCAACCAAAGACAAGGAAGATGTATCCAAATTGCAGCACAATCTATGCAATTAGAAACTCCTCTTTATCACAACCAACATGATGATTAACTTTCGAAAACTCATTGCTATGGCAGATAAATTGCAAGAATCAACTACAACCTTCACAGTTGGAAACCAAGGCTGATGTTATGCATTCAATTGAGAATACAGGCTACAAGGACATGAGACTTAGTCGACCCATTTCCACAACGTTATTCAGAGACATCTACATTCGGAAAAGCCTTAATTGAGAAATTTTCAAGCAGTCACTCCAATTTGTTTAAACACCTCTAGGTAATAAACTTGCACGTCATTAAGATGACGGTTCTAAGTTGAACCGTCAGATATATGGACAAAAGAAGCAAAGAAATGAGTAGTTCAGTGCCAGTATCTATAGGCCTAAGGAAGAGATAGCCAACACATATGACATAGGAAAATCCAATACCAGGTAACGAAACCACAATAATAACTGGACACAAAAAGGGAGAGATAGAGAAACATAGATAAAATAATACCGTCCATCAAACGGATTAAGTGAAAACAGAACCTTAAATGCCTTGAGAAAATCATCATCCTCCTCATCGTCAACAGCGGATCCATCACCCTCAAGTAGTTCACGATTAAGTAGTCTATCAAAGATTAAAAAAATAGAATTTGGATTTAGCGAAATACGAGGCAAAGAATGACTTTGAAATGGAATATTACTGACATAACCATACCTTTCAATTGCTGCATCATCGTAGTGAATCTGGCGTGCTTTCCCAGCTTCATCATTCTCATCAGCAAATAACTCCTTTGATCCATATCTGATTATGTCATCCAACTCTTCCTAGAGTTATGCAAACCAAGTGTTAACAATATTGTCATTACAGCGGTTGGGAACCTTCATACTTCAAGTTATTTTTAAAATCATGGTGGCAGATTAAATATCATCCACATTTTCCAAATAACACTGATGTTTACCATATGTCAACCACATAAATGACTCTTGTCAAAACAGCTAACACTTGAGATAGATTTCCAAAATTTTAAACTAAAAGAATTCAACTAAGCCAATCCACACTACTCTTTGGAGTGGGAAATATACTTAAGAGAAGTGTAATTGATTAGTCAATTTGTACGAATCAACACACTCTAGATTCTCATTTAAATAGAATGGCATGAATCGCGCTTAAACGACCGATGTATTCGCTTATTGAATATATAATAAAGCAATACTTGGTTCACAGTTTGCGCCTTCAGTCGCCCAACCACCAGATGTTCTAAAATCATCTTCTTCTTAGTCAACTGCATCATTCTTTCTTCAATAGTATCCCGCGTAATAAGCCTAAAAATCATCACCTGTAGCAAGAAATCAGGACACCGAGTCATTGACCTGTGATGAGAGTCTTATTCCCCTTGTCAAGATGTACTACAAGCCACCTAACCTTGTTAGTCTGGCCTAGTCGATGTGCCCTAGCCATTGCTTGTAAATCTGCATGAGGATTCCAATCGCTGCACAGGAGAAAAGGATCCACCAATAAATAGAAATCAAAGAAAAAAGGAATAACAACTGAAGCGCCTTTTGAGTGTAAAAAAAGAAAAAAAATCAGAATTCCACCTATCATATATGATAACAGTATCTGCAGTCGCTAGATTTATGCCCAATCCCCCAGCACGGGTAGACAACAAGAAACAAAACCGAGTTGAGTTCTTGGCATTAAAGCGGTCAATACGAATTTGTCTTTCTGCTCCATTAATCTTTCCATCAATGCGCTCATAGCTCCATTTCTTTAAAAAAGTAAAAATAGTGTCAATCAACAGGCCCATTAAAATTCTCTATCCTACAATGGCGACATACAAGATCACACAACTCAAACACATTCCCGCTAAAATTAGACGCAAATGACTACACTGAATTCCATACCTTGTAATTTAAGTAATCTTCTAGTAAGTCCAGCATATGCTGAAACTGTGAATAAATAAGCACCCTATGGCCTTGTTCTTTCAGTTTTACCATCATCTTATCCAACAACAGCATCTTCCCAGAAAATTCTAGGAGTTGCCTGCCATAAAATACAAATAGTGAATCACCTTAATTTCAGGATCTACACAGCTATTTACATATCTAGAGATATCATCAACTTAAACATGATACATGAATTAAAATTGGAGAAGATAAAAAAAACATAAATGTTAATAATAAATAATGAATTATATCACTTTTTACCAAGTTGTTTCTCAACCTGGATCGTCGATGTGTACATCAGAGACCCTCAAATGGATTGTGAATATTCAACATGTCAAACCAGACTCACTGTTAACATGCCAAACCAGATCAACCAACAATAGAGTAAAACACCAAATTAAATCAACTTACCTCAATCCTTCATTGACATCTTCAGGCTCTACTTCAGGCTCAACTCCTTCTATCATATATGCATGACAACAAAGCTTGCGCAATTCCATCACCACGTTGATAAGAGAAATCTAAATGGAGTAATACTCTGCTTAAATACATACCCAACAACAAAACTTGTTTCACTAGAAGAGCAAAAGGTTACCTGCGCACCACTACGCCGGGTTAAAATCTGGTAGTTGCGAGTAAGAATGGCCTTATAATATTCTTTCTGTTTACTGCTTAATTCAACACGCAAAATTAGTTCTTTTTTCGGAGGGAGATCCTTCATGACATCCTTCTTTACCCCTGTACATGTTATAAAATACTTAGTAACGAAGCAATGTGCAGCATTTTGAAAAGAGTATAATCAGATTGTCTGCTAGGTATGACCCTCAATGTCACATCAAATTTTAAGAAGTATTCCTAGAAGACAACAAGTATAATCAGATTGTCTGCTAGGTATGACCTCAATGTCGCATCAAATTTTAAGAAGTATTCCTAGAAGACAACAAGTATAATCAGATTGCAATCGAGAGGAAATTCAAAAAGAGGACCATAACACCTGGCAATTTGACAAACGACCTCTAGTTTTCGCAAAGAAAGTGCACTTTGGACAGGTAATGGAAATACAGAAAAATATTGCGCAAAGAAAGAAAAGAACGGAAGTATAAATGTGAAAGCAGTAAATAACTAAGACATATTAAATCACTTAGCTATTCCCATGTAGAAACAAAGTTTCCACGTAAAATAGCATTTAATGGAACTAAAGAAGTACTGATGAGAACATACGTCGAAGCAGATGTGGAGCTAGCATTTTATGAAGCCTTGCAACTTGCTCCTCCTGGTTAATGTCCTTAAATTCCTTCTGGAAATCTTCCAAACTCGAAAACTAGAAGCATATTTAACAGGGATCAGAGAATAAGGATCAGAAAAAGGTCTGATAAACAAGGAAAACATGCACGGATAAAAAAGTTTTTTTTCTATTTCGCTGAAAGGCCCAATTCAAGTACAACCTTGTGAAATATACAGAGTCAAGCACAGTACACATACTGAAAAAAATCTGAATAACTAGCATTCGGTACGGTTAACGAAGCTGGCACCATATGACTGCTAATAAACTTCTCCCTTACTCAGACAGTACTTTCAAGGGATCATAGATAATTCAACAAAGCCTTTCGGACATAGCAGGCTTTGAGTGATGATCTCTAATGAAATCTAAAAATCACTGAAGAAAGCAGGGATATCAACTGTGTTTAAGTTTGCTCCTTTCATCTCATATTCAACCATCTCCAGACAGAAAAAAGAAGCACGGCTCTAGATATGCGATTAGGAGTCATCTACCATAACTGAATGTTGCAACATCACAGGGACAGTAAATGGATTAGCACTAACCTTTCCCGCATCGAGAAAGTGCATAAGTATGAATAGCTCATCCAGATTGTTCTGAAACCATATAATAAAAATGAACGAAGATGTTAAAAGATAATATCCCTGCAATCTAAATAACAATATAGTAAGAGGATGTAATGACAAACTCAATAGATTTCGATTGTAAGAAATACTTATATTCGGTTAGTTCAAAAGAAAACTTGTACGAAGGAAAGTGGACAGTACGTCAGAACTGATAGTATAACATCCGTGGAAGTTAAGGAATAAGAATGACCTTCTGAGTGTCAGAACTGTCATATGAAAGCGAATAATTTCCAGACAGATATAAATATTTTCATGCCATGAGATACAAACTGTGGTGGATTGATACAATTTGCGCATAGAGGTTAGCTTTCCACATTCCAGTTGAAAGTCTCCATTCAGAAAATGCCTCTTTAAATAAAATAAAAAATTCGAACTGGCTGTCAGTGAAATCTTCTAATTGTCTCCATTCAAATGATATATATATATATATATATATATATATATATATATATATATAAGACGAGCAGTGGAATAGGGTCCTTCCTCCTAAGGTGGTCTTTGAGGATGGAGGGAGGGAAAAGGGAGAAGACCTCCATCTTCTCTTCCTAATGAGCACTGAAATTTGAGTACGTCATACTACAGAATTAAGGATTGATGCATCTCTGTTAAATGACACAGATCCTATCTGTCTCACTGTCCTTGGATCAATGCAAAAGGACATGATACAAAACAACTGATTTTAAATAACTATAAAACAAAGAAAGAGTACGAACCTGAAGAGGTGTTCCCGTTAAAAGCACACGATGATTGGAAGGAAAAAGTTTCAGCGCAGAAAATAATTTTGAGTCTTTGTTCTTAAGCCGATGACCCTCATCAACAATCTATATGAAAAATGATCAGCACTTCAGTACTAGTATATGCAAATAGAATGGAAGACAGAATAAACCAATTCAAACTTGAATCAGCCAACTGAATCAGAACAACCCTATATTGAAAATCAGGAGAAATTTTGGAGAAAATGGGATTTGTTCTTCAGCCAAAAAAGTAGAGGATAATATGAAGAAGAAAGAGAATAATGGAAGACTCATAGCGGGTCACTATACCCAATTCAAGATTTCAGTCTAATACAAAAATTGCATACAGCCTACTATATCTCTACCAAACTAAATAAAGTAGAGGTCATACCACACATTCCCAGTTTATTGGTTTCAAGGATGTTGAATCCATGTTAATCATTTCATAAGATGTTAGAAGAACATCAAATTTCGTCTGCCTTTCCCTCTTCTCATTCAGATCTTTGGAAGATTTCATTTTCTTGTTCTTTTTGAATTTATCCTGCGGATAGAAAAATTCGTACTCCCTGATGACAGAGCGAGCTTGAGAAGACCCAAAATACATTACCTACAGACAAATTAACCCGAGTCAGAAATATTATCACCAAGAATGATTCGTGAAATTATTTCCTGAATGGGAATTAAATTCAAATCACATACAACATTCATCTGAGGTGCCCAAGTTGCAAATTCACGTTCCCAATTGCGTAACGTAGAAAGAGGTGCTACTACTAAATGAGGAGATATATTTTCCTCAAAGAGGGAAGCAAGGAATGCAATGCTCTGTATCGTTTTTCCTGCATCATTCATGCTCTCCATCAAAGGTTATAAAATACTGACCAGTACAGTAACAGATAGAAGGAAATGCTCACCAAGGCCCATCTCATCTGCCAGGATAACATGTGTACTCTTGGACCATGAATACCGCAAAAAGTTTAAACCCTCCAGTTGATAGGGATGCAATGAGCCTTCAACAGAGCAAAATCATAAGGATATACCATGACTGTTACACGAGAAACAAGAAACAAATACAAAAATACGGAATGGAACTCAAACTAAATCCACAGGACATGAAAAGGCCATACATCACAAAATAATGTTGAGAGAAAAGCACCTCCAGATAAAAATGTTGGACTATGTTCGTATTGTTGAAATTCTTTCTGCTTCTGTTTCAATTCTTTGGTAGTGCGAGTGGAAATCTTGTGCCTAGTAAATGTCTTGGATGCTTTTGACTGAATCAGGCTATATCTGTCAATTTGAGGCTGAAAGGCAGAAATATCCGATTCGAATTCCCAAGAACATTCATCATACGGAAGTTCTTTCCATTTAACAAAATATTCCCGTTCATCACCTCTTCTCCTGAAATAATTTCGTCACTCATTATGCTGTAGAATACTGTAGAAAAAGTTTCCACATTTTCTTTTTAGGTCCACACATCTATGAGTCATTGTATAAACAAACATCTCTTTTTCAAGGAAGGAGATAATTAAAATGTAGAACATCCAAGCTATCCTTTCAACCATTGTTTTCATATTACTCCTAAGGCCACCCCACTGAAGTAGGACATGTTCCATAATTAAATGTGATGTATACTACATTCAAATAATAAATGTGATATATAATGCATTCAAATGAAAGTATTCAAACTTTCGAGCACAAAATGCGCCCTGTCGTAGGGTATCTCAACCCCAGATGAGATGAAGCAGAATCAGGAACCGTAATTGACTAAAGCAGACAGTTAAGGAGGTTAAGTTACATCATGCATTCGCATCCATCCCACTATCAATAACATCTTGCAAACTGTTCTTTCGCTCTGTGTCTTCTTAGCCAAATAACTTCATCCATAGAATGTCGGATCTTTAGCACTTGTAGCCTCATCTATGTGAGCATAAAAATATCGGAGATGGAAAGGCTGAAAAACTAGTACACTGTCTAATGATATAAGACCATGCTTGTATTTCAATATGAGTTACTTACACCATGAGGAGAGAACATCAGTTCTCAATAACATTGCCCAACAACTAAAAGAAAGTGTGGTTAGGTTAGTCGACTCAGAACATATCAGTCTGAGTTGTCTTAATGAGAACAATGCAGACCCAAAAAAGGCTTAGAGATTTAAAAGGATCACTTCAAATATCTGCATCCCTGATCATGTAAGGGATTGATTGCATGGTCTACTAATTGAAAAAAAGGCAACAGATGAATAAAAGGAAACCGAGGATAATATGAAGAAAATAAAGCAAAACCACTACTTGTTGCAGCCATCAATAGTTATTTTGCCCACTGCTAAGGGTCATTGCCCTGTGATGTCAGTTGGTCTATTTTGATTATGTTCCATCTTCTGCTTCCACCAATCCTTCCCCCCTCTACCGGCCATCTCTTTCCTTACATCGACAATGAACCAGTACATACGCATTAACTTGAACAAGACTTAAGTATGAGAGTTTTCATCTCACAATGAGACTGCGCATATTATTTTAGCATCTACATAGACCATATTAGGTCGCCAACCCTCTCAAGATTGAGGAATAAAGCTCTTCCTGATTACAAAAGCTTTAAGTTAGAACGGCATGTGCCATTTGGAATAGGATTTCCATTCAATGATTACGTGGAATTAATCACTTTCAGGAAATACTTTATCATTTTTCATTTTTATCTTCTAATAATTATTTATGTAAACCTAACTATTGTTATATTTTTGACATATATTTACATTTATCATGATACTTTGATCTAGGTTCTTAAAGAATGGCTCATCTGGCCAATCCAATCAATGTCTCCATTAAATCAGGCCTAGCTGACTCTCAACTTCCATCTGACTCGCAACCCAAAAGTAATACACCTCCGAGAAACTCTTCCAATCATTGTACATCACTCACATAAGAAGGAACTCCAACATCATCATAAATCAGTTCACAAATTTGAATGAGCAAACAATCATTAAATGTTCAAATTAGGTTGTTTCAACTGAAACGCTAAACAATTGACATCAGAATAAATCATCTGAAAATTAAAATCTAGGCTATAAGTTAACTCATTAATTTTAAAGTTGTTAGGATACCACAAAATATTCAGTTGACCTGACAAGCATAATCAGCAAATGATTTAACAATTTTTTCATTGAATGTCAAACATTCAGGCATTTAGTCTATCATAGTGACATCAGAAATTGAAAATAGAAGAATCGTAACAAGCCATTGTCTTTCAATCTCAAACAAAAGGACAATTAATCTACCAAATATATAATGATTCCAAAGAAATCTGAAATGCTAAATTACAGCATAGTTTATTATTCACAAGGCATAGACACAATGTGTGACAGTAACAAAATTGTAAACCTGCTTGCAATTATTCTATCAACTGTAGTCCATTCGGGCCGAATCGCAATCCATTCATCCTCAGAGTTCGTCAGTGAGTCCATTTGACGTTTGAAATTATTGACTTTGGTTTTTAGTCGAGGATACTCCTTGAAAGCTTTTAGAAAATCCTTCTCTGATACCCTGAGAAGTTGTGAACAAAGTTGAAATTCAGAACAAAGTAACGTTAAGTAAATGAAGCAAATAAATAACTCCGAGTCTGATGAATATGAGCATCTCAAAAGAACTAGGGTACATTAACTATATTATTAAAATGATTGTGAAGAATGATCCAGATTCTTTGAACAAACAAATACAGATAATTTCCAAGTGAGCCACAAGCATTCAGATTTTTTTTGAGAGTCAGGATTAGATATTAAGAATGAGGAAGGATTAGATCCAACAACTACCATGTGCAATGAAGATAAGACATTCCCTTCCATTTGACAAGGTACTGCTTGACAAACTTCTGCTTAGAGGTTGGTTTTGAAGCATCACTTCTCTCTACTTCAGTTGGACGCATCTCACAATCTAAAATCTTCTCAATTTCATTCAGGGGGCTCGCCTGAAAAAGCAGAAATTTGAAGTCAACAGCATTACTAGAAATTCAGAAGCAAAAATGAAAATGACAGAGTTCGCATGTAATACGCATTCAGGGCATTTCCAGTTGCCAGAAGGAGCCACTTTCATAGGAGGAAGTGTACACTTTAGATGATAAGCATAGGTGCAAGTTTCACAGTTGATAAGCTTCCCACCTTCTCCACATGCGTGACATAGTTCGTCTCTCTGAACATACAAACAGGAATTCATTCAGGTAGAGATCGGATAGGCAAAAAATCACGCCAACTAACATGCAAGAGAGCCACCAGGACTTTGATCTTCAATCAGCCTAGCATTCTTTCAGTGATAGCATATCATAGACTTTACCTATAAAATGAGGACATTCATGTGATAGTACTTTCTAGTTTCCACTTAGGTAAATTCTTCTATTATGTCACATGCAGGTCTTAATCCCAATAACAAATGTTTTTCGTCTGCAGATAATACAACATATAGTTCAATCCAGATCCAGAAAATGGTCTCATTTTCTTATTATATTTCTTTTTTTCTTCTCTGAAACAACCATGTGAATATATCAGGTGAAAATTTGAAGTTTCATCGTTTCCTTGTATTTCACATAGATATTCCGTCTTAATTACGTCACAGCATTAAGCTTTGTCACTTGAAATGGAAGTCTCTACGGATTGAAGGGCTAAATCCATGCAAGAGCAACTTATTTTTGTTAGATGTCAGCCATTTCCTCATTACACGCCGGAAAACGTGTGAAATCTGCATTTGAAAAGAACAAGAGATGGAAGAAGTGGACATCAAAGTTTTTCGTTCCAGCCAAATGGGAGCATGGCCCTTAATGTTAACGATATTATGTGTGTTGCATGAGAGAGAGAGAGAGAGAGAGAGAGAGAGAGAGAGAGAGAGTTGATATAAACAACACCGATGCATTAGTAAGGTCTTTTTCTTTCAGAAAGCATCCTTGAAGCGGAATGACCATAGAAGCCATATTCAATCTGTATGGGGCAAAATAGAATTTTACTTTTTACAAACGTTAGGTAGGATGATCTGTTTAGCCCTTAGTTCAATGGATGTGGTGTTAATTATATTCCAGTAGATGGATCTAGTCAGAATAGACAAAGGGAGAAAGAACCCAGAAACAAATGAGGACTGCGATAAGGTATCATGGGCCTATATTAGGTAGGGGCAAGCCATGGCAGGGATTGACATTGGCTGCTAGTGAAGTAAGTAATTCTCTCCAGAAACACCCCAGCCACCAGCGTTATAATAAGGCTTTATTTAGCCTTCTGAATGTAGGGAAACTCTCTCGATACTGCAAAAAAAGTTCTAAGGGAGAATGTCAACCAAAACGGGGAATAAGTTTCGACGCAGTCGCCAACTCTAACAAAAATACTGGAAACCACGCCGATTACCACCAAAACCATGCATTAGACATTCTCCAGTTAAAATCCACAGCGTTTGTCAGTGAACTTTGGTTCAAATATCCGTTGCTACAGAAAATAACAAGAAGTATCAATTAAAATATATTTTTAATTCAAAATATGCATGTCCATGCGCCACAGATCAAAATAATGCGAATTCAAAGCTTATCAGCGATTCCCGTCTAAAGAGCTGGTGGCTTCAAATAAAAAGACGTGAACACCATTGGAGAGCTCGACTGCCATGATTCACGACAAATTTCAAACACATTAACCATATCCAAAAATAAAAATAGAAACACCGAAGGAAATTTAAATCGTGGCCCTAACTGCCTAAACATACCGCGTCAGCCCTGACAATACGTTCGTACTTCTCGGGAGCGGAAACAGGACCAGAGCGGCCTCCGGCCTCCATGAAGACATCGTCGTCATCCGAGTCGTCCTCGGCGTATAGTCGCCTCCTCTCTGTCCTTGCCCGAAGTCGCTCCACCAAGCTGCTCATGGTTCCTTCCACTCCTAACTCTGTCTCTTCGCTACGTGAAGGAAGGGAAGCCGATGAGCTTTCTACGACTTCGCCGCTGTCCTCCCGCCGACGGCATTAGATCGTGCTGATCCTCCGCCGCGGGAGTGGCTCCGGCACCGCCTCCGACCAACGCCTAGTGAAAGACTACCGCTGTTGCGAAAGGCGAAAGCAAGTTGGCCGGTATCGATTTTAATTTTTTCCCCTTTTCCCATTTTCCCATTTTTATAACCATTCTTATTCGCCAAAATGATAACGACGTGATGATGGTTTTCCGTCCGTCCATCTAGTGAATCCAATCAATCAATATCGTCCATATAATGTTGCCTCCTTCGACTCTCATCCAACGGCTCCTGTTAAGCCACAGTAATCCCTCGACGGTTAGCACGAGAGCTCGTCCACGTGGAACTGTCGTCGGCAGTGGGGCCCCTTCCACCGTTGACTTCCCACCAACACACCCTTTCCTGTTCCTCGTCCATTTTTGCCCATCTTTCTTCAGCTCAAGCCTCTATCCATGCTAGTGTTTATACTAATTTTAATAAAATAGTCAATTTTTGGCACCATAAATATAACTAGATAGATCGTAAGCTTAGACCATATATATGACCAAAAAAGCATATATAAGAGATCCATGGTAATACTAATTTTGTCTATGTTCACTCGTATAACACATATGCCTTGTGCATGAGAATGTACACGATTAATTACATCACATGATATGATTCCAGCTATGTTTCAGATATTTTCCTTTTTTATTGATATTTATTTATTTACTAAAGAAGGAACTATACTAAAAAAATAACTTAAAAATCGAATTGACTTTTTAATCGTAGAACTTATCACGCAGCTAGTGTAGTTGAGAGAAATAAAATGCACTAATTATTCGACAATATTTATATTTATGTATGTGTGATACTATAATCAAATGTATGTATAAACCAAAAAAATAATTATATTAGACATCCATGATACCAATGATGCTGTCAATTTGAGCATCACGCATATAATTCCAACAAATGGCAGTCTTAAGATGTTTTTTTGTTTTTTCATACATTTTCCATTTTTTCGTTGATATTTATTTATTTGCTAAAAAAGTAACTTAAAGCTAGAGTTTGACTTTCTCTCGTACGACTTGTCACGAAGTTAGAGTAGTTATGGCAAATAATATGCACAGATTGTCGTAGATATAAATGTAGTCAACTTTCTCTCATACAATGTTTCTATAAATGTATGCTAATATACTAGATTATTGTACTTTATGCCATTTATTACCATAAAAGTGCATTTACAAAAGATATATTATACGACTAATGTAGTCAATTTCGTCATCACGCACGTTGTTTATACAAAATATCAAAGTAGCTGACATGTTCCAAAGATATTATTTTTGAGAAATAAAGCCACGTAAATGTAATTAATTTATATTCGTTTATTTATTAATCTTATTTATGAAAAAAAAGGAGCTATAGTCGAGCATTTTATCATAGATCTTATCACGAAATTAATAAAGTTATGGCGAATAACGGGTACAAATTATCCGACAATATTTCTATAAATGTCCGACTTTGACTTTCTGTGGACGGGCCGGGGGTTGGACTCATTTCCCCCTTGTCGGGTGAGGTGGTACGAGACACGTGTGGCCGAGGAGGGGAAGCGATCGTGCTGGAGCTTCTAAAATGTTCTGGAAGTTATGTCTTCCTCTTCCTCCCCAAGAAATCGTTTTATTGCGCCTAGGCGAGGGAGAAAGAAGGGTGGAGTCGAGTTATTTCAATTTCCTCGGAAAAGGAGTTGACGGTCCTGTGGAAAGAAGGCGATGGCAACGAGGACAACAGTTCGGCTCGCGAGGTCGGCCTGCGCTTCCGCGAGGGCCAGCCGCCGCTCCTCACCGCATCTCCAGTCCGCCAGTCCCTGTTCTTTCGCTGCGGCGCATCATGGCTCTGGTGTGGGCAGCGTTAGTCCGCCCGTGCCGTCCTCTGGAAGAAGAGAGCTCGTGTATGGCTTGTGCTCAGGTGGCGGGTGCCGCGGTGGTTTGCTGGCGCGGCAGTTCCATTCCACTACTCCTTCCCAGTCCAGCTACAACAATGCAGCTCAGGTCCCTCCCCACATCTCTTGTTTGCTGTTTTCGTATTCGTACGTCTATCACTCGCATTTCTCTGCAAGTCGAGGCAAAGCCTACTGAGATTTATTGAACTTTATGTGTTTGTTATTTTTTTGGCCATTTTTTCGTTAGTTTTTTTTCCACGAGGAGGTATGTGAAGGAAAAGAGGGAGCCTCGAGTAAGTGATTGGTCGCCGCACCTCGTTCGAGTGAAATTGTTAATTATTCTCCTTTATGGACTATTCGCATCGTTACCGACTGATGGCATCCTTCCCCGTTGTTTTCATTCCATGCGGAAAATGAATGGTAAGATGGGTATTGTATGCAAGCAAGGGATGTGCTCAGTCCGTCTGTAAATGGGCCATTGGGGTGTTCGCGAACAAAATATCATTTCGGAAGATGCAGAAGTACTTTTGGATGCCTGTAACTTATTTCGTTCGTTTCACCGTCAGCTTTTGAAATGTGAAAGTTGAGAAGTAATAATTCGTCAAAGTGTGAAGTGTGGGTTGCTGGTTTAGATGCTTTCGTAAAGACTATGAAGAAATAAGATATGGGGCAAACTGAAGTTGATTGCCATGATATGGGAGTGAATCTGGTATCATTTCGAACCTGGCTTTTCATTTGTATCTCGCAGACTCTACAGAGTGAGATGGATTATAATTACCTGCAACCAGAAGGCTGTTAAGAGTATGAATACAAGGTTTTTTATGATTTATGGAGATACGAAATCAGTTCGACTTCTCTTGCTTTTTGCTGCTATTAATTCCCGAGATTTTGTCTCGTTGAATATCTTTCTTGCAAGAAAAATGAAAGCTGTTGTCTTATATTCCTTTAATGTCGTTCCATGTACATCATAAAGATTTGTAACCAATTTTTAAGGATATTTTACTTCACCTGCGAAGCCTCCTACAAGCGGCTGCGTTGATAAATTTTGTGCTACTTCCATCTAGTCCTGGAATCAATTAGTTCAAATGTTGAGTTAGTGTGAGACTTTAGCTCGAGCTTTATGTTGTTTCAAACTAGCATATGTATATATTTCTAATCATGTATTTCGAAATCAACGTCCCTTAATCCAGCTTTAGATTCTATTCAGTTAGAATGAATAACTGACCTGCAAGGAGCTGCTAATTGCATTGTTCATTAAAACTTCTTAGATCATTTTTTTTTAAAAGTTAGGTTTTTTTTCTAACAGATCAGTCAATCCGATTTTACCGAAATGGCATGGGAGGGGATCGTTGGTGCAGTTGAGGCAGCAAGGCAAAACAAACAACAAATAGTGGAATCTGAGCATTTGATGAAAGCTCTTCTAGAGCAGAAGGATGGCTTGGCTCGTAAGATATTTACAAAGGCTGGGATTGACAACACTTCTGTGTTACAGGCTACTGATCAATTTATCTCCCAGCAGCCCAAGGTACAACATTAAATCGCCTTTACCTTCGTCACACACGATGACTGGAAATCTTGGTTTAGCTATGGTTTCTAACTTGTGAGTACTCTAGGTAACTGGTGACATCAGTGGGCCAATATTGGGTTCAAGTCTTGGTTCTCTCATAGACAGTGCCAAAAAGCATAAAAAAGATTTGGCAGATGATTTCCTTTCTGTCGAGCATCTTATCTTATCATTCCATAATGATAAGAGATTTGGCCTACAATTATTGAAGAATCTCCAACTTTCCGAGGAACAGCTAAAGGATGCCATCTTAGCAGTGCGGGGAAATCAAAGAGTTACTGATCAAAGTAAGTGTACTTTGTTGTACTCTATCCATTTTATGGCTCCATATTGTAATTTATTTGACCGATTATGGTTGTAAAATAATTTCTACATCTTTGACACCTTTCCCCGCTAGTTTCAGTGAATAAAGTTGAACTCATGAAATTCACTTTTTGTGAATATTATATATCAATTTTCATTCATGTGAATTACCGCACTCATGAACTGCCTTGATGGCCATATCCCATCAGTTTGTAATTGGTCTCTGAGGATTTCAGTTTCGATGAATAGAATCGTCTGAATCTCCGATGAAATTTCATAGACAACAGAAATCAGATTTGTTGTCAATCAAGAAGTCAAGAATTGAATCGATGTTACTAAATTCTGTCCACAAGGGGTTCCAGCTATATATGTCATCTCCTGATGCTTTATGAGCTATGTTTGATGTTGTATTAGTTTTGTACGTAATGATTCTTTTGGGGTATTTATGATCGTTGATTGTAATGATTACCTTGTTGTTCAAGATCATTATTATTTACAATTATTTAGTTAAAATTCGCTGTTGTAATGATTATTTGTTTTCTCTCTCCTTTTTATATTAATTGAAGGGTTTTAAAATTTTCTCTTTATTTTCTGTTCTTTTCTCTTTTTCGTGTCCCACAATATGCATTGATATGTATCCTGTTCTTTTAAATGTAGATCCCGAAAGCAAATACCAGGCCCTTGAAAAGTACGGAAATGACCTGACTGAGCTTGCTAAACGCGGTAAGTTGGACCCCGTCATTGGCCGAGATGACGAGATACGGCGTTGTATTCAGATATTATCAAGGAGAACCAAAAACAACCCTGTCATAATTGGTGAGCCTGGTGTTGGGAAAACTGCCATCGCTGAAGGGTATTCATTTTTTCTTTTTAAAGAGATGCTACATTTCGCTATTCAACTAATTCTTTTTTTATCTAGATCCTACATGTTCATGTGCATTTGTGAGTGGGCAGTGTGTCTTGTAATAACGATGAAGGTGACTCTCAGGATTTTGAGAGCTCTGAGATCGTTGAATCATCTCAGGATTATGGTCTCTATTGCTCTTGTTTGGGGATTTTCTATGGAGATTTTCATGCTTGTAGGTTCGTGTATCTAATTTTTCGTACTTGTGTCTTTGTGGCACCCTCCTCTATAAAAATAGAAAGTGCTCATGTAACTTAACGGGAGGGGTAGAGGGGGAGGGACAAGGAAAGAAATCACAGTTGTGTCATGATTTCTATATCCCTTTTAAAACCACTTTGATTCGTCCAAGTAGTGCAAGGCAAAAGCGTGATCATGTTGTCACGTCTGAAAAATCTAGGTTTTCTATGGCACCGCCCAAAAGTCTCTTTTTTGTCAAGCCGAATCCTTTTAGTGCAGCCGTCCAAAGGGTAATCATATCTCATGGTAAGTGGGAAAAGCTCTACATCTAGCCAATGCCTTGAATTCAGATCCTCAGAGAAGTCATGGCTCGAATGATATGTGTTCAAGATAGTATGGTGAAGAATAGTCGATCCATCCCCATTCCTCAAATCTGCTAAAATTGCTTTGCATTGCCAAAGGGGACGACGGTTCAAATCGTCGCTTAATATTATTCTGAAATTGTGACCTGAATCTCATTTGTCTGTATGCAGATTAGCTCAGCGGATCGTGCGCGGTGATGTCCCCGAACCTTTGTTGAACAGGAAGGTTAGCTTCCCTTTGTAAGCCCACATGTTCTTTATGTCTCACTTGTTCCAGCAGCATCTTCAACAGATATATGAAAAAAAAGAAAAATATATTTCACCCCGGAGATCTCATGAATTTATTACTATTATTCACTGTTCTTTCCTTTTTTGTTCTCTTCTGTTCGATTTCACCGGAGTTATCTTTCTTCTACGAATCTGTGTGATTAACGCTTGCTGATTCTCAATGGTCCTTTGATCAAGTGGGCTTTGTCCTTGCCTGTACCCTTCATCTTGTTTTCTAAAAGAAAGCACAATTTCAGAGATTTTAGCATAATGTCATCATTTAGTACACACGACTTGCCGAGAGAGGATGAACACCATGCATAACTTTCACCTTGCACCTAATTAAAACGGTTGAATGAACCAGGGAGGCAACAGCATTGCACACACACGTGTATGATCACGGCTTGCCTTCCCTTGTGCGCCTTGAAACCCTAGTACTGATTAGCTTCTATCATTGTACGGCAGGTTCTTCCTTATGCGTTTGCTTCTTGCCACTCTGATAAATATAATCGCTTTTGCATTGGGCCTTCTCGCAGCTGATCTCATTAGATATGGGCTCATTAATAGCTGGCGCCAAATTTCGTGGGGACTTCGAGGAAAGGCTGAAAGCCGTCCTGAAAGAAGTCACTGCTTCCAACGGACAGATCATCTTATTTGTTGATGAGATCCATACAGTCGTCGGTGCAGGTAATCATTTTTCTTGTTATTATCATTATTTTTTTATATAGAAATGATCGTATTATCGTGGGTTGACCATGGATAGGAGCCACTGGGGGGGCGATGGACGCCAGCAACCTGCTGAAACCGATGCTGGGGAGAGGAGAGCTGCGCTGTATCGGAGCGACCACATTGAACGAGTACAGAAAGTATATCGAGAAGGATCCTGCTCTGGAGCGTAGATTCCAACAGGTATTCTGTGGTCAACCCTCTGTGGAAGACACCATCTCCATCCTCCGTGGACTGCGCGAACGCTATGAGCTTCATCATGGCGTTAAGATCTCCGACAGCGCCCTCGTTTCGGCCGCCGTTCTTTCTGATCGTTACATCACTGAGCGGTTCTTGCCCGATAAAGGTAAAAGAAAAAAGAAAGAGTCTGTGGACTCTACGCGCCGTGGGGGGGTTCTTGTTCTTGTTTAATCTCGCGGCTTTCTTTCTTGCAGCGATCGATCTCGTTGATGAGGCGGCGGCGAAGCTGAAGATGGAGATCACTTCGAAACCCACCGAGTTGGATGAGGTGGACAGAGCCGTGTTGAAGCTGGAGATGGAGAAACTGTCCCTGAAGAACGACACGGACAAGCCGTCCAAGGAACGGCTCAGCAAGCTGGAAGCAGACCTGGCCGCCCTCAAGCAGCAGCAGCAGGAGCTCTCCCAGCATTGGGAGCACGAGAAGGCCCTCATGACTCGGATCAGATCCATCAAAGAAGAGGTGAGAAAAAAAAACCCCAACAATGATCGAAACCCAGAAAAGTTCCTGTTGACTTCCTTGCTTAAATTCAGGTCGACCGGGTCAACTTAGAAATGGAGGCAGCTGAGCGGGAGTACGACTTGAGCCGGGCGGCGGAACTCAAGTACGGGACGCTGATAAGCCTCCAGAAGCAGCTGGAAGAGGCCGAGAAGAATCTAGCCGAGTTCCAAGAATCGGGGAACTCGATGCTCCGCGAAGAAGTCGCTGACTTTGACATCGCGGAGATCGTGAGTAAGTGGACGGGCATCCCCATCTCGAACCTTCAGCAGTCGGAGAGGGACAAGCTGGTCCTCCTGGAACAGGTCCTCCACCGGCGGGTCGTGGGCCAGGACATCGCCGTCAAATCCGTGGCTGACGCCATCCGACGGTCCAGAGCGGGCCTCTCGGACCCCAACCGGCCCATCGCGAGCTTCATGTTCATGGGCCCCACCGGCGTTGGCAAGACGGAGCTCGCCAAGGCCCTCGCGGGCTACCTCTTCAACACGGAGACCGCGCTCGTGAGGATCGACATGAGCGAGTACATGGAGAAGCACGCCGTCTCCCGACTTGTGGGAGCGCCGCCAGGGTACGTGGGCTACGAGGAGGGCGGGCAGTTGACCGAAGTCGTCCGCCGCCGGCCCTACTCTGTGGTCCTCTTCGACGAGATCGAGAAGGCCCATCACGACGTCTTCAACATCCTGTTGCAGCTGCTGGACGACGGGAGGATCACCGATTCGCAGGGGAGGACCGTCAGCTTCACCAACTGCGTCGTCATCATGACCTCCAACATTGGGTCCCACTTCATACTGGAAACCCTCAGGAACACCCAGGACACCAAGGACGCGGTCTACGAGCTGATGAAGAGGCAGGTGTTGGAGTTGGCTAGGCAGACCTTCCGCCCCGAGTTCATGAACCGCATCGACGAGTACATCGTCTTCCAGCCCCTCGACTCCAAGGAAATCTCCCGCATCGTAGAAATACAGGTAATAAATGCAACTACAAATCTCTCTTCTATTTGGGCTCCCCTTCTGGTTTTGGTTGTGGTTAGAGACTTTCTCTCTCTCTCTCTCTCTCTCTCTCTCTCTCTCTCTCTCTGGAATTCTGTCTTGCTCTTTCTTCTTCTGGTGGGGTTCTCTAGTTCCTTCTGATGGGTTCTTGTTTGTTTTGTGATTGGTTGTGGTGGGCAGCTGGGGAGACTGAGGGAGAGGCTGAAGCAGAGGAAGATCGAGCTGGAGTACACGAGGGAGGCGGTGGCGCTGTTGGGCACGTTGGGGTTCGATCCCAACTTCGGGGCGAGGCCGGTGAAGAGGGTGATCCAGCAGATGGTGGAGAACGAGATCGCTCTCGGGGTGCTGAAAGGTGACTTCAAGGAGGACGATTCCGTCGTCTTGGACGCCGACCACTCCCCTCAGTCAACGGATCACCCGGCTCACCCTCGACTGGTCATCCGGAAGCTGGACAACGCCTCCCCTCGAGACACCCTCGTGGTCAACAACTGACCTACGTATACTCTCTCTCTCTCTAAGGCATTATGTATATATATATGGGTGTGGATTTTCTCATGGGCTGCTGCGGTCCCGACTAGGAAGCTCGGGTGTATATCCGCCGCTGGTTCTAGCGGAGGGAAGCCAGTGAGTCAACTGAGCATGTCTTTTTCCGAGTTATAACATCAATCTTGAAATCACGGGGGCTTTTTTTATCATAAATGGAGATATTCTACTTTAAAACAGGCACCCATCTCTCATCTCGTGTCGTGACCTGATGTTGCCCCGGTTCCGTTGTTTTCAGAGACTCGGGTCAATGAGTTGATAGCCCATTGACCAAAACCTCGACTCTCAGTCAAACCCCTGACTCGTGGAGGAGACACATTCCACCGACAAGCCGGGCCTTCCGAAGGTCTGACGTCACGTGACAACTCGTTTCCGCGACTGATGTGCCCACCCGACACGACGAGGCCTCGGATTTCCTCCCCTCTCTCACGTCTTCGATTCCCCCATTGACATCAGAATCTGGACCTGACGAGACGCTTCCCCTGGAATTATTTAAATCTCTCGGCATTTCCAAGATGCCCATCAAACCCGGGATTAGCCTCGGCTTAGAGAGAGAAAGAGAGAAAGAGAGAAAGAGAGAAAGAGAGAGAGAGAGTACGGCCACGTGGCGAAATTATCATAGTCTATTATTGTAGATTTATCTAATCATCAGTGATTGACAAAAGCGACGCATTGCATGTGGTGATTAGTTTGTAGACGTCCAGGTAATTATTTATTTACTTATTTTAGGTCGGAAAACAAGCTTGCTCCGATCAGTTTGTGCAAATCGAGATCTACGATCTTATATCCGTAGAGGTTTCTAGATCCCGTTGGAATATTCTAAGACTAACCTGAGCGCGCTTTAGTTTCTTACTCTGTATGGCGATCTGATCTCCCCCCCCCACCAGCCCACTCGCGGTCGTCTTGCAGGAGCTCTGCCTCGTAATCTGTGAAGCTCTCTGCCTCTGAGTCCCCTTCCAACCTCTCTCTCTCTCTCTAGGCAGAGCCTACCATGTGATAGCTGACAGTGGGAATGGCGAAATGCGGCCAGGATACAATAGGGTCGATCCTGCTGGAGAACGCCGGTGGAGGTGGCGGGTTCCGCCTGTGGGCGATCATTTCCCCCCGGGCGGCGTTCGGGAGGAAGCTCGTGAACGGCCTGGTCTGCGGCGGCGGTTTCGGAGCGCGAGCTCCGACGAGGAAGAAGAGGCCGATCGGTGCTCCGTCTCCTCCCAGTGAAGCCGGATCGGAGCGGCTGTCGGAGCTGCTGAAGGCGGAGATGTCGTCGGAGTCCGAATCAGAGGAGGAGGATGCAGCCCCTGAGGAGGTTCAGAGAGCTGTCGAGAGGCTGCGAGAGGGAGATCGGGGGAGGGAGGCGGCGGCGGAAGTGAGGAGGCTGGCCAAGGACGATCCGGCGGCGAGGGAGAGCTTAGGGAGGCTCGGCGCGATCCCTTTCCTGGTCGGCATGCTCAGTTGTGTGGACGTGCATCTGCAAGTGGAATCCCTCTACGCTCTCCTCAATCTCGGCATCGCCAATCTCCAGTAAACACCTGCTCTGGTTCTTCTCCCTGTCTCTTTCCGTTCTCCCTGCTAAATTTACCGAACTGGTTCCATCTTCTTCTTCTTCTTGTTCCTCCTCCTCCTCATCATCTTCTTCTTCTTCTTTCTCCTCCTCCTCATCATCAACATCATCTTCTTCTCCTTCTTTCTTCTCCTCTTCATCATCTTCTTCGTTTTCTTCTTCTTCTTCCAGGAACAAGGCGGCTATAGTATCATCGGGAGCCCTGCACAAGATGCTGGCCCTCGTCGGCGACGGGGGAGCTCCTCCGCCTGTGGCGGCGGCCGTCGCCGCCAATCTCCTCGCCCTGAGCGCTCCCGACTCCAACAAGCCCCTCATCGGCTCCTCCGCCGCCATCCCCTTCCTCCTCCACACCTTCCGCCACGCCGCCGGGCAGCCCAGAGAAGACGCCCTCCGCGCCCTCTTCAACCTCTCCATCGCCGCCGTGAACCTCCCCACCCTCGTCGCCGCCGGCCTCGTCCCCGAACTCCTCGACGCCGCCGTCAACGTCGACCACCCGGAGCTCACAGAGCGAGCACTCGCCGTCCTCTGCAACGTTGTCTCCTCGCCGGAGGGGAGGGCGGCGGTAGGCCGCTCGCCGGCGGCGTTCCAGACCCTGGCGGAGGTTCTCGGCTGGTCCGACGCCCCCCGTTGCCAGGAGCTGGCGGCGCAAATCCTCACGGTGATGGCTTACAAGGAGTACGAAGCGAGGGCGGCGATGGCGGCGGAGGGAATCGTCTCCTCCCTGTTGGAGCTCACCCTGCTGGGCTCTGACGAGGCGCAGAAGAGGGCGTCGAGAATTCTGCAATTCCTGATCGTCGGCGACAAGGCGAAGAAGCCCTCGGCGGCGGTGTCTGCGCCGCTGTCGAAGGAGGAGGGAAGGTCGCCGGAGGAGGAGGAGATGAGTGAGGAGAGGAAGGCGGTGAAGAAGCTGGTGAAGCAGAGCTTGCAGAGCAACATGAGGCGGATCGTGCGCAGGGCGAACCTTCCGCAGGATTTCTCTCCGTCAGAGAAGACGAAGTCCCTCGTCGTCGCCGGCGGCGGCGGCTCCTCCTCCTCCAAGAGTCTACCCGTCTGGAGCGCCGCCGAGCTCAGAGGAAAGCCCTGGTTGTCTCTCTCCTCCCTCCCATAGCCGACGATCTCTCTGTCTCTGTCCACGCATGAGGGACGATGCCTGGAGATATCATTTGTTTAATAAACAGGCCTCTTCTCTGTCTAGCCCCCTCTGCTCCATTTCGTCCGTCCACCGCAGTGCAGGGGAAGAGGACAGACTAAGGGAACTTCTCGGTTTCCGTCGCCATGCCTGTAGCTTCAGCAGAGCTCCCTCTCTCTCCTCTTTCTCGTTTCTCCAACCGAATTGGGATAACAGCCAATCATGTAATGCCGCATGGCATTTCACACGTCATCTCTTCGCAGCGTTATTGGGCCAGACTGGTCAGTCGGGCCCAATTATAAGCCCTTAAATTATCCTCTCTGTACATTTGTCTATTTGTCTGCCTGTCACTGGCTCCTTCATCAGACTTGGAATGCCAACCAATCATATGTCGCCACATGGCATTCAAAGTCAGCCCATTCGAACTCCGAGGCATCCCTTTGCAGCTCATTGGACCTTACCGGCCCACGAAGCGGCCAGCCAGCTGGGCCGATATAAGCCCATAAACCATCCTCCTGGGTCGTACTAGCCCCCGATAATTGTTCCCAAAAAAGAAAACAAAGCGTACCGAATCTCAAAAATAATGAAATATACATATTCAAAATTAATGGGCCGGGCCAGCTAAAAGCCCGTAAAAGGGATCTGGGCCACTGAAGAAGAAAAAAGCTAGAGAGAGAACGGGGCCGGAGACATTTCCATGGCATACAGAGGGCAACAAAATTACTAAATATATACCCTGCAACGTCCATTAAAACTCACGAAAGTTACAGTTCAGATATCCACTTCACCGGGAGATCACAAGCAACCAAAAGAATTATGGCGATGGAGAACCAAAAGAAAAAAATCAAGAGAGAGAACGGCTTTTGACTCTGCTAATACTTCACTCCGCCGCCATGGATCCTGAATGGCTTGCTTCCGGAGTTGCGCTGGTCAATCCGGGGCTTTTTCTGAGCTATCACTGCTGCAAGACCCAGGAACGGGTTTCTGACAAGGGTTGGCCTGGGCCTTCTCCGCCTTGCCTTCCTCCTCCTGCCCTGGCCGTCTTCTTTCCCCCTGAGAAAGGAAAATAATGAGCGAGACCCAACTGATTTCAAAACCATCGTGTCTGGAATCGGATTATAACCCAGATTTTCAGGATCATAGCTGTGTAACAATTTCTGCTGACTTTTTAGGCAAGAAATTTCATCACGTTCATAAAATCTTCCTGGTTGATGATAAGACCTTCGTTCGTAGTCAAAATATACTTCTTTGGATTTATAATTCGAGCCACATATAATTATCTGAATGACTTACCATTTATCCACCACAGAACCAATGCTCTTAGGCTCATTACTTAACGTGCTATCTGGCTGTGAAACTGCAAATTAAGTGAAGAAGTTAGGTCAAATAAAATGTGATAAAATAATAAAAAAAAATGAAGCATCAAGCCCTTCTATAGTTGACCACACACACCTGGCGCCTCCCCCAAACTCCTCACCAACATATTCAAAGAGTTGTGATAAGATGGACTGCAAGACTCATCTAAGCTCAAGCGCGTCTCACTAGTCTTCACCCATCGCACAGTGCAATCTGGATCTTTGGTAGAACCGCCCTTGAGATTGCTCAAACCCATCTCCCCAGAGGTGCGATCTACACCCTCTGACCTGTTACAGATCTCCTTCTCTGTCCTCACAGCACCCTTTCTCCTCCGCACTTTCTTTGGAGGCTCCATCTTGGTTGCTGCAGATGTTGATGGCCCCTGATCTCCCTGGTCAGCGCTCCCCAATAACCCATGCTTCCGTTTGCGATTAGTTGAACAATCCTTGATTCTCCCCTGTTTCTTTTTTTTCGACAGATTTAAATATGCAAACAGTCTGCCTGGCCCAAAGGTCATATTCCTAAGATCAGGAAGCGTGGGCCGTCTTCGTCTCATGACGGCTTTGTGGATCTCATCAGATCCCACATCTTCCTTTTGAGTAGAAAAAGATGAAGTGCTAGCTTTGCTGCAGATTGCATCAACCTGACCACCTTCAGCGGAAATATTTTCTGGAATCTTTGGATACAGGGGCTCATTTGCTCCTCCCCCACTCAAAATACCATCCTGTACGTGCAGAGAAAATCAGGAGGAAAAGGTATAAAAACCTAGCAAGAAGGAATGCATAAGTATTTCAAGATGTGAAACCAAAGTGAAGAACAGTTTTTTACCTTGGGCCCAGTTCCAATGGGAACCTTACAGTCAGAGTGATGCGGTAGATTCGTTTCTATATGACTATTCTGGGCAACTGCAGGTACACTACAATACTTGACAGAGAGAAGTGTCTCATCTGCTGAGGACAATCGTTCCGAGGCTTTACTCGCCGTGAAGCCAGACCTATCCTTGGATTGAGCTGTCTGCATCAGGTCTTTCTCAAGCAACTGGATGGAACTGCCTCCGGATGAAGGTTTCTGGGCAGGGCCTTCTGACACCAAATCTTCACTTGTCAAACTTGAAAGAGGAGATACAGATGGAGATGGTTCCTTTATAGAGGAAAACTTTGGCGAAGGATGAGTTGCAGAGCCATTCAATATTGTACGTTTTGCATCGTTTGTTATCAGACATGGAGAAATAGAAGCGTTCTTTGCAGACTGTTTCTCAATTTGAGTGCTCTTCGGTGGCATGGATCCCACAAGGGAGTTGGAACCATTATTTGAGCAGGGGCTATAATGTTTGATTCCACTTTCTCTTACACAATCATGAATCGCCCTTCCTGAATCCAAGGAAGGCGCAGGAAGGCTTCTACCTACAGAGCCAGTTGGCACCCCGTTCTCTTTGCTGACAGCATTCCGTACTTTTTGAGCGGCAGAACTCATATTACGAACATAAAACAGCATATAAGCTTTTTGCTGCAAGACAGTCTTCTCAGAAACCTGGAAAACCTGCAACGTGGCCATTAAATTAATCAAAACTTCTTTACAAATGACTTTTTCATGTGCCAAGAAACGTCCATGTCAAAATTAAGGTTTCTCCAAACGTTTTTTCGCTCCAATAATCTAGTTTTTCTCCCGATCCAACAAACCGACCAAAGGACATTTTCACATCCCGTGCTTAAAAAAAAACATAATAAAGCAGTTTTACCTAGCATGTAATGAGTTAGATATAACGAGAGCATCGAACATGCTTACACACGTTTGAATGGAAAAAAACCCAAATGAGAGCCATCCACAATGATCTATGAAAAAAACAGGCGCAAGAACTTGTTTTACCTGGAAGCGCATTGTTCTGAAATTGACATGAATACAGATGGGGGGATAGTAAAGGAGATAAGATGACTGGCATCCTAAAGAAAGAAAAAATTCATAAAAAGGATAGGTAATGTTGGAAAGTTGTCGTTGTTGTAGCTTATAATTCAAAATAATCATAGGTAGTACGTATGCACAATGTTATGCCAAACATGAAGATTACCTGGTGATCATTAAGAGAGTACCATACTCCACTGGATGTGCGAACAAAACAGTAATAGTGACCACTATGAGTAGCATAACCAGCATGTACCAGCACACCATAGAGTGTGTACTTCAAGTCACCATCCTGGAAAAGTTGAAGAAGAAACAAAAGTTAAATTTGGAAGGTATGTTGAACCCTCTTACTGACACGCCCACGGAAGGCTAACATTTACTCACATTGGGACCGCTGACATATTTCTTCAAGTCCAAAGAAGGTTCAAATTCAATTTTCTTGTCTATTTTCTGACCAAGCAAAGCAGTCCCAAAACGCTTCAGATGAACTGTAAGAACGTAAGGGGCTTTATGGATGGTTAACTGCTTCACAGCCTTAACTTTCTGTTTGCATTGTTGGCATTGGTATTGCTTCGCACCACCATCTAATTGCTCCACAGCAGTAAAATGAGAAAGTGCCTTATGCAAAGTATCTGCCTTCATTATTTCCAGACTCAAATCTAAGAATGGATCAAATTTATTTGAACAGAAGGAACATTGCAGACATTTAACCTGCAGGGTTTGGTACAACAACAGGGTTCATGCTATGTCAGTGAAATTATTCGAAAAAAATTGGTATTCATATTTAAGTCTTCCTTCTATCTTCTTTTCATGCTCATTTACTATATTGTCCATATACGTGACAGGTTGTTTACTTTATTTATTAAAATTAACATGCTGTTTTAGAGGAAGCTTCTCATGAGAAACACAATACAGCAAAACAGTACCTGGCTTCTGAGGTGGCCACCAAATATTTTATGGACCAAGCTTTTCTCGTAAGCACTGGGAGATTCACTCGCAATGCCAGAGGGCAGGCAACACTTGTGCATCGATTCAAGTAAGTTCACCATGTACTCGTGGGCATCTTCTTGTCTCGCATAACGAAAATTTCTGGAAATGCCTGATTGTATGGTCAAGAAACACAAACCACACGAGACAAAAGAAAGAGAAGATGGCAACATCATCTGTAAACCAAGTGCAGAGCTTAAAAGAAGATTCATATGATCTGGAAAAGTAAAGCAGTTCCCTTTATAAAAAAAATTGATTCTCAGTTTGGCCCATACTCAAAGTATAATATCAACATACTTTAGGATACATTTCAAGTTCTTTACAAGGTGAAAGGGCCTCAAAATTTTTCCAGTTGACTGAAGGGCATCCATGACATGGTTCTGGAGGGCACACATTGCACAAAATCCAGAAGTACGACCTACAAAAAAAGGAACTTACCGTTAGATATTAAAATTAGAAAAAATATCAGTAGCCAGCACAAGTTAATCCACTTCCGAGCAACATCGAAGACCAACATTGATCAGAAAGTGCATGTTTTATGACTAGCCAGCAAAAAGGATTACCACAGTAAAGCAGTTGATGAGTACCGTATACAGCTACAATCAGAAGTCTTACAAAAAATGCTCATGAGATATGCGTAAACAAAGGACTCTCAAGCCCTAGCCTTCTAGTGATATGACAACAATCTGGAAACTGATTCAGATCACACACTTCAACAATAAAAAAGCATTCATAAAAATGCATGCAAAATATATCATACACCAACGTTGGAGAATACAACAAATGACACAGAGAAAAGGCTTACAAGAGGATTTGTGCTTCCCACTCTGCAAGTAGGCAGCAAATGGTTCTGTATACGTCAGGCACTGGAGAACAGAATTAAGGAAGCACGTATTCCCGAGGTTTGCCAAACCAGCACCCTACATGATATTAAGTTCAGTCATTGAAAGGAAGATCAACACATCGAAGATTAAGGATGTATCAAAGAAGAATTTTTTCATAGAGAATACGTACAATAAGGAAAAAACTCAATAAGAGGAACCGCAACCAACGCAAAAGTGTGATTGCCACAGTTTTAGAACCATGAAAACATACCAATTTTTGAGCAGGCAGCAAAGAACATAAATACTATGGAGTCGAGAGACGACCCATTTAAAACTGTAGGCAACACCTCAATGTAAAAGCATGATGACAATAAGGTTGCGACTTTCAAAGGTGGAAGGAGCTTATGCACGCCGAATAACTCCCAAGATCTAAGGCGTAATTCTCGACAAAACTGTAACGATTACAATTAACCATGAAATATCATCTTTTTTCGAGAAGAAATACGCCTACACGTCTCTTTAAAACCAACCAACAACCAGATAAATCTGGATGGAAGAATGATGCCTAATAAAGAAGGGAAAAAATGCAACCCAAACGACATCGGCGAAGTTTTTGACAGAAACACCAATCATGAGACCCCTAATCGAACAATCTCGCCTAATCTATGGTTACGATTCTACCATGTAAGTCTTTCCCATTCCATCGAAAAACCCCGAACCAAAAAATCTCGCATCAGAGACGCACTCACGATTCTTCGAAATGTGATTCCGAAGCTAATCTCCGAATCCGACCCTCGAGGGCGAAACACCCCGCCGTCCGATTTCCTTCCGATAACTCCCGAAGAAGAAGATGCCGCCGCGGAGGAGACGGGGCCAACCGATCTCGATGCCTGCCTGCGGGAGTCGGCGCTAGGGTTTAAGCTCTCCATACGGAAATCACCGCCGGAAGTACCCGAAGGGGGGAACGGCCCCATATCTCGAGCTAAGTCACCCCTCCCCGGGAAAAAGGCACCCCTCGGAGAAGCAGCTTGCGATGGGGGAGGAAGCCCGCCCCGGGGCTTGAATCTCTCGACGGCACCCTCCGCCATTGGCTTCGCTGACCGATCTTGCTTGGTGCTGAGAAGCTTGTGCCCACAGCTAGGGTTCCGGGATCTCCGGCGGCGGCGGCGGAAGATTTGCGAGGCGGAGAGGCGTTGCGGTACCGCAGCTGATTGGCTGCCCTTCTAAGCTCTCTCTCTCTCTCTCTCTCACTGTGTCTGCGCGTCTCACATGGCCGAAAGAGGAAGACGAGTTGGGGCTGCCGTTCTCCTTATAAACCCTATACCCTCCCATCGACTGACATCTGTGGATAGTGGACCTCATGAAAACATCAGTTCACCGTCCGATCTCTGTGGATCCCATCACCACACAGAAGAAGGGTCGCATCTGGACCGTCAGATTAGAAGCCGCGTGCCCGGCTCATATGGGCCTTCTAAATACCCCGAAGAAAATAGCCCAAATACCTCTCCACCCAGTTTGAAGTTCGTGGCAATCTCTCTCTCTCTCTCTCTCTCTCTCTCTTGATACCCAGGCTTCAAAGGTGACTCGGTCAAACACTGTTCCTTTGAGCTTTGACCTTGGATCAGAAGCGGCCAGTCGGGCCATATGGGGCTTGCACCACCCCGAAGAAAATAGCCCAATTACCTCCCCACTCAATTCAAAGTTCCTCTCTCTCTCTACTGATATCCAGGCTTCAAAGGTGACTGGGTCAAACACTGTTCCTTTGAGCTTTGACCCTGGGTTAGAAGCGGCCTAAATACCTCCCCACCCAGTTCAAAGTTCGTCTCTCTCTCTCTCTCTCTACTGTTGCCCAGGCTTCACAGGTGGCTGGGTCAAACACTATTCCATTGGGCTTTGACCTTGGGCGTTCTAGAAGACGACCAAGCTCAGACTCATACCTAGTCACTGGGTCTACATTCTATTAGGAATAAATATTGGGACAGAAAAATTGGAATCCTACCTCATACCGGTTCGTGGCAAAGACCCAGCCTTTGACGTTGCGGAATTGAATGTGCATGTTGGCCCACCCTCAGCTGGCGCCGATATACATACGGCTGCAGTCTTACCCAGCCCCATCCAAGTTGGTTTTGACTAAATTCTCCGTTATTAATGAGCTGGGTCAGATCCGATTTAGGCCTCACGAAGCAAAGCCATGGCCCAACCAAGGTCAAACGATCTCACCATGCGATAGAAAGGTCATAGCTTGGATTTCTTCAAATGGCGTTGGTTCCCCACATAAAACATAAGTCAAAGTGGTGATAAAACATCGATTATGTTTGTACCGGATCTCCAAGAAGTTAGCATAAAATGTGGGCGCAAATAGTCAACCACATGACGTCTTGGCTCTTCAGAGAAGATTATCTTCCAAGCATCTATATTCTGGACGATCCCGGCTGACCACTTAATTGAGTGGGCCAACACGATATTGGTAGGAAAATGTCTGACTTTTAAACATATATTCGATTTGCAATTTGGTGGAATAAATTATGACGTGAGTTTCCACGGGGTTCTCCCGCTGAGGTGGTCCACTTGGAGACCAGACGAAGCCGATTTAGTGGCCAGCCGCCGCAGATGTGGAAACATTCTTCCGTCTGAGTTATAGGAGATAAGACAGAGTTGAAGAATAGATAGGGACCGGCAGGGTTCTGGAGGGCCCTCGCTGAAAGATCTCAGGAGTCGAAGGCCAGGTCGAAAACCAGCGAACCCGCCCACCCATGAGATCACGAAGGCCAGTTTTGACAGAAATTTGGAGCTGCTCTTCTCAACCACTGGTGTGGCGAGGAGGGAGGAGGAAGGAGCGGGCCAAGGCGCCGGCTAGGGCTGACGTGAAGCTGGGGTCTCTCATCAGAGACGACATGTAGTCCTCCAAGCTCCTGCAGGCGCCGCCGGCTGGCCAATCCCCGCCGCCATCGTCGTGTGTGTTCTTCTTCTCCTTCCTCGGGAGGGTCATCTCGGGGAAGCTCCGATGAGGTCTCTTTCCCTCCGGGGAGGTTCCCGAGAGGGTGAGATCGACGTTCACGGGGACGCTCGTCGCCGGCTCGTCGGCGAGGGAGATGGCGGCGCATCCGCTCGCCGGCGGGCTGGTTCTGTCGGCGCCACCGGGGGGCTTGTGGTTGTGCTCGCCTTCGTAGGTCGCCACGAGCATCGTCTTATCTTCTGCGCATCGTTGCACCTACAACGTAATACGAATAATTTATTTTCCATGCAACGAACCGAGAAATGAGTTTATCTAAATAATCAGATCATCATCATCCCTGAAATCGATCGATAATGGGTACCTGTAACATACTTTTCTTCTGCGGTAGTATTGTTTCAACGAGATAAAGGGCTTCCAGATTAGATCGCATAAAAAATACAAAGGATCTCTGATCACCTTCTTCTTGACGGGGCAATCGGGGGATCTAGCGCACCGGAAGTATGCCCGAGGAGAAGGATTATCCTTGGTGACCTTCTGCCCGTACTTCCTCCACTGGTACCCGTCTTTAACGATCTAAACCACCAAGAAACAAGCTTTAGATCCAAATATTTACAAATACTTTTAAAAGTAGAGAGGAGAGAAGATAAGGGGGGAAGAACTCACTAAGCTGGAGTCGCTGGGATCAGTTCTGACGAGAACACGGTAGGAATTGGACCTCAAGGGCTCCATCTCTCGCCTCTTGACCGATGAACCATGGCTGACGCAGCTCTCGCCGCCGCCCTCAGACTCCCTCTCCATCTTCCTCGTCTGGGCCTGAAGATTATCACAACTGTTCTTTATGGTGCGGATGATGGTCTTCAGCTCCTGGTTCTCCCTGCTCACCCTCTCGAGCTCTTCTTCCAGGGCCCTTACCTGAGAAACCAGGTGTAGACGATCTGAACATGGAAACGATTGAAGAAGGAAGCCAGGGAGAAAGAAATCCTAGAGAGCTACGCTTACCTCTTCCTTCTGCAGGTAACACGGAGGAGTTCCCATTTCTCAACGGCGGAGCTTCTTCCCTCTGCAAATTTCTGACGGGACATTAGGAAGGATCGTCGGGGGATCCCACCACTTATATTTTGCTGGGGGGACCCGAAGAGCTGTTACCCGCTTATAATAGTCAACCCTCTCTCTCTCTATGACATCATCCTCTCTCGCGAGCGACTGGGCAGTCACAGATGACTCGCTGAAACCGTCCGGTCGGTGGAAAACGGCGGGCACACTCACTTAGAAAAGACAAATCGCCCAACGGGGAGATCCAGACGGTGTCCGCATGGAACGACCAGAAAATTTCTAGAATTATCATGCAACTCCTTGAAAAGCGTTCAATTAGGAAAAGTATTCACCTCTGTAAGATCTAGGAACGAGCGTCCATAAATATTACAATCATGTCCCCCCTCTAACCGTCCATACGAAAGGGAGAGACCAAGAGAACGATATCCTAGCAAAGATATTTGTGGGCATATTGCAAAATCTTATAGACCAGGGACTTTTCATTAATTCGAAGTATTTGCATGAGTTTAAAACGTCAAACTAGAGGAGGGAGGAGGAAAAAGTCAATAATGTGAGGCGGTCAACGAGATGGGGGGGAAAAAAGAAGGGAGAAGGAGGGACGGTTGGGGTGCTACTTGACTGTTGACTGGACCAGGCTTTTCCTTTGACAGTGAAACGCTCACGTGCAGGGTTGATGTGGGGCCCGCTTTCCATGAATGTTGCATTTAAGCGCCGTCGCCATGTGATTAGCGCGCCGACGTTGCAACCGCATTAATGGGCCCCCATTTATCAGTCATGGGCTTTCGGGTTCATCGCGGAATCTTCCTGCAAGTCCCGTAGAATCGTCCTTTGACTTTCTATGAAGGGTCTCGCAACTTCGCCCATCGGCTTGGACTTCCAGTCACGTGCGCAGCTCTGCGACAAAAGGAACCGGCGTCTAGAAAGCCCGGCTATAATAAAATAGTAGGGTGCATTCTGGTTATATCCTTCAAAAGATTTTTATTTTCACATGTACCCTTATCATCACCCTACGTTAGAGGGAGTTTTATTTGCTACGTACGCTAGAAGCGTAATTTTTAGGGTCATATTTGTATTTTTTATTCAATTTAAAAGTATTTGTGCAACTAAATATCGAAAATTAGTTATTGCGCAATGAATCAAAGGGACTGAGACTAGAAAGGTAGACTTGGGTCAAATCGTGGAGGATGGAGTTGGCCTGGACCCGATCTGAGGATCAATGGATCCGTTATTGTCCGCTGGTGGCGACGGTCGTCCCGACCTATCTTCTGACATCATGGCTCAACGGCTCCACAGATCCGGCGGTGGGCCTCGACCAGTCACATTGCGCGCCCCCCCCCCCAATGGGACCGGTCATTTAGAATGACCCATAAATTCCGGATAAGACCAGCGTGTCTCCGGGTAAATCGCCATTTTCGTCATTTTAATTATAAAATGGATTATTCACTTTTTTTTCTTGAAAGGGTATATTGTTATAGAAACTCGATGACGTCATCCCATACCAAGCTGGGGGCGTAATTAAAATACTTGTAGGGGTGAATTAAAAATGTGTTGAAAAGCTTATGTCTCAGGGTTTACCTTGAAAATTAAAGGGATGCCCGTGCTAATTCTAAAGATTACAGTCTTAACGGGGGTGTTATGGAAATTGAGTTTTTTTATTATTTTATTTTAACTGTTTCTTCCTCGAATTATGAGCTTCCCCGGCTAGTACTGCAGATTTGGGGCCAGTAGGCCCTCACCTGCAGGGAGGAAAGGATTAACGTGGAGAAGCAGCCAGACCAGCGACGGCGCCCCCACCTCCTCCGTGCGACTACGAAGCCCTAAATCGGGAGAAGAAAGGAAGAGCGAAGAGAGTACAGTTTCGGGATCAGATATAGTGGCGTATTCATTGTCTCGTCCTTTCTCTCGCTGCCATCTCTTTCCTCGAGCACAGGGTACCTAGTAGCTCTCTCTCTCTCTCTCTCTCTCTCTCTCTCTCTCTGTATTTATTTTTCCGGAACTCCAGGTTCTATTGCTCATGGCAGGTATACTCCTCGTCCTCATCGTCGTGCTATCCGGCTCTCCTCGTCACTTCGGCAGCGTCAACGAGGCCATGGATCGAGAGGTGCGGGAGAGGGAGCGAGAGGGAGAGTGAAAGTACGGTACTGGGAGGTATACCCTTCTTTCCCTCGCTGCCATCGCCTTCCTCAGGGAGGATAAAATCTGCTCATACCCGGTAGCTCTTTTCTTTTGTGGATAACTCTCTCTCTATCTTCCATGCGTGTCTCTGTGTGCGTACCTATATATTTTTGTGAACTCCAGCTTCTATTTCCCATGACAGGTATACTCTTCCCCACCATTGTCATGGTGTCTGATTCTACTCGCCGGGTTGGCGCTGGCACTGGCACCGGCACTGGGTGCTGACAGAAGAGAGTGAGCACGAAGCCACGATTGCATAGAGATATGCCGTTGTTGTCGCGTGCTCACGACTCTCTCTGTCAGCCTTTCCGATGGTCGTAATCCTTCCATCTACACCAGGCAGGTGCCCGGGGCTCCTCGTCTTGATATCTTCTCAATCTCGGCGGATTTATGGAGATCTATTTTAGACTCATAATTTAAAACACCTCACGCTTAAGACGTTATTACTCTATTGATGCCCTATCCCGCTCCGACAGTTTTCAGATCGTCATTATCTATGCCATACTTAGTTCCCAGCGGAGTATGGGAGAGAAGGCGCTACGGATGAAATGGGGTAGATGCTCTCTTCTCAACTTCAGTCCTTCATTTTTCTTCCAACAAGGCATTTAGTTGTTCTTGACCATTGATGCTTCTATATTAGTCATTCATGGGAACAAGGAACGCGACCAGCGCTGACGAGAGTTGGAGATAGTGTAGTGGAAATTAGAATGTGATCATCTGCTTGTTCTATTTTTCTGTTAGACCGCATGTTTTCCCATTGGGCATCTCTTCTCCTCCCCGTTTTCCTCTCGTACCTTAATACCTCACCTTATATCATCGTCATCATTATCCTCTGTAATGAAACTAGTTTGAAGATCTCTGAGTTTATGAATGTTTCTCAGGTCATCTTTTTCTTGGAGAATCGGGTGTTAGCCCAATGTATGATTATTGTCCTCGGCTTGATGAACTTTGAGCTTGTAACATCAGTTAAGCATCACCTTGCACCTGATCTTTTGCAGATTGGAGGATTCTACTACCCCACCTAATTGAATTGGCATGTCATTAGGTAACCATTGGAGTTATGATGGAAGTTTGGTGTTCTTGATCTAATGTAGTATATTAGTTTTTTTGCAGGAAAGGTGGGGATTGGTTGAGGACATGACCAAACTTTGGACCTATATGGCCTGAAAAGAGTATGTAAGAAGGGTCCTAAGCAAAGATACATGGTATCTTTCAGAGATCAAATCATAGGATTTATGAAGGAGACTAAGTTGTTGCATAACACACAACAAATCACAAGGTTGTCTAACTTATGTGGTGTCTTGTGTGTTGTCTTCTTCTAAGCTTTGCAATGAGCTATATCTTTCATAATGGGACTGTGAGACATTTCTTGCACTCATGGATGGATTGAAAGCATTTGATCTCTATAGCGCTGAAAAAGGGTAGGATAAAATTATTTGAGGTATTATTACAAAATTTCTACAAAGAAAAGTACTCATCCTTTAAGTTTCATTAGGCTACATGCGTTCTCCCATTAGTTTTATAAAGATAAAAATGTCATGACAGTCTATTCATATATTTTTTATCTTTTTCTTCTCTTTTTCATAATATATTTGATTTTTTATAATGTTTGGACCAGCCGTGGTACTTTAAGGATCAAGTTTTTGAGACTAGATTATATAAGAAGTGTTGGCTTGGATTTTTTCTCACTAATTATTTGTTTAAAGGAATAAATAAACTAGTGGATTCCATCTCCTTACTTAAAGCTAAGATTCCCTTCATTAATCATGGAGCAGAAAGTATGGATACCATAATCAAAGTCAACTCAAATATTCAATTTGCCCTTCCCATTGAAGTAGCAAATCTCTTGCTGTCTTAAGTTTTAACTTCCTAAAGTATGTATAAGCTCAAGGCAAATTATATAATGAGTTGTGTTTGATGCCAAAGGTTGAACCTCAATAAATTCACATGGACAACACATGAACAATGTTTATTATGGAGAAGAAGATATAACTCTATAATATTCTTAGGTTCTATGAAGGTCAATAAAATAGGAGTCTGATAATAGCCATGTAAAATTGTTACAACAATTAGTAATACAATAATGAATAATATATTTTTCATTCATCTAGATGAATTATTCTTATTATTAATAAAATGTAATGTTTTATATTATGATGTCTAGTGCACATATGTCATATTATATTCTTGTTTGGAATCATATTTTTATGATCAATTTCAAAATGCTCTATTTGCCAATATTTTCTTTGAAACTTTGTTGATTTGGGGGAAGTATCTTAACTATTTGATCATTGCTCTTGCTTCTTTCCTATTGTGCATTTTGATGTTAGTAATTTTACATATTTGTGATGGCATTTACATTTAGAAGAATTAAGATACACTTCCGCCTTCATATATCTTTTTCCATCATCACTAAGTGTTAGATTTCTCAACCCTAGTTGTATGTGCTTGTGGTGCTGCTTGATAGAGAACTTTGAGAATAAAGAAAAAAAATGACTCTCCTTTCTAATTAGGGTTCAAGACCCTATAAGTACACAAACTTGGATTATTAGATCAGTTACAAGGTATAAGTGGACCCAACCTAATATTTATAACTAAAGACATAACTAATGTATAAACAAAAACACTAAACAAAAAAATAGAGGGATATGTATCTTATATTCTAACACGAAATTTTCCACATTCTTATGAAACTTAATACAAATGCGTACCTTATGTATTTCTTTTGTCTGACAACTAGATGCAAGTTAATTTCTCATATGGGGTCTCAGAGAGGTAGTTGTTGGCCTCCTCTCCTCTCTCACCCTCTAATAAGGTCGAGAAATGTGTGTGTAGAGAGAGAGAGAGAGAGTGAGAATATAATCATAAGTATATTTTAATCTTTTATATAAAAATTAGGTGTTAAGTATACTTAACTAGACTAAGGACTATAGAAGAAGAGTGTTAGTATTTAGGTCAAATGGCATCTCTTTAAGTAGTATCATTTTACCACCATCTAAATTGACGTCGTATCTACTTGCCCCTTTCTTCATTCATCCATTTAAGTCAAAATCAAGGAAAACCAAAGGCGCTTATATAAAATATATTAGTGTTAGTGTTGGTTCAAGGATACATCAATACAATTAAACTTTAGACATCTTGACCAAAAGGTCATAAGGGAAATGCCTTAAGTTTGTCACATCTTATTAGAATACATTTGGGCCCATCTCACAATGTGGAAAGAACCTTAGTAATGAACGAATGACTGACCATTATCAACTATCAACCAATGACTTTAGTTTGTCACATCAACTATCATTAGTTTTTTCATAATTATCTTATTTGGTAATTATAAAAAAACAATGGCTGACCACTATCAATTATGCATTATTTTAGTAATGAACGAATTAAGATAGAAAGTATCTAGAAGCTTAAATGAAACTCAAATTCATAATACACCTAGCTTTGCAAAATAAATTCTTTATGACATATTTCATTGGCGCTTTGATATTTCATCTAATCCCTTAAAAAACCTAGGCACTCTTTCTAGATTAGTCAATTTGGATCACATGAAATTGAAAGTGGCACCAATTTCAACTCATTATTTGGCAAAATAAGGCAACAACATATTCACACATCGATGAAATCTTTGAAATAAATTACATTTGATGAAGATGCTCATGTAAACTTAATATGGGCATTTTGATTACCTATGAGTCTTTTTGGTAACTCATGTATTAAAATATGTTACATCATTTTCCCATTGTAGTTGCCACTTCTTTAATCCAGATGTTTAACTTCTCAACTATCTTCAAGACTTGTTTACAAAAGTGTTGATCCAATAAGTGTTTTAGAGCATCTTGTTTTCATACTTTGAGCATAGGATTATGATACAAAATATATTTTTAGGAATCTCAAGTTGCAAAAATAAAGTTATCATCATCTCAATTGAAAAATAATTCAAAGCTCTATGAGATTTGTTCATGGCAAACTATTCTACGATTGAAATATTGCAAAAACAAACCTAGATGAAAATAAGAAAAATTATAAATCAGGCTTTATTGCTAACTAAAGTCATTTTAGAGTGGGTGAAATACTAGATGAAAGTAATATTCAACAACCCAATACTCTGATAAGTTTCAATGAAAGAAGAGAGGAATCATCACATAAAATTTTAAATAGGTTCAATATGGTTGAATTTTTTTTCTTTTTGTAGGGACCATTTATCAAGGAAACCTTAAATGTTATTTTTAGAGATCTATATTCCTTTTTACTTATTTGAGAAATGGATCATAGATGAAGATAGCTTTTTGATGTAAAAATCTTATCTTCATCCTCTCACCTTGTTGATATAAAAACCTATTGTATATTCCAAAGACCCTATGTTTTTACCTAATGGGTTCATGAATTTGGAAGTTCATTCCATAAAGTTTCAAGGTCTAGTTACTCTTTCCCTTTTAGTACATCATATTGATTTTATCTCTTGGTAGTTATCTAATGAAGTAGTCATCATAATTCCAATTTGTCAATAACTTGTTGGTTCTAACTTGTGTTCAGGTATCTTTAGAAAATTTCTCTCTCCAAAATGTACTATCTCCTTTTCACAAATATTTGGATGCCCTTATATATTGGTCATTCCCTATAATTAAGATCTTATCCTATCAAGAATATTAGTGTGAACATTTTATATGATATTTGTTATACTTTTATCCTATAATCATACCTTTTGCATCTAGCATCTCATGCATATCATATGGTAGTTAATAGTACCTTCTCATCCTCACAATTCAACAAAAATCTTGTTGTAAAATATAGTATTCATGCATCTATTTCAACATAGCAAAACATTATCATTATTGAATATGTATTATGAGTCATTATTGTTGACAATGGTGATAACTAGCTTAAGTCATCAACAATATTATTTATTTTATATCTTTTTATATTAATGAAAAAAAATAGTGTTCTAATTAGTATATTGTTAACTCAACATTTTTTTAGGCTTTAACTATAATAGTGATCAGACTTTCAAAGTTAGTAAAGGTTTGTCAAATATGGGATGATGAGTGATTTTAAAAGATCAAAAGATCCAAGTCCTTATGCCCACTTCTAAGCTTTTGAGGTTAATAGGTACAAGTGTTTGCATGAGCTATAAGGATGCAAGTAGGCAGTTGATACGATCCTCTAAGATTTAGCAACCATAGACATTGTAGTGTTGATAGAGTGTCAAATGATGGTTCTATCAAAATAGAGGGAAAGGAAAAAGTAGTGGTCTGAATGTGATTTGAGAGGATCCCTTGCCTCTCAAGGTTTAGACTTTTCTCCCTTATTCTATTTCTCCTAGTGATATTTGTAGTCAATCAATCTCGTCTGAGACTTCTAATATATGGAAGTCTCATGCAGTTTCTGTTACATGCTATCCTTTTATCCTCTTCTTCTTCCTTCTTTATGTTATTGATGAGGTTGTAATAGCAATTTGAAGGTTATGCCTTGAAAAGTTGAAATCATTTTTATAGCAAGGTCATCTTATGATATTATCAAATATATAAAATGCACATGGGTTTTTATTTTTTATATCAATGAGAAATGTTGAATATGTGGTGTTGCATACATGAATAAATATATCATTAAGTATTAATGTAATGAACATAATGATCTTTAATTTAAGGGAGTGCTTTTATGTATGTGACACAAATCAAACCAAGGTAAATACTAGGGAAAAATTATCCTATGAATTTTTAGAATGATTGCTGGTCATATATAACTACCCCAACTCAAAAAAAGGAAGAAAACATAGTAGGCTGAATCCAATTATTTATGAGATACCCAACCAAGCTAGGAAATTAATCAGCAGCCTGACCAACCTAAGAAACTGACAGATAGAAACTAACTCGTAATTCCATTTGTTTCCCTACACTATATTATATTAGATCTTCTATTATCCTCCAACAGCATAATATACTACTTTACATCACTTTTCATACCAAGTATGTCTACAAGATATATTTTTAGTCTCAAGTAACAGAAGAATGTGCTCATAATAATTGTGCATAGATTAGAGAGCTCATACTCATTGGTACATTAAATTAATGTCACAAACATAGTTATTGTAGTTAATAACCATGCATTTGTAACAAATTTTATGTGTGTAAACGAAAAGGTTAGGAGATCAACATCTTAAAAATGAGATATCAAATTGTAACCAAGATCAACATCTCAAAGGTTAGAATAATCTTTGCAACCAAGATCAACATCTAGAAGGTTAGCATAACCTTTGCACCCATGAATTTACGAAATAAAATGTTGTGTGCTGAAAAGCAATGTGAAATAAAAGTGTCGTGGCTGTCGTGTCAAGCAAATTTGGGAGATAAAAAATTACGAAGGGATAACAATTGAGTTGTCAAACAAATTTGGAACTGTTTTTGGAAACAAAATCAGTCTCATCATCTGCCTGAAATAGCCCTTGACACATTGCCACATTGTTGACTATGAGTAATTAGGGAGATATATTTATAGAGTTTGCCTGCGCTACTCTATTTCATCTCCTTGGTGTGTTATGTATTGCTATTCACTCGAGCTTAGTCTCATTTATCTTCTAATGGTGTGTGATTTGCTCTTTTCTAGCGCTATGCATCTTATGACTGCATATATTCAGCTGTCTCCTAATCTAGAGAGGAGGCTTAACTTTCTATCAAACTCTGGGAGGAGAAGAAGAGCATGTCTCTTCTTCATTTATTTTCAAAAATAAGGTATGGTTAGATGTATCGTTTTCACAAACATTGTTATAAAAGTACCAACTAAGACTAACCATGAACCATTAAAAAACCAATCTTGAAATAGGTAATGGGCACGGCCATCCTATTTTCCTTCAAATTCTCTCTCTCTCTCTCTCTCTCTCTCTCTCTCTCTCTCTCTCTCTCTCTCTCTCTCTCTCTCTCTCTCTTTCTCTCTCGCAACTGGAAGAAGCTCGAGAAGATCATGCGAATTGAACTTATTCGGCCGAGGAGGAGATGAACAAGGAGACGATATAGTCAGCACCCCCCAGATCAGTGCTTATGAGGCCTTAATCTCTGAATTTCATCACTCCCAGTTATCGTAGCTCGAAGAAGCTCGAGAGATCATCCGAATTGAACTTATTCGGTCTTGCCGACTGAGGGATGACCTAAGGTGTAGGACACAAATCCCCACCCGGTGATGATCAAAGACAGGATCTTGAAGCCCGTCATAGAGTCTTTGAAGAGGATGACTGCGGCGATGCTGGTCAGTGGCACCCTTACCGCATTGAGTATCCCGGCCATCACCGTGGAGGCCAGATAAACCACAGCGGTTCCTCCCAGGGCTCCCAGCTGGAAGCTGACCGCCGCCCAGACAAGAACCATCGTGTAAGAGAGTTGACCATGCTCGAATGAGGCGGCCTCCTCTCTCATCCGCTGCAAGTCTCCTTTGGCGACGACCCCAATTGTGGTAACTATGAAAGCGGTCAACGACACCATGGTCTGGAACTCCAACACTACGTGGAAGGATCTTCTTCCCAGCTCCTTGACGAAGACCAGCTCGGAGAGGGCGAAGATGAGGCCGTGGAGGGCTGAGCCCAAGATGTCGAATATGAAGCCGAGGGCGTACAGCCCCCTCGAGACGCCCGGTAAGCCGTCCGATCTTGAATCCAGGGCTATGATGACAACGGCGGCGGTGATGATGATGATGGCGTTGAGGCCCGAAAGGTTGACTTTGTTCTTGACGATGATCCATCCGAAGAATGCGGAGAATATGAGGGAGGAGGATGCGAGCAGAGAAGCGGTCGATGCGGGGAGATAAGCGTAGGCCAGTGCGAAGAGGAGGTTATCTAAGGCGCTGATGATGCCCAGTGCGGCGTACCAGAGGAAGAGCTTGAAGGTCAACGGTGACGGCGCCGCCGTGGAGGTGGCGGCGTAGAGAGGGACCAGGAGGAGGGTGGTGATGGGCCATCCGGCGACCGCCGTCCACGAGATGATCCAGTAGCTTCCGCCGCCGCCGGAGTAGTAGAGGCGGGAGAGGAGGCTCGAGGCAGGGAAGGCGATCAGCATGGAGGCAGAACTCAGAATCAGCAAGACCCAGTGAGCCATTGACTTCTTCCGGCACGCTTCCCATATCCCAGGAAAAAAGTCAGATCGAGATCCTCCCGGCGACGCCGCCGGCGGCGATGGATCCCCCCCGCCGCCGCCCTCTGAAGTTCCTCCTGCGCAGAACAGAAGTCAGAAACGCCCGATCGAGGGTTGACTTCGCGATGAACGTTCCGGCTAAGGGAATTAAGGGATGCTGTTTGAAACATTCAAACAGGAGCCATCGTCATCCTGGAAGAAGAAAATCAGGTTTCAGGGGTTGCCTAAAAGTCACCGGGTTATTATATTCTTTAGAAGCAGGAGCCCAAAAAAATGGCGGGGCAATCCTTTCGAGCGACCAAGAATATATCCGAAAGCGTCTGGCTGCCAACCCTAGCCGACGACCGATACCCTAACCCTAAGAGAAAGAGAGAGAGAGAGAGAATGATTCTTCTCGAGCCAATGGAGAGGGACGCAGAGAATCAGAGAAGGAAAAGACGGGAAAATACCGGAACAAAGATGGAAGGAGAGAATGGGGGAGTTGCGATGCCAAATGTGAGGAATTCTGACCTTGCGGCGGGTTCCGCTGACTTGGCGCCTCCAAGTCCATCGGCGGCGACGGCGGCGGCGGCAGGATGAGGAAGAAAGATGCGATGAGAGAGGGAGAGGGTAGGACAGATAAGGTGCGCCCTGTTCTTCTTCTGCAGAGGTCACACCGATCTAGCGCTGTAATATATTCGCATTAGGAAATAGTAGCCGCCCGTTCCACGCGCTGTTTCTTCCGCCTAATAAGACCTCGAAGTCAAGTTCCGCGTGTCCAACCGAACCAGCATCTTTCCAAAAGATCAGCAATCTGCTTGTGGATCACCCACGTGGCATCTCCTCTCTCTCTCTCTCTCTCCCTCTCCGTCTCTCTCTAAGAGAATTGCTGCCCATTAAACAGGATGATAAGAGCACCCTGTGTGTGCCACATCTACTACGAATTATTGGCCATGAAAAGCCCGGGTAGAGCTCCTCCTGTTCACAAACAGATACCGCCGAAAATGGTGGGCACCCGGGCTGAGGATTGAGATTACATGCCAAATTCGGAAGAGCCGGATATTCAAAAACTGGGATCTAATCCATTTATAGTTCTGGCTAATTATTGTCATGGAGATCCAGGAAGGAAATGGACTCCGATGGAAGGAAGTCAACGGAGGGTCTTTGCCCTGGTAGAGGGATCTTCTTCAGACTCTATCTTCATCATGAAGAGGTAGCCCATCGCCCACAGGAGCACGTACTGGAAGGGAACCCAGCAGAGACAGGCCACGAGGCTCAGGATGCTCCCCACGTACTGCGGGTCCTTGATGTAACCAAAGGGGAACTCGGTCACCCAGGGGATGGTCTTCCCAAATCTGACGCCATAGAATGTGCCTGACTCACCGAGCAGCTGGTAGACCCTGGAACAGCTGAGGATGTGAGTCCCTGGCACACTTAGAAGAAGAAAAATGCTGACAGTGGGATCCCTCCCATTGCCCGGTAAGTCACCTTCATCTGCTTCTGAACCCTTGGGAACTGATAATAATATTCCCATATTAATCCACACACAAAATTTTCGAGCAGTATGAGGGCCCAAAATAGCAAAGCATGCTCCAATGTCAACGCAAAATTCAGGGAAATACTAGATTATTGACTCCTGAGCAGATGCTTGTTATAAATTCATACTTGCACAGATGCATGCAAATAAAATAGACCCATCAGAGTCTCATGACTTCAGCTGATGGGCGTGAGAACACACAGGGAGGAAAAATCATATGGATGAGGATGAGAACCACAATGATGATCAAAAACATGATTTCTAAACCGGGTGATGAACCAGACATGGAACGATCCAACGTGAAGAAATTAATTTGAAGAAAGGCAATCTTATGCTCAACATAATCAATATTACCAGTACGAGTCTAATCAGATCGATTCTCATAGGATCTAATAAGGATTTTTCAAATAATTTTTTGTCTATGGCTACCTTGCATCTGCAAGAGGGTCGCCATCTTCTTTCTTAGTTCCCATTTAATCATATTTGACTGGGAATATAAGGATAAAGGTACCGTTTTGCATAGAGCCCAGATGAGGATGAAGAGAGACCAATTTCATGGTATGATCTCTTATATGGTAACTACACCCCAACTGACGAACCCATGGAAAAATTTAGTATGTTGATATGATCAATATCTGTGAGGCAGTTAGCCTAATTCTATTGCCAAAAAATACAAAATTTCATACTATGTCTTGTGACTATTAAATGTGCCCATTGTACGGCAGCATAACACTCACTATTTCCTCATAATTTGGGAAATTACGACCAAGAAAGAAGTCTGGAGAGAAACCTTGAAGGAGAGACAGTCTAGTTCAATCTCTATTCACGGAATGACAGCATAAAGAGCTATTTATGTAAGCTTATATTGATTAATCCGCTTCCTTGGAGCATACTAAATTCTAAAAAAATGCCTATTTTGAAACAGCAGAACGCAAAAATATATATTCCCTTCTCGGAAGAGAGATCTCCTCCAGAATTGATGGCATTGATTAAAATGAGAATCCAAGTTTTTTCTTTTTTCTTATTCTTCCGAAAGAAAACACTTTGTGAGCCCATAAGCAGAAACTGCAGATATATTGAACCACTACGTAGCTACAGAATGGACAAAAAAACCGACAAACATCTGATTCCACTGCATCGCTGGCATATAGCTTACATAGGAATTAATTTTAATTAATATTTGATTTATTTATTTTTTATGATTGGCAAGAACCCTACCAGATAACGGAAATAGAGTCGATTTTAATCAGGTAAGTAGTGTCTAGGCATGTTCGAATAATGATAAGTGTCCACGAACTTCTCTTCTTTCTATTTTTCTCGATTCCTCCACCAATGACTTTCCAACACCTTCTTCACTGAGATATTTTTGGCGAAGAACTGAGAAGCAGAGCGACCTTAAGAGAAGTACATGGCCGATCTCTAGAGAGTGAGAATTCACTTCTAAGTCAAAACCCGAACATACACGCCTTCTTCTCCCGGGGAAACGCCTCTGGGGTTCCCTCTCTTCCCATGAATTGCACGACCAAGCTCTTTTTCATGACCATGAGACCAAGAAAGAAGGATGCTGAGACGAGGGTGGTGAAAAACAAAAGGAGAAAACAATGAAACAGTAGATCTCTCACTTGAAGTTGAGGAACTGGCCGGCGACGAAGAGGAGGCAGCAATACCACGGCGGCCGGCAGAACTGCGATACGGAAAGGAGGGCGATCAGCTGCAGGGCCTTGATCGCGTGGGCGACCTGCGCCATCCGGTGGCACGGGTCCACCCCTTTGCCGCAGAGGTCCACCCAGGCCTGCGGGTAGGTCCACAGAATGTAGTAGAATGGGAAGGGGAGAATGATGGCCGTGCCCACCAACAAGCTGGCCGCCATTTCCCTTCACCGGCGAGACGGTGCTGTTCGGCATAAACCCTTGCTGCAAGATATCGAGGTCCATCTACTTGGGGATTGGGCTCACCTCCAGACTTCTGGGCCGGATGATAGATAGTTCGCCGAGTATGATGCCGAATGTAGACCCATTTCCGCTCGAAGAGAATGAGTCATGACTTGAAGTTGGTAAACAAAAGCATACCAAATACAAAGAACATAAGATATATATATCATATTTTTATTTTTAAAAATTTACCCTTGCAAAAAAAAGAAGATACATTTTTTAAAAATCAGATCAACTTTGTGCCTAAAATACTTTATTTTTTATTTTATTTTTCACCCTGGCTTTGGAATAATTCCATAAATATGCTTTCCTAATTCTTTGGTTGGGCTTCACTTAGTCGGTAGACCCATTAATCTCTTCTCACTAATTCAATATAATTGAGTTTTAAATAATATTTTGGTTTCAGATAATTTTTCTCAATACCCGTTGTATGAAATTGAGCGAGAGAGAGAGAGAGAGACAAAAACTTTCTTACGTGCTACCTTCTGAAAACCATTGTCACCTTCAGAAACAGAAGAGGTGAAAGGGGGAAGAGGAAAGGAGCTCATATGCACACACCCCTCAAAAGAATGGGCGTCCCCCGCCCCTCCTGGCCCGACCTGCTGGCCTATGAAACAGAGTGCCTCCCTTGCCTCGAGGAAGAACCAGAGGACTTGGTCTCCCTGGGATTCTCCGACGGCGGTGGGCTCTGCGAGCTCCCGGAGGTCTCAGACCCTTTGTTGTTCTCCACCTTCACCTTCCCAACCCACAACATGTCAAAGATTCTCCTTGACCTCGATGGCTGCAAGAAGCCTCCGCCGCCGCCGCCGTCGCCTCTGTTCTTGCTGCTCTTGCTGGTAATCTTCTCCTCCACCGCCAGCCCGCCATTCTCAGTCACCTGAAGACTCCCCGGCTGCTGTGCCTTGGTTGGAGCATACTCCGCCGCCAGATCTCCCTCCTCCCAATTCCCCGGGTTCACAGCAGGCCGGGCGGCGCCGCGGCTGGGTGGAGCAGCCGCCGCCCTCACCTGCTCAAAAAAGAGGACCTGGACGACCACACGGAGTGGCAGCGACTCATTCTGCGCTGCATGTGCCGACGCATTAGCCGACAGCTTCTTCGGGTCCATGAGCCCACACAGCCTCTTCTTGTCCGCCTTCGTCAAGCTCGGATGCTCCTGATGATCGCGCCAAATAATAAATAAACTCCATTTATGCTAAAAAAGTTTATCCAATTCTGGAAATCTCCATTGCAGAGACCTTGTGCAGAAAGGTGGTGGTGATAGTAAAAACCGTACCTTTAAATAGATATCGATCGCCGCGTATAGCCCATCATGGAGGGACCGCCCTGCCGTGGGAATTGACGCCGCGAGATCAATAAAGCTCGACAGAGGAAGATTGGGGTCCGTAGCAATTACAGCAAGGTAGGCATCAATTAATCCCCCGAGACCCCCCAAGATGAATTCGTCAGCAATATCTGAATCGTTGCTGTCCCCATACTGCGCCATGAATCTGTCCACAAGGGTCTGAACAAGATTCACGTCATAAACGGTGTCACAGGGCGGCCTGGCGGGGATCAGAAGGTCCTTGACAGAGGCCGTGCCCAGCTGCAGGCTTATCCTCTTCAACAGCTCCTCCCTCGCTGACTCTTCAGCTCCGATCAAGACTGCAACTTTCAGCAGCTTCAGCAAGAAACTGGAAGAACAGCCCGAACCCTTTTCGGACGGCATCAACCAGATGATGGTCTCCACCAGAGACCTGTTCCAGCGGATGTACTCCTCGGAGATCAGATCATCGAGGGAGCTCGGTAACCATCTGATCGCATACGCCTTCAGGGCCTCTCCTATGAGATCAGCCGACATTCTCCCCTTGGCCTTCACACCGATCATCACCTTCCTGTAATGGTCGATATCCAAGTCACAGATGTCCTCAACCCACCAGTCTCGCGGCACAGCAGCGGCCCCCAACTCCTGCTCGATTATCTCATCCGATGTGGCCGGTCTCCTCCTCAGAGTGTATGACCAATTGACCGCGGATGGGTCAACTGAGGTCTTCGATGTGATGGAGTCAACGCACCTGCCGATGATCTTCAGATCCTCTGACCAGGGTAGAAGATATTTCGTCGTCCTGAGGACAATTATGGAATCTTTCCAGCTGCGGAATACACTGTGGTTCAGGAAGACCTCGATCTTGAAGATCAGGTTCCCACGATCGATGTCCTCAGTCATCTCGAGGTACTCTGCTGCACATCTGGCCGCGACGATGTTGTGGGCATTGAGAACCACGATCATGCCGTAGCAGAATTTGGCGCATATCTCAAAGGCCTTTGGGCCGCCTGGGAAATCTGGCAGATGGACCTCGTCGGTGCCTTCGCCGCATGATTTAATGACCAAATTCTGCAGGTGAATGCTCTTTGATAGAAGCGGAAACTGCATTACCAGAACAAATAAATAAATAAATAAATAAATAACTAAATCTTGTGAGAGACGATCTGAGATAACAACGCTGCCATTTATTTATTTCTTTATCCGATTATCATGGCCTTTAGTACTAGTATTATTATTATTATTATTATTATTATTATTATTATTATTATTATTATTATTATTATTATTATTATTATTATTATTATTATTACTGTGGAATGAGATGGGGAGCTAAATTCAATAATTCTTGTCTGATAACACCCAGACAAGAAGAACCCCACAAAAGATGGCAGGAATAGAGGGGACGATCTTCTGTGTCAATGAAAAAATTAGTCAAAACGCATGGTTAAATTAAAATATCAAGCCATCTGACTCAGACCAAATCTTAAAAAATTCAAAGTAGGTCATTGTATTATTATTATTTCTAATGTGGGACTCCCTGGTTCCCATCCACATACCCACAGGGATCTTTTATTAATTATTCAGAGTTTGGGATTATTCGACCCATATAGAAATAGTGTTCTAACCATCACTTACAGCATAAAGATAGCTGAATAAATGAAGGATAAACCAAAAATAAATTTTAAAAAAAGTAATTCCTAGTCGAGAAAAATAGTATTCTATGATCCCATCTACAGTACAGAAATAAATCGAAACCTGATACAAGATCCATACCTTGTGCAGAAAAAATCTGACCTCCCCAACGTTCACAACAATGTCCGCCGGCAGCTCAGATACCACATATCTGCATCGTCAAGAAAGAGTTATGATCAGCGTGAGGCCAGAGTTTCTTCAACCAGACATCTGTCAGCCTTCGATCCAGACTCACGGGCATGGAGGATGATAAAATCATAGTAACCCTAAAGGGAGAGTGATATATGTTCTCGTAATCTCGGCACACCCTTCTCATTTTCCAGATCAAAAACTCATCTTTGAATGAGAAAATGGCCGATGAGGAGCAAAAATTTGTCACATGGGGCCAAATGCCGCTGGGCGACAGCGGAAGAACCGGCGTTGGCCCCAGCAGGGCTCAGCTCCTGCTGCGCGACAAGAGCAGGGTCCTTGTCGGGCACAGAAAGCAACCCGCGGCAGCTTCACATGGTTCTTCGTCCGCGGATGTGAACCAGAGATCAGAATGGTGCCCGGATTAAAGAAATAGATCGATCCGGCTCGAATAAATAAAAACAAACGGAAGGCTAATTTAATGAAAGAGTAGAGCATCGTTCACTCCGACGCCTACCCTTTTCCTAGAGCAGATTCTCTGAATCGGCTGGGCTCGCCCACTAAATGCATGAATTCTCGTCTTCCCCGGAACGGGGAAGAAGAGATGATTCAGATCGTGTGAACTAGAACAAAGAGAAGCCGATTCTAATGAGAAAGAACCGGAGAAATCCCCAGTTCTGTAGCGAAAGAGACCAGCGACAGAGTGCTCCCAGCACATCTCTCGGATGATCAGAAACACGAATCAGAGATTCAAGCGAGGAGGTCCCACCTGGCGTTGTCACCCTCCGCTTGGAACAGATCCGGCTTCGAGCCCAGCTTCATGAACTTCATCTCTCCTCCCCCACGGCCAATGGAAGAGAAAGCACGAGGAAGGGAAGACGGAACCAAGAAGAAGAGGGAACGCCGAACGCTTGCGCCACGGATGGGCTCGAAGCAACAGCCGCGACTTCACCACAGCTCCGCTTCCCTTGCCCGCCAAGCTTCTACCCCCCCCCCTCCCAGTGTACAGGCTCCTCTATTCTGCACGCTTCTCTCTCTCTCTCTCTCTCTCTCTCTCCTTCTCCCTCTCTCCGGCTTCCAGGAAAACAGAAGGAAGAGAAGGATATATCACGCCAGAGAGGGGTCCAAAAATCCGCGTCCAGGAGGGAAAAAAATATCGCCCACCACGTGATGATGACGGCGATGGCGAAGTTACTGGTAATTAATTACATCGCCGCCTTCTCCTGACAACTTCTCTCCCCTTCTTTTCTCATTCCTGCAAGTTCACCCCCGAGCGGAGCACCAAAAGTGGAGAGGAATAGGACATCCAAGGTTGCTCCTTTATGGGCGCTGCTCTCCAGACCCCGCTGTCACCCTTAGACTTGGGCAAGTGGAGGTTGAAGAGAGAGAGAAACAGAGGGAGGCGGTGGCGGCGGCTGTCCGACGTCACGGCAAGCAACGGGTAGATGAAACCGCGCTGACCTCGTACCCCTCCTACCCCCTCCTACCCCCTCCGACTAAAATAACTGGCCGGTGGATTGGACGGTGAGATATCGATGGTGTCCACGATCGGACGGTAGAGACTAACTCTTTGAGCTTTACGTAAAAATGGTTCCATGATGAGGTTACCTATACAGGACAACCACACCAGCTTCTCCAGGGGCAACCCCACAGATGGCGGAGCATCTGAATGCAGTAACAGTATGTTGACTTTTGACTTTAGCGAAGTCAAAAGGACACCTACCCCCCACCAGACCAAAATGACAGGCCGATGGATTGGACGGTGAGATATTGATGGTCTCCTCGATCGGACGGTGGAGAAGAACTCCTTGAAGTTGACGTAAAAATTGTTCCATTATGACGTCACTTGTACATGAAAACTTGTCGCCAGGGGCAACACAAGAGATGGTGGAGCATCGGAATGCAGTAACAACATGTTGACTTTTGACTTTGAGACACATTTCGTATTTATATTTTCCCGATTAAGCCCAAGAAGAAGAGAAAATCAGAGAGAGAGAGAGAGAGCAAAGAAATTTAGAGAGACAGGGAAAGGGGGGCCCACGTGTCGGGGGTTGCCGGCGGCGCGGCCTCCTTGACGGAGACCGCTGCCGGGTGGCGTAACTCTCTCTGAGTGCGACAGTCCACGGACTGGTCGGCTGTAGGAAAACACGAGGACGGCGACCCGGCGAGTCCGAGCTGGCGAGTCACCAGTCTGACCGGGCGGGGTCCGGCCTGCCTCAGGGGCCGGGCGGCCGGGACACATGGCTCGAGCCTGCATCATCTGTGCCTTTCAAGGTATACTTGCCACGTGGCGACAGGCCGGTTGCCCTCCCCACGCCCCCCCTGAAAGGTCAACCACGGTTGGATCCGATCTGGACTCGGGGAGGACCAGACAAATTGGGGAACAGTCCACGAGGGTCGTAAGAGAGAGAAAATGACAGGGATCCATCAAATTGGGGAACAGTCCACGAGCGAAAGTCAAAACATTGTCTACACTGTAAGGTATGGATGCTTAGACTATGATTAATGTGGGGTCAAATTCACGGGAGGGACTGAAAGTCAACCTTTATATGGATCAAATATAAAGCTGGCCCTAATTTTATGGGCTTTTCTAAATAGGGTAGTCGCGCGGGATTGGGCTATTAGTACATGACTATGAACCGATCCGTAAAATGAATGGGCCCATAATGGGGCGGATATAGCCCATTAATGCTCCTCGGGAGTCCCAATTCAAATGGCCCATGTCAGATCGAGCCCACAGAAGAAAGTATACTCGCTTGAAACGCAGGACTGGAAACTATTGAATAAATACACATTAAATGTTACTCGTTTACTTATTAGTATCCATTTATGACGTCGATAATGCATTTTTATTCCGTAATTTTTAAAATGGGTCAATAATATTCTCCATGCATTATCCATGAATCTATGGGCCCAATTGACGTCCTTTTCTCTTCCTCTCCCCTTTCAAGTCCTCACACGTCACATAAATGCATAAGATATTTTAAAAAGTATTTAATATACATATATCATGTGTCACGTCACATTAAAAAATAGCCTTTTTTTTTAACCCATGAGACTTAAAATGTAAAAAACGTGGACTAAAAACGTTCGAACGTCCAAAATGGGATTAATCCCAAATAAATAATATGAATATGGAGAGTTTATGTATATAGGCATCAGCTCTCTCAATGAAGAGTTTTTTTGGTGTGGGCCCAGATTTAGTCTGACCGACGGGTCAAGGAGATAGATGACCTGGAGTGGGGCTGCAGATGAAAGTTGGGAGGGAGCTGCCACGTGGCGGCGGGGCCCAGATTATACCTATAAATGGACCAGGACCACAAAATATACCATCACATAAGAGAGAACACGGGCCTACCTTATTGTCTCTTTCCTCTGGTCTGAAGGCTTATTGGGTCGATTGGACGGCCCAAGTTGGTGGTGTTGATGGGACCATATTTTGGGTTAAGCCAGTGGGCCCATTAAGAAGACTGTACACAGATCTGTTAAGTCATTGGCCTGCTCGAGACAGAAGGTGGAGAGAGATTCTCAGAGAATGGCTTCTGGCTTCTGGCCGTCCATTTTGGATCTCACGATGGTCATCAGATCGGGACGTTAAATATCGAACCCACTCAGCAGTCAGTGCGGCTTCGCCAAAAAACACGTATCGGTCAAAACACGTGGGCATAAATGTAAATATGGAATTTATTTGGGGGGGGGGGAGCTGATACCGTCTTAGGCTCACCGAACGGAGAAAAAGAAAACGGGGAATCGAGCGGGCGGACGGGGAGAGCGAGATAGAGAGAGGAGAGAGAGAAATAGGGAGAGAAGCGGGGAGGGAGGGACAGATCTCAATTACTTCACGAATCTGGGGGGGGATCTACCCCGCTAGCTGAAGGCGATCTCCCTTCCCCTTCTCCAATGGCGACCCCTCGGGCCATGGGGCTCCTGCCGTGGATCGTGCTAGTTCTGTTCGCTGTCCGCGCCGCAGGCTTCTATCTTCCCGGCGTCGCTCCGGCGGACTTCCAGAGGGTGAGTTTTGCGATCCCTTAGGTTTTCCGGGATCTGGTGGATCTCGATGTGGATTTCATTTGGCGGAAGACTTTCTGTGTTGGCTGTCGGCCTTAGTCCTACCTTGGTCCTTTCGTGGAATCGAATATTCGTGCTTATGTTCGTGGAGTTGGCGGGATTGTTTTTTTAACGGTATGGTGTGGTGAGATTTCGTGCTGCGGCAATTCTCACGGGGAAGTACGGCAGATTGGACACTAGTTCCTCTATTAGGTTTAACGGTCGTTAGAGTCTACAGCGGAAGACAGTTCTCTCGGTCGTCACAAGTTAGGGTTTGTCTACTTTGTTTCGTCAATCTATTTATTGCCGATATCTTTTATTATGCGTTCGAGCCAAAGCAGTGGTTTTTATTGGTCGAAATACTTTTGAGCTCTGCTCTATGTCTCTATGGTCGCAAAAAATCATAATTTGGAGTTCTAGTAGAGTTTGTGAAATATTTGAAAAGCGTGGCCAGATTTCAATCTAGAAAGAGGGTCAAAGAGGAAGCATTCAAAAGTTTTTTTCAGCCTCTGAGCCACGCTCAACAACTGAGAAAGAAGCATGAGAGAGGTGAAGGACTCGTTGGAAAATGGCAACACAAGATAAGAGTAAATTATATGGTAACTTAAGGCAGTTACATACGACCCCTGATAGAGTGGGAGTTCTAGATCCTATAGAAACAGTTATTACTTCAATCAGTGCCAGTAGTCTTCTTTGTTGTCTCTCTTTATTGGCTGGATCAAGAAATGGATTTCCATATTTTTGGCTAGTGAATAAGTGGAAAGGTGCATATGCTGGAACGGAAAAGGAAAACAATTAGTAAACTACAGAGAAATAGGCATACACTGTAAATAATGATGATATTTGGTTGATTCGATTGTATCTTTAGAGGCTTTTGTATTTTTAAATCAGAGGGAATTCTCTGTTGATTGTTAATTATTAGTTTCCGATTTTCTCTGGAGGGCAATGATAAAGAATATATTCATGATGTGATCGAATTTGAAATTTTAATTCGATTGGAGTCAATGAGCTTGTCCTATCATATCTCAAATGTATAAAAACTTTCTTAAATTATGGTCACCATTTAACATCTTTGTTCTATCACCTCTGAAAGATGCGGTTCTCATCGAAAACGTGGGTATGTTGAAGGCTTTAAGGTTTTTGATAGCTTTTAAAGTAATGCTTGTTTTAGTGGTCATTGTAGGTGTTATGGAATGACATTGGTAGCGAGAAAATGAGCAGGTGGCTGATGACATTTTTGTCAATATAGATGTGTTTGGTGGTTGTGGTAACCAGTGGGAGCCGTCAGTGAACATAAGTGCAAGGTGTCGTGTATTGGTGGTTAGGGCGTATGTGCGAACAGTCATAAGCTGTGGGTGCAGAGATGACGGCAGTGGTGTGGAAGGATTGGAGTAAGAATGGTCGTGTAGTAGCAAGCAGCAGTGAGTAGTTAGTGATGGTGTTTATGAGTCATGACGATAGGCCATTGGTGAGGGAGGGGGGGGGGGTGCACATTGTTTGGCGGCGTGTAATCAGAGTGCTGATATTGGCAGGTAACAGATATATGCACAACTGTACTTTTTGTAAACTTTCGGTAAATCTCCGAACTATACTTTAATTTTTAAAGCTTTCTAGCTCATTTAAGTTGAAACAAAAAAAAAGAAGAAGCATATTCTACGCTTCAGATTTGAAACAGGGTGCTTGCCAAATAGTATGAGCCGGATCATTGCCTTACTTATGATACAAGAGCTCGAATAGGTATCATGAAAAATAGAAAGTGATGTCAACGTACGTTTGGTTTCAATTACTCAGTACTTTTATTTCTGAAATAAAAATTTATTGTGCGATAAATTTTTTCGTGAAGTTATTCTTTGCAAAATTTCTTCAAGGAGAAAGGAATTTCCTGCTTTCAATAGTCAATTGCCTTCAGTTTCATTATTTCCATTTCCAGAATGTTATAGCGATTTATAATTCGTATGAAAATTCTTTAATAAGAGTGAAATAATCATAATAAATATCGCGTGTCATTTCTCTTTTTTAATGTTCACATTTACTAGTTTCATGGTTTATGCAAAACTTGTGTAAGTTAGTTTTTTTGAAAAAGCCACGAGACCACCCTCTGAAACTCTTTGGTGCTATTTCTTATGATTCTTGGATGCAGAAAGACATATTGATGGTGAAAGTGAACAAGCTGACATCAGTGAAGACCCAGCTTCCATACTCGTATTATTCTCTCCCCTACTGCCAGCCTGAGGCTATAATCGACAGTGCAGAAAATCTTGGGGAAGTTCTCCGAGGCGATCGCATAGAAAATTCAGCCTATGTGGTTAGCTGCATTTCTGATCTCCCTTCCTTATAATCAATCCTAAAAAATCCTATGGATGCGTGCTTCTTCTAGCTGAATTTTTTTTTTTTTCTTCAACAGTTTGAAATGAGGGAGCACCAACAGTGCAGTATCGTCTGTAAAAAAAAACTCAGTGAAAAAGAAGCTAGTGAGCTGAAAGGAAAGATTGAAGATGAATATAAAGTCAATATGTAAGGCAGTTCTTTCCACTTTCTTAGGTGAATGGGTTAAGCTTCCATGGAGTTACTAATGGTGGGTATCGGTGTATTTCAGGATCCTTGACAATCTTCCTCTGGTTGTACCTGTGAAAAGGTTCGGTCAGGAGGATTTCATAACATATCACCTTGGCTTTCGTGTTGGCATGAAGGGTCATTACGCCGGGGTAAACACTGGCCTCATCAAGAGAAGAAAAATTTGATCTTTTGTAGAAAATTAATGGCTATTATAAACCGTTCTTGAATTTCTTGTGCAGAGTAATGAGGAAAAATATTTTATACATAATCACTTATCTTTTCTGGTCAAGTATCACAAGGACGCAGAGTCAGATCTTGCTAGAATTGTGGGATTCGAAGTCAATCCCTTCAGGTATATGCCATAATTTTTCTAGTAGATTAGCGTTGACCTTTTTGGAACACATGAGCTCCTCTCTCTCAAACCCTTTTGTGTTGTTTTTCTTCAGTGTTAAACATGAATATGAAGGGGAATGGAATGGCAATAAAACCCGTTTGACCACTTGTGATCCCCATCTCAAACGTTCGGTGGTGAATTCTGAGAATCCTCACGAAGTGGAAGCTAACAGCGAGATCATATTCACATTTGACGTCGAGTTTAAGGTGAGTTTGGCCCCTTTATCTCCAGATTCTGATATAGATGAGCTTCTTGCCACTGCTTTCATGCCTTCTTTCTGGTTTGCAGGAGAGTGATGTTAAGTGGGCTTCTCGATGGGACACGTATCTTCTAATGGCGGATGACCAGATCCACTGGTTCTCGATCGTGAATTCTCTGATGATCGTCCTCTTCCTCTCGGGCATGGTCGCCATGATTATGCTGCGCACACTGTACCGCGATATCTCCCAGTACAACCAGCTGGAAACCCAAGAGGAAGCCCAAGAGGAAACCGGGTGGAAGCTGGTCCACGGTGATGTCTTCCGACCGCCCACGAACTCCGACCTTCTCTGCGTCTATGTGGGCACAGGTGTGCAGTTCTCCGGGATGATCCTGGTGACGATGCTGTTCGCCGTCCTCGGCTTCCTCTCCCCCTCCAACCGCGGCGGGCTGATGACGGCGATGCTCCTGGTTTGGGTCCTCATGGGGTTGACCGCTGGGTACTCCTCGGCCCGGCTCTACAAGATGTTCAAGGGCACAGAGTGGAAGAAGATCACCCTCAAGACGGCCTTCCTCTTCCCGGGAGTGGTGTTCGTGATATTCTTCTTCTTGAACGCCCTCATCTGGGGGGAGAAGTCCTCTGGGGCCGTCCCCTTCACAACGATGTTCGCCCTGGTCTTCCTCTGGTTCGGCATCTCCGTCCCTCTGGTCTATGTGGGCAGCTACATCGGTTTCAGGAAGCCGGCCATTGAGGACCCCGTGAAGACCAACAAGATCCCCAGGCAGATCCCCGAGCAGGCGTGGTACATGAACCCGACCTTCTCGGTGCTCATCGGAGGGATCCTACCCTTTGGGGCGGTGTTCATCGAGCTCTTCTTCATCCTCTCGTCGATCTGGCTGCACCAGTTCTACTACATCTTCGGCTTCCTCTTCCTGGTCTTCATCATCCTCATCATCACCTGTGCCGAGATCACCATCGTGCTCTGCTACTTCCAGCTCTGCAGTGAAGACTACCACTGGTGGTGGAGGTCGTACCTGACCTCGGGCTCGTCGGCGCTCTACCTCTTCCTCTACGCCACCTTCTACTTCTTCACCAAGCTAGCGATCACAAAGCCGGTCTCCGGGATTCTCTACTTCGGCTACATGCTCATTGCCTCCTACGCCTTCTTCGTCCTCACGGGCACCATCGGGTTCTACGCGTGCTTCTGGTTCACGAGGCTCATCTACTCCTCTGTGAAGATCGACTGAGGCGACTGCCCGGGTCAAGCAGGTTAGCTTCGATTTTACAGCGTCGGATTCAGTTTTGGGTTCTGCAGGGGTTTTTCCGGTCTTCAATCCGACGAAGTTGTTCGAGCTGCCCTGATATCTGTTCACTAGGGTTTTCAAAGTTCTTGGCGATCTCGTGGTGGAACGTGGTTGATGTTCATCTGTGACCCGGAGAAGTATCCGTTGGGTGGGTGGGGGTGTTGTTGCTGCACATTTGTTCCCTTATCTTCGATTATTTTGAAGACTTGGTTGTAGGTGTGGCTTTGGCCTTATGTAAGCAAGAACACTCGGCAGCATTTCTGGACCAGCTACTGCTTGCTTTTTTCTCCAATGTGCGCCTGTTCCGGCATGATCCCCTCACGGGCCTTCGGATTGGAAAGGTAGCTATTTATTTATTTATTTCTTTAGGTTTTACACTTCTTCATCACATCAATGCTCATGGGAACGAAGGGCTGTCCACCCTCGGCCACGTTTTGTCTGGTCTGGCCTGGACTCCGCTAGAGAGAGAGAGAGAGAGAGAGAGAGAATCAATGCTATGACTGGAGCTAGGCTATGGGCTTATCCGTCGATTGGGTACTACTGAACCTAGCCTCATGAGCATTGCTCCTCCGTTGGGGAGATTAATGTCTCTGTAAATCAAAATGGGTAAATTAAAAAAAAAAGAAAATTGACGCTGTTTAGCCTAATCCGAAATATTTTTCTGGAAAAATGGGTAAATTAAAAAAGTTGGCCACAGTCCGTCCCTTCGTGTAAAAACCCAGGAATTCTTACGTGAATCAAGGGCCGGGCCCAAAACGCAGGCTATGGACTAGACCTCACGGACGGCTAGGACTGGGCCTTTATTCTGAAGAGGAGGGCTTGGAACTGAGCAGAATGGGGATAAAAATCAGAGCTGCACCAGGTTTCTTTTCTTTTTGTCTTTATGATCTTGATTCTGGGGCTGGGATCTCTGGCAAAAATTGGGTCGAGTCAGGGGAATCAGGGATCTGGGCTAACTTTCCTGGCGGTCTCCTGGACACATTACCTCACCAGGGGGAGGTAGAGAGAGAGAGAGAACCGACGGCCCCTCTGTCGACCTGTCTTCACCGGCTCTTATTCTCCCTCTCATCGGCCAGTCTCCACAGGACGCGTGGGAAACAGAATGCAAAAGAACTGGGTATTGGTTCTATCGGAGAGCTGTCGGGCCCCGCTGCCAGGAGCTAGAGAGAGAGAGACCATGTGGGCCGCCCAGTGGCTGCCTCGGCCCGAGGGACCTCCATCACCGTCACGGAGGAAATAAAGACAGGTATGCCGCGACATTATAACAAGACGACATAAACCTGTGCCTCCTCCTCTCTCTCTCTTCTCTCTCTCTCTCTCTCACACTCTCTGTCTCTGTGTCGCTTACCCCCCCCCTCCCCACGCGGAGACTCTCTCTGCGCGTCTCTCTACACATGCATGACACCGGCGAGCGCCACAGCGATCGGCAAACCACCGCCACCACCACCAGATAATGCCGTTGCCGAGAGCTGCCCCTCCGCCGCCGGCACGCCGCCGACGAAGCCCGAATCCCAAGCTTCCCCCCCCCCACCACACCCCCCCCTTCCTCATCTCGGCTAGCTGTAAACGATGACTGAGGAGTAAAAGTAAAAGCTGATTTCTTTCATCTCTCTTACCTACCAGCCTACCCATTCTCTCTCTATCTCTCTCACACACACACACACAGATCTCATCGTCGTTTTCTGAAGAAAGTCAAAAGGAAGACCCACGCTTCGAGAGTGGGCCCCACTTTCCTTCCCATCTCTCCCTCCCAATAGTCCCCCCCTCCCCCTCCTCTCTTATTTTACAGAGGGACGGCGATAGCATCTTTATTATAAAGTGAAGAGAGGGAGAGAACCGGCAGCTTCTTCCCCCTCTACTCTTCCATGCTCCAACTGTAATCCAAATCCGCCTTCACTGGATGGACCCCGTTCCTTCTTCCCCCTCAAGCTTCTTCCTTACCCTTTCAGGCGCCTGCTTTTATATTCTCCTCCTCGTCCTCTCCTCGGGGTCATTAATTCCATGGTTTCCTCTTCCCTCTCTCTCCAGCTGGTAGCAGATGCCGTCCAGACCCTTCCCGCCTCCCGGCACTGCCGCCGCCCACCGGCGGCCCACCTCCGCCCGAGTCCGCCTCCTTCTCGTCGCCCTCACCGTCTCCTTATCCTCCCTCTTCCTCCTCGTCCTTCTGTTCCTGCTCTTATACCTGTACTTCGCCCTGCTCGACCGGTCCCCTCCCACTCTCCCCTTTGACACCGGCGGCGCCACCGCCCCCTCGGTTCCGCCGCCGCTCCTCCGGCTCCGTCGCTTCTCGTACCGGGAGCTCAAGACCGCCACCGGCGACTTCGACGCGGCCCACTCCCTCGGCCGCGGCGGGTCCGGGTCCGTCTTCCGCGGGGTCCTCCCCGACGGGAAGACCGTCGCCGTGAAGCTTCTGGACCCGGCGGCGCCAGGCGGCGGTGCATCCGCGGGGATGGTGGCGGACCGGGAGTTCCAGAACGAGTTGCAGGTGCTGGGGGGGATGCTATCTTCTTCCTCCTTCGTCGTCTCCCTGCTGGGCTACTGCGTGGAGAAGAAGAGGAGGGTGCTGGTGTACGAGTACCTGGCCAACAGGAGCTTGCAGGAGGCGCTCTTCGGGGATGGATCGCCGGAGTTGGACTGGCGGAGCCGGTTCAAGATCATCCTCGACGTGGCGCAGGGGCTGGCCTTCCTCCACCAGGAATGCGATCCTCCGGTGATCCACGGGGACATTAAACCTGGCAATGTACTGCTGGCGGCGGACTTCAGCGCCAAGATCTCTGACTTCGGCCTCGCCAGGGTAAAGACCGACGGCGGCGGCGGCGCTGACCTGGGAGGGATAGAGCTGTTCAGCCAGGATCTGGGCCGCAGCGAGGAGCTCTGGAGGAGCCAGGAGACCCACCTTCAAGGAGGATTCAACGGAGACTGTCCCAAGGTGAAGGAATCAGCGGCCGGCGAGGAGGAGCTGGGCAGTGTTGACTTCAGCAGGGAGTTGACTGGGCACCCTTCGTCCTCGCCGATTGACCCGGGTTCAGCCCGGATGGGGAACGACTGGTGGTGGAGGCAGGAAGATGGCGGCGGCGAGGAGAAGAGCAGGGACTATGTGAGGGAGTGGATTGGGAGCCAGATTTGCTCTTCGAGGAATCCCGACTGGGACGACGAAAAGAAGAGCTCCTCCTCCCCGAAGAAGTCCGATGCCGGCGGCTGCTCTCTCCTGGCAGAGAAGCCGCACGATCCAGAGGTGCCAGAGGCCGCAGCCGGCGCCTACGAGAAGAAACACAAGAAGATGAGGGAGTGGTGGAAGGAGGAGTACTTCGGGGAAATCAGCAAGAAGACGACGACCAGCACCACCGGCAGCCGGCGTTTCGCGTGGTTCCCCTCCGGCCGGAGCAGCCACGACGGCGACGACGCTGACAGCACCGCCGCCGCCGGCGACTGGAGGAAGGAGAGGGAGAAGGAGAAGAAGAAGAAGAAAAGGAGGAGGAAGAGGGGGAGGAGCTGCTCACCGAGGAGTGAGATGTGGAGCGGGGACCTCCTCAGCAGGGAGCTAAGCAGCACGACCAGCATGCGGGGGACGATCTGCTACGTGGCACCGGAGTACGGGGGGAGCGGGTACCTGATGGAGAAGGCGGATATATACAGCTTCGGGGTGCTGATCCTGGTCATCGTCTCCGGGAGGAGGCCCCTCCATGTTCTGGCCTCTCCCATGAAGCTGGAGAAGGCCAATCTGATAAGCTGGTGCAGGCAGCTGGCGCAGGCGGGGAACGTGCTGGAGCTGGTCGACGAGAAGCTGAGCCAGTCGCCGGCCTACGACGAGCACCAGGTCTCCCTCTGCATCAACCTCGCGCTGCTCTGCCTGCAGAGGGCCCCCGAGCTGAGGCCGGACAGCGGGGAGATTGTTAAGATCTTGAAAGGGGATATGGAGCTCCCACCTCTGCCCGTTGACTTCTCGCCGTCCCCGTCCTCCGCTCTCTTCGGCCGGCCACGGCGGAAGGCTACCTCCGAAGCAGTGTAGGTGGCGTCGCCGTTGCCTGATCTCTTGGTGCGTTGCTCCTTGTTCTCTCTGTAAATCCGCTGATTCAAGCGGGAAAGCTGATAATTTATGTCGGAGAATTCAAGCCGAGACCTACGAAGATCTCCACTCTACTGCATGTCCTTCGTGGGAAAACTTCGGCATGGAAGATGTTTCAGAAGTTAGGAGGAAATCAGCGTCCTAGAGCACGAAAGTATGTCGGAGAATTGTGTAGAGGGAAAAGAAAAAAAGAAAAAAAACTAAGGCACCTGATACTTAGTGTTAATGTTTAGAGACCCATTTTCTCTACTTTTGGAATTCAAATCTCGTTGCTTTGTACCAGAGGAATCGTAATCCACAGATCTGAATCAAGGGCTAGGCAGTCCGTTTCCACTAGAGTCAACGCCTGTAGTGTATTTCAAGTCGCCATTTTCTATAGGAAGAAGTCAAGTGAAAATGCTAACTACTGTGTCATTATCATAATACTATACAGAAACCTAAGATCGTGACCATCAATGAGAAGATTTATCTGGTAAAATGTTGCCGTTGACTTTAACGGGCTTATCTAATCCCAACGAACTTAAAAAACCACGACTTTTCTCCGGGGCAACTACCCTGATTGGACGTTCAATTGTCACGTCAACACCAATCAAAGAAAATGATGGGCAAGGTGGGTCACGGGCTCGGGACCTTATAAAATTGCCAAATTTCAATAAAAGTCTGCAGAAAAAAATCTAACAATAAAAAAATGTGTCCTTTAATATGTCTGATCTTAAAAGTAGACACTGCAACGCCTCTTTATATGGTTGATTGAGGTGGCGTCTTCCCTAAAGGTACGCTTTGGACCGATCTGTCTGATTATATCCACATGGTTTGGATTGAAGAAGAGGGAGAAACAGGAACAAGTGGGCTAAATGAGCTAGAGTAGGTCGAGCTGAAGTCCACTAAAAACAGTCAGATTTGTACGGGTCCAGCCCGTAGGCCGCTTGCTTCTTGGGCTGGGCTCTGCGTATGTGTAAAAATGGTCTCTTGGGTCTGGGCCACCCTTGTTCAGTTTTTCTAGGATCTGGACTTCAAATTAGCATGTTAGTGGGCCCCCACCTCCCCTCCCTGCTCTCTCTCTCTCTCTCTCTCTCTGTTTCACGTAGGGGTAAATGGCCAGGGTAGAGGACGGGGTCAACTCTCTAATGGTCCCGTAAGAGGGTGTGTGTGTAAATGAAGGGGCAGTGAGACTAGCATCAGTAGTATTTAAAATGCCACTTGGCATGGAGAAAACGCGTCACCGTCTAGCTACTTGGGCGGTCTTAGTGCAAGACTACTACTATATTTATCTAGTTTGGGACTTTTCTAACCAGATGATGCCTTACCACTCGACCCGCGTCTGAGAGAGAGAGAGAGAGAGAGAGAGAGAGAGAGAGAGAGAGAGAGAGAGATGCCGCAGATGCCATCCCCCGTGCTGTCCCTCCTCATTATCAGCTCATTCTTTGCCGCTGCTCAGCTCGGTAGGGCAACAGATCACATCGTCGGCGCCCGCCTCGGCTGGAACCCGAACATCAACTACTCCAATTGGGCCAACAACCAGACCTTCTATGTCAACGACTTCATCTGTAAGCGCTCGCCACCCTTATCTTCCTCTTCCTTCCGTCTAGAACCCCCAATCTGACGGACATTCTCGGATCTGTGCCCTTTTCACACTGAAGCGTTTCGTTACCAGAAGCACACATACAATGTGTTCGAGGTGAATGAGACCGGGTACGACAACTGCACGACGGAAGGGGCGGCCGGCAACTGGAGCAGCGGCAAGGACTTCATACTCCTTGACGAGGCCAAGCGCTACTACTTCATCTGCGGCACCGGCTTCTGCTACTCCGGCATGAAGGTCTCCGTCGTCGTTCACCCACTCCCGTCGCCGCCCTCTTTCACCACCCCTCATGTCGCAGACTCGAAGACCCCCGGTACAGGTGGGGCGGACGTCCTTCGGGGCGGATTCGCCGGAGTTCTGGCTGTAGTGTTCGCTGTCTCCGTTGCCTTGATCGGACTTTGAACCGTTGGTTGGGGTGGATCCGGCTATTTCGAGCTCCGTCTGATCTGTCTCGCCGGTCCTCTTCTCTGCTTCGATTTCTTACCACACTCCCACTTCCCCCTACCATTAACGCCATTGTTTCAGCCATTTGCACACTCCAACTTTCAACATTGCGTGGAGACGGAGAGCTGATTAGAGTGAGCTGCAGTCTGTTTTGAATCAGCAACCAATTCCGTTTCTTAGGGCTTTGGGATCTGGTTCTCTTGGGATTTTTCTTCGTCTGTGCTCAAGCTATCCTTCAAGCCAGCTGTCGCGTCAGCGCTGTACGGATGGGGGGGTGGGGACGCACCAGCCAGGATGCTGAGCAGGCCAGCTGTGTGACATCGCAATTCCCCGGCGGGCCCTTCCCCGTCGGAAAACCAAAAAAGTTTCGTTGCCTGGGCTGTGCTCAGCGGAATGAACGCGAGTCTTTGAGCCTTTTTGACTGCGCAGAGGAATCTTAGGTCACAATTACTGCTCATCATGTTGAGTAATCTACCACAAATTACACAGATAAGAAGCTCCGAAAATGAAAAATGGCGTCGATCCACAACAAGAACAAGATCTCCCGATCCCCTCACCTGATAGATGACCCCGTCGATCCGTCGAGGCCGCCGCGCCTCACCTTCCTCGCCGGGACATCGATCGGCGGGAAAGTCGGACGCTCCGCCGCAGCACTCCGCATTGATGCTGCCGCGTCTCTCATTTCAAAAAAATGGCATCGCTCTCAGTTATTTATACCACCCTGGAAGTTTCTCGACTTTCGAAGTTTTTCCAGTCCTATTCCAAAATTAACCCCATTCAGTTGACAGACAAAAGTAGACTCGTAGAATGGTTTCCAGAGAATGAGAATGAGTTGTGTGAGCACTTAACTCTGACGCAGGCCCAGTAAGGCTCACCCTCGTGAACTCGCTTACAATAATGGGCCTAATAAGGCCCATCAACGTGAAGCGTTGTTTAGAAGGTGGGCGGGGCCCGGTAGCGCTTGCACAATGGACTTATACAACATATCTATAAATAATAATACTTAAAGGTTTAATAATAATATAAAATAAAAATTGGGTCGTATGAATTAAACGATATGTTGTGAAAGAGGAAGAGAAGTACGCGAGGGCAGAGAGGAGCAATAGAGAGAGAAAGAGAGAGAGAGATCGCATGGCTCTGGCGCAGAGCGGCCGGTGGCTCCGCCATCTTGCAAGAAGTCATGCTGCCCAGAAGACCTGCAATGGATACGACAGCATCACCAATCCTTTGCTATACGCCGGCCAAGGGCTTAGGTACAGGAAGCTGGAGGTCATCCTCACCACGGTTAGTGGGTCGAATGGGAGATTTGCGGCGGCTGATGCTTCGCATTTTCATAGCTGAATGCTTCCTCTGTTCTGTCATGATGCCGGATATGTGATCTTTTCTGTCGTCCTTTTAGAGCATCGAGAAGCTTGGCAAGGCGGGGGAGACGGTGAAGGTGGCTCCTGGGCATTTCCGCAACCACCTCATGCCCAAGTTGCTTGCGGTGCCCAACATCGAGAAATACGCCTTTCTCATCCGGGAACAGCGTAAGGTCGGCCAATTTTTTTCATGCTTTATCTGTATGAGCGGGATCAAGTGATCGTTGTCGAGTTATGGAAATGGGCCTGCCAGTTTCCAGTTTCCAGTTTCGCATTTCTTTTTGGGGATACTATCTGTTTCTCGATGAAGTTATAAAGCTTTCTTAACTGTTCTTGACGAAACGGGCTCAATATGTCCTAAATTTCATTGAAGGCCTTTGTTGCCCGTAGCCAATTTAGGATCTCCTAGCATGTCTAACTTTGTTGTTAGTTCAGGTCTGAGGGTCTCAATAAATGTGTGTCAGAGTTTCTCCATTACTTCCAACACGGGTTGCTGTCTTTACAAAATGAGATGTGTTGCTGATGGCATATTCTTTCCAGAGAAGTATGGTCGCCTAGGGGATGCCACTAAAACATGGATGGAAAGGGAATATAGTACATGTTTTACTTGGCGTCAATCTTGTATGACATTCGATGCTGAGCTTGATCAAAGACGAGGCATTCTTTTTAAAATCCGATCTGCGCCATATGATGAGTCTGTGTTGATTGTTACATGTCCTCATTATCTTCTGAAACTTGGAAGAACAGGTTTGTACCTGGCTCACTCTCTCATAAGACCATGAATACCTTCCAAGCTTACTGACTACGTGGATCTTTTAGTTTACTAGTCTATGGCCCACTTTCTAAGTATATAATTTGTTGGAGAAGGAGTTATGATGAATGGTGATTCAATTTTACGTATTGTGGATAAATATCTACCTCAACTTGATAAAAGTTTATGATACAAGTGGAAACCTAAGAAAAGACCTATGAATAGTCGTGAATTAAATTTTTGATCGAGAAATCTAACATCCTTTCATTTATGAAATTTGATGTATCACTTCGCTTCATCATTTAAAACACTGGACATAAATATATTGGAGTGTTTTCTCCTGCCAGGGTTTTTAAATTGTAGTCTTAGTATTCGGTTGGACATTTTTCTGTAATTGTCTTGGATTATAATATCAATGTGTGAAATATATAACTATTCTTGCAGAAAAGCTATTATTTCGTTACACTTTTTTATTTCTTGTAATACCGAATTTCTCATGCACCCCTTAAATTAAATAAAGTTTTTAAACTGTTTCATGATTTTCACTAGTAATTTCATTTGCTGTCAGGGTAGATTTTTTCGTAATTTTTATTTTCAAAATGCTAACATTTATTTTCATCTCTTATCGGACCAGATATATCAGCGTGAAGAAGAGGTGGTTGTAACAGAAATTCCTAAGACTAAGGAGGACAAAATGAAAGAATATGAAGCAGCAGCAAAAAGACTTGATAATGGTCGAATTGTAAGTCTTTTCTCTATTCCATTCCAAATGGTCGAAAGGAATCTCTGGTCATTTAATGTCACTTTGCCTTTTGAATTTTGTACACATCTATTTGTCTTTCATGTCCTTCCGGCATGATAAATCCAATGGTCAAACATAGTAAACTTCAGATTGAGCTCGTCCTTGTTTTGCCTGGTCCCAATCCATATGAGCCATTAGAGAATTTCCTGAAATCATTTTAATGCTGTTGAAAAATAACTGGAAAATTTTGTAAATAATTAGGAAACGAATGCCTTTAATGACTGATAGGCACACATTTACCTTTGTATGAACTAAATTTCCAAGTCATATGAAGAAGTCATTGGATGCACATATGTGCCCCAAAGGAGGCAGGTGGTTGATCAAGTTCCATGTTTTTCTCCTTTTTAGTTTTTAAGATTGAATCTCATGGGTCTCAGTGGCATGGGAAAAGGGAGTCGGAATCCATGAATCACTGATCCACAGTTGAAATCGTTCCATTTGACTACTTTCAGGCTTATCTTAGTCTATCATCTTGCTGAATGCTGCGAGTCGAGTGTTTTCAGGTCAGTTCAAAAGCAATCCAGTATTTTATAATTTTTTTTGGGCTTTGGTAGGGAACTGCTTTCCCTCTCAGATTTGTGTGACTCTGACCGGAGTGGGTTAATGTAGTTCAAAGTTACCTTCATTGATATCTCACACTCAGGACTGCCAACCTTGGTTGATTTTATTAGGTTTTATGATGATGGTTATGGCAGTACCATGGAGAATTTGCCTGATCAGAACCCACAGACTATGCAGCGGTGATGTAGTCTTTTATCGTTGTATTTTCTCCCTTAGGCCCAATAAGTGCTTAAATTCGCCGGGGTCAATTGATTATGTGCTGATCAAATCATTCTCCTACAATTTGGTTTTCCACAATGAGTACTGGACCAGCCTGAAGGCTCATCCGATACTGAAGTCCCATGATACATGTTGGACTGCTGGGGGCTAGGTCCAAGACTCGCATGTGTCATGCGATGAATGGAGCCTCCTTTGTGCATTTTCCTGTGTGTTTCATCTGAACGGAGTAAACAGCTAGTGTTCATGCAAAAAACAGAGACACATCTCCTTTGGGGTTTATTTCGGAGGGAACTTCTTTTATGATTTAAACCAGAAATAATATCCCTGCATTTTATTTGATATGCTGATTTCAAAGGTAAGTTTTCGTGCATAATATTTATAGTTCAAGATTGTTTGAAAGATCTAAGCTGTATAAAATGTAGCATTCTGTATTTTGTTGGCTCCAAAGTATTCTATAGTCATCAGAATCGTCATTCAATACTTTCTGGATCTAATTTTTGTTAACAAGTGGTTAATTGAAAATTACTTGCATGAATTCGAATTAGTTTCTGGTTACTGTTCTTAAGTAATTTGCTTAATCCATGAGTACATAACCTACTTACCGGTGATAGCTAATCCGCTAGTCTTTTGATGGGTCGTGGAGCGCGTTTCCAATGTTTTCTTCAATGAGTTTATTCTTGAAAATCTTAGCCCAAGTTAATTTGATTAAAGCTAATATAACTCACAGATTAAATCGCAAATGGTAACATACAGAAAACCAGACTGTCGTAGAATAATTCTGCCTTAAGAGTTCATTCTTCTAGACTTCTCCTTTCTTCTCTAAACTCCTAGTTCCTGGAACATTGATTGAAGTATCTCGAACGTGTCTAATTATGGAAATTTTCCTTGTAAAAACTTGCATTCAGTCATTGAGGAGGCTCATCAAGGTTGACGAAGAGTTGCGTTCCCCTGTGACAAAGGAAGAGCTTGTTTCTGAGGTATGCGATCTCCCATCCTTGGTGCTATAGGACTTCTAAACGCCGTGGAAATAAAATTAGCAACCCAAGATCTTAAACTAATTCATATTGTCTGGGACAGAGATGATCGATTAATATGAAGTAGTCACAACTTTAGCTTGAGAAACAGAAACACCAAAAATCAAAAAGAATCATCCATACCCAATGGTTCATTTATATTTCTGAGCCTGCTTATCTCTTAATCTTCATAAGAAACTATTCTAGCCGTTTGTCTGAATTTTGAAAAATAGTAAAAAAAAAAGAGTGATTTTACTGGTTTAATCTGCGAAGATTGAGTTTTATAAAAAACGTTTAATCCATCACTTTGTCTTCCAAGTATCCCATTTAGTTTCCGCTGCCCCATTTGGAAATCTTCAAGATCTCAGATAACAAGATCAAGAATGAGATGTGCCCAAGAGTGTCCCCAGGTTTAATCTGTGAAGACCGAGTTCTGCAGAGTTTGATCATTGATTTTTCCTCCAAGTGATCGTCCAATTCCCACCGACCCATTTGAAAAATCTATCAGAACTCAAGAACCAGCATTGAAGTTAAAAGGAGAACATACGGTCAAAATTATCATCCTCCATTTGGTGTTATTTACGTCCAGGTCGCCAGGCAGCTTTCTGTGAACATCCACCCTGATAACTTGCACCTGCCGTCTCCACTGTCATCGCTGGGAGAGTTTGATGTTCCTCTCCGGCTGCCGTGGCAGATCCCACCCCCTGAGGGGAAGCCCCAGCGGACTTTGAAGGTAAAAATCCGAAGAAAGTGACCTGATATCTTCCCTGAGGTTGAAGAAACTTCCATGCCGTTCCTTGGCACATGAGCGAGAGAGAGAGAGAGAGAGAGAGAGAGAGAGAGAGAGAGAGAGAGAGAGAGAGAGAGAGAGAGAGAGAAGATTACTGTCAATCGCTGGTGGGTCTATTATTTATCTTGAAAAGGACTGACTAAATCGAGACTTTCTTAGATTTTTGTTGTTGCTGTGTATATACACTAGAAATCTTGCCACTTGGTGGTGTTGTTGAATGGGTAGTCTTGTCCTAGTTATTTAAATATGCACATTTTGAAAAAATAAATAAATATTAAAGTATAAGGTACACATTATAATTTAAATATGTGCATGCTCTTGAAAATCAGCGAATTATGTTCTTAAAGAGTGAGTATTATGTAACAATCTTGAATGAAGAAGTAAAAACAGTGCCAAATGGAAAGGGGAAGAGAAGACAAGATTGTGAGGGTTCAAAAGCCCGAATCTTTTCGGGCACCTCCTCTTCCCCTCTTCAATCCTTGTTTTATACATGGTGTTCCCTTTACATACTAACTTCCAGATATGTTTGTGGTCAGCCCTCCTTTGTTTGATATTAGGCCCATTCTCTCTTACAGGAATTTAAGTTAGACCCAGTGGCCTAACACTACTCCCCGCCACCTCGAGCACCTTGTCCCAAAGGTGTAGTTTCAGGAAAAGGTGTTGATTAACTCTAATTAGAACCTCCTATCCTCAAGGGATTGGAGCACATTGAGGGCCTCCTCTAGTTAGACAATCTAGTTAAGGTCATGATAGAAGGATGATGGTATTGATTGGGATTGTTAGCATGAACCTATTGTCCTCTTCAGCTATAAAACATGAAAAACAAAATGCATTTGAGAGGTTATGGGCAATTATAGATGATAAGACATTGCTTCAATCTGTCCTAGGCTTTTATAACGGCTGAATAAATGACTATTAGGCTTTTCATTGTGATGTTGTGTCAAATGGCACATGCAATAGGGGCAGATCTTTACATATGCTGAATCCCCCATAGCAAACTCTACATTTCATTGGTGATGATGTACCTTGATCTTTATTCTTGATTGGGCATGGGTTAGATTTCCTTTGAAGGGGGTAGTTTGGAGAGATTGATGAAAATTAATATAATATCATAATTCAACCCACTGAATCTATTTACTTCATATACTTGGTCTACCACAAGAAAACATCACGTGTATGTCCCCAAGGAATATTAACTCTTCCATATTGACCATTTGTCTTAAGGTGAAACTTTATGCTCCTTTTTAACTTGGTGCCCTATAGACACATCACTTCCCTCATAAACACCTTTACAATCTATAATGAAAAAAATAGATGATATATCATTATGGTGGATGTATTTGGACAGATAATTCACCATGACCGATAGACCTTTTTTTCTTATGAGTTGGGTAGCCCTTTTACAAGGTCTATTGAAACATCATCTAGGCGTGGTCTGAAATGGCTAAAGGCTGTAATAAGCATGCTAGTGAGAATGACTCCATCTTGGCTGCTGGCATATAAGACACTGACACGAATTATTAGATCTATTTTTTCATATTGTGCTAAAAAAGTTCTTGTGAAATGTATTTATATGTGCACAAAAAACTTGAAATGTACTCTCAATATGTTATAATAATAGTATCAACATAACAATGTATTAAAGGAATAAATGAGAAGGTGGAAGATAGTACCACTTGTTTGTGATATAGGGTGTCATTCTAGAGAGAGTAATGGGGAGGGGTGTGTACACCTTGCTTGAGGCAGCAATAGACCCTTATTCGTTTGGCTTTGGCTGTCACTTTACATTGTACTTGTTGTAAGTCCAACATGGAAGGATGAAGTGTCAATGTCACTCTATTGTAGCTGTGCTTCACGATAAGGCATCAACTCAGTTGGTGGAGCCCTTCTTGAACTTGAAGTCAAAGTCATAAGGTAGTAGCTTGGAAACCCATAGTTGATATTATAGTGGTGTTTATCACTATTCCAATAGCAATTTCATACTATAGTGTTATGTGAAGATTGTAAATTATCATACATTATAAATACATTAGGACACATTATAAATTATCATACTATAGTCTCTATTTCTGCATTATCACACAATGACTCATATCAAATTTCTTATCATGATAGAAGCATAATCCTTTAGCTTTCCTGATTTGTAATTTCATCTATGTCAAACATACTTATTTTTAATTTCTCTATAATTTTCTATGTGATGTTGACCCTAATGTGGTGTGAGCTTCATTATTGGTTCCTCTCATTTAGATTGTTCCTATCTATACAGAGATATATATGGTGGTTTCAAGCCATCACAACCTAGAAGCCTCCCACTTGTATAGGCTTGTGCCATCCCTTATAGTGTCCCTGACCTCCATGCATTCTATTGTTTTGATCAACATTCCTCTACCATTTGAGTTGGGTTCATCATGTCTCAAAGATTAAGTGACTTGAACATGTTGACTTCAGCTACAATGTCTTCCCTCAACCTATTGAAAAATGTGTCATGTAGTATAGATGTTGAAACGTTTGGAAGAAAGGTTGAGAGTACTTCAAACTCTTTTCTATACTCACTCAGAGTCCATTCTTGAATGATATTGAGGAACCACTAATAAAGTTTACCCAAAATGGTGCCCATTTTCATCACTATCATTGGAATCTTGTCAACTTAAGTAGTTTTATGCATCCTGAAGTAAAACTCTGAATGAAACATCTGTTATGTGAATACTTATTTTGACTTCTACTATCAGTGCATGTGGCCATGATGTTGCAGCCAATCTCATTGTTGCCTTAGAGGCTCTATTCGAGTTCTCATGTATACTTCTGCTGGGTTCCCATTATCTCTCTACTATCGAACATAGCAAACTTGGCCTCCATTCGATCCACCCATTGCATCAGCTGGTTGAGAAGGTGGGCAAACATAACACCCAGGTCTTTAGTGGCTAACTCTAATCTTTTAGGACATCCCTTTTTCCCTTTTAAATCCTCTTTTTATAGATGATGTCCCCTCGACACACTAACTACTATATATGATTGTGGACTGCCCCTCCTTTGTTTAATATTGGGCCCATTTCATCTCACAAGAATAAGTTGAGCCCATCTCTCTCTCTCTCTCTCTCATGAACCGTACAGGATTTGGCTCATAATTTTTCAAGCAATTTTTTCTCATAATAGTTATCGCTCAAGTTTTCTCACTAACTATACTAAACAGGAAATTTTACAAATTATCCCGGTAAATTATCGGATCACAATTGACTCCAAAAATTTATATTTTTTTCTGCCTAGTTACCTTCAGCCATATTGCTTAAAAACAGCAACATCTCCAGCCCGCTCCAAGCTCCCATGGATCCTCCTCCTGAAACAAATCCTCTCCAAGAAATCATCTGCAAGCCGGAGATAAATCAGAAGAACTTCTACAAAAATCTACGAAATGCCCACAATTGAACGTAATAAATAGACTAACATAACGAGCTTCATTTTTTTATTATTATTATTTTTTATTATTTTTTACGTACCTGTTCTTTCCCAATCATTTCAAGAATCTCCTTCCCTTCCGATAAAGAACAGCAGACCCGGAGGCCTTGGTCCTCTTTGAAGAAGACGACGGCGGATGGGTGTTGCTGTTCAGTCGAACTTCCCCCTCTCGGCCCTTCTTCTTCCTCTTCTTCCTCTTTCTTCCACCTCTGTGAAGAGCCTCTCCAGCTTGGGATCGGCAGTGAATCCCCTCACCTTCATCTCCCTGTAGAACTCCATGGCCTTCGGCTTCCACCCGCAGGCGACCAGACCTCGAACCAGAGCGAGATAATGGCCGCCCTCCTTCTCCACCCCGCGCTTCCCCATCTCCGCCCAGATTCTCAGAGCATTCTCCGCCTGTTCCCACCGGAGGAACTTCTCCAGCAGCAGGAGGAAGACGGACCCGTCGGCGGCGCCGCCGCTCATCCTCTGCAACAGGGCCATCGTCCCCGCCATGTCCTCCGCCCTCAAGAAGGCCTTGTAGGTCTCCGCCGTAGGGGTGATCCCCCTCTGGATCATCTCCTCCATCATCTCCCTGGCTTCGTCTACCTTCCGAGCTTCGCACAGAGGGAGAATGAGCGAGTTGTAGGTCTCCACAGAGACCTCCAAGCCCAGCTCCTCCATCTTCTTCATGAGCTTCTTCGCCGTCGCCGCCAGGCCTTCTCCGGCGAGGGCGTAGATGAGGGCGTTGTAGACGGAGATCCCCGGCGGCCATCCCTTCTTCTTCATCTCGTCGTAGAGCCTCATGGAGTCGAAGAGGTTCCCTGCTCTGGAGAAGCAGCCGATCATGAGGGCGTAGGTGGCGCCGTCGGGGGAGATGCAGAACGCCGCCATCTCTCTCCAGCACCTCTTCGCCTCCACAAGGTCGGCCATGGCGGAGCACCACCCGTCGAGGATGATGTTGAAGCCTTCAACCTTTAAAGGAAAGACCCCCCGGTTGGAGAGGAGCAGCTCCTCTGCTTCCTCCACGTTCCTGTACTTGCAGAGGGATCGGAGCAGCTCGTAGAAGGAGGAGGAATCCGCCGCCAATCCGAGCTTCTCCATCGCCCGGAAGGTCTTGATCGCCTTTGTGGGCTCGTTCACCGCCGCATACCTTCCCGAGAACAGGGGACAGGGAGTTGAAGATGAAGAAGACCAAGAGGAAGAAGAAGAAGAAGGAGAATGAGCTTACCCTTCCATCAAGATCAAGAATGGAAGATGGGTGAGGATGTGTAGTCGGTGCATTTTCCGGAGGAGAAGCCAGGCGATTCCAAATTTCTGGTTCTTGGCCAAGACCCAGATAATCAGATGCCAGGGCCTGGGGCAGTCGGAGAGGAGACGCTCTCTTCCCCACTGGAAGGCCAGGAAGGCCGATTCCCAGTCCTCCCTCAGCTGCCATATCGCCACCGGTATCAAATGTCCGGCGAGTTCCACGCCGGAGTCTCTCAGCGATCCCAGCGCCTCTTCCCTGGAGGAGCACTCTCCTCTGGTTCGCGAGATAAGCTCGAGGGCGGCCCTTAGCTCGGCGCCGCTGGCGAGCTCACCGTCGAAGTCGGAGAGGAGAGGCCGGTGGCGGAGATGGTCGCCAGAGGAAAGGTGGGGGGAGAAAGGAGCGGCGAGAGTTGCAGTAGAGAGAGAGTACCGGCGTTTGGGAGGCACGGAGGGTGGAGGAGAGCACAGGAGCCGGCGAAGGAGATAAGAGGTTATCGCTGCTGCGGCGGCGCCGCCGCCGCTCCTGGGCAGTCGCAGGAGCGCCATCAAACGAGGGCTTGTTGAGGAGGTAATCCGGCCGGCCGGTCCGTTCCCGGTCTCCTCGTCCCCTGCTTGATTGAGCCGTCATTTTTAGGGGGGAGCGAGAGAGAAAGAGAGAGAGAGAGAGAGGACTGGTTTTGTGGTCGTCTTCTTCCCTGTCGGTCTCACCGGAACCCTAAGACGGCGGCGGAACGATGGAGGTCTTCTCCAGGGGCCGCCTCTCCTCCGTGCTTCTTCACAGAGCCAAGCTCGTGCTCTCTGCAAGCCCTAGACCCTCGTTCTTCTCGTCGCTTCCAGAGTCGGCGGCGGCGCCGCTGAGTCTGAGCACCCGGACGAAAACGCCATTGGAGAAGCAATTCGAGGTCTGGATCGACCGTCTCCGGCCGGGATTCACCGCCGGTGACGTCGACTCCGCTCTCCAGGCACAATCCGATCCCGACCTCGCTCTGGACATCTTCCGGTGGAGCTCTCATCACCGGGGATACCGCCACAGCGCCGCCGTGTACCAGACCATGCTGAGGATATCCATCTCCGGCCGGCGATTCCAGCAGGTGGAAGCCCTAATCGACGAGATCCTCGCCGGCGCCTGCTCCGACGCCGATCTCCCCCTATACAACCTCATCGTCCGCTTCTGCTGCTCGAGGAAGCACCTCTTCTCCCGCGCCTTCGACGTCTTCAAGAAGATGCAGCGATCTTCCTGCAGGCCCTCCGTGGAGACCTACTCGATGCTGCTCAGCGTGCTCGTCGGGAGATTCAGCAAGCCGAGCGTCTCCTTCGTCTACCTCCACGCGATCCGCTCCCTGGCCAGGCAGATGAAGGCCTCGGGGGTGATCCCCGACACCTACGCCATGAATCTGATCATCAAAGCTTACTGCAAGTGCCTGGAGATGGATGACGCCGTGAGGATCTACAGGGAGATGGGGCTCTACGGCTGCGAGCCGAACCAGTACACCTACGGATATCTCGCGAAGGGGTTCTGCGAGAAGGGGAGGACGGAGGACGGATTAGGATTCTTCAGGGAGATGAGGGAGAAGGAGCTTGTTCCGACGAAGAGCGTCTACATGGTCCTGGTTTGCAGCCTCGCCATGGAAGGAAGGTTCCTCGAGGCCATTGGAATCCTCCGCGACATGCTGGGGAACTCTGTGATTCCTGATCTGCTGACCTACAGGACCTTGCTGGAGAGCTTGTGCAGGGAGGGGAAGGCCAACGAGGCATTCCAGCTGCTCGAAGAACTGAGAAGCTCGGAGGGCGCCATGGATCAGAAGACGTATTCAAATCTGCTGGATGGATTGCGTTGGCTCTGTCAGTGATTTCTTCTCACAATTACCTTACCTCCTCGCTAACTGATCAGGAAGGTGAAGCCAAGCGAGCCAGTCTATCTGAGGGGATGACGGCAAGAACTCCTCACTATCTTTCTCTCAGATTTGATCGAGATTGAACTAGATTTCATCTTGGTCAACCACAATTTGGCGAAGGAAAAATCTGTTCATATCGATCGGATGAAATCTCCGGAAAAGGAGTGATCTTCCCAGTCTGCAACAACATAATGGGCATTCCTTGCTGCTTGTCTGGATCTCATCCGCTTCTGTATGGAGAAAGTGGACGAGGCTGAATGATCCCAGCTCGGAATTTTTTGAGAAGATTGGGTCAGATGAAGAGGGTTCTGCCTATTTTTTCTGCTCACAGCCTGATCGGTCTCTGGTAATGAGATGTTCTTGTTGACTCAGTAAGACCATCTCCCCGACTTAGCAGGAAGGGAGATTTTTCCATCTTGCTAGAAATGGACGCCAGAAATAGAAATCGGCCCCTACTTGGCATGGTTTTCGCCATCTTTCTTCTATAATTTTGCTAATTTTATGATGACTCTCTCTCTCTCTCTCTCTCTCTCTCTCTCTCTCTCTCTCTTGTTCTCTCACTCTCACTCCCTCTCTCAATTGAAGGTCTTTCTCAAGTCTCTCTGAACGCCTGGACAGAACATGTTCTCCAGGGGGTTTGGTCAAATTTGGGTTTTTTCATATATACCCTGGAAAAGTTTGGAGTTCTGATTGCAGCCGGGAGGATATGGAATTTTCTTGTAAGGCCTCCCTTCTGGGGATGATAGTATATCTACGAAAATACTTTTCGAAGCCTGGGGTTATCTTACATTTTGCGCCCCTGTTTGACGAAGAGAGTAAATATGTAAAATGGTTTTGAAGGTTTAAATTGATAATGTGTGTCTAAGTTGGGATTTATGCAAAACACAGACTGTCGTTCCGTGCGAATCAGGCGAAAACCCTAACCGCCTGTGATCTCTCTGTGCTTCCTCAAATCAACAAGAAGAGAGAAGAGGAGATTGAGCGTGGTGAGGGAGTGTCTCCCCGTGGACGGGAGGAGGAAGAAGAAGAAGAAGATGGGAGTGGCGGGAGCAGAAACGGAAGACGGTGTCGTCCCAGAGTCTGTCGTGGAGGCCATGGGGCGGACTCTCTCTGGCATCCGGGACTTAGAGAGCAACATGCAGCAGTTCCTCGCCATTGCTGAGCCCGACGTGCTCGCCGAGCTTCCTCCTCTCCATCGCGCCCAAGTCTTCCTCGTTCTGGCCAAGTGCGCCTCGGTACTTTTTTCTGGTGCGAATCCTCTTCCCTTTCCTTCAATTCGTCCTCTTAGGTCTCTCCTTCTTTGGTCGATGACACTTCTACCTATGTTCGCCTCCGATGGATGCGGCAGTGCGGTTGAGATGTAGTGGCATTCGTCCGGAAGACCACGCCCTGAGATTAGAACTCGTACGACTCTTGATCCCTTTTTAGTGTACTCCATGCCGGGATTTATTCTTTCGATCCCATTTCATTTCCGTTCTGCCTTTCAGGAGAGGGTTAGCTTGTGCGAGGAGAAATTCCATCAGTACGGTGATTGGAGCAGAGGTCAGTGATGAATACTTGTCGTTATTGTTGTTGCAATTTTCTGTGGATGATTGTTCATGTCAGTCATCTTCTCATGCTCCACTCCTTTCCGCTTCATCTCGGTCCAGCTCCATTGAGGCCTTCCACGACCATAAACTACCAGGCAGCCACCCGCTTCATCGACCATTCCCTTCCCGACCTTACAGCAGGTGCAGTTCAGTCCGACATTGCAACAGTTGGGGCTGCTTCCTTCCTTTCTGCGTTCATGGTAAATTGAAGATTTAATCTGCTTTTTCAGAGCAGAGGAGAAGTATGAGGGATATCAGCAGGCGCGGAGCGGTCAACGGCAGAAACTCTGAGAGCCGCGGATCCCGCAAGAAGAGGAAGTATGAAACCTCGGATAAGAAATCTGTTAGTGCTGCTGCTCAAGAGTTTCTTGAGAAGGCTGCCCGCGAGCTTCTCGGTTCCAACAGTTGTGGATTAAAGGGGCCTTTGCGGGACATTGCTTCGGAAGAAGAGGAAGCACAGATGAACTGATGACCCTTTGCTGGTAAGTACCCTTTTCAGGCAAACTTGCAGAATTTTTTTAACAAATGGGATGCCTAATCAGTCCTTGATTTTCGGGTGAGAATCAATGTTAAAAAATTCTGTTTTTTTCATCATCTCTTTCGTGTATTTAATGATATACCACTCAACCTCATATGGGATGATTAGTACTTAAAATGGTCCATTTTAGTACCTTAAGCACAAAAAATTCGCAGAAAAGGAAACTTATCCATCCCAGTTACGTGAGTTCTGCCATGCTTGGCCTCTGTTACCAAGTAGGTAAAAAACATAATTCACATCTGAAATCAGTAAATGTCAAATAAATAAATATTAGGTCCCGTTGCCTCTCGTGTTCTTCAGGCCGTTTAATACATATCTTGATCTCTTGTAAATCCAATTTTACGTTGAAATCATTACCAAAAGTTGTGAGCCATGGTCATGGCACATCCTCACTTCCAAGGTGGACTCTGGTTTTCTTTGCTCACTGTAAGTTAGCTGATCACAATTCACGTAGAATTGGGGAGCCTTAAATTTCTTTTCTTTGATTAGTTAGTCCTAGTTGTAGCCTTTTTTTCCTTTTCATTGAAGAAGAAGATGAATCTCATGAAGAAACACATATATGGAAAATCATCATTTCATCTTTGATTACTCTACTTCACTGGGCTTTGCCCTTTTCCCCTTGCTGTTCTTGCCCGAGCTTCTTCGCAGTAGATCCTCTCTCTCTTCTTTTTTTATTTGCATCATATTATTCCCTAGATCCTTTTGAGATGGTGCATCATATGGGTATGAGCCAACGATTCCAGTGGATAGGAAGCCCTGAATAACTTGATAATATCATCAGATTTTCCTTAAACGTTTTGTGAAGCAATAAGCGTCGGAGAAAAACATCGAATTACATGAAATTGTTCTTCTTTTGTGGGCCAATGGCTTTACGTGGGACCCTCAGACTTACCAAATGCTGAGCTTTCATTAGTTTTTCGGAAAACACCGGAATGAACAGCAAAGAGATGTGCTTGAATTGATCATGGGTGTCTCTAAATGCTTTCTATATATCTGGGCACTGTTTAATGTTGATCAGACTGAAGTCGGTGATGGGTGCTCATCCGTTGCCCTCTCAGTGCTTTTGTTTCAGTTCCCGGAGGTCTGCCCATGATATTGTATCCTGTTCGTTCTCAGATGTTGCCGATGAAAGCTGCCCAACCGACTGAGCTCCGAATCACCCCGTGATTCCTTCTAGATGATGATGATGATGACGACGACGACGACGACGAAGATGATCATTTGAACGAGCGTGGTGGTCTCTTCAGATGCAAATAATTTTCCCAAGTTTTTGTCTTCAGGATTTTCTTTTTTGCGGCATTGATCTTCCCTGTATTAGTTGCGTATTCATTTTCTTTTATTTAGTGGACGAGAAAGAACGATGGCCCATTGTGTGCAGGGTGAGGCTACCAATCTGGAGCGGCCCAAATCGTTGTGGGCCCGGTTTCTCTCTCTCTCTCTCTCTCTCTCTCTCTCTCTCTCTCTCTCTCTCTCTCTCTCTCTCTCTCTCTCTCTCTCTCTCTCTCTCTCTCTCTCTCTCTCTCTCTCTCTCTCTGTTGCTTGTCAGAGCGGAATGAAGAACACTTTGTGGGGGCCCTTTTTGTTTGATTTTAATCGAATAAATTCTCACTTCTTATTTTTAAATACAATCCGAGAAATAAAGTCGTTACCATCCTGATAATGAATATAATAACCGATCTATTTCAATTGGATTATTTCTTAAGATTCCAATAGTAATAAAAATATATATTAATAAAGAGTTTAAAATATGTTATCTGATTCTAATCGGATGAATTCTCAATTCTTATTTTTAAAATGCAATTCAAGAAATAAAGTGTTTACTTCCCCTGATAATTGGTATAGTACCTGATATATTTAAATTGGATTATTTCTTAAGATACCCATGTTAATAAAAAAATCTCTAAATAAATAATTTAAATAATGTTATCATCAAAGGCCCTCCACGTGTATCCTTGCAGGTGTCGTAGGGGTAACGAGCCCAGTAATCCCAGCGGCGGCCCACACAGCCCATTTTTCAGAGTTTGGACCTCAACTTTGGCCCAGAGAGGAAGCCAGCCCCGTCCCCCCCCCCCCCCCCTCTCTCTGTCTGGGTACTTTACGACGATATGTACCATTTTTCGGGTCTTTTCTTCAGGCCCGGGCCCACCTTAAGGCCCGAGCCGGGCCCAGATTCTAAGGTTGGCCAAGGGACGCTTCCTCCACGTCAAACTTTCATTAAATACATGAGCTCTTTATTTTACTCAAACAGAGAAGTAAATACACTCCATTCCCGATAATTAAATGCCTGCAGAATCTGGAGGTGTTCTTGTCCACAGGTGTGCCCAACGATCTCAATGTATAGGTCAATTTCTCACGCTTCTGTTCACACTAGCAGACAGAGAACCCCAGATGGGCCTTCAGTTTCTGGCCTCCACACTTGTCGTCCTCTTCACGGAACCTCCAAATTCTCTCTCTTTCTCTCTCTCTTACTGGGCCCTCTCAAGCCCTCTTCGGATTTGTCGGATTTAAATATTTTTTCTCGGATAACCACGTCTTAACGACATGATTAGGTTTCAAAATCATCGTTATAATATTAAGAGAGAGAGAGAGAGAGAGAGAGAGAGAGATGCTGTGGGCCCTTTTCGTCCCAAGATCTAGAAGAGAAGATGGAGAGATGGTCTCGTTTACACGTGTGTCCAAGTTCAAGGTCACACGCTTCTGTTCACACCAGGGGGGAGGGAGAATGATGCTTCTGGGCCCATCTTGTCTCCTGGGGCCCAAAGAACCCGGAGGTCCACATCAGCAGTCCTTTTCTCTTAATGGGGCCACTGCTTTGGGCCGGCTCTTCCCTACGATCCTTTCCGACACATTTTATTATATAATAAAATGCAATACTATTTTAATTATACTGGGCCAACGTATTAATGGGCTTTAATTATCCCACTGACGGCTTTAATTCCTGTGGAGAACCATGGGACGGGATTCAGGCCGGTCAACCATGTTTCAAAATTAGGGCCGGGGACCACACGTGATGGTCTGTCCTATTTACACGTGGCGAATTCTGGTCTTCACCTACTCATTGCGGGATTCTCATTCTAGAAGCCCGTTATGAAGACCGAGTTGGTAACGAGTCGAAACGATTCGGACCTCACTGCACAAGAGACAGAGGAGAGAGAAAGGAGAGGATAGAGAACACCGGCGATTGGATAGGAGGGTATGATTATGTACACGACGAGGGGGGAGGGGGAGGAGGTCGCGGCGGCGCAACCATCCCGCCACCGTCCGCCATCGCCGGAGCGCCTCCGGCGTCAAATGTAAGGGTTGATGTGTGAGGAGTAGTCCCGTATTCCGGCGCCTTCCCACCCCATCCACTCCTCCCAGAGGTCCCAGCTCGGATCGTACATCCCCCTCATCTGATCGTCCCCCTCGTCGCTCCATTCCTGCTTCCTCTGCGGTTCCTCCGCCTCTCTCAGGCTGTTCATGACGATCTGATCCAGAAGAAGAAGGAAGGAGATGGAGGAAGCGGATCGTCATCAGCGACAGAGGCTTTTGTGATGCGACAGGGAGGAGGATCGGAAGATTCTTACATCGTATGCCTCGTTGATCTGATGGAATTGGGTGCCGCAGTTGCTTCCCTTGCACACATCCGGATGATACTGCAGATCGAAGGAAACAATCACTCAGACCGCGATCTCGATTTTCCAAAAGGATGAGAAATCAGCCGAAAGGGTGCGATGATCCGAGATGAATCACCTGCAGCGCGAGCTCTCGGAACGCCTTCTTGACCTCCTTCTCGGATGCGCCAGGCTGAACCCTAAGCGTCCTGTAGTGTTCCTTCAGGCTTCCGGCGTAGTAAGCGGAGGAAGAAGCCACGCAGCAGATCACTCGCCGGCGCCGGCCCCACCTCCCGCCGCCGCCAACCTTCGACGGCTCCGACGATCCCCCGCCGCCGCGAGTCACCGCCGTCGCCACTGCTGAAGCCATCTCCTCCGCCTCTCTCTCCCACCTCCCGCTCCTCTCTCTATATATAATCACCGAGATCTTTCCAATGGATGATCCCCTGAGAAGCTCCCCCACCGGCGGCGGAGATTTTTCCTCCCCCGAAGACTCCAAAAAAAAGGGATCAGAGAGGAAGATGGACTGAGATGATCTTTCTTCCCCCCTCCCCCCCCAGATGAAGACCCCTCCTCTCTCTCTCTCTCTCTCTCTCTTTACCTGAAGAAGAAGACGACGCCGACGTGGCGAAGCCTTATCAGGATCCCAAGTTGGAGGGTCGCGTCAGATTCTCGTAAGGTGGGCCCAGAGTGGGGCCCCAAATTTTGGCGGGGAGCTCTATCCCCAGCCTATCGGGTTCTCCGGATGACGTCAGCCGACGGCGTTACCGTTATTTTTCGTTCTCCGTCGTTATTCTATTCAGGGGCGGTGGCGACGGTGTTCCTAAGTCGGCAGTGGAAGATAAGAGGATCCCCACCCATACCCGGCACGTGCGGTGATCGTTCATCTGGGGTCAGTTTAGATCGAAATTGGGCGCCGTCTCTTGGGTCTAACCCGATCGACTGGTTAGAGCCAAGGTTGACTTGGGCATTGACTGGGATTGGAACGGAGTGATCTCTGAATTAGTCCCTGTGGGTTGACTTGATCAGGCACAATATCGATTTGGATTGAGATTGTGTACCCCCAAGAGATTTCGATTCCACGGCAGTCGGTCAGCTGATCGCAAGAGCAACATGAATATCTAAATTTTACTTTACGATTTGACCTCGATGAACATCACATATGTCCCCATTTGGAAAAGTTGACCTTGGTGGGGCCAACTGTCCAAGTGGGCCTTGAAGTCAACGTCACCAACCAACAAGTTATCCCATTAAATCATATATTTCATTGATATGGATGCATGACCCGACCTCCTCGAGTTTGACTCCTTGATGAATATCTAAAAGGGATACCTTCGAATATTTTCTTAAATTAAAAATGATAATAATTTTTATTAATGTTTTTAAATGATATAAGACATTAGTACATATGAGGATATCAACAAAGTTGGGCCGCATCAGTGCCACAATGAGCCCAATATCAAGGTCCAAGCTTCCCTTGGTTCAGTCTGTCGAATGGTATGCGACTTTGGTTGTCACCTCCATGACAAGTAGTGTCTATCTGCATGGAAACTTTGTGGAAGAAGATAAATATAAGAGGAAGGGTATCAGTGCTTCACACAAAAGAGTAATAAGAGAGAGAAAAGCTCGAGTGTCTATTGCTCACTACTTTAGCTTATGGAACTCCCCTCAATTTCAACCTAGTTCAATTAACTAGAGTCTTAGTATGTGTGAACTATATAAGTTAACCCTGACTCAACTCAAGATGGCCTAATAAGAGAATTGGACGCATCTTAAATGTGCCTGAATTTAATTTTCTTTATCTTTTTTTTTTCATTTTTAATTGTTTTGATTTATTTATTTTGTTTAAATCAAATTTTAAGTGCCCAAATAACTGATTTTTGACATATTTAAAGGTTTATCTGTAGCTTAAGAGGCATTCAATCGATTCTACTTATTTATTTATTGTTTTTAAGGTGAAATTTTTTCACAGAAATCAAATATTTTGTAGATTTAATAAAAAGACATTTCAACTATTCACATAAATCAACTACGAAAACCCTATCAAATTGTTAGTTTTTCTTATTTTACGTTGCGTCACGCTCCCAGCTGGTTAATATTTTGTTCTCCCTGCACGGCACACTCTGTCTGCACATGCACATACTCGTGCGCCCCCACCGTGCCACTGCTGTCTGGCCGCTGTGCTGTGGCGTGTATGTAACAGCCCTCAGTGTGTGCCTCCCAGTGCCACGGCAAGCCCAATATCATGGCCCAAGTTTCCCTTTTGTCAACCAGGGCTTGCGGATAGGGCGGCTGGGAGGCCGGCGAAGAGATAAGCCTGTGAGAATCTTGCCCCGCCATCTGCTGTGTTCCTCTCTCTCTTAGAGAGAGAGAGAGAGAGAGGGGCCTAGCATGTGCGGTTCCAGCGCCAGCTATGGTGACTGTCGTCTGCCTGGTCCCTGAAGTTGCCGACCTCCATGTGAACCGCTTAGTACCCAACCCGGTTTCTGATCGCCATCTCCCCTCATTCTTTCCCTCTCCTCTCGACGTCAACAGAAATGGCGGTGAAGGGCCTCTCTCTCTTCCTCGTCCTCATCCTCTTCGCGCTCCTCAGCCACCTGCGCCTCGCGGCGGCAGCCGCTGGGGAGGCCCGACTCCCGCTGATCCCGCCAGTGAAGACTCATCGGCTTCTTCATCTCGGTGAGATCCATCTTCAACAAAACCCAAAAGTCCAGAGGGCTTCCTTCTTTCTCACGATCTTTTCTCTCGCCAGTTTCGAGAGGACGCTCCGTAGGCGGGGAGTGGCGGATGGCGGCGGGGAAGAAGGTCACAAGCGGCAGTGGGTCCCGTGGCGGCGGTGCAGCGACGAACCTCCGGCGAGGGAACGGCAATGGCACTGGAGATGCCGTCGCCCCCGTTGGCGCCTCCTGGCGGGTAGCGGCGGCGGGGTTGACCCTCACCCATCTCTTCTTCCTCTGGTGATAGGCTCTTGGTCAAAAAAGAATGCCCCTCTCTCTCTCTATCTCTCTCTGTATATCTCTGTAACTTTCTTTCTCTAGCCCCTTGGACGGATCATGATTTCACATCTAATAATGCAGCGAGAGATGCATTCAGATACAGAAACTTACGAACCAAAGAACCTAAACAAACTTCCAGGGGGCATATTGCAAGCACATTAAACAAAAAGGCTCGTCAAGAGTTATGAAAAACGAAGATCACAGGCAAATAAGGTAAAATACCCACGAGCAATGATCCAATAGGGGGGGGGGGGTCGGTTCTTCCAAGAACTCGGGAGGGGAGAAAAAAAAAACCTGTACATTTCATGAAGTAAGATGGAAGAAGAAACGGTAGAACCTTGGGTCAGTGAAGTGTGCAGCCTTCTCTCCGCGTTCTGGGCAGTCTCTTCGTTTGGCAGTGGCTGTTCTTCGCGGGCATACAGGTCAACCATCGCCTGAAAAATGTCAACTCAGGGGAGATCATCTCATTTTCTGTGAACCCACTGCCCTTTCTCTGTCTTCCTGGCATTATAAGTCAGAGGAGATTGACTCTCAGCTGACCATGGACATAAACCTACGGGGAACTAGGGAAGATGACCCAATGGTGACGGCCTGCAGGAGCTCCTCTCGGTCCATTCCATGGTCTCACACCATGAAAAGCTTCCTTCCATGGAGCCTCATCGGGATCTACCCTCCTCTTCAAGGTATCAAGCTCCAGCACAAGCTCTCTGTCTCTGTCTCTCTCTGTCTCTATCTCTCTCTTTCTGTCTAAACAATGTTCGACCATGTCTACCCGTTCTTTGACTCCTGTTTTCATCTCCGTGCACCTCGAGAACTGAACCTCGAGACCGCCATGAGTGCTAACAGAGAGAAGAAAGAGAATGTGCTCCTCCTCGTCGCAATTTCTTCAACCCAAAACTCCATGGCTGGGGAGCACTGCTGTCAGCCACAAGGAGCATCTGAGCCCGAGCCGCCCATTCATACTCCCACGGATTACACTGGGTTCAACCTGATTGCATCTCGCTTCAGTTGCAGGAGATGGGTTCTTAGGCTGGATTCATGTACCTGCTCGAAGAGAATCGTTAGCAGTGTTACACAGCCGGCGGCCCATGTGAATGTTCATAATTGAACCGAAGACCCAGTTTTCTGATAATTGGGTGTCAAAAAATGGCATAATAACCTCATTCAATCGAGTTTTGTAGATGAAAAATAAGCTGTCGATAATATATATGGAGATGAACAGACTCTCAGTCGTCAGAGTTTTTTTTATATTATTATTTTAATGGCAAGCATGGTTGATCTCTTAATTAATGTATATTCCACTATCTAAAAAAAAGTGGCATTCCTATATTTACCTGCATCGCTGCTACAGAGGACAGCAGCTCCCTGCATTCGTTGAGCATGGCCCTTTCCAGAACAGCTACCTCAGCGAGTTCTGACACCGCAGAGAATTTATCAACCATCTGCAAAGATAAAATTTGTCAAGTATTTGCCCAGTTTGTTTCCTTTTTAGTGAAACCTGTGAATTATCCATAGTTGAGTTCTTTTGCATTTCTCTATCGTCGTGGATTAGCATCTCTAGGTTCTTTTTAGGGCATAAAGAAATCGTCTTGGTAGCAACCACCAAACCCAATAGAACAAAGGTCGCAGCTGGTCCACAAGCAAGGGTTGTAGGTCCTCTGGCTTCCCTTGTGGAAGCGTTTGGCATTACCTGGTTCCGCATATTTGATTTAAAACTATACGTTCAGTTTAGCATCAAATTGATAACCCGCCAGAAAAAAAAAGAAAAAGAAAGAAAGAAGAGAAATAGATAAAGATGGCGTGGGCTAGAGTAGCATGGAATTTCGGGAGTTCTTGCAAACACAACTGTGACTTAGTAAGGTCTGCTAAAACATAATGATAGAAATGCCACAGATAGAATTACTTGGGAAAATCCTATGAGACATGGCAAGGGTTTGGGATTTAATTTCAGATACCAGAATAGATTTGATAAGATCTTTGGTGGCTGCCTAGTACCAAGGCAGACGTATATTTTCGTAAATTTTTGCAGCATCAATTTCTTCTATAATTCTTCATGTTTCGGTTTTTCTGTTGATATCATGAAGAATACATCTGAGCTTTTATTTCTATATTCTGAGGAAAATATTATTTTTTTCTCCTTTTTCTTAACTTTACTCCCTGAGTCTCTGCTCTTTGATCTCATTTCATCAAGAACTACCCGGAATACACATCCCAAAATCGTACCTTCTCAGATTATTTTCTTTGGAAAGTAAATAAAAAGGATTCACAGTTCAAAATCATGACATGGTAAAGAAAATGATATTAAATTAATCAGAATGATAACTGCTCACCCTCGAGTGTAGATGGTTGATAGAGTAGAGTACTGCCTGCATAACGCCAACCGCTGAACTGATAGCGTCCTTCAAAGCAGGGACATCTGCCTGAAGGAACAAAGCTTGTATGGTTAGGAACCATTTAATCGTCACCTTTGCATTAAAAAAAAAAAGGTAACGGAAAAAAAGGAAGTCACATTATCAGCACAAAAGTACCTTTCCTCCCCCAGTAACTGGAAGCCGGAGGATACTTGCTTTCAAAGCCTCAGTAACTCCTAATAAGGAACTCGAATGCTCCCTATTCAATAGTCCCCAGTCTTCAATATAGGCCATCTGAGCCATTTGAACAATTCAAGAATCCAGATTAAAAAATTCATATGCCTTATCAGAAAATTATTTTTAAATGAAAACAAACTACTTTCAATCCCATGGGGAAATGATCTAAGGTGGAAATTCAATGTGGTTTTTGTTGGATACACTCCAAAGTAGAAATTCATGTAGCCCTTGATGTCTGGCGAAAAGATCTAAGAATACAATATACGCATATTTTGAAGTAGGATGAAATGAAATATTATTGACATCAAAAACAGACGAACAAGATTCTGGATATAACAGATTTGATCTTATTTCTGGAAACGAAATAAATACAAAATATAGTTTTTACAGTTGCAATAAACACAATAAGCTTGAAATGAATGCTTAAATACTATTCTTCGATGAGAAAAGAAAATCCACTGATTACTTTGAAAATTTGCCGTATTAAGCAGGGATACAGGAAATCTACTGCTACAATTTACCCAAACGGACATGCCAGTTCTTATGTCATGCATATAAAAGCTACTGAACTTTCCAAATGCGTATCAAAACTAAGAATGAAGACATAATCACACCTGTTCTCTCAAAATTAGACCCAACTTCATTTCCTGTCTCAACTGCTCCACACTGATCCTTTTTGTGACGACAGAATCGCGCATTTCCGAGATGCTTACCCACACACTGTGCAGGATACTCTGAGCAATAAAGTTTGTAGAATATTATCCATATATGAATATGATAATTTCTATTTAGCCAAGTTAAACCTTTTGGATCACATCAAGGCAAATGAAAAGATAAAGGTAGTTAAATAATGCTTCACAAGTTAATTCTTTACGGTAAACATCAAATTCCATCATAAAATATTTACGATTGTCATGAGTATTAATATGTAAGAAATATCCAAAGACTGCGCCATGTCAAAAAAACCCATTGCGCATGAACTGAATGACTAATTAATATTCAAAAGAACTAACAGCAAACTGGCACAAGCCTATGCCGTATAATTTGATTAAGTAACCGCAGTCCATCCCAGAAAATTGAGTAAGCTCTTTATAAAACAACCGAAAATATTTGTAACAATTATGCCAACAAGTAATGACTTTATTTCTCTCTCAATGGTTTGGCCTGAAAGACGGAGAACGAATTACATAGCTTTATTGCAGCACTGGCATTAAAATATACACTAAACATAAAGCAGAAAAAATATGTTCGCCAGAAGAAGCATTATAGAAGGCACGACCACCTAGCCACCTCATGTGTATGGCGGACAAAAAAGTAAAATCTCAGGTCGGGCAAAACGGGAGGATATGTAAGACAAAACGGAACGTTCTTGAAAGATCCAGAAAAATCAAGATGGAGAAATCACTAAGGTGGCTGTGCACGACCCGGAATGATAATGAGTTGGAAAAATCTTATGTAATGAGAAGTGACCTTAATGCTTCGTGCATCAACCAAAAGCATAGGCATGTCACTTATTTTTTTAAGTCTACGAAATATTCATTTATCGAGCCTTTAACAATAAACATAGAGCTGGAAAAGAAACGATATACACTGAAACAAACCGGTAAAAATTTTGTACAATTTTTTTTGAGAAGCTATATGCAGTCACTACCTCTGCTGTCATTTTCTGCATGGACGTTGACGCCTCAGCCCTGGCATTGACGAAGCGCCATAACAGATTCCTATTGTATAGCAGCCTCAGCTGGTGGGCAGCCTCTATATGATTGGCACTCTTCTTTCCTTTTCGAACATCAACCATGTAGCTTTGGCTAGAAGAAAAGCCAGTTCGACCAGCAGGATTGTTTGGAGTGGAGGGCCTTGAGCGGGAAGGACTGGCTATGGTCCTAGAGGAGCTTGACTGCAAAGAATTCCTGCTGGATGATGGCGGAGTGGACGACCTTGTGGGGGATGGACTTGCCATGCTCCTAAAGAAGGCGGATGGTGAAGAAATCTTACAAGGTGTGGAAGAACGGGGTGATCCTGGCAAAGGAAGGGATACTGTTCTTCTTGGACGAGTCACAGACGGATCTCTTTCTAAGTGTTTTGCTGGAACGCTTGTGGCGGCGTTGAATTCCTTCACCAGTCCATTTACATCAGAACATGTTTGGCTGGCCACCTCACCGGCATTCTTCTGGGGACCCCTGCGAGGTCCGTCTGTGATATGAGCTTTCCTCGCCGGTGAAGCCCCACGAAACGAAACCGGCAAGGAGCTCAATCTGCTGACCCTGTCAGTGAGATCCATGCTCATCGACATGGATCTAGAGGAGATTTTACTGTTCACCGATCTAGGCCACCGATTCTGATCCAATACTCTGCAATGTGGGTTCTCGGCCGGTTTCAAATTCTCTGATTGATCAGTGGCATTCCTCCCCTTTGAAGGAGTTGTTTTCCTCTCCCTTTTCAGGTTATCTGAAGAATTCAACATCTGAAGATGGGTATGATTAGAATTTGAAAGCAGCTTATCACTATTTCTAGGGCGGCCAGAAACCGACTCCGACTGAAATGAAGAAGTCAGGCTCCGCATGGACGGCCACAACCCATCTGGCATCCGGCTGCCACCTCTTCTCCTGGAAGAAAATGGCACATCCTCCGTAACATCACGCACAGGTGTTGAAGGCCTAGAAGATGGTGAGGACATTGTTGTCGAAGATCTTGACGAGGATGGTGATGCTGATGGTGAAATCCGATGGGTAGGCGTTGCAGGTCGTCTCCTATCTGCCGACTGAGACCGCTTGGGCAAGGATGGAGACGGTGAGCGGACACTGGGCGATGGGGATCTCTGTGCTTTTGAAGGCTTAGAGGGAACGGAAATGGCCACAGGGGTGAGTTCGGCCTTGCACCTGGATGCAACTTCCCTTGTCTGGCTCTTGCGTCCCACGGTGGGGCCATTATTCTTCTGGATCTTCTCGGAAAGGATTAATGGCGGTCTGAAACTCTCCGCTGGGTCATTCCGCAGAGCCGGAGGTTGGGCCTTGCGCACATCCATCCGCAAGATAATCTAAATCAAATCAGATTGAGATCTTCTCCATAAGACCCAACGCTTTGAAGTGACAGCATCAAATCCACAAATCTGTCACAAATCAAAGGAAAGTAAAAGTAAGGAACAATACGAATCGAACACGCGAAAGGGGCTCGCCAACAGTATGAAGCTTCAAAGATTACATGTCTTCACACCCAAAGAAAGGGAGGAGAGCCCCCAGAGATCAGCAGAGAGGACTGTGCAATGCAGCAGTCCCGAGAGGGAGTTGCTACCAAACGAATCAGGGCGATTGCCGGCGGATCAGGGAACAGAGACGGCCATCTGTCTTCAAATCCGAACGAAGGGCGGGGGAGGAAGCCGTTGGGCAACGGGAACCGGCGGCGGGGAGGATATAGAAGAAGGGTCCTCTGTGGGGGGGTTACCAAGGCCAGGGGAGCAGAATTAGGGCGGAAAACACGCATGTGATGGCGGTAGAATAGGAGTTGATTTCCATGAATAAACAATAAGCCCTGGTTTTTCTAATGCAACCTGTCTTTCAAACGGGAGTGTGGCACGATTTGCTCGCTAACACTCTCTCACCGGAACGGGGGAAGAAAATCTTGTGAAATGGAGGAAACGAGAGGTGGAGAACCAGGCCATCACAGCCTCCTGCGAGGGCGAATGTTGAAAGAAGAACGATGCAAAGAATTGGGGACCTGCGTGGAGTTCTCTATATTCCTGGAGGGAAAGGTTTATGGGCGGATAGTAGAGTAGCGATGCTTGTTCTCCTGCAGCGTCTCAGAGGGTGAGGCGAAGAAGAGCGGTGAACACCACGAAGAAAGAAAAGCTGAATGCATGGAGCTGAGAGGAAAAAGGCAGATTAGGAAGAATACGGAAGAACCATTTGGTCAATGAATTGCGCATTGCTCCTCTGATATTGCCGGAATTCAATAAGAGCAAGTCGGCTTCAGGATTATGGACGAAGAATAGACTGCCGATTTTCCCCAACCAGATGGACTCCAACGAAACAACGGCCACGACGGTGCGTCTTAAAATCCGCATTCAGGAGCGACAATTGGAAGAAAAATTGAAAGAAAGCGAGACAACGGAGTTGAAGGAGAGGGTCAACAGGAGCAACCAACCTCAGCATCATGCGAGCAGCGCCATTCCCGATGAGGAAACACCGTCGGATGGGGAATTGCGAAGCACACGGCAGATGGAAGAAGAGCATAACCGACCAAAACGATGCACCATCCGATACCGCTCTCGCAACACCTCCCCGAAACCCTAGTTTTCGTTGTTCTCTCCTTCCATTCACTACCACGATAATCCAATTCCGCAACCCCCAACAAGTTCCAGATAATTCAACAACCAAAATGCTCAGGCAACCGAAGAATTCTCGTCCTCGTTTCTCCCCCTGCCTCCCTCCCTCCCTCCCCTCCTTGCCTCAGGGAAGCCCGAGAAAACGGGAATGCCGCAACCAATGGCGGACCACAGTTGCCATGGCCGCGTTCCTTTGCCTCCTCTGGTTCTCCCCCTCTCTCTCTCTCTCTCTCTCTCTGTCTCTCTCTTCTCTCTTCTTCGCTCGCTCGACTCTTTACAGTTGGACGAGCTCTCGGTCACAGTCACAGCCACCGCCTCGAAGCGGTCACCTCCGTCGCATCGTAGTCCAACAAAGATACGCCACGTCAGTTGCTCCTTCGGTTAACTTCACCTGGTGGAATCCTAACCGCAGGGTGGAGAGCTCCTCGAGCATTCAGGATACTAAGCGCGTTGCACGGGACTCGTCAGCACGGATTCACGGGCTGGTCTGACGGGGTCGTGACGCCGGCGGCCCAGCCCGGTTTCATGGAAATTACTTGGAACTCGTTGGAAAGGGGTAGTTCGGGGCTGGCGTGGGCTGGGCCCGGCCCGGCGCGCCTGGTTTCGGGCCCGATCTTTAAATGTGGCCCTTCCCAGGCCCATCCGTTCAAAAGGTCAACGTACGTCTTTAACGAGACCCATCTCTCTCCTCCCTTTTCTCTCTCTAGATGCCCATGATAGCGCACGGGTCAACACAATGGGATCTTCAGCCAATTAATCAATGTACGCGCTTGGAACCGAGCCTCCACGTGGCGGTCACAACAGTCTTCTGCGGTTGATCCACGTGGGGGGGGGAAGAGAGAGAGAGAGAAGAGAGAGAAAGAAGAGAGAGAGAGGGGTTAGGTTGAGATCCGTGTTGTCCTTCGCACTGGGCATTAGGTGACCGGCTACTATCATCGTCCTCAAAAGGAGCTTTCTAGCAGGGTTTTGATGGCCTCATGCACATGGCCGAGTTAGAGACAGCAGACCCGTCCGGAATTAGCAACAAACAAAAACACTACTTTCCAACGAGCATGAGCCCAATTAACTTACTTAATTAGAATATAATCTTTTGTCAAACCTTAGGGAAGTCGTTCAACGTGGTTGACTATCAACCACGTGTTCAGAAGGGTGGGCTGACCGTACAGAAATAATTGAGTTTATTTAATAATAATAATTATTTTCATTGTTAAGATAATGCTGATATCGGGAAATCATGTTCGGTGTGTTTATGAGACAACGATGGTGTAGGAAATGATTAAATAATTGTTTAATTATTATAAACTCGTGAAGACAATCTTTTATCAAATTATTGAGGTTTTTATGTCACTAAATGTGGAATTGAAGCATTCAAAATATAGACCAAAAAAACGTACAATAAAATTAACAGGAAGAAGAGAGAGGGGGGGGGGGGTATAGAGAGAGAGAGAGAGAGAGAGAGAGAGAGAGAGAGAGAGAGAGAGAGAGAGAGAGAGAGAGAGAGAGAGAGAGAGAGAGAGAGAGAGGAGATGAGCAAAGACGGGCCTTTTCTTCCGTTATGGGCCCGATTTTGAGACTTGAGCCCGGAAAAAAAGCCCGGTTAGAGCTCCTGACCATGCGGGTTCATAATAATAATACTAATAAGCTAATGCACAAAGATTAGGACGCACGAAGGGGATAAGAAGATCGTGTCTGAGAAAGATAGAATAACATCACCAGAAAAAATATAAAAAAAAATATATGGGCAATATTTTGGACCAAAAATAGTATATATTCCTCGAAGAAAATAAAAATAAACCGAAGGTCTATGCTCATAATATGCTAGGCTAGAACCAGATTAAAGCCCACATCATCTTCTCTCTCTCTCTCTCTCTCTCTCTCTCTGTTGCTAGAAAATCCCAGAAAGTGGGGGCAACAGAGGACCGGGGGGGGGATTTAATTACTGAAATTGATGAGGAAAATTAGTTGCATGAAAATTGGGAGGGGGGGGGGGGGTCAGTACTTGGTGAGTCCAGAGCTTCGCTGACCTTTCCCGAAGACCGAGTCAACGTCGCCAGAAAACAGGTTCAGGGTTTTGGCCAGAGCGAACCCGCAGTACATGCCGTCAACGGCGGCGCTGACAATCCCGCCGGCATACCCCGCGCCTTCCCCGATCGGGTAAAGCCCTTGCAGCGACGTGCTCTCAAAGGTGTCCGCGTGGCGGGTGATCTGAACAGGGGCACTCGTTCTTGTCTGAAACAGACACAAAGTCAGAGTCACAACCAAGGTAATATTTCTTGCTAAATTTGGAAAAGAATCAAGGTCAACGGGTCTGGGGAAGTCACCTCAACGCCGTGAAGAAGACCGTCCTTGGAGATGAACCCTGGAAGCTGCATTTTTTTCAGAAGCCAGGTGGGTTTGGTCAACGAAACGATGTGGAAAACTCGCCGGAGTCAACTGGGTGAAGTCAAACCTCTTTGTCGAACATGTGAAGAGAACTCTGCAACGCCTGCGTGATGCGAGCGGGGTAGAGCTCATGGAGCTTAGATGCCTTCACTCCCATCCGGTAGCTCGAAGGAGGGAGAGATGTCACTGGTAGACGGGGCGGACTCCGGCGTTAGGAGCCGGAGCAAGAAGAAGAGCATCCAGAGAGTCTCGCTGAGAGGTCAGATACCTGATAGCTTGTTACCAAGGAAGTCTGTGACGGTCTGAGCTGGGACAACGAAATTCCCGCCGCCCATTGCGGCAGCCCGCCTCTCGTATTCTCTCTGATGCAGAGTTTTTGGGAAGAGAGAGAAAGGTCAGTCACTCGAGAAATAATGAGAAAGCTTCCATGGGTTACTATAAATAGATAACAAATCTTATGAACCGAAAGAAATTCTGTTGCTCTACTTGGGCCTTGATGAGATATTTATAGATCCTGAAAAGTAATGAAAAATTCACAACTCTCTTGATACTTGGAATTTTTCGGAACGATATATGGCTGTGGATTCCTCTTTGATTCCCTTTCGTGTTCCCTCTGATGCAGAGTTTTTGGGAAGAGAAAGAAAGTTTAGCCATTCGAGAATAATGAGAAAGCTTCCATAGATTACTATACATAGATAAAAAATCTTATGAACCGTAAGAAATTGTGCTGCGCTACTTGGGTCTTAATGAGCTATATGCAGATCCTGAAAATACAGAAAAATAATGAAAATTCACAATTTTTGGAGTTTTTTCGAACGATTTATAGCTCTGGATTCCTCTTTGAGTCCCTTTGGTGTTCTCTCTGGTGCAGAGTTTTTGGCAGAGAGAGAAAGCCCAGTCACTCGAGAATAATGCGAAAGCGTCCCTGAGTTACTATAAATAGATAAAAGATATTATGAACCGTAAGAAATCGTGCTACTCTACTTGGGTCTTAATGAGCTATTTACAGATCCTAAAAAATACAGAAAAATAATGAAAATTCACAAATTTTGGAGTTTTTTCGAACGATTTATAGCTCTAGATTCTTCTTTGACTCAGCTTTCCAATGACTACTCCCACACAGATATCTGTCACATATTTTTGGAGATAAAGTTGTTTTTATTAATAAAGATCATGTTTTTAAACGGTTCTACACCTATGAGTATATATTAAACTAGTAATCTTGGAAAATTAATAACTCACCTAGAAACAATGTGAAACACCTGCCAGCTGAAGATATATCTTACCAGATACGGCTATGATCCACAAGAAATAATAACAACCAACGATGGAATATCCAAATGACATGTACTCGGATTTTACACATGGAATATAATTATAATATAAATAATAATAATAATAATAGTAATAATAATAATAATAGTAATAGTAATAATAAAAGATGGAGGAGGTCCACCATCTGTCAAGGAATCACCTGAAACTCAACACCAGCAAGAGGCCCGAGATGATGAAGATCAACAAAGTCCTTTGAAGAGATGGTGACGACAAGTGCGGCGTTTGCCCATCTGGATGCCCGCCGAGAGAAGGACATGCCATTGATACAGATTTCAGACGGATTGGTGCTTGTAAGGACCACCTGAAGACAGAGGGCAATTGCTGTTCTGCATTCTACCTTTCTGAAAGAGGGGGGGGGGGGGGAGCAAACTGCAGTGAGGAGAAGTACCTGCCCACCAGGACACATGCAGAAGGAGTAGCAACTGTGGCCTAGCTCCCTTCCACTGGTGTTGGCCCCATCTTCACTCACGTACTTCACGACCCTGTAGTCTGCGACAGGTACTCTTCCACGGCCATTACAAACCTCGCTGGCCAATGCAGAATACTGGATTTTATGTGACAAAACGTCACCATCCAACCAGTTATAAAAGCAGAAAGCAAGATGAAATTTAAGAAAAATGCATTGGAAACTTGGTTTTGATCTTCAGGTACAGCCGCATGTGAACATGAAACGATGCCAGTTAAGGGACATTATAGTAGCCACGTCATGTTCTGTCCACGGTATTATCGGTCGAAATCATATTTCCCCCACCCAAATGGGAGAAAAACGGCTAAATGATCTGATCGATTTGGATCCAAAAAAATAAATGAGAAAATATTAAAGTAACAGGCAGACAATTTGATGCTACGCGTGGGTTATTTATATGTTTCACATACCGAAAAATTGCTCGAAAAATAGATACAAGACGAAGTATCAGTGAACCACAGAAAAAGGTTCTATATTTGCGATTTTTCTGTCCCCTCAGACAAAAAACACAGACTTTTGTGTCGTTTACAAAGGTGATCAGTGAAAAGAATTCCACTTGAGAAGTAATGTGAGGGCGTACCTGTATACTGTCTATCAGTGCCTGAGGATGCTCAATTCTTAACCCGACCTGTTCAAGTATGTCAAATGTGGATCAGTATAGCACATATATATTTTCTAATTTTTGTAAATGCGTCGAGTTTTGAAAGAAAAATCCAAGAATTAAAAATTAAAATAAAATACTCATTATACAAATCAAACAAACGGCACAACTCCAAAGGGATGGTACGGTTAGGCACGGAGAAAGAACGAGTAAACAATTCACTCCAAGAATCCAGGTGGATAAGTCATGCTTTGGCTCGCTCACCTACATAAGTCTATGATCCAAAGGACATGATATGTTCAGAGAACATACCGACGTTTGAAACTCAGAGAGACGTACAAACATCAAAACTGTGCTGTAATAGCAGACAGGCAGCCCCAAAAGCCGGAATGCACCCACTCACCTTTTATCCTAGCTACTGGAAATTCGCAAAAGTAAAAGTCCCAATTAAAACACAAGATGGCCCAAATTCAGAATGAGGACTGGATGAGACGACAGACGCACTTGGTATTGCCTACACAGGCCACAGAGAATCACAAACTGGATTCACCTCATCCAATCATTAGCCACACTTTCTAACTTGCAGAATCATAGCATTTGGGTGAACCGGCTCATTACTGGCGTAATAAACTACCTTAAAGTTAATAATTATTAAGATTATTTTAATCATAAACTGCAAGTCATATAAAGGCAAAACTGTGTCCAAATAGTCTGATTTTAACAGGCACGAATATCTACTTTTCATCCTGGATGTCTATTTTGATCACGAATTTATACCTATCACAACGCCAAAAACCTCAAGGCAATTTTGAAAACAGATTTTTGGTACTCCCCCCACAGCAGCAAAATAAGGCAGTTATAACTAGAATGGAACAGATAGTTATCAATTTATAGACAGATAGATAACAAAGTTAAAGCCAGAAGAAACTACTCCAAAAAACGATCGATATGTTTTTCTTACGTACAGCAAAATCTTTGGGGACCAAATCAACGTTGTTCTGGTGAAGCATCTGATATACATCCCGTGCAGAATGCCCAACAGCTAGAACAACAGCATCATAAGGCAACCTCTGGCTTCTGAACTCAGATTCAAACCTTGCATCCGAAATGCAAACCCCCGTAACCCTCCCATTTTCTACAATGAGTTCATCTAAACGGGTTCCAAACTTGACATCAACCTATAAGGTCCAATAAACAGATATTGTTTGTTACATAGTAAACAAAACAATAATTCAAGAAATATAGCTATTTACATGACTTAATCACTCACACCCAATCCCTGTAGATGTCGTCTGAAGTTGCGTACTAATGGAACCAACCTATCTGTTCCAAGATGAGGCTTTCCATCAACCAGGATCTTTGGAGAAGCTCCAAAGTGAACCAAAGTTTTCATTACCTATAAGGAAAAGATTAGTTGATAACATCTGTTTGACCGTAACATTTGCCAAAGAAACTAAAATTAATAATATGTTTGCTAAGAAATGCAAGATGCACAAGAGAACATCTTCATGAACTACGACCACATCCCCCTTAAAAAGCACGCATAGTATAAAACTTCTTCCTTGCGTATAAAAATCACAGTAAACAAACATGTTTCATCATAATATCTATTTTAGGTCATCATTACAGTTGATACTTGCTTGATTTCATGCTGGACATGTTCCATAACGACATTCTACGTTTACTGACTGCTCACATGCAGTCTAAGCATCAAGCCCAACATCATGGTAGGAAACGTCGGCAGAAATATTTTAGGCAATCAGTTCCTAATTGCCAAGAATGGGAAACTAGAAACTGTGGTCAGTATAAGAAGAAAGGAATTTGCCTTCTACTCTTTTGACTCTCCTCTATTTATTTTGTTTCTTTCAATGTGGATATTACCATGAATTCATCAAAATTCAAAGTGACAAATAAACATGCACGAATAGTATCCATGCAGTCTTAAAAACCAGCATATAATATTTTATAGGCCGCAACCAAAATCATCAAGAAGAGATTAAAAAATATGTCCTTTCAAAATGAAGGAACCACTCCCTCATCCCGCAACATCTTGGTCCACTATGCCGTTATTTTACACGTAGACAAACGACACTCTCCACTCACCGACCTTCTACCTGTCCTTCCATTCCAAAAAAATTCCAAACCAGGGTGATGGCACATAAGATCTATTTTATACAGTAATTTCAGCAAACGCTCTTGTATGATAACGCAGATCTAATAAATAAATACTCCAATGACTCCTTATCCCTCACATATGGAGAGCAACTTGTCTGAATACTGCAATAAAATATGCCCTCTGTAACATGTGGGAAGTCTTTGTGTCGAGATACTTCAGACCAAACCTTTCCGGCAATATATTGGGTGCCCTGTTTTGTAATCGGATCTTGTAATAGCTGGGGTCATACTTTTTCCATCCTTTTCTTCCTCTGCTTATGCTCGCAGGCAGCAGACATGCTACAACGTCGCAAATCTTTTGTATACTTAAATGGGGATTCCGGCAGATTTTTAGTCTGCTACTGGATTGAACCTGATGTTGAACTCCATGAGAAAGCTTTTTTATCTCAATGGCATGTTCAAGCCCACAAATGATACTGATAGTGTCATATCATTGTTGTAGCAATGGGGAGGAATATCCCACCAACTACTCAAAACTTGAAACTGGTATTCAGAGTTTCAGACAATCTGAGCCCAACCAATTTTTTTATTATTTTGGTAAACACAGTAGGTCTAGGTCAACATTGCATGAAAAAACACAGACAGGAAGAAAACACTTGAACTACATGAAAGAAATTTCACACGTGAGAAGTATGAGATATGTCAAGTGGTCATTATCAGCAGTGCATGATAAATACAACTGCATTTAACTAACAAAACCTTTGAAGATATGGGAGAAAAACCGAATTCTAAGAAAAAAGGAAATGGGTTGATATGATTTTAGTTCTCACAGATTGGACGCTGTCATTATTTCTTCCAATTCTAGTTACAAGCTTTCCGTCACTCCATGTACCTGCACCGCCCTGTCAGGGATAAGTATTTATAAATGAATTGAGAAAATTAATTATACCTCTAACAGGTGAAAGATAAAACATTAGAGCAAAAATAAGAAGTAATTACCGATGATAGATAAAAATATCAATGATTACTAATCCTAGATTCAGAGAATGCCCCATTCCATAACAGTGATGATTAATCTATGCGTTATTATACTTTGAAGGAGAACAGACAGGATAATCGTAACTCGTCAAAAAATCATTTGCATTTGGCCAGAAAATAATTATAAAATCATTAAAAATTAGTTATCACGTAAATTAAAAATTCCATAATATCGCCTCAATCATTGTACAATAAGTACATGTGACACAAAACTAGATAACATTCTTCTATATGAGACATTGTCACATCTAGAAACACATAACTTCAAACATTAGGCATAGACACAGAAAATCTTGTGACATCTAAAACCGGAGTTGATCTTACAATGGACTCACACCTTCACATAGGATCTGATAATTCCATCTCTTCTTTCCCGTAAAGCCTTTCAACTCAAAGAAATAATGATATTACTAAAAGGATTTAGGGTTTTGCCACGCAGCACTGAAAATTGGTCAATAGTTCCGACATAAATATTTGGATTGTCCGAAGGTTTGAGAGATTACATTATAGAACTCCTCAACGACTTATGTCCATGATGGCAGTTGAAAAAATTGAGATATCTTTGAAAAAATAAAAGAGATGAAAGAAAAAAGGGGATGGTTATAGCGAACCTCCCCAAAACAAAAATTACTCTCTGACTGCAAAATTCGTCGAACCACCAATGCTCCAATATCACGCCCTCTCTGTTCAACTGCTTGACCCCTTTCTATCAAGGTCACTTCCGCACCAAATTCTGCAAGAACAAGAGATGCAAATAGCCCTGCTGGCCCACTGCCAATGACTGCAACTTTTGGTCTTTTAGAACTATGCAACTTGTTAACTTGTTTCAAGAAAATATCATCCCTGTCCTCCGAGTCTGCCACAGAGGCATCTCCTCTAAGACCATGTATGATATTAACCAGACCTTCAGACTCTTGCTTATGAGTTAAGTACTCTACAAGCCCAATTTTAGGTTCCAACCGAGATATGAAATCCCAAGCGCGAGGTTCCAAATTGAGAAGCACCTTGACATCCATCTCCACAGTATAAACAAATACAGGTTCCTTCAGCAACTGCAGGAACATAGAAAATACAAGTTAAAAAGGTAGTTCGAAATAGTTGATCCAGGCTTGGTTAGTAGAGTGCCTCTTGGAACTAAATTAGAAAACATGCCTCTTTAATCTAAATTTCCTTTATCCATTGATATCTTCAGAAGTAATAAAAAAAAAGAATCTATAAAAATGCTAATGAGATTGGTAGACGAAAATTTATCTTAACAGAGCTCGGCAGAGTCAGTGAAAAGAACCATCATTTTAAGAAAAGCCGTGAAGCTCAAAAAGGAAGAAATTTTAGTTGAAAATACGCAAAAGCTTTGCTCGTGAATTTTTCACATAAATTTCCTTTTCTATCGGTATAAAAAGCAAATAATGTCCTTTGTTGCAGCATCCCCATGCTTTTGTGGTTTCAGGTTTACTTCAAGGAAATAAACTAGAGGCGAAAAATTCCAAAATGAAAGCAGAATCGACAACTATAAATAACTTGTAAAATATTTTCTTCAGCCTCAGCCCTTTCATTGCGGTTGTGATACACAGGTAAGGATATGAGATGTGATGTGAAGAATGATCAATAAAGCCAGTCATCCTACTTTGATAGAATATCTTGTAAGCTGAAGAATCTCATTGGAATGTCCCTCCTGGCATAGGAAGAACAGAGGAAGACACCCCCTCCAAGAATTAGGGATCAAAGTTTGTGTACACAGTCATGTTAATCTAGAAAGATCTCGTGTGCGAAGTACATAAACAATTCGCGTATATATAAACTGATCAGCTCACCTTTCTAGCGTCAAAGGATTTCCGAAGGACAGTAAAGGCATCCTGAGGTAGCATAGAAGCAACCTACAACAAGGGTATAAAATACATCAAAACAGTTGATATGTAACCAGGAAATAACCATTTATTTCGTGATAAAAGACGAACAATGAGGACATGAGATATGGAAAAGTGGAGGAATCAACTGAAAATGATAGCAGAGGAAGACAGTAGATATCTTATTTATTCACATGGATGAAGTCAATGAGTAGAACAGCAGAAAGAGGACAATTAAACTTCGATCACAGACATGAATGAAACAGAATTGCTCTTTCTTCCATTAGAATTTTAAAACTAAATAATGACAGAAGAAACATGATTAGTGATGATAAACGTCATCATTCAGTGCTTTTTTCACGAAAGAAAATCATCCGCGTGAGCAAGATACTGAAGGTAACAAATCAACAAGCTCCAAAGAACAAAATCCCGGACATCATTGGAGTATGGACATGGTGACATTTAATATCTAATCGCAGTACCACACTCAAGCAGAACCTCATGCGGACCACGGAGCCACTATGACGCGGGATACTGGTACACCAAGCACTGACACCCCAATAAAGGATTTATTCCTTTATTTTTTCCCATTCCATATCAACAAATGAGAGAAGGCAGGGAAGCTTACCGGGAACTTGAGAACTTTGGCTATGGCTTCGAGCAAGGGGAGTGACACACCGACGAAGTCCTTCCCGGGGTCCTTATGCGCGGGGACGCTGAGCTTGTACAACCTCCAGAATCCTTCCTCCCTATTCTCTATTTCATTTGGGACCAGCCCCTTGTTCCTCCTCTCCAGTTCCTTCTTCTCCGACGGGTACCGTCGCTTCCCCCTCCGCTTCGTCGCACACCGGACTCTGACCACACCGGCGGCACCCCAGCGGCTGCCGAGCGCCGAGAACCTGGGTTTCTCTTCGAGCTTTGAGCCAACGCACAGCTGCAGGAGCGAGAATTTGGCGGAGAACGCCATCGCTGAACGGAGATGAACTCCGAGCTTCCTCCAGATAAGCTCCTCCCAGACTGAGCAGGTTAGAAATGGAGGGAAAAACCAGAAAGTCTGAGGGGTCACGGAAGTGGGCCCCACAAATCGGACGGCTGTGATTCAGGGATCCTATCCGACAGCCACAATTCGTGGAAATATTAATATTAATCACCCTTAAATTAACTGTTAATTATGACGTGTAAATCGCTCATTTCATTATGAAGAATAAATATTTGTATAATAAATTTTATTAATGTAGATAAACAAGTGATTAAATAATTATATGTGCGTGAGGGAGAATACGTACCGACATACTCGGCCAGGTGCGCAACACCTTTCGGTGTTCATCGACCCTGGATTTTTACCCAGTGGGAACAAGCCACGTCGGATGAGCATTTGGGGCGTGCTCATCACTAATCCAAACTCGGAGCACCTCGATTCGATCCGAGTCGGAAGAACTAGCAGGCAGTTAGATATCCCGTCCGGCTACCTGCCGGTCACCCCGATTCACCTCTCTCTCTCTCTCTCCCTCCCCACCAGACTACTCAGAAGCCATGGGGAATACTTCCTCGATGCTCACGCAGTACGACATCGAGGAGGTCCAAGAGCACTGTAACCACGCTTGTAAGGACTCACTGCCATACCTACCTACCTCTCTCCTCTTTGTTCCCTTTCGATCGCTAGGGATGGCCAGTCTTTTCCTTCTTTTTGTGAGGTGATGGTGATTCTTTGTAGATGTTATCTGAATATGCTTTCAATTCACTAGTTTCGCAGCAAGAGATCGTATCGTTGTACAAGAGATTCTGCCAGCTCGACCGGAGTGGCGGTGGGTTTATCTCCGCGGATGAATTCTTGTCGGTTCCCGAGTTCGCCGTCAATCCTCTTTCGCAGGTTTTTACTCTGATTTTCTCTTTTCCAAATCCAGTAGCTTTGGATCAAACAATGGTCTCTGTATTCCTTTCCACGAGATATTAATATCAAACTTGCGTGTACTATTTATTCGGGAAAATAAATCAGACTGAAAATTGCTCAGTAGAACTGCCTTCCTTTAGTGTTTTTTACTATTCTATGAGCTGTTATTTTACTTTCCGCTGATTTCATGGATCATTCAGAATGTTTGATGTTTCATTCAGCTATAAATAGACTTGCAATTATCTATTATTTTATCTACTATCTTCCACTAATTTCAGCGATTGTTAAGAATGGTGGACGGATTGAACTTCAAAGAATTTGTGGCGTTTTTGTCTGCATTCAGTTCTCGCACGAGTCTGCAGCAGAAGATTGAATGTAAGATTAGCTAACCGATTTACTGGTACTCATTTCTTGAAGGAGCCATTTCGTTTCGATTCCCCATTGCTCAACATCATTCGTGAAAAATCCTGAAATTACTCGGTGCAGTCATATTCAAGGTATACGATTCTGATTGCAACGGAAAAGTTACATTTGATGATGTCCTGGACATTTTGCGGGACTTGACGGGCTCATTTATGACCGAACAACAAAGGGAGGTGGGTTGTGGCTTTGTCCTATCTTCTGTTATTTCAGTTCCTGGTGTCTACTTAGCTTTCCGTTCTCATCTACTCAGGAATTAATGTAGATAGCAAACTTCCATAGTCTAGTTTTACCTTCCATATTTCTTATTACGTGGATCAGAAAACCCATTGCGTGATTCTCTATTTAGCTTTGAGACAGATATCTATCGTTAAAACATATGGAATGCAGATTGATTATTCAAAATTTTGAATGATCACATCGATGAAGTGTTGGAGGAGAGTAGGAACCAAGATATGGGAATGATCATTGCAGATATTCTGGGAACATTTATCCAGTCACAGAAACCATTTAGTCTGCCAAATAAGAGAAAATTATTGATATCTTCACTACTCTAATTTGGCAGTTAGAGTAGAGACAAAGTTCTGATATCTAAAAAAAATATATGAATCATTAACAGTATGATGAGCAGTATATTTCTTCACTAGTTCCTTATATTGTTTGAAGGCTGAAGCTCACGTTAGTTCCTCCTTGGTAGTTCGCTGGCTTGATATTCCCTCTGTGATGGTCTGCCAACTTGTTTCATTTCCGGTTTCAGAAAGTTCTGACGTATGTTTTGGAGGAAGCAGGCTACACAAAGGGTTCTCTCCTGGACACAAACGACTTCACCAAGGTAATTTTTTCCTACCTTTTTGCCCCCTTCAAGCATTAATAGCTACCTTCTCCCTTTGACTCAATGAAGTGGGGGGTTTTGGTTACACCTTCTCGGTGGGTTGCAATATATGTGCCTATTTTCCTAAACTAATGTTCGAGACTTATTTGCTATTTCTACTGATCTTTGAAGTGATTGCTTCCCGTGGTTATCAGAGATGGGTCGCCCATCGCCTAGAGCTATTCTTTATTTGATGCGAGGAATCTGGCTATTTAAAATTATGACATAAATCTGGCAAAAAATCATATGTTTCTTCCTGCAACCCGGTGATCTACTCTGATGCATCTGTCGCATGATTTCTACCCGTCAAGATATGCACTGGAATTAATCAGCCATAAGCCAAAGTTTTTGCACCCAAATGAATTATATTCGAATTACTTACTCTTGCATTCTAGGAAGTCAATCGGATGTGGATCTCTGTTCCCCATTCCCACTATTTTATGGCAATTTTATTCATAATCAATGCCCTTGGAGGATAGGTTCTAGTTTGGGGCCAATTTTTCCTCCATGGTGAAATTATTTCCCAGATCCTTTCCCTCTGAATGCAAAAACATTAACAACTTGAGAGAGCGACCAAACCATCATTCTCTCCACCTGCTTACTATTCTTGGAAGCTCATTGGGTTCTCTTACTCGATCCACTGTTCATCCTCCATGGCTGCTGAGGCCCTCAGATCTTTCCCTCAGCTAGCAAACCATCATTCTCTCCACCTGCTTACTATTCTTGGAAGCTCATTGGAGTCTCCAGGCTGCTGAGGCCCTCAGATCTTCCCCTCAGCTAGCAAACCATCATTCTCTCCACCTGCTTACTATTCTTGGAAGCTCATTGGAGTCTCCATGGCTGCTGAGGCCCTCAGATCTTCGTTGCAGGTTCTCGGGAACCCCGGTCTGAAGATGGAGGTGGAAGTGCCGGTCGACTAGGAAGCTGGTGCAATCTCTCGCAAGGTGTCTTCTTTCCCAATGAATGAGATCAATCCTGCGTTAGATATATCCACGAACCCTCCTTGTAAAGTAGATGAACCCTAAATTAGTTTTAGTGATTTTTCTTATCGCAGCAAGTTCCTATATTACGATGAGAGAGAAAATCCCCGTTGGTTGGCAATTTATATTTAAAAGATGTGTTAAAAATAATAATTAATAAGTCAGCGTCTAAAAAGACAGGTAGTGATTTTAAATAATAAATAATGCCTTCTCAAAGCATACAATGAGGTGATGTAGGAAATTTTATATGTTAATATCGTGCACTTTCATAATTTTTAATTATATTATATATTTTCAAGGACTATCATTTCGTGGTCTTAATCGCATTAAAATATTATTTTTGCGCATATAAAAATCAGTCCTTTTGTATCATTTTTTCTCTTAGGTTGTGTCGGTTTTGGCAGAGCCCGTCTTGGCCCAATCTTCAGTGTTGGCCCTCCATATCCACGTGGCGGCTCTCTCTCTCTCTCTCTCTCTCTCTCGCTCTCCCCTGGGCGTTGATGTGTCGGTCTAGGCAAAGCCCATCTTGACCCAGTTTTTCACTATTGGGCCTGATAAATATGCTATCCACGTGGCGGCCTGCGCCCCCCCCCCCTCCCCTTCTCTCTCTCTCTCGCTCGCTCGCTCGCTCTCCTCTGTATGTGAACGTAACTTAAGACTTACTCGTGTTTCCCGGGCGGAGAAGCTATTTGAAAATAAATAAAAACATAACGGTAGGTCTAAAAGGCGGGAAATTCTGGCAGTTATCAGAGGCCACAGAGAGAGAGAGAGGAGAGAGTACGGATACCGTCACCTTCGGGGGGAGTTTCCGCGCATCGGAAGTCATCTGCCACGGCGAAGATCCATCAGATGCTCGACAGATTCTCGCCGGGAGGTGGAGGGAATCGTTGGTTGGCGTGCGAGGTGGGTTTCACGTGCCAGTACTTGAATCTTAAACGTTTTCCCCATGATTCGGAGATTCTTCTGATTCTTAGAGTCTTCTAATTCAAAGTTTTCGACCGCAGTAGAGAGCAGCTGTCGCGGATCTCTCGAGTTAAGCTTCTATTCTAGTTCACTCTTTTCGTTTTCCACTCGTTCTTCCGGTACAAAGAAACGCCGTACCTTCTCTCAGCTTTCGGCTTGTTTTTCCCGCTTCTGGGAAATTTTTAACCTGCATCTCCTGCTGAGTTTCCTGTTCGTATGGTTTGATGGTGTTCTCCTCCGGGATGGCATGCCATTCCCTTGAGTGCTTAATGCTTCATTTACTGAGCTTTAATTTCTCATGATCCGGATCATCTGAATTTCTTTCCGCACTGATCCGATGGACAATGTGAGAGGATCGCTTGTTATAGATTCCTCGAACAAATTGTGAGCGAAGAAAAGCTTTGTCTTTTTTTTTCAGCGTTTACATCCTACCTAGCCCTCCTAATTCATGATAATCAGCGAAATGACTGTTTCTCTTTAATTCCCCTGACTTCATGTCAAATTTATTGAGTATGATCGTGATGATGTATGCGCTCAAACCACGGAACAATGTGCTTCTTTCAGATTTTCATCATCAATATCAGTTCAGGGTGCTCACATTTAGGCTTGCGGTTGAACAGAAGGATTAACTAGAGTTTATTTAATATATTTACGAAGTGCTTCTCTTGACAATCCTTCTTCAGGTATAGATGCCTTGGATAACTGGTTGGCTAGTCGGAAGGGATTATACCAACCGCTAATAAATGGCGCTTAGGAAAAAATGGGATGGTAGTGACCTTTGCATGGTTCGTGGTAATTAGCTAGATTTTACGTGGCATTCTTGATTCAATGTTTTATTGGTGTTTTAGAAGGAAAATCCTCAAAAAGTGAGCAGCAAAATATGAAAAACAGATCTCTTGTTTTTGTGTGTACATATCCACAGAGTCTCTGTCTTGATAGAAATGCGATAAGGATGAAATAAAAAAATAAGCATATCAATCACCTTCAGTCTAGGAATATGTCCACACAAAAGAAGTGACAACGTGAAATACTTCTACACAGTGTAGTGGTGGCTGACTCCCTAAAATGATGACTTCTAGGGATCCCGATTCTGATATAATGTAGTGGTGGCTGATTGATTCTATATTGTCTTCAGCCTTTACTTATTTGTCTAATAAGCTTCTTATTGGTTTGTTGCTTTCCAGATTCTGTCGTCTGACCTTTAGATCGTAACTTCTTTGGATCACTTCAAACAATGGCTGAAAATGGGGTAAAATCTTTAGAGGAAACTCTGGAAACTCCGGAAACTCCGGAAACTCCGGAAACTCCGGAAACTCCCAGTGAGCAGCATGGCATTGTCGAAAAGCTTTATGCCGAGTTAGATTTGGAAAGAGAAGCTTCAGCAACAGCTGCAAGTGAAGCATTGTCTATGATGTTGCGTCTTCAGGAGGAAAAGGCTGCAGAGCAGATGGAAGCACACCAATATAAGAGAATGGTGGAGGAGAAGATCCACCACAATGAGGAATTATTGGCCACTTTGGAAGAGCTTCTGTATCAGAAAGACATGGAAATTGCTTCTCTCAGGTCCCAACTAAAGATCTATGGCGATCAGGTGTTAAATAGTGGCATTTCAACTCCCAGTTTCTCTGAAATAGATGCCTTAAAAACCCCGTTTTTAAGAAGAAATGATACATTAAATGGTGATATGAATCTCCATGAAACCATGTCAAACGACTTCGCTCTCCCTACCATTAGCTTTACAGGCATTCGCTGTGAGATGGATGTTCTTGATGAAGGCATGGGCGCACCTCAAAAACAAAACTCAGACGCGGAACGTTTCTACCAGTTCACAGATGCTATGAACAACCAACAAGGTCCCAACAATTTGTGTAAACTCTTGTCAGGCCTGTCTGTTCAGTCTCCTGCTTTAATTTGCAACCGTCTTTGTAATCGAGCCAAAGACAGACATAAAATAATGAACGAGACGTTAAAGTCAAGAAGACTTGAAGAGAGCCTGAAGCCTGATTGCATTAGGTCACATGATGAATTTCGGATGCCCATACCAGTTTGCTCATCAAGTTTGCCAAATGGAAATATGCCTTATTCATTTTTTTCTTCTGCTGTGAATAATTCACTTTATGATTCTGATATAGGAGAGGAAGGAACCGGGTTTTGCACTGCAGCCTCAGATTCCTCATCTTTGTCTCAACCTAAATTTCTGGAGGATTTCGATTCATCTTGTTTCTCTTTGGAAACTGATTTTTCTGTGAAGAAGATCAACTGCTCTAGATTTCATGATATATTTGAAGTTCCTCAATGTAAAATTGACCGTGACTGTGAGCCAAAGAATAAACTCTTCATGGATTGTGTTCCAGGAAGAAGGGATGTATCTTCAACGATTGGTTCAAAGTCAGGAGAGCCCGGAGACCGCAATTGCAAGGACGAAGATTGGTCTGATGAGGCATTGCTTAATGGCCAATATGGAAAATTGCGTGAAGGAATGGCCCTGGATTGCATTGGGGACCGTAAGGATCCTAAAACAGGGGTCTCTTCTCTCTTGCAGAATATGAAAGAATTGTGGGAGTCTAATATCAAACAGTTTGAAAATTGTCTGAAGTTTCTTGAACACGACAGAAGGATTATGCAGCAGGAAGATACTTGCATGGGAAAGGAACAGTTGAAGTTATTGAGGGAGATCTCTGAGCAGCTCAGCATGATATGTTCCCAGTTAAAGAGACCACCATCGAAAAAGTACTGCTATGAGGATGACTCAGTTATCCCTGTTATGGAGGTATAACTATCCCAGAACCGTCAATTTTTACATTATTAGAATTGAGAGTACCCGAAATAATGATCCGACATCACTCTGATGCTCATTTTCTTTTCCTTTCTCAAGCAACTGCTAGTATTCTCTTCGATGTTCAATCAACCTGGAGTTGATTCTATCATGTTTCAAGGCAGAGAGATAACCTACGATCTACTTGTCATGATTCCGAACCTTGCTCACCCTAGTCTTGAATGTAATATTGCTTCCTATACACGTGTCTCAGTTCTCTCAGAGAGGCCATAATTTTAGAGGATGGTCAAGAACCCTAATTTTTAATATGCATGGTTCTCATTGATAGTTCTACACCAGAATCTCTCTCTCGGTTCCAACTGCGCCTTCCGGTTGTTTTGACTTGATTTTATTTTCTAAACAACAGGCGATGATGCTCTTTTTGGTCTGAACCTCCAGAATTCGTGGCATTCGAATCGAAGCTCGGCAACATCAATTTCTTCAGGTTATGATATTTTTTTTCTCAGATCTGTGTCAGCATGGCGGTAACTTTTCTGACAAAATTGGCAGCAGAAAATCATCTCCACCTTTGTACCTTTCCTCTTTTTCTCATCTCCCTTTCTGAGCACTTACAACATCAGCTCATTGTAAACAATATATATTTATCATGAATATACAAATTTTCAGGTGACCTTAGTAGACATTATTTCATGATGCATAATTTATTTTTTATTAAAAAAATTCTGCGCTTCATAAAAATAATATAATGCTTATATTTATTTCTATCCACATACCTCTTGCATTTTATTTTTTTAAAGTATATTGTTATGTCTCTTTTTCTGTCTGATTAATTCGACGAAAATCTTCAAAAGTCTTCTTAAATCTGTTAAATCTCTCGGCCAGATGTGCAGCAATTATCCCCACCATTTACCTGGTAGATCTGACGGTGATAACCCAGATGATGAAGTGTCAAGAACTCCCATAGTAAGCGATCAATAGCCTTCTCATGGTATCCTTGATTGTGTGTGTGTTTTCTGGCCTCTTTGTTATGACCATTTCCACTGCAAGAACTCTGTAGCTGTACACGTCATCCAGGGTCTGTTGACTTTTACCCACTTCTTACTCCGATTTCATGAGATGAATAAAATGTGAGACACAAGTATAGTCCAAAACCCAAAGTTTTCGAGAAATCAGATGTATTTTATCTCGTAGAACTTGTTTTCCCTTTTCGCTATTTTATGAAACCGATTATGGAATTAGTACATTGACTCTGTTAATTTTCTGTTCAATGTTCTTGGCAGTCGTGATGTTTTGGTTCCTGTTTGTGTGCTTTCAAATGTGTTGGGTAGAACTATATCTTATTATGGTAATCAGCCACTTTACTTTATTAAGAAAAAAAAAAGATAAAGATGGAATTTCTTTTAAAAAGTCAACTGCTCACTTTGGTCTACGTTTCATGTCAGCAGGGCTTTTTTTTGGCATGACCGAAGTTACCAGACCTAATCATTTACTGATGACAGATCCACCTCCCATACGTTTTTCAGTTTTATGAGCTCGATGGGAATCATTCCGGTCAGTAGAAAGCCCTACTGCTTGATCTAGCAGCAAGTCAACCACTTAACAAGATCCTCACATTTCGGGTAAGTCAACCTTTGAATGAGAAATTCCCTTATAGTTCTGGTAAAGGAGAGTTTTCTTTTTTTTTTTTCGTGAGATGAAATATGCGATTGTTTCGAAAGGAGGCATGTTGACCCAGGATCCTTCATTTGGCATGGATTCAAGTGAGGGAAATAGAGGGGGAGAGTAACTCCCTTGAAGAGATTATTAGAATCATGGAGTCTCTTCTAGTATGAATGATGTGAAAAATGCTGACATTTTGACTTTTGACTTTTGAAGGACAAAGAATACTTATTTTTGCCGTAAGTTATGAGGACCATATTAGAAATTCAGAAAACTACAACATCTATTTTCTGGTTTTCTATTAGAAACAAACAGATTGTGAAAAACAAAAGACAAAAAATAATCCGAAATTTAAAATTCTAGATATTTTTTTCTCACATTTCAATCCCCTAGACATATATTATTGAAATATAAAATTACAACTATAAAGAAGATAGTTTTGATTTATTTTTAACAAATTTATTATTGCTAAAAATATAATTAAAAATAGAAAATATAATTGTCAGAACTATCTAATTTACAAATTTCTTACATCATATTGCATCCACGAAAAAATAAATCAGTTAGATTTATTAATACCAAAAGATACTAAAAAGATTATTATTGAGTCAAAAGAATGATCTAGTAGTATGAAATGTTGGAATATTCCTTAGATACATGATAGATAACATGAATTTGATTTTATAGATTTTTGCTTCATGATTTTGATGGATAATATTTACTTGATGTGAAAATTTGATTGATCGTTTGAGTTTAATGTAAATTTTTGCACCTTGATCTATAAGACTTGTGAGAGAAATCACTTATTTTTTTTAAAAAAGAAAATAAGAGAGAGCAATAGAAAAAATCTAGAAACAAAAAGTACACATGGAGGATGTGAGATATCATTCTCATTGTCGAAAATCACATATAGAAAAATACTTTTTGTAAAATAAATAGATAAAGTGAAAGCCTTGAAAATGAAGAATATACATGAAGGGTGTGAGACATCATTATTATTGTCAAAATTTGTCTATAGAAAAAGCTACTTATCCACTATATATATAAATAAATATATTACAAACTTAAAAAATTAAGCTATAGAAAAAAGAAAATAAATGATTAATATTATTTTTGGATGAATATTAATAATTGAAACATCTTGTAAACATATTTATGAGTGAAGAAGTGATAAAGCTGTGAAAAAAAGAAGTAAAGTCTAGATTATTATTCCAAGGACTACTTAAAAATTTAAGTGCTTGACATCATTCTTAAATACTTGATATAAGAATTCAAAGTATCTAAAGGAGCATTATTTTTAATTAGATTTTTTTGTGTGTATTAAAATATGATATTTGAGATTTGTTAATTTTTATTTTTGTAATTCTATTGCTAAGGGACTAAAATAATTTAAGTTGAGAGGTGTGATAAGTCTTTATTATCATGACTTAATAATTAGTAAATAATATAGTTTTAGTCTTAACTCATGATAAATAGACTTATAATTATGTTAACTTGTGAAAAGTAGTTTTTAGTTGATTAACATGAAATTTTGGATAATTATGTAATTTTTTATAAATTTATATAATTTTATAGTCTTATTTTTTAGATAAATAAAGAAAAAGAAATAAAAATAAAAATGTAGCCAAACAAGGGGGCTCACTAGTCAGTCGGGCTCGCAAGCGAGTCAAAAGCACAGTTGAGGGGAGTTGCAAGCAGGGGCTCAAGCGGCTAAGATCGATGAGGAAATGCGTACATCACTCCCCTTTCACGTCATCGGTAGTCAGTCGATTGTGGGGCAAGAAGTAGTCGTATATACAAGAGAAAGGGACTCATTGCTTACAAATGTGATATTAGTATTTATTCACCTAAATTTCGGTGCACAAGCAATGTGGGACTAAACTCGCGTCACACCTTCCCCTGAAAAGCTTCAAAGGCGAGCAATTGGTGCGGGTTCAAATCCTCTCAAAGCCAAAGCTTGTATTTTTTATTTGATTATCGTGATTTTTCTGCAGATCATCGGTAAAGGATTAAGCCACTAGAATCGTTGGATCATCAGCAAAAATCTCATCAACGAGATTCTTGAAGCATTCTTACTAAAATTGCTGAATGATTCACGATAAAATGATCACAGATTCATCGAGTAAAGCATCTCTGATTGATCGACGAACAAATCGTCGTTGGGAAGAGCAAGATCTGCTGGGAGACGAGTCGTCACCTCTTAAGAGCGTACTAGATGTGATGAAGAACCTTCTCTTGTTAGGTGAACCTAAGGATGAAGCTCTCTGTCATGCACTCCACCTCCATTTAATTCCTCTTCGTTGGGTGACAGCCACTAGAGAGCAGCAAAGTCACTATTTTTTCACTCCGTCGGGTGACAACTGTCGGAGACGATTCGACAACTCATTTCATTGATTTCTAGACTTTGTAAGAAGATTTAGAGATTGCCCACGTTGACACTACAAGATGATCCTCCCGAATGCTCAAGATTCTGGTGCATCGTCGTTGTGACATTAGAATTCTATTTTCCTACTTTCAACTTAATTTATGCTTCATTTAGTAATAACTTGTGTGATTTAAATTTACTAAGTTATACTTCATTCAATTACAATTCTTCCGGCTTTTACAAATTTTAATTTGATCAATTAAATCATTTGTAATCACTTATGTAAGAATCGTTAGGTATAACTCTATTTCTATTCGATTCACGTTTATTGGGTGTTGATGTCATCTTGACATCTGCACCCTTATTTCTCTTTTTCATAAATTTTAAATATATTTTATTTTCATTTCCTAATATTAAATTCATAGAAAATCATATTCTTTGAGGAAAATTGTGAATAATTACTCAATATTATATTACATCCCTATGATCAACTTGAAAAATTACCACTAGTTTTAGAAGTTTTATTAAATTATAATTGATATATTTATTTACAAATACTTCTAAATATTTGAAAATTAGTATTTTCTAGTTTTATAAATTTTAAAGTTACGTGATTTACTAAACAATTACTAAGTCACGTCACTATCATACCTCGATTATCTTTCTTCACATAAAAATTAATACACTGATGACTCTCTATTAATGACCATATGGCCATCACTAGACACCACGTATGTTTTAGGTATCATTATTGTCACACAACTTCAAGGAACAAAATTATGGATCAATTATTTCTCTATAGTGTTGTTACTATGAAATGTTGGAACTAACTCTTAAGGAATTGGTTGCCCATATTTCATCCTCCTCTATATCTCATACCCCTAGAGATCTTCAAGAGAGTCTTTGATTCATCGTAGAGCTCTAGGGGTAGCCCTTACCTACGTATGTCCATAGTGTACATATTATGGGAGATATG